TAAAAGTTAATTGACCAATTTCAAGATTCCTGTTATTTCCATTAGTACACGTTTCTGTCCGTTTTCCCCGTGCCTTTCCAGCTTCAGCCGGAGAAAATAGAGTCGACAGGTCACTGATTCCGGACCCCGGATCGACCTATCGGCGATTTATATCGCAGAAAAAGTTTTCTAATATATAAAGTTTCACGATCTGCCGCAGCCAATGCCATTATTTCGGGCCCCTCAGATACTTACTTTTCGATCGCTGATAAGCTACATTAACGGGATTTGTCGCCTTCTATTATGTTCCATCTTCGCACGACGTGCATCCACGATAAGGAAGTAATTGCGGAATGAGAACAACCCCGTAAAATTTTATGTACTCGACTTTATATTGAGCCGTATGTTACTGTATGACTCGTTTTTCTATGTGCTTCGATTTCGAAAGTAACAGTAGTACACTTAGTTTAGACAATCATTTAGAACGCTCCAGCAGAAACATTTAGAACCATCAGTTAGAACGCTACAAAAACATTTAAAACTGTCTAGAACCATTTATAGCGGTCCAGAACCATTTAGAACAGGTTAGAATCATTTAGAATGCTCCAGAAACATTTGGAATTGTCTAGAACCATTATATAGAACGCTCCAGAAACTTTATAACCATTAATAACGCTCCAGAACCATTTAAAACACTCTAGAACCATTTAGAACAGACACATTAGACAAATTAAAGAAACTAAATGTACCTATTTAGATGCTTTTATGTCGAATTTTATAAGTAGCGAATTTACGGATTTAATGCAGAAATATTTGTGCAAAGCGCACATAAACTTAGATTAGTTTTCATTTGATAATGCATTGTGCTGGGTTTTAAGATTAATGGGATTTTCGTTTCGGCAATTATTAGAACTTTCCGAATAAATTGCTAAGGGAATAGCCCGGCCGCATGAGTATCATAAAACAACAATAATAAATATCCACCGAAACTGGACTTATATTCCAGCGTAGTAGCTATAATATGCGAGGAATATCGAGTTAGAGAATGCATTAAATTAGAGAGATTTTTTAATCAGTTTGGTTGTATCAGCTGATTGAATCAGTTCATCTCTTCAATAGTGCTCTGCGAATTTTGCAATGGACAATAATAATAAAAAGAATTGGTCTCATATTTTGGGTTTTCAACGGAATTTGGTGGGCCGAATCGATGCAAAATGCTTAAGGTGACTCTATTTTATCGAAAACCCATATTTACGAATGGTACAAAACTTTTAAACACAGTCGAAAGATCGCCAAAGACTTGCCTTATTCCGGACGGTCTTCGACCTCTTCGACCAACGATAACGGCGAGAAAATGAAGAAAATTGAGTTCCAAATCATCATGGTAGTATTAGAGAAGTATAGCACTTTACCTCAACAAAGGGCATATAAAAATTGATTCAATGATCGGAAAAGGCGTTTGACTATCAAAGAACACTGAAAAACACTCAAGAAATATTAATGAAGATATAGGAGTTTTGCGTTTGATTCCAATTTTCCGGGTACTTTTTTTGTCAGTGTGTACCTGCACAAGTCTTCAATAACCAGAAACATTAAAGAGGGTTTAAGATTGTTTTAAAATGATTACTCAGAGATAAGGCTTCGTAGTTTTTCGAAAATCGAGCTAGAACCGAAGGCGAAATCCGCACGAAATTTATTACAAGCGGTTACTGGAATAAATCCGGTGAGTTTTTACCGCACAAAGAAATGCCCACAACATATTCCAGTAATAAAACCTTCAGCGGGAAACGCTATCTTTTTCAAATACGTATACATTCCTTGGCTACAGCCGAAATGCAAACTAAGAAACGAGGAAATTATGCGACAAACAGTAAAACTTTTTCGGTTACACAAAAAAGGTCACGTCTTGTCGAAAGTTTTGTACACTTCAGTCAGTAATTTGAATGCAGAAATTTCTCTTCAGCGAGCTAATGAAAAAGTGATAGTGGCACTTAAAAATGTTTCGAACTCGGATGTTTTCTTTCAGTATTATTACCTCTCTTCTGGAAAAAGCTCCAGCGCCTCATTAAATAATGAAGTAGAAAAATAAAACCATTAACACTGTACAATCTCCTTAATTACGTATTATTTTAACATGCTGTGTCTTCTTGAAAATTCTAAGTGCTCCAATAACTCATTCCATCAACAATTCAAATACAGGGTTATCCATAAAAGCTCCGTAAAACCAATATCTCCTTTATCTTTATAGTTTACAAAAAATGTAATAATTAATTCGTTGTAATAGCTCTAAAAGGCGTTGAAGATATTGGAATAGGTGCCGCTTTGTGTAATAGTTACTTCAATTTGCTAATTGAACAAACAAAAAAAAATCATCCAACACAAGGAATTTATTTAGCATTTATTAGAATTAGTGCTTATTTAATGTAGATACAATAACATTCCTATATACCTATGGTGCATTTCAGTTTGAAATATGGTCATTTCTATCAGTTGAACAAAAAAAGATTATTAAAATAACAGTTGCTAGAGTGAAAAGTTGCAATGACACAATGCCGCTCTTTCTTTTTCAATATTTCAAACTAAAATGAATCAATCTGTATAAAACAAATGTGTAGACAATAAGGTTAGGATAAAAGTTACAAGAGAATCGTAATTTTGATTAAACTATTCACAACATTGAATAGAATATTATTTATAGTATAGTTATTTTAATAAAGCAATGTTGAATCTACAATTGTATAATTAATAACAAATTTAACATTCCCTTGTATTTCAAAACACCGCACAGTCGTGTTTACAAAAAAATAGCTGTAATGCGGGATTGTAGAATGTATATTTTAAATACATCCATTTTGCCCTCATGAGAATATTAGAGATACAAAGTAAATCGACCGGCATTCGCGAAATTAATTTTCATCTAAAAATTCAATTTCCAGCCAACTCACGAGAGTACGCAAATTAAAAAAGTCATTGCTTCAACGAAATTAACCGCAGAACATTTTGCAATTTGCGGGATAGAAACACAGACAAGAGGAAAATATTCGGCTTGCATATTTCGCAAAATCTAAAGCATTTTAATCGCGGTCATCGAATTGTTTCTTTGTTAATTTTCTTTGAAGGGAACAAAAAGTTTACCTTTATCTTTCTACTGCTTAAGTTTACAAATCTTGACTAATTCCTAACTTACTACATATACGAGGGTAGGGTGAAAAGTTCTCGGCCTGATCATGTGAGACTATGATTAATATTTGTAATTTGTTTTTTAACATAATCTCCGGCGGAAAAAAAGAAAAGTTGGTAGCATTTTTTTTCTCTTTAATTAGCCTCTAAACGTCTTCCGTCCAGGTCGAGCACTTTTCACTTCACCCTCGTATTGCCTGGTTTATGCAGCAATTAACATTGGTCTTCTTCGCAAAAAGGACTTCATCGGAATTTTCATTTCAAAAACTCTTTTTAACTCATTTCAAAAACTCAACTATAATAATTTCAAGTAGGTACTAAAAGATAACTTCTTATTAATCCAAACGAGAAAATTATTATATTAATTGAAGACAAATTAATAACAAAAAATGTTTCAAAAATCATAAAATAAACTATATAAATTCATGACATCCGAATTAAAAAAGTGAAAAATATTTTTATTAACTACTTTCAAATCTTAAGAAAGTTTTCCTCGTTTAAGACAAAATGTCTGGACGGAATTGACGTTACATCAAGTTTTAAATTGCGACTTTGAAATTTAAGCTTTTACCAGTTCTGGCCAGAAATAGCCGATTGATTTTCCTTTATATTTCAATACCATCAAAGAAGGATACAGGTTAGAAGGTAGGTTAGATGCAAATACAATCAAACACGTAGAAACCAGTTGCAATATCGACTTATTTATTTCATGCCACAGTGAAACAGTTACAGATCATTCTCGATGCAAATGTATACAGTGTGTGTGGAAAAATTCTGGAAAACTGCCAAGTTTATCGATAATAATTCTATTGACTAACTAAAGTAGGTATATTATATCAAAGTTTGCTGGGTTCGAATATAGTTCGCGAATAGTTGAGAAGAACTATTCTGTTTTTAGGACGGGACGAGATGTGGCCCTTTAGGGTTATCGAATTTTCCGGTCGCTCTCGTGCATTCGGGGAAACATTCCGTTCAATAACCGGTGGAGAGCTGGAAATATGGCTTGTCGAATTCCTCGAGTCGAGTCCCTTCGGCTTTACCATCAAATCATCGGCGAGTTTATGAAGGGAGATTGGTCCTTCTCGTACGGGGCGAAATGAAATTCTATCAGCTATTTTTCCTTTCTTCTATTTTTTACAAAATCTTGATTCCATGCATTTATTAACCGTGAAAAAGGTTTCGATGTCGCTTTTTTGTTGTCGTGCAAAACAGATATTTCGTCGTTATTTCGCCCTTTTTTTCGAGCTGCAAATTCACGCCTATTATGTGCGAGCATTCGTCTGGGAAATTTTCATTATTCTCTCTTTGTGTAATTTTAGTAGATAATCCACTTCAAAATTACTCGAAGCAAATAAATAAACGTGTTTCCTCGTTTATAACGGACAATATTGGCGAAGGTGAAATTGTTTGTGCCGCATGAATAATGAATGTCGCAATAAATCAATTCTGGTTTTATTTGTGCAACAATTCCGAATGCACTTTTTAAATGCAACCGAAAGCGAATGGACGCAATAAAAATACCAAGCAAACGGCTCTTTTCTTTATAGTTTACTTTTAAAATTAATTGGCAGTGTTCCATATTTATCTGAATTCGTTTTAGTTTTGTGTTCGCTTTCAAAATAGTGGATAGTTTTTAAACACGATTTCTAAAAGTAATTAAAAGCTAGACGAGCGCAAGAAACAACTTAACTTCGAAAACATATATGTATAGGAATATTTGGAATTTTGAACAGCAGATGCAAATTCTGCTCTCCAGCGAGTAAATTGCAGTTTTTTTACATCTACACATCTCATCTATAGTTTATTTAAAACCCCCATTGAAACGTCAGGCCTTTATAAAATACGTCAATGGCGTCTTTAACGTCACGTTTTAGAGCTTTTTTATGTTAATTATTATTTTTTCTCTAATTTTCGTCGAATATATCTAACAATAATGCCCAGAAGGCACGCTGGTCCCGGTCCAGCCAAATACCTCCTTCCTCCAGCCATCGGATTCCCCGGTCATGACTTCACCAAAAAGCGGAACCCGTGCTACTCGATGGGGTTGCGACTGAAGACCGGTACGAGACCGATCGGTCCGGGCCCGGCTTACGGCACAATGAACATGACCCGCCGGGGCATCTACAGCTGCCCGGCTTACTCCATGCAACTGAAAACCAAAGAACTGACCAAATTCCGAACGCCTGGAGCGGGAACTTACGCCACGGAGCAAATACCGCCGATGATGCACACCAGACCGCCGGAATACTCCTTGCGCTTCAGGCACAATCCTCCCAAACCCACCATAACCCCAGGACCAGGTACCTCGAACTCCAACTCCTTCATTTCAGGTTTCTAACGCGTCTAATTTCACAGGCAAATACGCGGCTCCCACGTGCATAGGGCCCAAAGTTCCGGATAAAATGTCGAAGGCCGCGTACAGCATGTCGTTCAAGCACTATCTCAGAGACCTGGAGCGGTCGCCGGGTCCGGCGAACTACCCCTTGGTCGACGTGAGATTGTTCAAGCTGAGGTCGCCCGATTACTCCTGTCCCACGAAAGTGTTCCCGCCTCTGCCTAAATCCGTATCGCCGGGTCCCAAGTACTTCCCCACGCTGCCCGAGGTGCCCGGGTACTTCATTGGACTGAGAACCGACAACGATCCTTACATTACGGCCGAAGACGAAATTCCTTGCATGCAACGGAAGCCGCTTCCCAAGAGCCCGGACGCGGAGAAACTCGGTTGAGAAAACATTGTGGGGTATTTTGAATATTGATTTAAATTTTTTATTTAATTTCGAATATTGTCCTCAACATCTCTATTTTATACACGCATACAAGTTTAATACATTATATTTACGGTACGGGCGTTTGTTATTTCGTTTCGTAATTAGCTTTTTGCTGCAGGAGATAAATTTGAGCGAACTAAGAGTAGCGGTAGATAAGAGAATTCGAATTCTTGGACATATTTATTACCTCGCTCCTGTTTTTCCACAACGGAGTTTCCAATTTATTTAAAAAATGATTGAGATTTTTATTGTAAGGTTGGAAGTGTTGCTATTAAATAATTAGTGCACTGTTGACCCTGTCTAATGGAACCGTCAAGTAACCTAATGGGGTTATTTAATTAATAAAATCTTTTATCTAACCGAGAGATACGTTTACTTTACTGAGAGAGTCGATTTATCTACGTGAGTGAGCTATTTTTCTACCCAAGAGAGTAATAATTTATGTATCCAAGATTATATTAGTACAGTGAGTAGAGAAAAAGAGTCGATTATTATCTACTTTATAAGATCAATTAATTATCACCTACCTCAGAGGTTTATTGAATTATCTACAGGTAGATGAAAAATTGTTTGCAATATAGGTGTAACGAAAACAATTTCTATGAGACCCATATAAAAGAAAAAGAAAGAGTGATATTATGAGATTGCAAGTTTCTCATTTTAACCACTGTTAGTTTAATAATCTTTCTTTGTTCAACTCATAGCATTGACCATATTGCAAACAAATGTACACTCACCCATAGATGTATTAAGAGAACTGTTTAGTGTCCATTTGATGTTTTTAATAGATTCTAAATAGATTGGTTCATATTCAAGCACTCTAAATTGCCCAACACGATCAGTTTAATGCATTGTGAAGCATTCTAAATTGTTCATAATAGCTCTAATGCATTCTCAAACATTCGAAATTGTCATGGGCCAGTTCTAGTTCCTACATCCCAAAGTATTCTAAATTGTTTTAGATAGTTCTAATGCATCCTGGAGCATTCTAAATTATTCTAAAAAGTTCTAATGCGTCCTGAAACATTCTAAATTGTAATGAACAGTTCTAGTGCGTCCTGAAGAAATCTAAATTGTTCTAAATAGTTCTAGTGCATCCTGAAGAATTCTAAATTGTCCAAATAGTTTTAATGCATTCTGCAGCATTCTAAATTGTTATAAATAGTTCTAATGCATCCTGAAGCATTCTAAATTGTTCTAAACAGTTTTAGTGCATCCTGAAGCATTCTAAAATACCTTCTTCACTCTAACCACTATTATTACAATAATCTTTTTTTGTTCAACTCAGATTTGACCATATTTCTAACTCTTGAATACCATAAATAACTCTCTTTTGTACACAAATTAAATTGTATTAATAAATGAATCAGTTAGTTGGACTCTGTATACATAAATAATCTCTTACATAGGTAAATAGCTCTATTAGATAAATAAATGAATTGATAGATATGTAAATTGAAAGAAAAATAATAAAATGACTCATATGTGTGAAAAGATATGTAAATGGTGAACTAAATAATCATGTTGCTTAGATTTTAACAGGTCTGCTCTAAGGGTCTATTAGACCTCAAATCAAGTCTACTAGAGTCTTCTAAACCCCTAAAAAATTGCATAATACTCAGAATATAAAATCCCAATCATTTATAATTACCCGGTGCTACCTATTACAGATATAGAAACCTCATCTATTTATAATAGCCAATTTTTTCGTAGGTACTAAAATTAGATTTCCACTATTTTGTTAGCTATTTTAATTCCCATTGTTTTCGTCTACGCATTTATTTAATAAGAAACTATCCACTATTTTTTGTACATACATATGTATAAAATCCAAACTTAAAGGCAATCTTTTACACTATTGTCATATTATAAAATCTCCCTTATTTAAGAGGCAATATTAATTTTAATTATAAACTTAACGTCGACACTTTTATTTAAACACTTTCCGTTACAAAAGAGGCGATAAATCAAGCGGGAAAGTTGTTAATTAATTGCGGAAATTTTTGCACAAATAAATTATCGGTCCGGGAAGTTTCGGGAATCGTTATCGAGAGTGAAACGCTTTGAACGTGTTCCACTTTCGCCCCTAAAATTTAAGTGACAAACGCAACAGGCAAATCGCCGATAATTCATTCGCAATTAGCGAATCGAAGAATTTTTGTCGTGTAAAAGATTACCTCGTGATGGCCAGTGTAAATACACAAACACATGTGGCACACGCACATCTAAACCGACACCAAAATCAAAATCAAAAATTTTTCATCTACCTTTCTCTCATCCATACCAACTCCGGGTGGTTGTGATGAGTTACAAATAAGGGCCGGAGGTCAAGGTCGCAAATCCTGGTCGCATAAATAAACACAAACAAAAAAAATGGGCAAAGGAACTTTCACAGTCGAGGGACGCCAAACGGGAACCGAGCTGCGGTTCTTTGTTCAACACCACGACGGGCTGATGATGGTCCGGGCATGTTAGGTCGAAACAGAGAGGTTATTTATGTGAAAAAACAAACGGACGGTGAGACGCCGACGAGCGTGAGCGACCACGCCGTTGAAGGGATCGAAAATAACTGGCTTTCATTTTCGGGTTTTAGGTTTTCCTGCAGGATGGGAATGCGCGCTGTTGCCAACTCCGAAGGGGAGTCGATAGGACACGGATTAATTGTGGCAATCTCATAATAGAAGGCATTTTTTTCAACGAGTACTTTACATTTTATTTATGCACTACGTTTATTACCTAACTTTAATAATATTCTAGTAGTTTGCACTTTCCTCGATTTAAATTAGGAATTTATGACTTTAGCTATAGTCTTGCTGTACGTAGTCATGCTGTTGTTACACATAATAAAATATTAAATGAAATTATGTAGATATATTGATTGCCACAATTTTTTACTATAAATATAGTTTTTAACGAGGAACTTCCTTCATAGTATCCCTTCATCCCTTCATCCCTAATAATTATACGTTGCCTGGATGTAATTAGTGATGAATTCATTAACATTTCGATAACTTCTATTTAGTTGAAATTAACACGAATTAAAATTTAATTAAAAAATTACAGTCTCACGAATTACACCAATAATTAACTAAAAAGCTGGAAATGGCCCAAAAATAGAAGCAACTAGTCGAAACCACTGATTGAATAGTGAAAATAAATGAAAATTTGTTTTAACCAAACTGTATAAGTCATAAACTGCAGTAGTTGAATAGTTCTTTTTCAAAATTCTTGAGTGTTCTTCGAAATATACTCCTTTTGAATCGATACACATAGTCAGGCGTCTTTTCCAATCATCGAAACATTTTTAGGCCCTTTTTGATACGGCTTTCAGCTCCTTCTGCGAATTTTCTTTGATGGTATTTATGGAGTGAAAAAAAGGATTCTCGAAATGGCAATTTGAGTTTGGAAACAAAAAAAATGTCGCACAAGGCTATATACATATGGTGACTAAGGCGGCTGGTCGATGGTACTTCACACGAACCAACATGTCTATATCGACCAGTTGACGATATCGTTTTTGAAGGAGACTCAGCTCTATCGGTACGAGCGGAACCTCAATTCAGCATGTCTGATTGAATGATGGTTGAAGAGGTCGAAGACCATCCAGAACAAGACAAGTCTTTAGCGACCTGCCGACTGTCTTTAAAAGTTTTGTACCATTCGTAAATATAGGTTTTCGATAAAACAAAGTCACCTTAAGCATTTGCATCGATTCGGCATACGAAATTCCGTTCAAAACCCAAAATATGAGACAAATTATTTCTTCATTATTTTTGTCCATTGCAAAATTCGCAGAGCACTACTGAGATGAACTGATTCAATCAGCTGTTACAACTAAACTGTTTAAGAAACCTCTCTAATTTTTTGCATGCTAATTAAGAACAGTGTTACCTACATACAGAAACTTGGAATAGTTAAAAATATTAAGTGCAGGTAATTTAAATCACAAATTCCGGGTACTTTTTTTGTGAGAAAGTACTCGTAGTCTCTAATACCGGAATTTTCAGGGACGTGGCAACGTCGCGATGCACCGCCAGTGGAGGAGGAGGAGAAGAAGAAGACAGAAGGGAACGAACGGTAACTGCGAGAGCGTTCAGCGCGATTCTGGATCAAAGAAAAACAAATGCCGATTATGTTGTGCAGGTCGGTTCGGGTATGTGATGTGGGTTTTGTCATTTTCCCTCGACGTAGCGGAACAAAGGCGGCCTCTGGGCTGATTTTAAGCAACAATTTCGCTTTACGCTTGCATCAAAAATTAATCCTCGACAAAGTTTGTGGAGACCTTACCGTAGCGTCTCGCAAAAAATATTTTACCTCCGTGCCTGCTGGTAGCTGTAAGGTATAGATTTATGTAAGCATCATTATGCCATTCGAGCTTCGTTTTCCGTCTTATCCTTTTAATTTATTTTCGCTGCAAATGAGGTTTTCATTGATCCAGGATGCATTTATTATCTTCCCTATCTATTGAGCCGGTCGGATTGCCGGTTGGCTATTCATAAAATTCGTGCATTTTTCATTATTTTTCATTTTTCATTAGATGTTCCAGATATTCTCCTACTAATTATGCTTTTGTACGGAATTCGTATGGTAACCAAGACGGATTTAATTTCAGGTACAGAAATTCCTGTCGCGATGTTAGTAATACACAAATCATCCATTTGAATCAAAATTTTTTAAATTACACAAGGTTTTGTGTAATAAACTAAGGATAGTTAGAGTGAGATATTTTGAATTAATGAACAAAAATTTGTAGTAATCAAAAAAGCTAGTACGTCACATATCCGAAATATACTAATAAAATCATTTTTTGTTTTATTGAAATTTAATATCTATGTAATACATAAAAAGAAACTACAAATTACAAACGATCAGCATTAAATTTTTGTTTTTTTGTAAACAGGTGTCCTAGCACACCATTTAGAACTGTCTAGAACCATTTAGAGTGCTCCAGAATCATTTAAAAGTAGATCAATCTAGAACGCTCCAGAACTATGTAAAACGTTCCAGAACCATGTAGAAAACTCCAGAAACAATTAAAACTATCTAGAACCATTTGGAACTATTTAGAACCATTTAAAACACTCCTGGATCATTTAGAACTATGTAGATCAACCTAGAACGCTCCAGAATCAATTAGAACTGTCTATAACCATTACGAGCACTTTAGAAACATTTAGAAATGAGTGGATCAATCTAGAACGCTCAAGAAACATTTAGAACTGTCTAGAACCATTTAGAACGTTCCAGAACTATTCAGAACTGTCTAGAACTGTTTAGAACACTTCAGAAACATTTAAAAATATCTAGAACCATTTGGAACGCTGTCAAATTATAGAATTTTGAAATTTCCTTCACGTATAAATTCGCAATAAGATTATTTATAATGCCAAGTGCTATATGATTTTATGAAATTGGCTTGTGTACTCGCAACAAACTAATTTGTCAGCTGTCGTGTCGGTCTTCTATTGTTGAAAGATAAATGGATAAAACGAATGGAAATACATACCACTATAATTTGAATCGGACAAAAGTCTTTTTATCAAACGTCTCATCTACTAATTTTATTACCAAATTATTTTCCCGTAAGTCCTTTATACAGGGATCCCTAATGGATCAGCAATTAGTTACAAACAGGAATTAATTACAAATACTTTTTAAGCACTACATTCGATAATTACACAGGGTGTAAGAAAAATTATACCACATATTCTGTGTTTAAATGCTTACTGAAAATCGATTTTTCGTTTTATATGTTTTTAAAAGCTATGTATATTACCTATTATGTTTAATATGTGATAAATAGCAATACATTTCCATAAACTTTAGCATTTGCATCTGAAACAGAATAAAAGTTTTAATAAAATGCTATTCAAACGTGGCTAATGCACTGTAAATTTACGGTTTTAACTATTTTTGAAGCAGATCTAAACATAAATAATACCCTGGTATTTAATTCATACAATCATTAAAACACTTGGAACAATTCCGAGCACGAAAGCTGCATAAGTTTCATTAAAATTATCCACTCAAGCCTACAAGCACATTCTCTAACCTTTTTTTGTCGTAAAACCGAGTAGAAAATCACAAAAACAAAATTAGCTAGTTATAAAACGAATGTTGAAAAATTATTACAAGAAAATGAGGTGTTTCTTTAAAGATAAGAAGAATTTTAAGAGATTTATGAACATCAATATTTCTTATTGGATAAATTATTACATAATTTTTAAAATCATTTGACTTTTCCCTATACAGTTTTTTTTCGTTACACAATTTGTTATTGCTTTTAATGATAAGATATCCACACAGTGCAGTATGTGGTGCCCTTACACTCGGCCATAGTTAATCGTATATACAGGGTGTCTCATTTAATCAGCTTATAATTTTTTAATGTCTAATCATAAAAACAACATGCGGTTTTCTTTTGTTATAATAACTAGTGTTATTACCAGTACAGAATGTTTTAACAAAATCTCCCCTTTTCGATTCATATTAACCAAACTTTATCAAATAGAATACCTTCTTTTTGGATAAAGGTTCTTTTGGTTCTTTTTGGGTATACCTTCTGTAGGGTAAAATTCACCTGTTTTGACCTTTATTTCAAAATTTGAACAAAACTCGAAATATTTAATGGTGCAAATTTTAGTTGGGACACCCAATATTCAGCACGTACTACTTGTTATCCTCTTTCTAAGCGCGTAGCCGGGCGATTTGTATTAAGTGTATTAAGAATTTCCTTTCCTCAAACGAGGAATTAGTGGCTATAGACTCGAATTGTGCGGAGTTTCACGCCTCTGCAAACGGGCGCTACTAATCTTTTATTAACTTCTCCTCTCTTACCCCAATTTCGGGATGTTTACGCGGCCCGTTATCGAAATTGACTAGTAAAAGGTTTATCGAAATTTCGAGTTTTACGGCGCCAAGCGACGTAAAATTCTTTACTGTTAATCGAGTTTTTTATTGTAATGAGCAGACGTACTTATGTATGTAGCGATAAATATGCTAATGCTTAGCTTTATTATTTCAAAGGGGTGTTGTAAAAATTAATATTATTCAGAATATACAAAGACTATTTATTAAAAAAATAAAATTCAAATGTTCGAATGAATTTAAATATTCAGGAGTGTATCAAAATTATTATGGAAAATTTGCCCTTTTTAAGTGGTCTTAAGTTTTGGAAATACAGCCACATCAAATTCTAGCATTTTTGCAGCAGATATTATTCTACCGTGTTGGAAAATTTTTCGCGCATAATAGGGAAATCAATGTTAAATTCTTAGCCGGCTGAAATCCAATCTACCAGTGTACATTTCAATAGAACGTCGCGATCAATTCTAATAAATTTAATTGTTCTACTGGACTTCACACCGCGCTTTGGCTTGGTTAGATTAAAAATCAAATAATTTCGACGGTTTCAACACTTCGACAGTATCAAAACGGGTTCGGATGGGTGAACGTCGAGTCGATTACAAAAGAATTGAGAATTTTTAAACGATAATTTATTGAAAAAATATCACTAATAATAAAATAGAATTATGTAGATATGTCTTTTTGCCACAATGGCTTGAAAAAGAAAGTAAATTCTAAGAAAATAATAAAAAGAATACTCCAAAAATAAACTTAAAGATTATTTTAAAATAGAAAATAAAAGAACTCTAAAAAAAAGTCCACCGCTTTCTGCTAAACAATAGCCAAACCTGTCATACAGATGTCATCTCATATTACTGAGCTGAGGTGTAATTTTAAGAAAATTGAATTATTTTTTCCTTATTTTTCCTTATTTTAACAAGATTTGTTGCTATTTCAAAACTGTACCTACCGATACACACATTTTTTTGAAATATCCCCAAAAAACCTATTAATTGTAGTTTCTAAATAATTTTGTACCTCATACCTAACACAAATAACTTTGTACCTCTACAAATCGCGGCGTGCGGTCCAGTAGAACAATTAAATTTATTAGAATTGATCGTGACGTTCTATTGAAATGTACACTGGTAGATTGGATTTCAGCCGGCTAAGAATTTAACATTGATTTCCCTATTATGCGCGAAAAATTTTCTAACACTGTATATGAGTTAATACAAAGAATATGCAAGAAGAAACTACAGCCACTTCAAAATCTAGCAATTTTGCAGCATGAGTTTCTAGCAAATGTGTTACAATAATATCTGGACAATTACACAATCACGAATATACGATAGTTTATAGGCTATTTTCTGATAAAATTTTTAATTAGTGAACTAATGAAATTTGTTTTAATAGTTTTAATGAAAACTCCTTCAATATTTTCCTTATACCGCTAGAATTATCAAGCGAAACTTAACTTTTAATTTACCTTGATTTTAATTTGATTGACGTTCAATTGACCTTAAACTTACTAAAATGAGATTAAAATTTTCGACCGTAACTTCATAAAAACCTCATTAAAAAACTTGGATAACTAAGCGACTAATTAATATACAAAAAAAATAGTGGAAATGAATTAACTACAATGTTTGCCGTCCTTTATATCACAAATTCCCATTTTTTCTCTTCCCAAAACACCGACCCATCTCGTGTAAACCGTTTTAAGCGTTAAATTTCCGCTCTAGTTCATCTCTAATACACAAAAATAACCCAGTAAGTATTTATTTAATATGCGAGAAACACTGATAACCCGCATCGGGAGCGCTCCGTTCGTTCGCGAAAGCCCAGTCACTTTTCGACCGGACGCCGAAAAATCCATAAAGGGCATTTTAAGTTCGAGCGATATCCGCGTTTCGGTGGAATTGTGTCCGAACAGGCAGTTGGATAAGGAACTGCTCCTGCAAATACCCTGCAGGTTTTGCGCGATCACTTGGTTTTCTCCCTCGGCTGATCAATTGGAGCGCGTCGATAAAATACCAGCGATAGTATTAGCTAGAGAATTGAAGCATTTCGGCTTGCCGGTGTTGTTGCATTTGGCCGGGAGGAATTTAAGGAAATTCGAGGTGCTCAAAATACTGGGGACTCTGAAGAAGTACGGAATTCGGAATATCTTCGCGTTACAAGGAGGTGAGTTCGATGAAAGTCCATACTGTATAGTGATAGACAGACAATTAAACATTTTTTTAATTTTTATTAAACATGGCATTATTATTAAAGTTTGAACAGGCTCAAAACATTTTAAGAACAGAAAATATTATTTTGATAATTTTTCTACGACGATATTATTACGAAGTTCATTAATATATTGAATCATAACATCCGATTATCTTAAATCATAATAATTTAATCTGCTCTCCCTGAAGATAATTCTTTAACAAAATTACCAATTAGTTTTTATTACAAAGTAAAGTTATAGGATTTCAAAGTGGAGTTACAAATTAAAAAAAATAATACCAATCTCAGTAGATAGTACTTAAACTTGAAACAACAAAATTTGGTTGGATCAATTGGTATATTCTAAGGGGTTCATCAGAGAATGATGCTCCCTTAAAATAAAACAGAATATTTTACCTATAATTTCGAATTTTAGATGCCTCTCAAGTTCGGGAAAAGGACGACAGCAAATGCGACTTTCCCTACGCCGCCGATTTGGTCGATTTCATTCGATCCTGCTACGGGAATTTCTTCACCATCGGCGTCGCAGGATATCCGGATGGCCATCCCAACTCCTTCAGCAGGGAATCGGAAATGGAGTTCCTTAAAGCAAAAGTAAGGGAGAGTGCAATCTTTTAAACTAGGTAAAATAATCCTTAAACGGACATCCTCTAAGGGAATTTATATTGATGCATTGTAAATAAATACCTGGCATGAATCTTGATAAAGTCAATTGTATAAAAGGGGGCTATTAAGAGCTATATACCTACGGCATCGTTTGTGAACATTACACACCGTCATCTTTGAAGTTTCCCTTGTTATACCGCTTCGCCATCTGCCCCCTTACATCTCAACCTAGCTTTTTAATGACCTATTAAATTATTCAAAGCGTTGTGAAACTAGGATCCTCGCAAAGCATGTTCGTTTTCAAAGAACAAAAAAACCAGTCGTATTGCAGCAGATAAGAAAACATAGCATGCAGCCCAATTAAGTTATGAACAGAAATGGATTTTTTACAAAACATAAAAATGGAACAGATTACACTATAAGTTTTTGTACACTTTTTTAGTGCACGACATAAAATCAACGTTTTGTAATATACTTTGGTTTTGCTTATTAATATGTCGTCAAAAAAATCCAGCACTTCTAGTTTCTTTAATTTGTACAAGGTCGTCATTTCGGAGCGTTATAAACGGTTCTAGACTGCTCTAAATGATTCTGATGGAGCGTTCTAAACAGTTCTAGACAGTTATAAATGGTTCTAAACGGTTCTAATGGGTGTATAAGGAGACTATTAGACGTCCGACCCATTGCATAGATATTAAAGTCCAGTATTACAAATTATATTAATATATTTCGGTTATGTGACGTGCTAGATTTTTTATTACTACAAATTTTTGTTCATTAACCAAAATACATCACTCCCATTATCCCAAGTTCTTTGCCAAAACCTTGTCAACTAGTGTTTATTACTGATTCAAAATGTGCTGAAGATTGAGCCTTAGGCACGAAAGGGAATTTCGTAATGGTATGGAATTTAACACCCTAAAGGAGGTGAAAGTTCATCGAAATTTCTCTTGAATAATAAGATTTTTTATGAAACAAATTATAATGTTTCTGGAAGATATTAAAGAATTTTTCCTCAATTTTCATTGATTGCATCAACTTTTTCATAATAAACATATTAAATTTTTGTTTAATTATTTCAAGTACTTTAAAAGATATTTAAGGAAAACCTATTGCCTAGTGGCGCCTAGTGGCGCCCTTCTGGGACTCATATCTTCGTAGGGAGGGCCTGTAGGGAAAATTTAATAGGAACTTAATAGGATCTAATTTTTTCATGTTCTATATGGATCCGAGAGATTTCCCACACTTTCTGGGACACCCTGTATAAAAAGGATAGGATTTCTGATTTTGATTTACAGAAGAAGGGGCAGCAGTTAGGGAGGGATTAGGTAGGGTAGGAGGAGTAAGATAGGGTAGAAGGGAGTTGAAGAAGAGTAGAAGAAGCTAGGTAGGGTTAGAAGGGGATAGAGGATGGTGGGGTGGAGAGGTAGAATAGTAGTGAGGGGTAAGGTAGAGTAAGAGTGGGTAGGAAAGGGAACGTAGGTTTAGGGAGGGGAGCAACATATTTTACTATGCAAATTGAAAATTTTACTTTACTTTTACTTTACTTTACATTACTTCAAAATGCGTTTTTCTGAGCCTAAATAATTCACACCCTCATAAAATTTACATACTTCAGAAACACTTTTCCGCGCCAAAAACTCATCGTTCATACAAAAAAACCCCCTTCGTTCATCAATCAAATCAAACTTCCACGAAACCCTCCGAATAACTAGAGATCCTCCACTCTAAGTGATTACATAACAAAATTTCCCCCGTCATTTCCAGGTCTCGCGCGGCGCCGACTTCATCCTCACCCAAGGCTCCTACAGCCTGGCAGCCTTCACGAATTTTATCGAGCGCTGCCGATCGGCGGGCATTCGCGTTCCCGTCGTGCCCGGCCTCTTCATCATCAGCTCCTACGGGACCCTCGCGGCCGTTTCGAAGTTCTGCGGCGTGCCCGTCCCGAAGACCCTCCTGGAGACGGTCAAGCGCCTGAAGGAGAACGACCCCGCCGCCAGGGAGTTCGGGATCACCGAGGCCGGGGAGATGGTGAAGAGGATTCTAGCGAACGGGAATTCCTTCGGCGGAGTTCACGTGTTCTCCCTGAACAATTTGGAGTTGGTGAGGGAGGTTCTGGGTAGGGTGGGGTTCTACCCGGTCATAGAGAGGCCGCTGAAATTAAGATGCGATTAGGGATTAGGGAATTGTTTTGGTCTGTGGATTTTCCAGTGAATTTAGTGAAATTGCAACGACGCACGTGAAGTTGTATAGATCAAGAAGTTGAGCGATAAGTTTGGAGTTTTTAACGTGGCTCAAATCGGAATTTAATCAAGTGGGTTTCATAATTGTGGATTTCCTGTATTCGTAGATTAATATGGTTAATTGGGCGCAAAAGGGATTATAGATTTTAAACCTATGGGTAAATTGTGCGCTGATAATTAAAGGTTCTTTTAATCCGACAGGGCGCAGCGCCCCAGAAATAATTCGTTTGATGATTGAGAATTTTTATTTATAGCAAAGTGTATTCATGCACATATTCTCTTTTAATATAATAGTGATTATAACAATTAGAATGGCATTGCTCTGCTTCTACTTTGAATCTTCTCTACTCTTAATCTACTCCTATTCTGAATCTTCTCTACTCTTACTCTGCTCCTATTCTGAATCTTCTCTGCTCTTACTCTGCTCCTATTCGGAATCTTCTCTGCGCGTACTCTGCTCCTACTTATAGGATTAAAAAAACTCATTTAAGCTCTCAGGTAATAAATATATTTCTGCGTCCAATTTACCATTGCCGGATTAATTTCATAAAAATATCTGGAGTAATAAGAAAATTATGATAGTTTTTTTCTAAAATTGTAACACCCTTTAGCTCGAAAACTAAGAGGTTTAAGACATATATTGATATAAACAGTTCTTCTTAAAATCATCCAAATATTCACATCCTGAAGTATCGGCATTCAATTAATTAACACCCTCTATGTATACAGATAAATAAAAAGGTGGGTTACTTATTTTAATTTGGGTAGATTACATTCTGTGAAATTCAAACGACTAAATTTTCTACAATGTAAGAGTAGGTGTTTTGTAGGAGGAAATAACGAGAGTAATAAATAAAATTTATTATTTTTTTCGTCTTTATACAATTGGCCTAACTTTTTCATTTACAAAAACTATTCCTAAATTAGGTACAACAAAAAAAACGTAATTATTCTAATGTATGGATGACGAAATGAAATCGAATTTAAATATAAATTAAAACGGATTTAGTTTTCTGGCGATATAAAAATAATCTATAACCTCGCTAAAAATGAATGTATTTTTGTAATATTTTTATTATTAAACAAAAGTAGTAGCGAAAGTAGTATTTCTTTATAATCACAACCTAATGATTTTACGAGTAGAAAAATTATGGTCTAATGAAAATAATGGAAAAGAATCGCAAAATTCTGTAAAAAAATAACTAACCATAAATAAAAAACTTAACATACTGCTTTTGTACAATCGATAAATCATTCAAATTAAAATTAGAAAATAATTCGGCAAAAAATTGCCAGTAAAAAATATATAGCGTGCTCCAAAAAAAAATTTTTAATTTTCATAGTCAATCATCCCAGAAATAATTCCATTTACTATTCGAAACACATTCTGTAAGTAAACAGGTTTTGCTTCATACAAATTTCATAAAATACACAATAGCATCTGATCATAGTTTTACTAACTTTGATTCTCCATATTGACTGATGAATTGACATTTTCAAATTTTAATTAGATGAATTTTTGAAGTGATCGAGATACAAGGTGAGTACCTATAGTATTATTACCAATTATACCGTGTGACAATTTAAAAACTTACAGCGGGCTATATCTAACAAACGGAAGATGATATCAAAAAATGCTTAAAATCGTTTCGAAGAGAGAAAGGGGGAACTAATATGACATAAAAGAGAACTCACCCCCACCTACCACAACTAAAAAAAATTAAATAGGAAACCCCTACATGTGATACATCATTAAAAAGCTTACAAAAAATGTTACCCAATATTATAAATAATAATTGTATAGGGTGTATCAAAAATTACCAAATTTTCAATGATAAGTGTTCGTAGGTACTATTTTTATTAAATAAATTATCACCTATCGTTTGTGAGATATAGCCAGTAGATATATGTAGCAAGTTTTTAAATTGTCACACTGTATAACAGTAATATTGTATTAATTCTAATAATGTAAGAAGAAAATAACATCTTCTACTGAAGTTAAATATCATTTATTGGTGTTTATAAAAATATTATCAGATACTCCTCGTTACGCCACAACAGGAAGCGATAAAAACTAATAATTTAAATTAATTCAAAAACGACAGAAACACGACAAAATCAATCAGAATGATCTTGTTCAATTTCCACTATTCGTATAAAAACAATCATATTATCTACTGGTAACTAAAATAATACAACTATTCCAGTTTACAAAACGCTTAAATTCATTAAAAAACTCATCCATTCCATTATCACCTTTAGAGCTTTTTCACACTATGCAATATATTGCTGCAGTATTGCATTGCAGTTTTTATACAAGCGTTAATAAAAATAATCGTATCGAATAGGTGTGAAAACAGCGCATTTGAACGCTTGTATTTTAACTGGGATGCAAAAGATTGCAGCCATACATTACTGCAATATACCGAGCGTCCATGTTCGAGCGCTGCAATCAGTAGAAAGAGAGAATCAGTCGAACTGAGGAGAGGCGCGGCTTCGGCGTGATGAATCGGCGGACGAATGCAGGATTTCAAGGTGATCGCTCAATATATAAATTGCAATATATTGCACCGTGTGAAAAGGCTCTTATTAAATGAGCAACTCATACTAGAAAAAATTTTGGCATTTAGTAATTAGAAACGAAGTTATTTCAAACTCGTATCACCTTATTAACGTAAAGTGATAAGCTTAATGGTTCAAAATGAAAAAAAAATTAAAACTAAATTTCCAGAAAGAAAAATAATGTTCAACGCCCATCATACAGGGTGTATCTAAATAACACCTGAATAATTAAAGGGATAATTATTCAGTGGAACATCCTGTATTTGAAATGAAGTATATTAAATGAGATCATTAAACTTGTATTCCTTAATTTGCCAAATCAAAAATATTTTTTCGAAATTTATTACAAGAATTTTTGTGATGTAAAAATTAAAAAAAATTGTATATATTATTAAAAGGATTTTTTGTATTATTCTTCGCTCTGTCGGGTTAATAAAAACGATAAAAACTGCTGGTGAAAAAATTCCTTAAATATTCCCCAGACAAAGTCTTAAAATATGAAATGCAACAACAGTCAATTTTTTTTTCTTTTGAAAATGTCGAATTTTCTCAATATGAGAAACGTTCTGTACAAGGAACAGCAGATTGTTTTCTTCAACTTTTTTACAACAAATAACGATATAACATAAACTAAAATCCTCCACGATGTCATTTTTTCTTCAGTCTGCTCACTATCCATTCTAAACCTTGATACAACCTACAAAAAACAAAGTGAAAGAATTAAAATTAATCCGAATTACATAAGTTAAAATTTTTAAAAGTTTGTCATAATGTTGGACAAATATGACGACATTAGTGATGTGTATTGAAATTTGTTTTGCACAAACTGTATGTATATTATTAAAACTTATCCCTTCTAAATAGACAATGACAGAACTCACGAAAAACACACAGAAAAATAGGAAAAGAAAAAGCGGAATTTTGAGTGTAACGATATGGCAACAACGCATTGACATTTCAACCGCACATCGTAAAATTCCCCTAGTCAAATGACAGAATTAACATTTTGGCAACTAACTAAAAAATCACTAAAAATTACGTCACTCTTTTAAGATCGGATAAACTTTACCTACTAATAAATTAATGAAACGCCTTTCATCATTTAAATATGACCAACATCGTGTTGCGAATTAATATTATTATTCACATTGGCGTTTTTTTGTAAACAAAATAATCAGTGAATTGTTAACATTTTCATATTTTTGATACGTTCACAAAGAAATCCTTGAAATATGTTAAATTCGAGATTAAAATTTTAAAAATTAGGCGTAACTTAAATAGCAAGAATACATTTTTTACACTTTTAAAAATTTTTAGATTAAATATTCATAATAGAAATGTTAAATAACTGCCATTGTTTTATAATTATTAAAAGTAACTATGGAATATTTAATGCCTGTTATGAAATCGACCCTTATAAAGGACATTTTATCTAATACCTTCCTTTTATCGAAAAATTATAACCCCTCGTTTGACCCTTTACTATGAAATCGACCCTTAAAGAACACTTTATCCTAAAGATTCCTTTATTTAAAGGATGTACTTCACCGCTTTATTATGAAATCTGTCCATATGCCTTCTTGATACTGTACTTTTTCTAGAATGTAATCGAACGATAAATTAATGATAAATTCCACGTACCCTTCACCCGTAAGGGCGCAACAAGACTGGATGTGCCATTGTTGTTGTTTAATCGAAGTTAAATCGAGTTCTTTGGATATTTCCGACGCCGACATCGAGCCTTTTACGTCTTGTTTATTCGCGTAAACTAGAACACCTGCTTTCGAAAGTTCTTCATTTGCTAGCATTTTGTACAGTTCCTCCCGTATCATCGACAATCTTTCTTTGTCCGTCGAATCCACAACAACTATAACGAACTGGAACAAAGAAAATATTTAATTAGTTTACATTTGATGATTCTGCAGCATTCTAAATAGTTCTAGACTGTTCTAAATAGTTATAGATAGTTCTAAATGGTTCTAGACAGTTCTTAATGATTCTGAAGCATTCTAAATAGTTTTAAATGGTTCTAAACAGTTGTAAATAATTCTGGAACGTTCTAAATGGTTCTAAACAGTTGTAAATAATTCTGGAACGTTCTAAATGGTTCTAAACAGTTCTAAATAATTCTGGGTCGCGAAAACGATCCAAAATCATTGGAAAAAAACAAAATTTAATGCTCACCATAAAACAAATAATTTTATTAGTTTACTACGGTTATGTGACGTGGTAGATTTTTTATTACTACAAATTATTGTTCATTAATCAAAAAATACCTCACTCCCATTATCCTAAGTTCTTTGTACAAAACCTTGTAAACTAGTGTTATTAGTGAATACATGCATATTTTATTATTTCTTGGACTTTTAAGAAACAAGTATTTCTTAATGTCATTTTACAAAACCGTGTACTAAATTTAGATTCATAATTTATTTATAATCATACTTTATATTATTATTTCAGTTTAAAGAGGATTTTATCTAATCGCTCGTGTATACAACTTTTTAGTGTTTATTACATTTAATAACATCAATTTCATAAGTAAATTTAAGTATGTGTGTGATATTTCATTCAAAACAAACTTCTAAAAGGAATAAACATTGTCTGCTGGTTATGATTAATGGGAAATAAAAAGTAGGTATATAATTTAATTATTACTAAATTATTGATATAAAACGTAATGATCAACAGACATGTTTTAATTAAAAAGGACGAATCGATAAATAAATGTTTGCAATTACCAATTGACAAAAATAATATTCCTGAATTTATTCTATGAGAATCTACTACATGCATTCCGAAAACTGGTATTTACCAAATAACAGATTGTTATTCATTAAATAAATTTACTTAACACTTCTAATACTCAAAAATAAACAATCAATACATCCTCTCTAAATTTAGAAATGGATAATAACATTTTTAGTTATGCGATAGTGCAATTATTAACAACGCACCGGGATAATTACTTTTTATAATTACCTTACTGAATTATTAATGAACAATTCAATCGACTACTTGTCACTATAGCAAAGGAATTTCTTTCGGACTATTTTGAAATTTTTGAAAATTTGCAAATTTTTGATGTTGTATAATAAATTGTATATTATACGTTGTATAATAGATTGAAAGTAGATTCAGCGTCTAGTAGAGTAAAATGCAGAGTAGATTCAGAGTAGAGTAGTTTCCGAATAGAGTAGAGTAAATTCAGAGTAGATTCGGAGTATTCATTGTTAAAAATAAACTGTCAAAGGTGTTTGTTTTCATGGCTTACTTGTTCAAAAAATGAGTAATTCACTTTGAATTCTAAAATTACAATTTTGGCACAATTTAGAAATGTGTGCAAGTACAAATAATAATATAAACATACTAATATTACAAAGAAAAAAATAACATAAATTATTCTACTAAATTTTCTTTATTTTTTTTCAATTTTTTCTACGAGTGCAGACTATTTTAATTATTTTTTGGCTATTATTAATAAATAGTCTTTAATATAACCCTCACAGAGTCCAACAATTAAATGTTTAAAACATTTTGCGTCCTCAGGTCTATCACATTCGAGTGATTTAAAATAGTTTATGAATTCTAAATTTAGATTAAAAAACCGCTGGCTTAATAACATTTCCCATAGCTTAACAGCTAAAATCACATGAATGTAGAACAAAGAATTTTATGATGTTTACTTTATATAAATTATAATCGTAAATGATAGAGAACGCTGTTCGAATTTTTATTAAGCATTTCCTACCATACGGAAACAATGAAATCAAGATTGTGAAATAACGAACAAATATTGAATAAAATTGCGCCAAAGAATAAAAAATGAATTTAATAATTCATGTGAACCAACTACAATCTAGAAATATCAATAATTATCTATCTACCTATTGCCTTATATTATTGACAAGTTTCCATATTTACGCTACTTTTTCTTGAAGCTACAAACCTCTTATCTAAAATCTATCAAATTTACAGTTCTCGTAATCAAATTAACGAGTTTTAAACCTGCATATGGTAGTTAATATCATTGCATAATTAGACCATTATTTAGAAATTCAATATAGTAGGTCAGCCAATATATTCGATACAAAATAAAACATTTCAAGGTTTTCCTATCCCAAGAAGTAAACACCTCTTGTGCGTCATTTTAGCATAAATATTTTATTGGCCATGCTTGAAAATATCCCGAAAGAAATTCCTTTAACAGTCGATTGAATTGTTCATTAATATTTCAGTAAGGTAACAGTCAATTACATAAATCATAATTACCCCAAGGCGTTGTAAATAATATTTGTTCTTGCTTCGCATATTCGTGCTTCAGGAAATTCTTGTTTGGTAACCTAATAGAATTATTATACTTTGATCTAATGGCAATATTTATTTATTATAATTATCATATTTCTTGTTTGGGCCATTACTTACGGACCACCCTGTATACTCTATTTTAACTACATGGAACTGTTTAAAATTATTTATGATTGTACAAAATCGTTTTGAACGATTTTAGAATTCACTACTATCATTTGAAACAGTTCAGTAATATTTTAGAACTGTTCAAAATCATTTGGAATTGTCCACAATCATTTTAAACGATTATAGAAGTGAATTAGGTCCATTTGTAACAGTTCAGGGCTATCTTATTGCATGAACTACTATATTATACTCCTACTCTACTCTCTACACTCTCTATACTCTATACTCTCAACTCTCTGCTCTACACTTTCTCTACTCTCTATACTCTATTCTACTCTATGACACTCATTTGGAAACATGAATCGCCTACAATATCAAGAAAACTTAAGATAAATTGGGAATAAAGGTATGAACAAATTTGTATTAATTCAAAGTAGGAACTATTATAATTCGAAATTCATTTCAACAGGAAATTATTAGGAAATGAACTTGTTTGTAAATATCAGATTATTTTAAAAACTATACATGAGGTTTATGCTAACAAAGAATGATAAAGAACTACAATGTAGATTGTAGATTAACCTGTTTGTAATGATACTGTTAGAAAAACAGTAAAATTAGTGGATTAGCTCTTACCTCTGTATTTGTGTAATAAGTACTCCAAGCTGCCCTTAGCGATTGTTGCCCCCCCAAATCCCACATTATAAAATGGATATTCCTCCAAACGACTTCTTCCACGTTTGAACCTATGGTAGGGCTCGTATGGACCACTTCGTTCATTAGAAACTGGTACAATATAGTCGTTTTCCCAGCATTGTCCAATCCTACTATCACTATTTTATGTTCTGAAACAACCACAACAAAAATACTTAGAAATAATCAAAATCTAACCTCGAAATTCGCTTACCTTCATTGCCAAAGAGGCTCCACAGTTTGGCAAACAGCAGTCCCATTATTCAATTGAGGAATTTCGATCTAAATATGTCGTTTGTTCGATGAATAAGACACTAAAAACAGTTCAGAAAAAATATTTCAACACTTGTTTCGCTGCTTTGCAACCGAGTCCTTTGTAACATTATTCAACGAAAATATATCACAAATATCACTTTTAATTATTTAATTAGATCAGAGAAGAGAGTGACCTGATCGTCATCGCGAGCTTAAGTGGTCATGCACCTCGACCGCCTTGTGAAAGCTCATTATTTAAAAACGGAATAGAAATGAGAAAATCATATGGAATGACGCAAAGTCTAAATATGACGCGCCTTCGTGTGACGTCACAATCACATGAAATGCCAAACAAAAATAATTTCAGTTATCTATCGAATTATGCAACACTCATTACAGATGTTGCGATTTATTTTAAAATCATTTCTTTTTCTGTGATAAATTAGCTCTAATGGAACTTGTATTTATCGCACCTATAGCTTATATAAACTATGTTGCTATGCTATCTAACTTCATAGTATAGAAAAATTGTAGAAAATAGATTTTTGTTCATTTTTTTATTAAAATACAACAAATAAAATTAACTTTTACGCTTAAATATTAGCAATTTTCGATCCCAAGCGTTTTTATCACTTTCAAATAATTTAATCATATTACAATCGTTTGTTAAAATGGTTTGAATGTCACTTTCGATGTTTTCCCTAAGTTTCAGTTTACCGAATTCAGGAAATGTGAAGTTATTTTGTTTCATTCGTTTTACAGCGGTTTTATAACATTTCCACGGTTGAGCTTCTAACACTAGTGTATCGGTAACAGAGCATAAATATTTTAAAAACGATTTCAATCCTTCATCACCGTAATTTAAGTGTATCCACATAGAGGTGGAAAAACAGAACACTATAGAAAATCTCTCTTTTTCCTTGGACAATAAGAAATTATTTATTATCTCATTCCTCTCCGATTCGTCCATTATATCTAAACATGTAAAAGTCACGTTATCTGCTGCGAGCTCTTTCGCTCTGTCTATTAATAGAGGATCGATGTCGATACCTAGTATCGAGGAATCCTTCGATGAACGATTCAATAAAAAATCCCTTAAAGCGACGGTTAAATTCTAAAAAATAATACATAAAAACGTCGATATTTACACTTATTAATAGCTATTTATTTACCCCTGCATTACAACCTACATCTAGGGCAATGCAAGTACTTTCGATGTTCCAAATATTTTCCGGCAGCAACTTTATCCGATCATCCGGCGAATGAAACTGATAATAATTTATAAAATTACCGAATTGGACAGCACCGGGATTTCCTCCTTTGAATTGTAGCCTGTTAGGATCATTACACATTTTTTGTATGATTTATAATACAATATTTTTGTATCTAGTGTTTACTTGGTAATGTTTACATGTGAATTTGATCAAACAACCTTGAACTTTCTTCTATATCTGAAGACTTTAACAACAAGGTTATTCGGTTCAATTCTTGGTACCAGGTCACAATGAATTTCCTCAATTCTACAAAATCTGCCTATTATGACTTAAAAGGTGGCTTGTGTGAGGTGCTCATATGTCGTATATTCACAAAATGATTATTTTATGCTCCTAGTGCTCATGTCTACTTGAGCTTATGCAACCCAGATTACCATAACTATCATTTTCGCAATCCCTATTAACAATTCGATGTAGTTGTTTCCCAAAATCCAGACTTTATGGAATACAAATCTCAAAAAAGTATAAGGAATATCGTCTACAATGTTTCATAATACGTTTCTATTATCTACAGCTAGACTATGAAGGATTTTGGTATTCTTCCCTTAAAAAAAACTGAAAAATGTGTACCTTCAAATGCTTGAAACTTCGTTACTTTTGAATAGATCTTCAAAAAAAATCCCTTTATGGCTTAGAGTAAAATTGGGTTACCAAAACTCAACGCCCCTCATATTTTAAAATATTCTAATACTTTTAATACTGGAACGGTTTTTAATTTTAATTAAGATCACAACCAAGAAGGTGTTTCCGTTAATTTCAGGAAATTTGTCCACTTTTCCGAGCTCATATTTATAGCATAAGTACATATTTAGTTGTTTTGTAACAAAACTTTTCTGTTTTCTTATGTTTCATACAAAAATGTCGCGATTCGAACATTTACCGACTAATCTTCGAATGATTCCAAACTTGTCATGAACGTTTCTTCAGATGTAATTATATCTTGGCCCTGTTGTTGAGAAGGTACGTCTACATGTACATCTTCAAATATCACATTCATTTTAATATAATGAAGATGTTCGCAAATTATGTGCTTGTTTAAAAAGTCCGAACAACTGCAGATAAAGCACTGAACACATACGTTACATTCCGAGCATTTTATGTTGCAACATGTATGGTTATTATCTCTTTTTAGATAATATTCGGTGTTGTCTGAGGTGAGTACTAAAAAAATATCGTCAACTCCGACTGTATAAGCAGCAGAAAGAGCAATTTGATGACGTTCACTTGTCGTTTGCTTATGTTTCGATGGATTGCTTTTGTACAGTTTTATACACCTTTCTGCCGTTTTATCTCTGGCTAATTTCATCAAAGCTTGCATCGCTTGATCCAAGCAAATTGTATTTTCACCTTCTGTGTAGGTGTTTTTGAAAATTTTACGAATTCGATCCGAGTGGGATGCTAAGTTGTTACTTATTACACAGCTCTCTTGATGACAATATGCCCATTTTTCCGTGCTTTGAGAGTAATTGGCGATGAAATAATTAGCGAATTCTTTGGTGTCATCATCCATTTGCATCGATTGTATTTCTTTGGCTAAATTTTCATCAAATTTTCTCGCGTCTAAAGTTTGTTGCAGTGCCTGAAAATACATAAAAAAAAACAAAATCTTTAAAAAACATTAGGCCGTATTTATAAAAAGAAGCATATAACCTTTCGCTTTCAAAAAATGAAGGAATTACTTCAAGTATATGCATAAAAAAAGCAAAGGAAGAAGTTTAGCTTCGAGGACCCTGCTGTTGCTTTAAAGCAAAATGTTTCGTGGCAAAGGTTTTAACTTTATTTAAGGCTTTAAGACCTATTTCTCTTATCTTTTGCTTCTACCTTTAACTTCAAAGTAAATGCTTCATTTTTATAAATATGGACTTTGCTTTGAACTTACTGTTAATCTTTTGTATATAATATCCCTCTTTTTGATGTTAAGATTTTTCAAATTATCTTTCCAATCTTTGCGAACAAACCAACAGCAGAATAAATGTTTCGTTTCTATCGTAGTCATCACTTTCATCCAAGCTCTATAAGTTGTTGTGTTGTGATATGTGATGAAATTCTTACAGTCTATAGTACCAACTTTATTTTTGAGGACATCGAAAAGAATCTCCAAAATTGTATCGTCGTTCCTATTGCTAAACATATAAGTCACCGGAAACCCTTCCATAAATTCATCGACAATAGAAAGTGTAGTCACTTCAAGGCAAGTATCGTAAATGCTTGTATCGACAGCGATGATGTTCGATCCAAACTGTCTCAACATTACTTCTTGAGATTTATTCATGAGAACTATGCAAATGTCCTCACATTTCAATAGCGGGTGTTCGGTATTTTGTTTCTTATAAAAAATAACATCACGATCTACATCGGTGTCAGCTTTATCTTCGTTTTCGTCTCCATTTGCAACGTTCAAAAGATCAGAAACGTTGACTTTAAACGTGTACTTAATTTTGTTGATGTCTCTTGGGGTAATTAAATCTACTCTTTCTGGTTTATCGACTAAAATAGAAACACTTTGTTATTGCGATAAAATACGCATGCTACTATATTGCTCGAATCAGGGGCGTAGCAACCGGGGATGCAAGGAATCACATAATCACATAATTTACGCAGGCGAATCTCTGGAGTCCCTGGACTCATAAAAAGACATCCATTGAGGAGGACTGAGTCCTTCATCGAGGGACTCGAAAAAGTACCAACGCCTTATTTAATACTTACCATTTTTATATACAAGGGAATAATACATGGAGTAAGGAGGGGCCTCTAAATCCAAGGATGAAGGTCATGCTACGCCACTGGCTCGAATGTAATACTTACTCTCAATATTGCTCCTGTATGAATCCAAAATCTTTGCAGGTGGTACACCTTTTGCGAGTTTGAGAGCTATATGTTTCTTCTCTACTTTGGTTAAGTGCAAATGTTCCAATTGTAAATCGTGTCCGTAATGAGTTTTGAAAAAAGTTACGTTAAAAAAATCGGTTTCTATGCATTTCGAAACCACTAATTGACTAGTACACGTTGTATTCATTATGTAAGTTTCATTGGATGTTGTACATTTTTCCGTAATTCTTGGTTTTGCAGCATTTCGAGCGCTTCTATTGCATAGGTAATAGCGTTTGTCGTAATGATTGTTCTCTAATATTATCCGTTTACTGGAACTTAAAACATATTGCGCTTTTTCGGTGTAAACTAAGTTATTTAGAAAGCTTTTAAAATCATCCTCTGAAGTAAACTCGAGTTCGGTACAAACCATCTCAAAGTTGTGCTTAGTTTGTAAGTGACTCCTCAAGTCGTCCACTAATTTAAACGAAACCTTACAACCTTCCAAACATTTGTTAGCGAAATTATTGTACGAATAACCTCTAAATTCGTCTATTTCGTGAACCTCACGTTGGTGCCTTCCCAGGGAACTTCTGCTACTGAACGTTTTATCACAAATATCACACTTGAGCGCCATAATCAATGTTGTTAATTATTGTTAAATCTTGTTTTCAGATTTGTTTACATAGCGAACAAATTCAATTTTATAGTTAGGTTAGGTTAACCTACTGCCATGAAGTTAGTCACAGAAACGTCGAAAGGACTATGACATTACGTTACTTCAGTTATGCATTGAAGTGTGAAGGTGTGGTGCACAGTGGTGGAATATTAATAGGTAGAAATATTAATAACCCACCGACAATTCTATTTATCAATCAATAAACTAAAATCTTTATTTTCATAATTAAAATCTTCTTTTTCTTTTTTTTGACAATTGACATTACCGACGAGACACTTGCGGTTTGTTGTGTTGTGTGTTCGTTGTTCGTGTTGTCTTGTGTCTTGTGTCCGCCAGATTGTTTCTTGTTCTGTCATACGAAAAGTGTAAGTGAGGTTATAATTTGTTGTAAAAGGCATTAAAAATGATATAAACCAACGTAAAAATCGCAAATAAATATGCCTGGTTGGTATTTTGATAAAAAAGAACTACGAAACACCCCTTCTGCCCAAGATGGCATCGACTACAAGACTGAAATGCGCTACCGCAAAGAAGGTAAGAATTCAGCTCGTTACTATTCAAACATGTTTCATTTTCGTATAATTTCGATTCAGGAGCCAGACTGATCATAAATACCGGTTCCAAAATGGACTTGGGATACAATACAATGGCAACCGGTGTGGTTTATTACCACAGATTCTACATGTTCCATTCCTTCAAGCAATTTCCCCGATACGTTACGGCCTGTTGTTGCTTATTCCTAGCTGGCAAAGTCGAAGAGACTCCGAAGAAATGCAAGGATATAATCAAAACCGCCAGAAGCTTGCTGACCGATCATAAATTCGCGACTTTCGGCGAAGACCCCAAAGAAGAGGTAATGACTCTGGAACGAATCCTTCTTCAAACCATCAAATTCGATCTGCAAGTCGAACATCCCTACCAGTACTTGCTGAAATACGCAAAGTGTCTCAAAGGAGACAAAGGCAAATTGCAAAAGATGGTCCAGATGGCTTGGACATTCGTAAACGACAGTTTATGCACCACCTTGTCTCTCCAATGGGAGCCCGAAATAATCGCTGTAGCCTTGATGTACTTGGCGGGAAAATTGAGTAAATTCGAAGTCGTTGATTGGATCGGCAGGAATCCCAAGCATTGTAGATGGTGGGATATGTTCGTTGAAGATGTAACAATGGATCTGTTGGAAGATATTTGTCATCAGGTACATTATATCCCTTATAATCATCGAGTTGAATTTAAGCATTTTATTGTAATTTTAAGGTGTTGGATTTATACTCGCAAGTGGACAGTGTTAATGCACCCGATAGCCCTCCGCTCGGCCAGCAAAAAATGCCTCCGATGCCTACAACGTCGAGACCATCCAACGGGCAAGAGAAACAGCCCTTGTCGCCGGACCAACCGCCTCCCGTCAACACGAAAATGCCGCCTCCGTCTGAGATACCACAGTTTCCTTACCAAACGTTCACCGGAGCGCCGCCTCCTATGCCAGGTTACCCGATACCTACGACGCCTTTTCCCACAGCGCCGCCTGTCGTGCCTCCCAGCCATCCTCCGCATTTGCCGGGGCCTCCTCCCGGGCCGCCCCCTCACATCGCCGCTCCTCCACACATCGGCGGGCCTCCGCCCGGCGTGTTTCCCTACGTCAATCATCCGCCGCCTATGATGCCGGTTGTTGCCTCCGGCGCGCCGCCGTTCTTTCCTCCTAACGCGCCGCCCCCTAATCAGCCCCCTCCGCACAGGCCTTACTATCCGCCGCCTTCCTGATTGTTTAGCGAGCGTAGATTTATAAGTGTAATATTAATTTGTGTAAGATGTGTGAGACGTGGTTTTTTTGTACATTTATGTAGGTTATTAGTGTAAGTGAGTTAACATGAAAACATGTTTTGTAATTTGTTCGTTTCATTTTATCTACGGGTACGTTTTATATGACAATAATAGTACCAGTTTCTCTTCATGGGTGAAGTTGGGAGAGCTATAACTTTACATAACGCTTCAGCACAGCCACATTATCTTATTAATTAGTAGAGCTTGGAAATTTGCACTTACATATGCGTTTATGCTCGATGAAAAAAAAATTGAATCTGGAATTAGAACTGTCTAGAACCATTTAGAATGCTTCAGAACTATATAAAACTGTCTAAAACCATTTAAAACGCTCCAGTTTCATTTAGTACAGTCTAGAATCATTCAGAATGCTTCAGAACCATTTAGATCTCTCTAAAACCATTTAGAATTGTCTAAAACCATTTGGAATTATCTATAATCATTTAGAACTGCCTAGAACCATTTATAACGCTCCGGAAACATTCAGAACTGTCTAGAACCATTTAAGACACTCCAGAGTGATGTAGAATGCTCCACAATCATTTAGAACTGACTAGAACAATTTATAGAACGCTCCAGAATCATTTAAAACTGTCTTGAACCACTTTACATGCATTTTGCATATTTTCCAAGCTCTATTAATTAGTAATTATTGTCCATTTTAACGAGTATTTTAGATAATTAGTCCACTCTTAGCCTGTCTCTAGCTCTTATGTGGATACCATTATAATGAAAAGATGAATTTTTAATGGCAGTTTATTAACTTTTAAATAATACAATTGCGTAAATACACGAATCACTTGCAAAAAATAAAATGGTATAAATAAGGCACTGATTCGAAAATCACAATAAAAAAATACATGTTACTTATTATTAAAAAAAACAATGTCAAATATAGCGTTGCCTAATGATTATTTACACAGCCTTAATAAAGTTCACGTTAATTCAATTTAGTCACATTTTAGTTGAACAAAATGTGCAAATATAAAATACATCCCTAATTTCAACAATTAATAAAATACTTATGTATGTAGAAAAAATATCATTCAGATACGGTTTGTATTTAAAGGCACGTTTAATATACGGATGTTCGACATTGCTCCGATAAAACTTAAATAAAAAAGCTTACTGACATGTTTCATCACATTTTCCGCTATAGAAAATTAGTATTAATGTCACTTTATAAAAATTCTCAACAATCCTTGAACACTCACGCTAAAACATTGTATGTATCTTAATTCTAAAAATACTACAAACATATCTGGTTAATAATAATTAAAATTAAAAATTGTACAGTAACAATAAACGCAAAAGAGGCACGCGAAAATCAGACTCAAATTTACCGTAAAACTAAAATGCGTTGAAAACAGCCTAATTAAGTACAAATATGGACTCTCTTCAATAACAATACTATTAATTTTATTGTCGTAAACAATAAATATATGGACACAATAAAGAAATTAACTATCTGGATAAATTCAAAGAGGCTGTTTTCTATATTATATTGCATCTTAACAATTATTATAAATCTCCAAATTTTTATTTGTAATATTTGAGAAAAGTACTAAGAACTAACAATATTAGTCAAAATCAATTTTTTAAATAAATTAATATCGAATCTATAGATTTGTAATGATAAAGGGCGACTAATATTAATCTCTTTAAAAATTATTTTTCCAAATTATTGTCGTATTGATCGCCTTAATGTAAATATAGCTGCAAAAATCACACACAAAACAACAACGCTTCGGAAATAATAAAAATTGCACGCTGTGGTAATAAAAGACCCTAAAAACTAAAAACTCCTATATTAATCTGGTTTGCTTGAGATAGTGTATTAATAGCGAATAGACAAATCTATATTGAGCTATAGTTTGGATCATATAAGCACGTTGCTGACGGAGCAATCCCACTACTCTTGGTATGCACACCTCCTGTAAAAAAAACAATCAATTTTAAAAATTTCAATTAATTTACCATTTTTTACGGGTCATGTATGTACATTCCTTCTGGGGAAGGGTAAAAGCGTTACAATACCCACATGACGCTGTCAATATGGGATAAATTCATAGACCTATTAACTATGGACGCGGTTTAGACAAAGAGGTAGTGTTGTCGATGAATGAGAGAGATGCAGCTAGTTTGGGCATTTGGCAATGAGAGATTGGACAATGCATTAGCCAATAGTAAGAAAGCAAAAGACCACGTGAGTTACGTTTTCAGATATGCAAGGTAGCTGGGGTAGAGGAGAGTAGCTTATGGTAGAATATGGTTGAGGATTTATTATTTTTTTACCGAGCAAAATGCATTTTTCAGCTGAGCCTAAATTCCCACGCATTTGCAAATACAGTTCTTATTTTGTATTGTTATTTGGAACCTCCTACCTCCTCCACCTAACTCCTTTCTCTTGTAAAAAATATGTTTCTTCCAGGTCATTCTTCTGTCCAAGTGGATACCAAGATAAAAACAATATTTAAATATTAAGCGTATAAATAATTTAACATATTAATCGAAAACTTTTTCCGCACACCCCGTATATATTTTATATTTTTTTGGCCCCGCCTACTTTTAGCCCAAACTAGCTCCATCTCTCACGGACCTCTCTCTCTATCATTGGGAACGCTGAATAACCTCAAAATAACGATAGTGCCGCGTCCATACTTAATAGGTCTATGGATAAATTACACTAGTTTACAAGGTGCAAAGAACCTACGATAATAAGAGTGATGTGTTTTCGGCTAATGAACAAAAATTTGTAGTAATAAAAAATATAGCAACTTAACCAAAATATACTTATAAAATCGTTTGTTTTACTGGAATTTAAATCTATGCAATGCATGAAAAGAAACAAATTAGAAATGCTGAGCATTAAATTTTATATTTTTTGTATGATTTTGGGTCGGTTTTGCATATTAATGTCCAACAATAGTCTGTTAGCACACCATTTAAAACTCTCTAGAACCATTTAGAATTCTCCAGAACTGTCTAGAACCATTTAGAACGCTCCGGAACCATTTTGAACTGTCTAGAAGCATTTAAAACGCTCCAGAATCATTTTGAACCGTCTAGAAGCATTTAAAACGCCACAGAATCTACAACTACATATCTACAATCATTTAGAACGCTCCAGAATCATTTAGAACTGTTTAGCACCATTTAGAACGCTCCAGAATTATTTAGAACTGTCTAGAACCATTTAAAACGCTCCAGAAACATTTAGAACTGTCTACAACCATTTAGAACGCTCCAGAAAGATTTAGAACTGTCTAGAATAATTTTGAAATTTTTAGAGCCATTTAAAACACTCCAGAATGAGGACCACGTTGGCCAAATCAAAGAAACTAGACGTGGTGATCTTTTTGAAGTCATATTTGTAATAAGCATGCCAAAATATATTTTAAAAAATTGCACCCAATGTAATCAAGCGTAATTGAACCTAATTATTTTATAATCAATTCCAAAGTCAATCGAAATACCAAACATTTACCTGATTATGATCGACCGTGTACAACAACAGATCGCTTAAAATGGTGAGACCCGTTCGACCCACTCCGGCGGTGCAATGCACCAATATGGGCGGATTTTTGTTGTGCCCCGGCGGAATCTCGCCCATCGAGTGCTGATGGACCGATTGCATTTCCTCCAAGAACCCCAGGAAATGCGACACGGAGTTCGGACAGCCCCATTGGTCGCCCCAATCGGTGTAGTGGAGATGCCATATTGTACGGTAGCGTCGCGACGCCACGTGGCACAGGCGCACCTTGCTGGTAACACAGTGGCCGGTTTTCTGCGAAAACTCCCACCATATTTGGTAATCCTGCAAATAAATAATAAGATGAAATTTACGGGTTAACACTTTTTAGGCTGTGTAATTACACTAGTTTACAAATTGTACGCTTTTTTTAGATACTGGAACCTTCTAAAGGGTTCCTAGACTGTTCTGAATGATTCTGGAGCGTTTTAAATGAATCTAGACAGTTCTAAATAGTTCTGGAGCGGTCTAAATGGTTCTAGATAGTTCTAAATGATTCTGGAGCGCTTTAAATGGTTATAGACAGTTCTATTTGTTTCTGTAGCGTTCTACATGGTCCTAGGCAGTTTTAAATGTTTCTGGAGCGTTTTAAATGGTTCTAAACAGTTCTAAATGATTCAACAGTGTTCTAAATGGATCTAGTCTAGACAGTTCTAAATCGTTTACCAAAAATAAATCACTCCGATTATCTCAAGTTCTTTGCACAATACCTTATAAACTAGTGAATTATTCGAGTTATAATGGATATCAAACAATCTAAATATGTACCTGATCAACATCGATGCACCTTTCCCCGGCATCGGGAAGGTACGTTATATCTTCGGACGGATCCGTTAACTGCACTATTAGATATACTTCGGCTTCCCAAACGCACTGCCAAAAGTGAGGCAAAGTTTGAGTGGAGGGCCCTTGAGCTGCTATGTAAAATCTTTGTTTGCTGCCCACGGTAGCCTAAAAAAACCATAGATACTTAGCATTAATAATGGAGATGATATAAAAACGCTGGAGATTCCCTGAAGAGAAAACAAAGAAAAACTGTAGGGGAGCTGGTAAAATAGAGGTTGTCCCAGGACGAGTTGAAACTATCTCTTTATGGGAAACTACTTATCCGATATTAAGGAGCATTTTTTGAGGCAAAAGATTTTTTTAATTTTAAAATTATTTTTAAAATCCTCATTTATTTTGGAGCAAATTCGGTACGAAGGCTTACTTTCGTACGACACACCATTTTCGTTTAAAAAAATAAAAACCAAAACATTTTTTCCCAAGTTCATTGAGATTGACTTGATTGATATTTTGCATACAAACAAGAATAATGTAGATAAAAAAAATAAAAGTACTTGCCGTGATGTGAGAAGCGTTAATGTAACCGTGCTTATTGTTTTTAGTCGGCGTAAGTCTCAATCGATTATCTTCGTAGGGAAGCACGTCTTTGAATCTGTTAAAAGTCGCGTTCTCCGGTAGGAGGGCCGTTTTGAATTCGGCGTTTTGTTTCTTCTTCGGTATTTTATCGAACTCGAAGAATAATTGACTGTCTCCGAGTTTATTTTCTAATATTTGGCACTGGAAATAAGAAAGATATGTATAGTATATCAATTTAATTCTTCTTTATTTTTCGTTAGTACATGCAAATCGTATCCAGACGATTCATCACTGCGACTATTCACATCGACTTTAAAAAAATATGTAAAATAAAACAAGGCTTTTGGGGACAAAATTATCTCATGGTCGTGTTCCGAAGAGGGTAGAAATGAGTTGTTTAGGTCTAAGTTAGTATTTACTTCCGGAATATAGCTAGAAGTGACAAAAAGTTAAAAATATTTTAGTTTTAATGCAGTTCTAATTTTCTAGTGCAGTTCTAATGCATCTGATTAATTCTAAATTGATCTAAATAGTTCTAATACATCCTGAAGCATTCTAAATTATTCTAAACAATTCTAGTATATACTGAAGCACTCTAAATTATCCTAGATCAGGAGGTAGATATTTCAAAAACGAATCGCATTTTAATTTTTTTTTTGTTATTTTCAGAAAAAAATAACCATTCAAATGATATATTACACGACCCATATTCCCTATTCAATTTTTAATATTTGGGGTTGCTGGCCAAAGGTGTGTAAAAACCTGACCTGTTTTTATATTAAAAGATGTCTGAGCGATTTTCCAAAAATCAATTTTTTCTAGCCGAAAACACCTCTGTTTCTTTCCTTTTCAACTTCCCACCATGTATAATATTATCGAAATTACACCGAATTAATATTTACCATAGTTTCCTTACTGATGGAAGGCGGCAACGGATTGAACCGCGGCAAACCGGTCGACCACCTGTGTCTGTTATTCCCCTGGTTCTGGTCCTCGTCCTTCTTCTTCTTCTCCCTGCCCAACGTGGCGCTCTTCACCTTCTCCCCGGACTTGCTGCGGCCGATCAGAATGCCCCATCGGCGCTTCTTCGATTTCGTGCTCGCGTTCGACGAGGCCGTCGAATCGAAGCTGCTCTCGTCGACGACGCCCGCGCTCCCCTCCCTAAACGACGGCGTCGCGACGCCCGACATCGACGACGCTTTGCCGTCGACGGATCGTTCGGACGGCGGCGCCGCCGCCGACACGTCCGACAGCTGGGTGGTTTCCAGGGCTCCGTGGCCGGAGCGCATGCTGTCGTTCGTGTTGTGACTACCGCCGGTGGTGTTTTGCGAGTTTACGTTGCTCTTCGAGGACGATTTCAAGCGGTCGATGTTCACGTACACGTTCTCTCTGCTGCCTGTAAAATAGAGCAAGCGGAAGGGGAGTGCGACATTAGATTATTTTCGTTCGTGTACGATTTACGAGGGATGTTTCCAAAGGTCTGGGAATTGGGCTTTTAATAAATTACGCAGAACTTGTTGGTGACAGATAAGTCTCGACATGTTTGTGCAATCATTATTTTTGCCCGTAGCAAGATTCACAAAGCACTACTGAGATGAACTGATTCAATCAGCTGCTAGAACCAAACTGATTGAGAAATCTCTCTAATTTTTTGCATGCTAATTAACAACAGTGTTACCTACATAATAAAACTTGAAACAGTTAAAAATATTGAATGCAGGTAATATAAAACAGAAATTCCAGATACTTATTTGTCACAGTGTACATTCGAACTACCTCTACTACCTACCTTGCTGGCCGTTGTTGTTCAAATTGAGCTTCTGCATCTGCGATTGGACGGCGTTCACCACCGAATGGTTAACGACCTGGCTGATCTCGGGCGCCGAATGGATGCTCTGCGTGCGCCCCCTCATCTCGCCCTCATTCTGCCAAGGCAACGGTATGTTCTCGTAGATGGGCTCGGTCGAATTGTTCAAATGACGATCGTGCGCCACCATTGCATTCTGGTTGCGCGTTACCACGAAACCTGAAAATCCGATTCCACTTAACAAAAAAAACTGTACGTAATTGTGCAATATCGTTGCGGTAATATCACGCTTCGGGTATTCGATGTTATTATTCAAAACCGAGATGACTCGTCGGTGGAAAAACTTTCACGTATTTTCGTGGAAATCGATGGAATTTAAGGCAGCTGCTTCTTTTTTTTCGGTTAAAATTCGTTGGAAAAAGCTCGCTTATCGATAACGATAGATAATGAGCTATTAGAATATGATAAACGATTAAACGTTTGTGCAATTATTTTTTGTAACTAGTTAGTGTAACGATATTTCTGAATTGTTTCAAATGATCCCAATTCATTTCTGAAATGGTTAAAAATGATTCTGGACAATTTTAAGTGATTTTGAACAGTTCTAAGATACTTCTGAACAGTTTTAAATGCTGCTAATTCATTTCTAAAATGATTCAAAAGGATTACGGGCTATTCTAAGTGATTTTGAACAATTATAAATAGCTGTAAAGATATTTCTGAACTGTTTCAAATGCTCCCAATTCATTTTTAAAATGGTTAAAAATGATTCTTGATAATTCTATTGATTATCTTCAATAAAATCAGCTAAATTTTTATAAAACAAAATAAAAAATCTGATTGATACAGATTGGTACAGATTGATTCATTTTAGTTTGCAATATAGGTTATACTATGTTATTATATTAGGTTGGTATTATATTATATGGGTGCAATAAAGACAACTTCCATTAGACACTAATAAACAAAAAAGAAACAGTGATATTGTGTAATTGCAACTTTCTCACTAACAACTAATTATTTTATTAATCCTTCTTTGTTCTACTCATAGAAATGGCCATATTGCAAACCGAAATGCGCCAAGGACCGGAGAATACCGGAGAATGTAAAATATTAGTAGGAATTGAAAACAAAAAAAAAACGAAATTCGATAACGTACCGGTACTAGGCAACTGATTTTCGTGCAAAATTTGCTTCATATTCGCCGGCATGCAATAGATGATGTTCCCGTGTTCATCGTACACTTTCTTGATGTGCTTCGTTATGTTCGGATTCTCGACGATGACGGCCTGAGGCCTGCCCAGCATGTTGTTGTTGAAAATCGAAGCCAAATTTTCGTACGTGCCGTGTTGCGGGGGTAGATAACTGTGCGATCTTGAATAAATAAATCAACAACAAAAAAAAATTATATTAAGTTAATTACTTCCCGAGAATAGTTCAAATAGAATGCGAATGACGATTACGGGGACGTGTATTATTAAAAGTCTAATCTAAATTAGCTACTTCCCAAAATGTCTCATGCAATATCTAGAAACGATAAACGTTGAATTCTTCGCAAAATAACGCGTAGATGAATTAGTTGGTACCAAACAATCAATGTACAGGATGTTTTTTTATAACATGCTAATACTAAAGGGGGTGTTTCTTGGACCTATTTAAGAAAAAAACTTCATATGAAGTAATGTCCTAAACCTAAAAAAAATTTATTACCTAATTTCTGCACAGTGGCTAATAATAAATTTTATGTTTAGGACATAGGTTCATAAGATTTTTTTCTTAAAATGGGCCCAAGAAACACCCCCTTCAGTATTTGCATATTAATATCAAAATATATACGATGCTTTTTATACCCTTTTCGATAAATTGCATGAAGATGATGAGACATTTTTATATAGTTTAACGGATTTCATAAAAACCACTACCTAATCTAACGTACGGCAACACTGTTTAGATGTTACTGACCAAATTAGAGCAATAATTGCCGAATCGTTTGAAAATCTGCATAAAGTTATACATAGGTTTCTACTATCTCTGCAATATTTTATCGTGCGATATCTGTAGAACATATTGCAAGACTTTGCAATATTAAATATTAATGTGACAAAGTCACAAAAAAATTATTGCATAGCATACATGTGAAAAGTTCACATTTGAACGCTTGCATTTTAACTGCAAATGCAATATTGCAACAGTTTATTGCACCGCATGAAAACGCTCTTATTCAACCTACCTATGGACGGGATGAGCGGGATGACCTGAATAAATGTGCCTCAAGTAGAAATTCCCGCCCGACACCAAATCGGGACTGGAACCGCTGACGATGTTGCCCACGAAACCGGGATGCGGCTTCAGCTGTTGCGAAATGCCCGCCAAATCCGGCGTCGAATTCGAACTGATTTTATTGGCGGGATACGGGGGCGGCGATTTGTACGCGTGCAACACGCCCGCGGTATTCTCCGTCATATGGGAGGATCTCGGAAATGCCGCGTTGTACGCCACGTTCTTCTGCGGATCGATGTTGTTGTGAGTGAGAGTGACGTCCGGATAGTGCAGGTGAGTCGGATAGCCGTCGGATTGATGGATTTCCGGTTGGGAACTGTATAGTATCGGATGGGCGTTTCGAACGGGCTCCCTCGACGATATGGCACCTGGAATAGTGATGTCTATTGAGTATTGAGCATGGAAAATGCATGTAAAGTGCATGCGTACATGAATTTATTAAATTTTAGCACAATAAATAATTAAAATATGTTAAGCTTAATTAATAACAAATAATAACATTAACAATTACTTGCTAATTCGGTTAATTAAAAGAAACACTCGATGCTCATTCTGAGAACTCTTTAAATATAGTTTTCCGAACGGTTCTGGAGCGTTCTAAATGGTTCTAGTGCATCCTGAAGCATTCTAAATTGTTCTAAACAGTTCTAGTACATCCAGAAGCATTCTAAATGATCCTGGACCAGTTCTAGTGCAACCTGAAGCATTATCAATTGTTCTAAACAGTTCTACACCTTTTCCAGTAGTATTTCAGAAAGCGTCAATTGAATTTAAGAATAGTCACTTATATTTCACTTAAAGTATCTGTTGTATTTCAGAATAGTCAATTTGATTTCAGAAACCATCAATTGAATTTCAGAATAGTCAATTTGATTTCAGAAACCATCAATTGAATTTCAGAATAGTCAATTTGATTTCAGAAATCATCAATTGAATTTCAGAATAGTCAATTGTATTTAAGAAATTATCATTTGTGCTTCGGAAAGTGTCATTCGTATTTCGAAAACCGTCAAAAGGATTTCAGAGTCCCATTCCACAATTGAAATATTTTTTCTGAAATCGAAATTATTCTTCTGGAACTGATACCTTTATAATTCTAAATTGAGATTGAAAAGCTATAGATATTGAAGAATTCCGAAATACAAATGATTTCTGAAATGAATTTGACTATTTTGAAATTCAAATGATCGTTTCCGAACTCGAACTGACTATTCTGAAATACAACTGATGGTTTTTGAAATCAAATTTATTATTCTGAAATACAATTAATGCTTTCTGAAATCGAAATGACTTTCCTGAAATACAATTGATACTTTCCGAAATATGAGTGACTATTCCGAAATTCAATTGACGCATTCTTAAATGAACCTGACTCTTTCTGAAATTCAGTTGGAAATAATGTAGAGCATCCTAAAAAACTCTAAATTGTACTGGACCAGGAGGTAAATATTTCAAAACCTCATAGAAATGGCCACATTGCAAACTGAAATGCACCCTATAGTATATTAAACCCATTTTTCCCAACTAGCGAGAGTACATTTTACAATTTTCTCTCGAAATTACCTGAGGAATTTCGGTACTTCTGCTGCATGGCGGTTTCGTAATCCGGAGCAGGTCGATAAGACGGTAATAAACTTCTGAGTGCTTCCAGATCGGCTTGCTGATTGAGATCCAAACAAGACGTAGACTGCGCTCGGTGGCTCAAGCTCTGCGTGGACGAGACCGGTCTGTCCCATTGCAAATTCGAATTGGTAACGTCTTCGTAACTGCCTTTTTGCCTCGATTTGTCCTATAAGCACATTTTGTAACATTCGCCTCACCGCGATAAGTACAAATTTACCTCGTTTTGCTGAAAGATCGGCGGTTTCGGCAACGATTTCTCGTTGTCGAGACTGTTCATCTCGTACTGTCTGAAGAAAATGTGTTGAAGAACGCAAAAACACCAAGCGTTTTTGGCGCTTTCTTCGTTACTGAATTGAAATTCCACCTTTCCCGCATCACCTATAGGTTCAATAGTGAAGAGCAGTTTGTGATTGGTAACATTACATATATCAGACCACCTTAAATAAATAGAAATTACCCATCAGATATACTCGAGTACTACAATTTATTTAGTCATTATAATCTTCAATGAGTAGCTTAAACGTATCAAGTAGCTAAAGCAAGTTACTAAATCAAGTAATTCGATTTAGTTACTTGTATGGTGTGGACAACTTGATTTAGTAACTTGTGCAAGTACCTAATTTTGTAAACTAGTTGTCCACACCATACAAGTAACTAAATTTAGTGACTTGATTTAGTAACTTGCTTTAGCTATTTGTCAATTGTATCCTCGCCTTTACTAAGATAATCTTCGCCTTCTTGGGGCAAATGTTTAAGCATTTGTTTGAATAAAGACCTATTATTATCTTGTGTATTAATTACCCGAAATGACGTCCTTCCTTTCCTCCCGGATAACTAATGTATACTCCCATTAAACTAATCCCTATTAGCGTATCTACCCCGTCGCGGTCTTTTGCAGCATAAACTTCCTGCCCGTATCCGTCTAAACGTTGGCAGGCGCATATATAATACTCCTCTGCAGTCCCCTGCGGTAGATTGTGAAGAGCCGAGTGCTGTCTACTAGCTGCCTCCGTTAGGGTTTCCAAAAGAGCGTTATCGGTGAAACTCTACAACACAATTTAACGTTAAACTAATTATTACCATTCTAGGAGGAACGACTAACCTTCGGGAACAGTTGGAAGTCTTTGAGGTAATGCGAAGTGTGCCTTTCCGCATCGAAGTTGCCGAATTCCGCTTGCATCGAGTAACTCGCCAACTCTACGGCTTGTTGTGGTGTACAGGATATTTTGCCTTCGATGACGTCCTGTTTCAACTGCAGGAAGTAATGGTACCTAAAAAGTATTGTCACGAATGGATAGCACCACAGTAAGAGTCCGGGATCGTTTAGTAGTGATCGATACTTACCTAGTAACTTCATCGTTAAAGAGCGATACGCCAGAAATAACGTAGTACATGACTCTGAGGTAAACACACAGACCCCTGGCATGTTTATCGAGTTGTTGCTTGATCGGCCTATCTAATTCTAACCAGCATAGATTACCGTCTCTGCTTTTGCTAATGTATTGGAGCCCGAAGAATTTGGGTTGATTCAAGCTCAGCTTTTGGCATACAACGTCCAAACAATCCTGGCCGGTGCTCTCCGAAGACAGGGTACATTCGACGTTGGTCCCGTCTAGTATCTCGACGGATATCACGAAGAGCGATTTCGATACCACGCTGTAGTGACGGGACTTTTTTAATTTCAGTTTAAACGGCATCCTGCATGTTATTAAATCGCTGAAACAGGTGGAATTCATAAATAAACCGCAACTAAACGAGATAAATTCGGAATGTTTACGTTACATGAAAGTTATTTTCTTCTTTTAAACTAAACTAACCTTTATTGATGGTATCGCTTCGCTCCCCGGGGGAGGCTACTCCCGATATTTGATACACCTATTTTTACGCCTTCGTGCTACAATTTGCTTATTTTTTATTCGTATTACACACTCGTTATTGTTATTATTATTCTATTCGCATGTTTGACAGAAGAAATTATTTCATAAAAGGGAACAGGATGTCATTTGTCAAATTTATGACTAGTTTATCAAAATAAAATATATAATTCATACATCGTTTCATTTATTATTTCTATCGAATTTTTTTATGTTTATAATATGTATATTTTACAAAATTTTATTTACACATATATTTAAATAAAAATTATAAAATGCTTGAATTGCTTGGTGCTAACTTCACTTCACTGTTACCTGAACCAGCGTTGCCAAATGGTGTAAAATTTACCCCTTTTTAGGATAACGGATAAACCTATTTTTAATACTGATTTGACCAGACTAATTTAATTACAAAACAATATTTAAACAAAAATATAATTAAACATAATACAACTGCAAAAAATCTTCACATCGTGTATAATAAATAATACAATTCATATTTTCTGATAGAATAATACCGATTCATTCAAACGAATGTAAGATATCCGGCAGAGAGGAAAGTAATCAACAGCATAAGATAGCCGGTGTTGTAAACACCAGAAATGGTAAGAAATTTGCCGGTGTCCCAAATTAAATGACGGATGCCGTTCCAGAAGTGATAGCACATGGGAAAGGCCAAACTGAATTTTATAAATTGCACAATCGTTGGACTCACATCGTGCAAGCAATCAATGTAATTTGGTACAGCTTCAGGGGCAACTATTCCAGCTAAACCCAAACCCACCGTATAAGCAGCTAGAACCATACCTGTAAAATATAATAATTTAGTCATCGACTACAAAATTGCATACATTTTCATAGATATATCCAGTAAAATCTACGTAGAAGCAACTACCTGTAGCTCTATGACTAATCGAAAGAATAGCAGTTAATTGGGGTTTGTATATCGTCAAGTGTGGAGACTGAGGTCTTTTGAGTTTCATGTTTCTCTCATCGTGTCCTTCTTCTGCGGGCAGTGTAACTTTCGATGCCTTTATGGTAACAGGTCGAACGCAGTTTATTAAACCTGCATTGTTTTTTAGAAATTGGCTTGCACCTCTTTGGCCAGCTAACCTAAGAGTATTACATAATTACTTAAATATTCTATGAGAATTGCGTTCGATATATAACGAAGCAGCGAACATGTATTTTATTTGTATGTACTTACGTACCTAAAAATTAGAGACATTTTAATGAACGGGAAATTAATTTAAAGAAAAACTATTATTGACAATTATAAACTGAATTTGACAGGTGTCCAAAAAATGTAAATGTCAAAAATCCAAACATTCGGCCGGTTTGTTCGGTTGTTCCGTCCCGAGCAAGTATTAGTAACGGTTTTTCATCTGTTTCTATCCCTGTTTAGCTAATTATTCAAACATAAATTAATTATAAATTTAGAACTCGATAAGTATATGTAAATTTATCTTATATTTATAAAAATCATCCCAAAGCTTTAAATCGGGTATTTAATGAATACATATAAAAAATATTTGAAAATGCATCTTTTTAGACTTAACTTGACGAATGCAGTAGAATGATTAGACAATCAACCAATCAGAACCGCCGATTTGACCTTATTTATTTGCAGCGTTGCCAGGTTCATTGGAATTTCACTAGATGTAATCATTTAGGAAGTAATTACACCTAAAAAGTTAGGGTTGTTAGGAATATTAAAGTAAGTCCTTCGAAATAACAACTATTCCTATATATTTTATATTTATTGCGCATATTTAAAATAAATAATAGTGAAGTTGTCGACCAACAAATGTAATTTTCTCATATATAAAATAAAACCTCAATTTAGAAACTTTTAATATTACGACATGGCAACGCTGTTAGCGTCAGTTCGACATTTCTACGGCGTCGTTTTACGTTTGTGCATGAGAAAAACGTGAAGTTTAGTTTATGAAGCGAAGATAAATATTGTCTTTATTTATTTTATATTTTATTATTTGCGTTCGACAAAACGGTAAGCAGCACATATATCAAAATTATCTTGGCGTTTTTAATCCTCCGTTAACCTAGCACAAACGAAAGCTTCAGTCAAAACAAAAACAATCTAACCTTTCAAATGCCTTGTTTACATCGCTCTAATCGGTATCTATTCTAGTTTGAAATGGCAGGAAGAGAGAAACTTTCGATCAAAAGCAATGCTACCGACGAGGCGCCTTCGAAACGAATCACCAGAAATAAAAGCCCGGCGAGGAAAAACAGAAGCCCTGCCAAAAGCCCGGGAAGGCCCAAGAGCCCGGGGAGGCCCAAGAGCCCAGGAAGGCCAAAGAGCCCCGCAAGGACGAAAAGCGATGCTAGCCCATCGAGAACCACCAAAGGCAGGCCCCCTACGCCGACGAGAACGAGCCGAATCACAACTAGAAGTCCCGGTAGACCTAGGAACGCGTCGCCCGTCGAAAGACCCGTGCAAAATTCCTTGCGGAGATCGCCCGGAAGGTTGGCCAAAGAAGCTTCGACAGATAAAGAAAAAGGTTCGTTTTAAATAACCCTAAATAAGTTTAATATAAATTAATCATTTCCGTTTTTATTGCAGAATCTGTTATCAAAAAACCCAAGCTCGTTATCGATATAGAGAGCGATACCGATTCTGATAACGGGGATGTGGAATACATGCCGGAAGTCAAAGAAAAACCCAAAGCTACTGTCAGAGGTCGCACAAGACGTGCAGATTCTAAGACTCATGAAGTAAGTTGTTGATTTTTTATTTGTTTTTTACATTTTTTATCATTTTTCTTCGATTTATTCATTCGGCTTCGATTGCCAGTTCAGCCTAAAATTTTAATGCCTCCAGGTGTTCTCAGCCTGTAATAATTAATGACCTGGGGTAATACAGACTGTACCTTGCTATACCTTCCATTGGCAGATGAATCTGTTATAAAACGGGGACTATTATTATTTGTGTCTGATGTGAATTATTCTATTTTAGGTGGAGAAACCGCTGTTGAACAATGATTCGGGCTTGTTTAGACGGTTCACTCGGTCGTCTCAGAACAAGGAAGTGGAACGTGTTGTTCACGTACAACATTTCGATGCCCTAAGTAACAAACGCCTCGGTGAATTCTCGGACGAAGATGAGATAGAGAAGAAGCAAACGGAATACATCAACAACAAGCAATTGATCGAATTCAACAAAAATTGCGGCGCCTCGTTGTTAATACCGGCCATACCTCTAACGGTGCTCGCTTTGTATACGTTTTGTGCTCGTACCGAAAGCAACGGTTTGCCCGATTTGGCAAAATTCAAATCGTTTTCTGCATTTTTCGATGTGAAATCCGCCGTGTGGTTGATTGCCTATTACTTGATTTTGGCCATTTTTACTGCTATACCAACGGGCGGGTTTAAGGTGAGCGGGCCACCCAACAAGTACGGTAAATTCGATTACGTGCTAAACGGATTTCTCAGTTTCGTCGTGTTTTTGCTCATATTCGGCGGGTTCCAGTACAAAAAAATCGACGTGGCTGGATATTTCATCGATCACGTTTTCCAGATTTTACTTTCTTCCATATTGTTTGGTTTTGTCATATCCGTTTGCGCTTACGTAAGAAGTTTCTACGTGCCGATTAGCGCGCTTAATACGTACGCCGTGGGAAAAGGGTCTCTGTATGGATTCTTCATTGGCAGAGAATTAAACCCGAGGGTGTTTTCCCTGGTGGATTTGAAACTGCTGTTCTTCAGGGCAACGATCATTGCGACTGTGAGTATTTTAGAAAATTTTAGTTGCTTTTAAATGTTTTTATACAATTGGTATTTAAGTATTGTAAGGAATAACTGGGTTAAATTGTTTGTAGAATTGTAAACAGGTTAATTGTGAAGGTATATTTATTATTAGCTGTAGTTGGTGAGTCTATTTTTGAAATCTTGGCATGGTTTACATTTTGATTTTTTTATTTATTAAAAATATTGGTTCTGGTTCTAAATTTACAATGGAATAGTTAAGAATAAATTTCATCAAAAATCAAGTACAAACAGTTATATCAATTACACATCTGATAGCTCATAACTTTTTAATCGATGAAAAAAAATCTCAAAATACCATTTAAGTTTCTTGTAGTACTTATCGAATACTACTCAGAACTCGTGAGAACTCTCAAAAAATGTCAAACTAGAACTTGTAATTTTTGCTCAGTGATTTTTTAGAATATCTCCCAAACTACTATTTTAATAGTTTAATAGACCATGCGCAAAGGCTCTAATTTTCCTTAAAATTACATGCAGAGCTCTTGTTGGGACACTATTTAGAAATGCCGAGCATTAAAGGTTTTTTTATGATTTTGGATCGGTATCGCCTCCAACATTAGTCTCCCAGCACACCATTTAGAACTGCTATAACCATTCAGAACGCTCCAGAATCATTTAGAACTTTTGACTATTTAGAAAGCTCGAAATCTTTTAAAACCATCTAGAATCATTGACAACGCTCTAGAAACATTTAGAACTATCTTAGAACCATTTAGCATGCCCCAGAACCATTTGGAATTATCTAGGACCATTTAGAACGCTCCAGAATCAATAAAACTGTACAATTGGTAAACTAGCATAATCAGAGATTGAACATTTACAGTATAATATACAGGTTTTTTTTTTAATTATTTTCAGATCCTCATCGACTTCGCTTACGTATTCAAATCGGTGGAGTCCAAAATTTTCATAGTAGTCACCGACAACACGTTAGTCGTCAATCCCAAATTGCTGACCCTTAATCCTACCCTGTACGTTTTCGCCGCCCTCCACGTCTATTATTTCCTCGATTCGCTCCTGTTCGAATCGTCCTGGTTGACTTCCTTCACCAATCAACAGGAGGGCTTCGGCTACTTGTTGACCATTTCCTATTCAGTGGCGCCGTTTTTCCACACGATTTCGACCAAGTACGTTGCGGAACAGAAGGTGGAATTGCCCGTATGGCAGTTGGTACTCGCCAGCGTCATCTACGCCACTGGGTTGTTTATTTACAGATGTAGTAACAATCAGAAGGGGTACTTTAGAAGGAATCCGTACAGTTCGTCTTTGACAAGTTAGTATAAATTTAGTTAGTACTTTTTGACGATAAAAGTGCCCGGAATTTCTGATTTAAATTACCTGCATTTAATATTTTTAACTATTTCAAGTTTCTGTATGTAGGTAACACTGTTGTTAATTAGCATGCAAAAAATTAGAGATACTTCTCAATCAGTTTGGTTGCAGCAGCTGATTGAATCAGTTCATCTTAAAAGTGCTCTGCGATTTTTGCAATGGACAAAAATAATGAACAAAGAATTTATTTAATATTTTGGGTTTTGAACGGAATTTTGTGGGTTGAATCGATGCAAACGCTTAAGGAACTATTTCACCAAGAACATTTAAAAATTTTAAACGCACTTAAGCTTGTTAAACTCAGTTTAAGTAGGTACAAAACGGATTTCACCAAAACGTTAATCTTGATTTGCGCCTTAAACCGAGTTTATTAACTAACTACCCAATTTTGGTCGGTGGAGTCCCACCATTCCTTACGAAACATCCTGTATAAATTTAAATTTTCGCATCTTTAAAACGTAATTATCTACTCGTATATAAGTTGATTTAACTTTTCGTTTTATTTTTAGATCTAGAGACGATGCCGACCGCTCAAGGCAAAAAGCTAATAGTATCCGGTCTCTGGGGTTGCGTGAGACATCCGAACTACCTGGGGGATATCTTAATCCATCTTTCGTGGGTTCCGTTCGTGAAGTTAGCTCTTCCGTTAGTCCCCATTTGCATTACGATTTTGATGTTGGTGCAACGGACGTGGAGGGACAACGCTCATTGTACGCTCAAGTACGGGGCGGCTTGGGACAGGTATCGAAACAGGGTCAAGTACACTCTGGTTCCTCGTGTGTTTTAAACGACACGAGGATGAATTGTTGTCGGTTTGTAAACGTATATAATTAATTAAATATATTAATTTATAGGCATGTATTGTTTGCTAGTTGTACATTATCATTTTAATGCGAAACGACAGCATTTCTGATTGATTAAAGGTCTGTTGGTGTAAGTATACGCCACTTTGGTACTGAGGTAACATTATTGCCAAGTCGATAAGGATAGGATACGAAACTTTAGGACTAATAACTAGTTCTGTTACAAATATCAGAGTAAAAATAAATAGAAGCTTTGAAAGAGACTTTCTATGTACTTTATATGCAAAACAAAGCACCAAACTGGCGGATACGATAGCCAGGAATACTAACATTAACAAGGATTGCTCTATCTCTTATAACTCGCTTTGGGACGTCAGTAAATGGCTACACAATTTCTATGAGTTGAACAAAGAAAGATTATTAAAATAACAGTTGGTAAAGTGAGAAAGTTGTAATGACACAATTATCATTCTTTTTTCTTTATAAATGTCTAATGGAAGTTGTCTTTATCGCACCTGTAGCCTATTAAAATCTATATTGCAAACTAAAATGAATCAACATGTACATACCTTGGTGCATTTCAGTTTGCAATATGGTCATTTCTATGAGTTGAACAAAGATTATTAAAATAACAGTTGTTAGAGTGACAAATTGCAATGACACAATATCACTCTTTCTTCTGTACGCCTTTTTGAGTCCACTACTTACGTCACAAAGCGATGACGTACGAATCTGATTGAGCAATCCTTGGATAGTCGAGTATCCTTAAGGAATGCCATACTTGTAGGTGTGGAGTTTTAATAGAATTCAACATTTAAAGATGATTTGTATATTTGAACTTGTAAATGTTTTTATGTAGGTGTTGATTTTGAAGTCTTCCGCGAGTTTTTTCCTACTATGTAGTTACTTTTTTACCTAGATTAAACTTTATACATGACATTATATTAATTTTGAAGTGGTAGGATTTATTTCGAGGAGGCTTGGAATCTCGAGTAATGTCTATAAATGGAATGGAGCATTTTGAGTACAATTTTTTTTCATCTTTTTATGTTTGTCTACGTTTGAAATAGATTAGTTTATTTTTTTCTATTTAGTTAAGATTACATTATTTTGAATTATTCATTTCTAATTATGTACTTTTATTAATATATATTTTTATGGAATTTAGTTTTATTAGGGCAATCTCAAAGAATGAGTTCTTTCGTGTAATATTTACACATGCAATTTATTATTAATTTTAAATTTTATGTGCGGACGAAGAATGTAAAGATATGTACTGTATTAATGGGCTCATTAATTTTTTGCACCGGTGTATTGTTTTATACGTAATTTGCACATGTCCAATTCAAATAAAATATTCCTTTGACGAATTAATAAATAGTTTACATTATGCAATTGGCATTAATACATGAGCAACGAAAGTATTCTTAAAAGCAATTGGCATAATTAATTTTTATTTAAAAACGTATAATCAATATTTGCTAAAAATGGGAATATTTCAATTTGACTACATTATAACGTAGGAATTAAGTTGAGTAATAATAGGCCATATTGAGACTTAGTACAAATTATTTTCCACCATATCTGCTCTCTATATTAAATGAATTTTGATAATTAATTAATGTACATAAACGTCACGTTTGCTGCTAAAGCAATAAATTAAAAGTTTCTACAGAGTGATTTGTAAAGAACGAAAATGCCGAAATTCAAGCACAATTCACTGTAGTATCCATAATTAAATATCTCGTTGAAGAAATATTTGTATAAGGAATGTTTGTATTTTCGGAAATTCTTATTCTTTTCGCATCATTCTGTATGTTTTACTTAAACATTTCAAGCAGTAAACGGACGAAATTTATCATTTATTACGAGTCCATTCCTGATCTCACATATAAAATTTGTACAGAAAGGAATCAAATTATATATTCGTAAACATTGTACAGAAATGGAATGAATTTATTTTAAAAATTTTAGTAGGTAATAAAGTTTTGTATACAGGGCGATTGACAAGAGTTCAAAACTAAGCGCTCTCTTCAAATAATTGTAAATAATATCCATTTACGATACATTATGAGAACTATTTGGGCACTGTATTTCATGTAAATTTCGAGCAAATTTTATACAGGGTGCGTTTTTTTATTACCATCTCATCGCGAATGGATATTTTAGTTTTTATGGCGTTACAAACATATTTTTGAGAACAAAAAGTAACGGTAATAAAGAAAAATTAATAGTATTAATTCGATGCCCAAAGTTAATTTTTGTAAGATTTCATCAATAAAAATTTTGACTGAACAATCTATTCTATTTTGTATAAGTCCAAAAATAAAATACCTACTGCAAACTAAGGCACCGTTGGTGATGTATCTTTACAGTAAAGATATTACGAGGGTTAAGTGAAAAGTTCTCGGCCTGACGATGATTAATTGAATGGTTGATTGGAAAAAGGATGAAATTCCAAAAATATGATGAATTAAAATGAGATAGTCATTTTGTTCTAATTTCTCTTACCTTTCCGCCGAGCGCAAAAATAAAATTATTGGCCTCCTTAACATTCCTAATATTTTTGAAATTTTAATCAGGTTGTCAACTGTGACGACCATGAATGGCAGATTTGAGGTAATTCATCAAGATTTTCATACACTGTGTCTAAAGTGGAGCGCTACATTCATCGCGCCGAAGCCGCGCCTCTCCACAGTTCGACTGATTCTCTCTTTCTACTGTTTGCAACGCTCGAACATAGACCCTCTGTATATGAAGTCATAGTTTTTTTTGCATTGTGTCAGAAATTTTTCCCAATAAACTAAACCCAAAGTTTCAAGTAAAACGGCTAAGTAATACCGATATACTTGATTTCAAAAGCTGGCCCCAAGACTTCTTACCAAAAGGATATCAAACTTTCAAACTTTGCCATCAAACCTACTTAGTCAAAGTGTTTGGCTAATTGTAATGATTTTAACGGTGTTTAAATATTCTTCAATTTATTGCCAAGTTCTTTCCGCAAACCGCATTTTCTTACGGCAATTCTTAGCGAAGTTATAGGAAAACAAGAAAAGTTTGGTAGCATTTTTTTATCTTCAAATAAAACCTTTCAACATGTTTCATTCAGGCCGAGCACTTTTCACCTCACCCTCTTAAAATACCTCTGTACTAAGAGAGCACCATTGTGCCTGAAGAATTATTATATTTAGCTCTTTGTCCACGCTGTCATTTTCAATACGGGAGTAACCTTCTCCATTTATCTATCAGATCTAGACCATTTTTTTTTTCAATGGGCACGATTTTTCTCGAACCTACAAGCCTAATCTACAGCCAAACGAGGCTTACTGTGCCTGTAGGCACCGTCTTTGAGCCGCGTAAACTTAAATCTATTCAATATTTAAATACGGCATGCTATCTTCAATCTTGGCCAATTGATTGGGACTGACTTTTCCACCACACATCGGACAATTGGCCTCTTTATCGTTCAAAATATTCAAGAATTCGCTCCTGATGGCCGGAAATCCGCATTCCGGGCAAACGGTCAAATCGTCATTCACAACATGTCTGCCCGTCACGATACAAAAAGGAACGTTATTTTTGCAATTGTGGCAAGTCGTTTCCGTTTCCGCCAGAGGTTTCTCGCAATACGGACAAAGCGTAAGGGCTTCGGCGGGATCGTCCTCTTTGTTCTTCGGCTTCCGGATAACCGCTTCGATTTTCTTACTGTATTTGGCATCTATGCTCTTCCTGTACTCGGGATTCATCAACAGGGTGGCGTATTTATAGGCGATTTGCCTCAAACCGGCCCTGTGACATTCGATAACCGTCGACGTCAATATAGGCACAATGTGCGAGGGGAACTTCGAAATGTTCTCGGCTATTCTGATCAACATTCGAGCCGCCTTCGAATGATCGCTCCTCTTCACGTGCAACTTCACCAATATGTAGCTGTGCAGCAGCATCAGATTCGCGTACATTTCGTAGGGGATCTTGAAGTTGTTCTGCTTCAATTCCTGGCACATGGCGAACAGAATGTCGCGGGCGTTCCGGTAATTGCCGCTGATTTGCTCCTCGTTGGCGATAATAACGGCCGACTTCGACGCTTCCTTGAACTGCTTCCTCGCCATGTACAATCTGAACAAGTACTTGGGATCTTTGGGCATGCCGTCGGTTTCTCCCAACAGAAATTCGATCAGAACGTTCACGATGGACGTGTCTTTAGACGCGGCCGCAACGTCTATGGCCACGGAGATGGCATCGTTTTCTTTCGACGTCGATTTGGCCGCTTTCATGAGCAAATTCATCGCTTTTTCGTACTCCCTAGAATGGAAATAGTACTTTCCGGCAAGGTAGTAGTTCTTCTCGTTTTCGAAGTGAACGGCAACGCCGGCGAAATCCTGCGGCCTGGCATCGTCTTCGGTGAAGGTGTCCAAAAGGATGTTACCGTACAATTCGATTTTGCCGTATTTTTTCGCCAATTCGTACGCCTCGTCGTTGCATTTCGACATAACCAGGAATTTTATAGCCGACGAAATATCGTTGAGCCCAATGAAGAATTTAGCGACCATTTTAGCGCCTTCGACGCTCCTCGTCTCTTGGACCAATTCCACCGCTATCTCCGGATTATTCAATCGTTCCAAATGCAATCTAATCACCGAATCGAAATCTTTCGCCTTTTGATAAGCCCAAACGGCCTCCTCGATCTTATTCTCCTCCTCTTTGGCTTTGGCGTACTGCGCGTGGAACCTAGTCGAGTTGACGTTCGGCAACAATTCGCCCACTTTGTTCCAATTCTTCATTTTAACGTAATTCGAAGCGGCCCGCTCGTATTGCTGGCACTTTTCGAACAGCGTCGCCGCCTCCGCGTATCGCTTCCTCTTCTCCAGTATCTCGCCGCATTCCTTCAGCAAATGCTTCTCGTCCAGCTCGACGGCGATCGATATGCCGTGCCGGTAATTGCCGCAATGCAAATTACACCGGGCTATGCCCGATTTGCAATTGAACGTATGCTCGTCGCTCAGGTCGCGCTGCAGGCTGCGTTCGTAGTGCCGCAGCGCCTCCGAGTAGTTACCCACGAACTCCATCTGCTGGGCGTACTCCCTGGAAATGAGCACGATCTCGTCGGGCGCCATTTTCTTGGCCAAATTCAACGCCTCGTCCCACTGCAACAGGTCCTTGCGCATCTGCAACGCCGCCTCCGGATAGCTCGACGCCAAAAACCACTCCTGCGCCTTGTTGTAATCGTTCAGGTACATCTTCACGTAGCCGCAGAGCAACTTGTAGTCCTCGATGTCGACGATGCTCTCCAAGCTCCAGACCATCGCGACGGCTTCGATTTCTTTGTAGGCCCGTATTGCCAGTTCGATCTGCAGGTGCATCAGAGCCTCTTCGGCGCACCTGCGGAGCAACTCCTTCGATTTCAGCGACAGGGAGATTTCCAAGGCGGCCTCGAAGCGACGCAGCAGCAGCCACTTGTGGCAATTGGCCTCCAAAGCGGTTTCGTCCTTTTCGTTGGCGCGCACGGCGTGAGTGGAGAGCACCAGTTGGGAGATTTGCCCGCCCGACGTAGCCGATACGACTTCGCCGGCGTACAACAGCAGCGGTATTTGCTTGCTCGCGAGGCTCGTCCGACCCACGAAGTCCACGCGCGAGCCCTCCGTGAACCTGTCGACGTAGATGTAAGTGCGAATTTCGAATTCGTCGTAGGTGATGAATACGTTCCTGTCGTTGATGTTGTTGTCCCAAATTACCCCGTCCACTTTGTTGCTCAGGCCCGGCACGGGCAGGATTTCGTTCGAAGCGGCGTTGAAGACGTACCCTTCGTATTTCGCGTCGAAGAAGACCGATCGGGTGCCGGTGGGATCCACGTAAATGTTTATAACGCCGGTGGAATGCGCGTATTCCATCGCTTTGCACCATTCTTCGATGTGGAAATAGACGATGCTGCCGGCGCTGGTGGCGTAAATTAGAAAATCGGCCGTTAGTTCGTGGCAGGTTATCGCAGTGGCTTCGTTGGTTTCTTCGGGAAACGTTATGGAATCTTTGTCGTCTTCGATGAGGTGGAATTGTATTCGTTTCTCGAATAGAACCGAAGCGTACTCTTGGTTCAATTTAACGCTGGTTACAGCGCCCAAGTACTGGCGTTCTCTGAGCTTCATCGGCGTATCGGACGAGCCGGTTTGGGATTTGGTCAAGCTGTAGAACCACACGTTGCTGTTCATACCTGCTGCGAAATGATTCTGACCTATGGCGATGAAACTCGGCTCGATGGGCAAAGCTACGGACACCGCTGTTAGTTTGGTTTTATCCGATGTGTAATTGTAGAAGGTGATTTCCGTGAGGCTCGATAAAACAGCCAGTCTCGGGGCGCAAACTGATGTCATAATCGGCATGTGGGAGACGTATATGTTAAGAGAACCTCCCTTAGTACAAACGCCTAGCAGTTGACCGTCTTGGCTCCAAGAAATCCTATCTATACCTGAAAGAAACGTAAACAATAGTTTGAGTTATTAGCTTAATGGAGGTGATATGAAGCTTACCAGATTCTTGCGCTAAAGTTAAAACACTCGAGGTCTCCTGTAAGTTGGCTAAATCGTGTATTTTAACGGTATTATCGCCGCAAGAAGCGGCCTTTCCTATATTCTCGTTAACGGCGATGTCGCTAAGGGAATTCCTGTGGTTTCGGATTTGAAATAGCTCTTGACCCACTTCCTTGATGTGCGTCGATATGGCAATAAAGTAACCAGAAGAGAAACCGAGCAATACGTATCCGTCTCCGAACCATTCGTATTTAACTATGGAACCGTAATGTGGCTGGAATGCCAGTTCAATCGGATTATCCGGATCTAGTAGATTGTAAAGATACAGAGTTTTCTTTCCCACTAACAAACTAACAGTGTTTTCGGCGCCTGTAAACGGAATACATTGTAAATGTAAAGCGACAATGAAAATCGAGCACTCACCTTCTCGTTCATCTGTCTTCATCCGAGAGAATTTGATCTCGGACGGTTCGGCTCTCAGCCCGATCACTCGCAAAGTATCACCGTCATTGTTACTAATCGATACGGTTTTATCGTCCGAACCCAACGCGAGCAAATTCTCGCTGTTCCAAGCACCGCACGTGATCCTCTTGGAATGCTTCCCGATGACGGGCACCCGCTTCGTGGTGTTGTGATCGTACAAGCAAACGTTCCCCTTCACCGAGCCCAAGGCGAGCAGCGGGGCGGTCTTCGACCACACCAAGCAGCTCACCGAGTCCTTGACGCCGACGTCCAGCGAGCGTTTCTCGCCCGTGTTGGAGTCCCAGAGCAGCAGCTGCGGCGATTGGGCCACCACGGCGAGCAGGTCGCCGTCGGAGTCCCAGGCGAAGGCGGCGCACAGGCCGGGTAGTTTGATGCGCTCGCGGATCTCGCCGTAGCGGTCGAAGACGTTGACGACGGAGTCGACGCCGGTGGTGGCCAGATAGGCGCCGGAGCCGCCCGTCTGCCAGGCCAGGTAGACGTCGCCGGCGCCGTGGGGCTGCTCCAAGCGGAACAGCAGCTTCTCGGCGGTCATCGCGTAAGCTAAAAATACTGGTTTACGTACGTGAACTTGTTGTTGGATAGCTTACATGGTTTACTTGGATTGTTGAATGGGACACGGTAACAACAGTTGTTGCCATGACGACGAAATGTATTACTTATTGCTTGGAGAGTAGAGTTGAGGTAAACGGATATTAGAAATTAAAAATCCATTAGAAATCTGTGAATTCTATAAAATTACGAAATTGTTGAAGTATACAGGTTGTTTACATTCGCAAAGTCTACAAAAAAACAGTAACATAAACTTTTGAAAAAAATGTCATTTGCTAGACTAAACTGGTGGTACTATTCAGCCCTCTTTTACATCCTTTGTTTTCGCGAATGAAACGTAGATTATATAGATAAAGGCGAAATAATAACAATGTATTCTTGCTCCCTGCACCTAAATAAAACAAATATATGTTTTGCTCGTTGTAAAATAAAGAATAGTAAATTTTGAAAAGAAATCTGACATTTTTGTCTTGTCACATGGCGTTTCTTCTTTCTTGTTTAACTCTCAACTATTCGTGTCCTTTTGTAATACTTTGTCTCAGCACTTTCTTAAAAAGCTGAAAAAGAGTGTGTACAGCATATACATATAAATATATATACTGCTCGCTCCCTACCCCAGCCGTGAGCTAGTCGCGTCCCAATCAAAGAGAGAGGTCCGATGAACATTCTGCACTCATCTGGACTTTTGTCAAAAGCGCGCAAGTACAGTTTTTACCGCCAAATGCCAATAATTTTAAATTAACACCATTATTTAAACATAAATTATACTGCTTAAAAGAATGAAAAGCTATTAAAAATGGGTTGGATTTGTTTGAGAATGTTTAAATAAGGGAACTAAAAACAATATTTGACTGACAAAAGTTATTTAGTTAATTGGAAGCAAATAATTAATAATATTAACATATTTTAATTAAAAAAAATAAATCCATTGATTTAATCATTATTTAATAATGATTTTTATTTAAGGAAGACACTCTTAAAACTATAAACAATCAATCACAATGGCGGAAGCGAAAGTACGAAGCATGTAAACGTAAAACGTAAACAAGATATTCACCCAATAACCCAACTTTTAAGAAACGATAGCCAATCGTTATCACGGCTCAATATCACATGACCGGGGCAAGCGCAGAACCCTATTTGGTCCAGAAGAGCGCCGACCTATATATCTGCACTCTAATAATTGGTACGCTTTCTGAACGATTCCAGCAGTATATATATTTATATGTATATGGTGTACAGGGTGTCCCAATAGTGCTGTAAAGCTCACAACTATAGAGAAAGAAAAATTTCTATATTTTATGTATACAATATATATTAATGTCATACATATTTTGCCTATGTTTACAACAACGTAGGTAACAAAATTTAAATTAGAATTATAATAATATCGAAAACTATAGATTTTTTGTAGAAAACTGAAAATGTCTCAGAAACGGTGATAGTTAGGTATAGGGAAGTGTTAAGAAAAATTGATTCATTAAGTAAATGGCTTCCTATTCGATATTAATAATATCGGGTGTTCCATTTAAATTAAACTTTTTAATTGAAAATGTTTAATTCTTGACCACGATACCGAATGGAAGTTCCTTATGGACTGTTTAGAATCATTTATTGAACGTTCCAGAATAATTTCGAACTGTCTAAAACAATCTAGAATGCTCTATCATCATTTAGAACTTTCCAGGCTTATTTAAAACGCTTTAGAATCACTTAAAACTGTCTTAGAATTATTTAGAACGCTCTAATAGAATCATTCAGACCTGTTTAGAACCATTTAGAACGCTCCAGATGTTTTCAAGCGTACAAGAAGTTCAAATATTCTAATTGTACTCTACAGTATGTATTCGTAGATAGATGTATATGTATTGAAAAAATCGTGAAATTTACATATTCCTTCGACAGGACATTTTGAACTCATTATAGGACCATAAAAGGGTCTTAATATGTAATGTAATGATAGGTTATACAGATGATACTTTAAAAAAATTCTGCTAGTAATTAACGACGAATTTTTTGTCGTTCGAACAATAATTAAATCGTTACAACAGTAACGAGAATTGTACGATGTTAATTGAATATTTATGTCTTTATTACACATTTCCATTTCTTTCGAAAGCGAAAGATTTAAATAAAAAGCGATTTCAATTTCATTTAATGTTACTTAATAAATTGAAACAGAACGGATTCGAAACATCCCAAAAAAAATGAACGTAAATTATTCCTTTTACAAGTACCACAAATGGTTGTTAATGGCCGCAGGCAAATGGCATTTGAAATTGGAAAATCCTGTGCTGAATTTCCTTTACGACACGTACGCTCTAGTCCTCTATTATTTATCCTTTATTATGGTACAAGATATACTAGTTACGATTATAATGTACAGAAAATGTACGCTTCGCGCAATGGAACTCGCTTGTTACTACGTTCAGTACTGCGACGTCTTAGTTATGAGCTATCTCAGCAAAAGAGATAAAATGAAGAAGGTAAGCCAAAAGAGTACCTATAATGTATTTGTCGTTTGAAATAACTTATCAAGTAGATCATGGGTATCATCTAGGTTCATGTAGATTAAGTCAATTTAAACCAGATAACTGTAGGTAGTTAATATAAGTCAATACGAACTATAGGTCTTTCTAGATTTTGTCCAAATGGACCATATTTGTAGATTAAGGGACCATGTTTGTAGGCTAATGAGTAATGTTGAATAAACACCGAATCTTTGCATAAAAATTCCTGATGCACTATCATTTCGACCTCAAACAAAATACAACCAAATTATTATTATTTACAGGTTTTAAACTACATATCAGACAACGAAAATAAGGATTTCAGCAAAATAGATATCGCCACGTACGAAAAGTACGCGAAAATCAACAGAACGACGCTATTTATCATATTTTCTTTAACTGTATCAGCCGGCATACCTTGGTACATATTCGTCATGAAAGCATCTCTGGCCGAAGACAACGAACCAGTCAATTGTCCTTTGAAAAGAGGTTTAGCCTATCAGCTTTGGTATCCCTTTGATTTGTATCACAAACAATTTTGGTTGGTTAAATTGTTTGATAGTATATTGTTTTGGTCGATGTTTTTTTCGTTGACTTTTACGAGGGTTGTAACGGTGTTTTTTATGGTTTATGTCTTAGGGCAGGTGAAAATTTTACAGAATAGAATCAGAGGAATCGATGAGCATTGTAAAATTGTAAGGAAACATTGCTCTGTTACTTATAATCAAGCTATTTTCGAAGGTATTGTAGATTGTGCTAAAAAGTACCGGGAAATACAAAGGTGAGTACCATACAAGGTAAAATAATATACAGAATAAAATTCATGTTAGTTTGCAATATAGGTTATGGCCCTGTTTCCCAGTTTTTTCAACCCTGAAGTATTCTTAGAAAGGGTTAAAATAGTCAACCCCTAAGACATTTTAACTTACAACTTTTTATTATGAAAATTTTTCTTTTAAAAAATATGGCTGACAAGCCCAATTCATTTACTAATTTTTAGTACCTCCTTAATTTTCATCAGAAAATCATCCCTTAAATTTTTTCGGTGTTGTAAACTTTGTAGATTAATGCGAATGGTTAATAAAGCGTCTAAAGAATTCATTTTAATTGGCTTCTTTAGCAATTCGTTTGAAGTTGCCTTATTCTTGATGCAATTACTTCTGGTGAGTAATTTTACAAAACTTGATTACAAAATCTTTAATTCATTGTAGTCAATTAGTCGTCAAGTAATTTTAATTCCAGGCAACTAATTTCTTCGACGCGGTGAAGCAATTAATAATCGTTTTTATGACGTTAACTCAATTATTTCTATTTCTTTGGTACGCTAATGGTATCAAAGAAGAGGTAAGTGTATCTATCGCCCACTCCAAATACTCGCTACCTTTACTATCTATGTAATAGGTACAGGGTGGCAATGTAAACAACAAACAAGGGGGGCTTTATCTCCCAAACGAAAAATTATATTTATTTAAGAAAAAACGTAACAACGGACAGTGCCATTGAAAAAAAGGTTGTTTTATTGGCTTTTAATGTTGTTTCATATTGTATCACAAATAAGGTTTGTTTGTTTTTAAAATTGTTAGATATGAATTTGATAATTGATTCACCATGTACAATTATTATTTATACCATTGGATAGCATTTTTATAGGCTTTTTAGTGATGTAAAAGAAGTGGGGGTTTACCATTTAATTTCTTTTAGTTGGGGTATCCCTTTCATACCCCAGAAACGGTTTAGGCATTTTTGATATCATCTTTCGTTTTCGAGATATAGCCATTGTAAGTTTTTAAATTGTCACACTGTTAGTATGAGTGTACTAGAAAAGGAGCGAGAATTCAAGGTGTATGTAAAGTAAATAATATGGATTGGTTATTAAACATTTATTGTAGAGCGGAACTCTAGCGAATATCATTTACAACGAAACGAATTGGATGAATTACGATACGCGAAGCAGGAAAATGTTAATATTGTTGATGACCAGATCTCAAAGGCCGATTACCTGCTATTCGGCGTTCCTTGGAGACATGACTATTGATACTTTTAAAGCGGTAAGTGGAAGTTATTAAATTGGTCAATATTTTCAAAAGTTTTTAAGTGTATCTACATTGTAAAAAGATCTAATGCGAATTGCGCGCCAAAGGAACCATAGATTTTAATCCAGTTGGTAAATTGGTCGGGCAGAATTAAAGGCCCTTTTAATTAGACAGGTAAATTGAGAGTGCAGAATTTTAGTTTACACCAATGTATTTTCTACTCTAGGTACTATAAGTATGACCTAAAAAGGGATTATTATTTTGGAGGGGAATTCCTGTGCACAATCCAATGTAACTTTCTCTTATTAACCTACCGTTATTCCCTCTTTGAGCTATTTTGACGGGGTACCGTCTATTTTTTACCTGAAATGTTCTTACGCTCAATTTACCTACAAGAATAAGTACCTTTTTATACTTTCAAATATAATTTGACGCCCAACTTACTTTTAGCTCTGTAAAATTACCGATTTCCTACACCTATGTATGTAGTTTCCAGTGGTATGTACATGATAACATATTACAATTTACATTTATTATTTGTTTCAGATGATAAAATTGTGTTATTCGATTACTACATTTTTTAAGACGGCCTATCTATAAAGTTCAAAAAAATTGCCGGAGTAGAATTTTACACGAGCAACTCTGGAGTTAGTGGATTGTGTACACGATACAAAAATATTATATAGTGTAGATTTTTAAATAAATGTTAACCTGCACAAAATTGAAAAGTATATCTATAATAAAAGCTTTGTTCAATATTGGTGTAACTTTCAATTTGAATAAGAAATTATGGAAATGAGATATACAGGTAGATTCAAATGTTCTATAGGTGCATTAAAGACAACTTACATCAGTCTCTTATAAAGGAAAAAGAAAGGGTGATGCTGTGTTGCGACTTTCTCACTCTAACTACTGTTATTTTAATAATTTTTCTTTATTCAACTCATAGAATTTACCACATTGCAAACAATTTTGCTCTCACCCATAAAAGTAGCTATTAAGTGAACTGTTTAGTGTCCATTTGATGTTTATAATTTTATTGATTTTAAATAGATTTGTTCATATTGAAACACTTTAAATCGTCTTGCACCAATTCTAGTACATCCTACAGTTCTAATGACTCCTGAAGTATTCTTAATTGTTCTAAACAGTTCTAGTGCATCCTGAATTGTTCTATATATTCTTATGCATCCTAAATTGTTCTTAACATTTATGTGTTTGTATTTATAGGTGAATCTATGTTAACGCAATAGTACCCTCGAGACCGATCTAGTACTGTTAGGTACTACAGACACTTATGAAGCAGCTACTACAGAAAAATGGCAAAAAAATCTGCATATTTTTATTGAAAAACCATTTATATTATAAATAATATATCCAGAATCTAACGTCTCTGATCAGAAAAATTTCACAAGACTACACGACATTCATTCGACAAGATCTTACTCGCTAAACTTCCTTGTTTTGTTTTAAAGCACAACACGTACAAGACTACTTTTGTATTCGAACTAAAAAAATAGAACAAAGAACGAAACTAAAACTCACCATTATGTGCCGTTATTTCTTCATAATAAAGAAATATTAATAATATAGATTTTGGTCATTATATTCTCTCTTTTTCGCCATCGAGGTACCAAACAGATCTTTACGTAAACGCTTTTTAAACCTATATAAAAAAGAATTTGAACTGGTCACGGATGAATAAAAAAAAAAGATATAAACAGAAATATTTGGATCTATTTGGTACCCAAAATGTCAAAAATAGGTTTGTTCCAACAAATGCACTGGACTGTTCTAGCCAAATTCGGAACTGTTCTGTGCACATCGTTCCGAACAAACCTAATCAGTTAACGAAAACAATTCTCGATAGATTGAATCTATTATTTTATATGTAGACTTTACATTTTTTGCCCTACTTATTTTAATGTACATACAAAACAAGTACTCAATTAAAAAGTTATAATACTAGTGCGCGTCGTTTGACGGAACTCGGCGACGTTTCGAACAAATATTTCCGTCTTCAGTCCCTCAAACTTGAAATATACAGTGATAGATTTTGTACTGACAATTTCACTGAACCAGTGATGTAATGTTTGCACTTTAAATGACAAAATGTCGAAATTCCGTTTAGCTTAATCTCCTACTATGAACTCATTTTTTTTTAAATTTAATTAATTCTTTCTATTAATTTATTAACTACGTGCCTACTCGTAAATTTAGCAGGTAATAACTTACATAAATTGGACGAAAAACCCCCCCTTAATAATTAGTATTTATAATAAAATGCTCGTAGAGGTTACGAGAATTTTGCGTAAAATAAATATTTTTTTATTTAAATATAAGCAACTAAAAAATATATCTAGAAAATAAAGAAACTTCGTAAATTAACTAAAAATACATTCGTGTAGACTGCATATTGGGAAGAGTTTTTTAATTATTGAGACCAAAGTCATGACTAAATGGTAAGACATAATACAGGGTGTCCCAATGAAAAGTAGCCCATTTAATCAGTTTAACTTTTAAGACATAATCATAAAAACAATATTCTACAGAAGGTGTCCCATTTGATAAAATTTGGTTAATAAGAATTGAAAAGAGGGGATTTTATTAAAACACCTGGTACACATATGATACAAAATTCCTGTGTCACTCTAACAAAAGTTGCAAACAAATTTGCACTCACCTTCCATTTGATGGTCCATGTTTAGTGTCCATTTGATGTTTATAATTTTATAGAAGCACAAGAAGCACTTTAAATCCAATTCTAGTGCCTACTGAAGCACTCAAAGTTGTCCTTAACCGGTTCTAATCCATCCTGAAGCACTCTAAATTGTCCTGGAGCAGTTCTAATGCATCCTGAAACATTCTAAATTGTCCTGTGCCAGTCTAGTGCATACTGAAGCACTCTAAATTGTTTTGCAAACTTTTATGCACTTTGGTGTACATGCGAAAATAATTAGGCGTTTAAAACTTACAAACTGATTAAATTGACCACTTTTCATGGGGACACCTTGTTTAGTACAGTTTTTGACCATACTATAAGTCGAAAATATTATTTGGAAGCAATTCCGAGTTTTTAAATTTTGATTACGCTTTCTAAATCACCTTAAACGCAGTGTAATTTGGCGCGAGAGAACCTTTTTATTTGACTTTTCTTCAATGAAATTGTCAATTTTTTTTTTTCGAATAAATATGCGTGAAAATATAATCTACTCTGACAAAACCATTACTTTCGTTTCTCACAATTGCAACTTCCTAAGAAATAGAAATACAAAATAATAAAAAAAAACAACAAAAAATATATATGGAAATCTAGCATAAACATTATTAATATTTAATGTACGTTTAGATCCCTTTTCACGTATGTAATTGTCATTTATCTCGGTAAATGTAACTCTATAAACATTTTAACGTTTCCAAACTCGAACCGATTTATTATGATTTACTAAGTTTATATAATGACAAAATTTGAACTATAATTCTTTATTTAGTAAGGTTAAGGCCATTTCTTGAAATACTAACGATTCTTTCAATACTTTTGTTCAACACGACAAATAAAAGGGTTCGCGTTCTTACAATATTACCATTCGAATACAACACATATCATAAATTTTTCAAAAAAACCTCATGATATGCTTCTAATCGTTAATTAAATGTTAATAGACAAAATTCAAATAAAAAAATATACACAAATTAATCTGACAAAATAAACTCTTTCACTTCCTGGCCGACCTTTTGGCCTTTCTCGGCGCCGGCTTGGGCGCCAATTTCGTCGCTGCCTTTGATGTGGAAGGTTTCATTGCCTTTGCATCTGTTATGAAATAAAACGAAATATTAGACAATATTAATTATAGAATAAATAATTAGATTGGTTCGTTTTGAGTAAATGTTATAGAAAATTAAAACTATACTTTTATTGTTTCCGGATTCTTTTAATATTGCTCTTCTGGAGCATTCTAAATGGTTCTAGACAGTTCTAAATTGTTCTGGAGCGTTCTAAATGATTGTAGATAGTTGTAAATGATTTTAGCCAGTTCTAAATGGTTCCAAGCATCTGTAGGGATTTGTTGGCAATAGACTCGATGTAAGGAATGAAGCTCAATTTTTCATCAGAAAGTACTACTAGATATTTGATGGTAGATTCATTTAAAAGATTCACATTATCGATATTAGAATTCAAGATAATACCACACATTTACTACAGTAGAATTTCATGATTTTTCGTTTGGAAATATCTAGATTTTAGTAGGAAATACCTAGATTTTAGTATATCGAATAGGCTTACTTTTCGCAGTTTGTTGCTTTGTACTACCGATCGGAGCAGCAGCTTTCCTCCCAATTTTCGCCAACACTTTAGCCTTTTTCTGATCCACAACAGATGAACTAGCTTTAGCGCTGGTTTTGCTTTTAGCCCTGGCTACCCGACCGGCCGTCGCGACCACTCGCGTCGCCTTCTTCGGCTCCACCGCCGCCGCCGGTTTTCTACTAACAACGGTCTTTTTCGTTTTCGTTGCCGCCTTGATCGCCTTGCTCGGTTCCACTCGTCTCGCCTTCGGAGATTCCGGCGACTTTCTCGTCGGTATGCCCTTTTTGGGCGTCGGCGTCTGCGATCGCGGCCTGCCCTTGCGCTTCGCGCCGCGCTTCTTCTTCTTTATTTGTTCTTCGCCTTCGTACAACGACAAATCCACTGAAAAATCATAATAAAAATTACAATATATGGTGTTAATTAGTTGAATGCCGATACTTCAGGATGTAAATATTTGGTTGATTTTAAGAAGAAAAGTTTATATCAATGTATGTCCTAAATCTTAGTTTTCGAGCTACAGGGTGCTACATTTTTAGAAAAAAAAACTATTCTATCATAATTTTCTTATTACTCCAGATATTTTTATGAAGTTAGCAAGGATGTTACAAAGTCTTAAAATATGTTCTGCAGATATCCTACGATAAAATAGTGCAAAAATAGTAGAAACCTATGATATTGTTCTAACACGGCCACTATTATCTAAACAGTGTTGCCATACGTAAGATTAGTTGGTGGATTATGATGAAATCCGTTAAACTATTTACCAGAAAATCGAAAGTTGATGGACTGATATGAAAGCAATTAAAAAATTTCTTATAATCTTCATGCAACTTATCATAAATATTATAAAATGCACAGGCTACATGCAATATTTCCTATTTTACTTTTTGTTTTAGATTAAGAAGAGTCAGTAATAATACAAATCTACGTCTTCTTTCCATTACGTTCGACTCTAACTAGAAATTTGGCAACAGCGGCAATATTTATAGCACAATACATTGTAGTAGTGTGAAAATTGTTAACCTTTTATCAGTTGCAATATATTGCAGCGCGTGAAAACGCTCTAACACACAGTCGCACACTTTATAACAATATTTAATAATATTATCGTGTCAAATAAATGTAACTTACATCCATCGGGATGTTCGGCGGATACGGAAGCCTGCGAAATCTCCCCCTTTTCCACAGCAAAACACCTCTTTAAAATGCTGTCCGTTCTCGATTTCTCCGCCGGCTTCAACCTGTACCGCCCCTTACCGACCCTCGTCAAATCCAAACTAGTCAGAATGCAATCAAAGTCCGTCGTATCGTAGAAATCCGGCGTGTAAATCTCGCCGCTCTTCTCGCTCTTGTCCTGCGACAACCACCGGATTTTGATCTTCGACGAAGTCTTGTAGATATTCTGCACGGCCTGGCACACGAAGAAGCTGCCCTCGGCGTTCCTCACGGCGAGGAACTCGTTCTTGTAGAAGTATATGAGCTTGTCTTCGCTGTGGCGCGTTCTCGGCGTCGACGTGATCTTCGTGATGATCTCGATTTCGGGCAACGGGCTCTGGTAGTGCTGCGTCCGGATCCTCTGTCGCTTCACTTTCGTCGAGCTCGGAGATTTCTGAGCCGACGCCTTCGAATCGGCTTTCGCCGCTTTTACTCTTCTGGCCGGCGGCTTCTTCACGTTCTCCTCCGGCACACCGCTCTCCGAATCAACCTAAATTTATAGAATCATTAATTACCTACATACCACTTTATGCTAATAAACTAAAAAGAGCAAGCTAATCTTTACTTTACCAAGATAAAGTTCAAGTCTGAAGCCTCCAACAGGTCCATTGTGCCATTACTGGTGCTTCTGTTTAAGCTTCCAGAGGCCACGACCAGTTACCGTTAGTAACTCAAATAGAAATATCACGAATTACTATACCTCTTCGCTAGATTGATCCTCGTAGCTCTTATCATCTTCGCTGGCTTCCTTAATATCCCGCGTTTGTGTAGTAGGTACGGATTCCTTTTGCTCGGCGGTCTTCGGCTGCGCCGAAGCGGCCGCGGGCCCCGAATCGGAGGAATCGTTCTGGGGCTGCTCCGATTCGGAGGACTCGTTGGAAAGCGCCGGCGTCGCGGCGGCGGGCGCGCCAACGGCTGGAGCCGACTGCGGCTCTTGCACTTTGGGCGCGGGAGCCGGCTGGGCGGGCTCCGCGGACGCCTTCGCGGCTTCTTGGGCGGGTTTGGGTTCCAAAGCGGGAGGCGCGGGCGGATCCACCGCGGGCTTCTTCTCTTGAGCGGGCTGCGCGGGCTTGGGCTTCTCCGTTTGCTGCTGTTGCGGTATCGAAGGAACTGCGGTTACCTAAAATATACCAGGCGCGATTAATAAGCGAAAGTATCGATGTAACAACTACTCGTGACGAATAGTAAACATGCCACAGAGGACGTATTAAAGGCGATATTTCAATATCGACGATAAGTGATAGTAAACACATCGAGATAGGGATTTGCAGTGTTGCCGCGAGACTTACTGGTTTATGCTCTTGGACGTGAACAGTCGGCGGTAACGGCGACGTGACGTGGTTACCGTGAACTTCGTGCTTATCCGATTTGACGGGGGATACGGGGGGTTGAACGTTGGACGTTCCATTGGCGTGCGGTTTGTCCTTCTCCGGGTCGGCTTCTTTGATCGGGGAGGACTTGACGCTGGTGGAATTGGCGTTCGATACGACCGGCACGACGGCTGCTTGCGGGGACGTCGACGAAGACGTGGTCGCGGGCAATGTTTGACTCACCGGTGGTACGGCGTTTTGATTTTGTGTTGCATTCTGATAGCCGGTATAAACGGTTTTGGAGGAATTGAAGTTCTGGCCGCCGGTGGGCTGGCTCATGGCCACCGGGTGGTTGCTGGCGGGTATGGTTCCCATGTTGAAGTGGGCCCCGCCGCCGGGGACGTTCAAAGAGTAGTGGTTCGATTGGGCTGACGGGTGATTGTGGGCCACATTGGTGTTCGGAAACGAGCCCTGGCCCTGCTGGTTGAACGGCGCGGGCGCTCCTTGAGGATGGGCCGGTTTGTTTGCACCCGCCGTGGCGCCGGCGTTGTTCTGAGACGGTGCCGTCAATACTGGTTTCAACGTTGAATTCATCGTTAGTTCATCTCAGGAGCCTGGAAATAAAAAAATAATAATTGGTTATTTTATAATTAGGATAGCATATGTATGTATGTGTATTATATCAGCATCTGTATAATAGGGCATTAGTAAACAAACAAAACCTGCAGTAGGTATAGATGGAAATAACAGTTGATCTGGCAACATTGTAGTGCATTATCTATTTTTGAATAATTAAAAAAACTCATAACAAACATTACCATATCGAATTTAATGGTTATAATTAGCTGAAAAGAAACTGGATTTGCCGCTTGCAGCGGGAACTCGTGCAAGAAGTTTGCAGAAAATACGTTTTATTTACAATAGAATAGCGCCCTTGAAAAATCTGTAAACATAGGTGAAATTGAAACGTCTCGAAAGTGACAACTTTTTGTGATTGTATCGCAGCAAGTTATGAATACACCGGCCAACTCGAATTTATAATACATATCCACATTAGGTATCGAGCACGAGCCGATATTAAAAGAGTTAAATTTACGAAAAATATATCACAAACGACAACAAAAAGCCCCCGTGCACGAAACAATAGACGAGATTAGAACGATTTGAACATTGTTTACGGGTCAAACAGCTTGGGGTAACCGCTGAAACGTTAAATTATTATGGGAGCCAAGCGTTTCGCCTTCTTTTTTAAAAAGAAATAGGGCGGATGCCGTTCGGGATAAAATAAACAACGAATTTACTCACTTATTTCCATAACAGTAAATATAAACTCGACTGGAAAACGCAAATTTACTTATGGCGTCTCTGTAACACGAACGAAACGAACACCATCGAATAGAACAGTTCTTCTCTTTCTCTTTCGCTTTCGCCCTCTATGCATTTCATCTCGAAATTTTCCGCCTTACGTTTCACCAGTGGCGGAGCGTACGGGCGTGTTGAAAAGGACACAGGCAAATTAACCTTGTGGTTGATTTGATATATGGGTTGTTCAAATGTTAGAACAAAAAGGTTCGTAAGTATTAGGGGTAATATCGAAGGAGTGTAGCTAATTCATTGTTTTAGGCACTATTTCATTTTTATTATAATAATTACGAAAGTAAAAATTTAAGCACGCCAATGGTAGATGATATGTTTTGTATACCTCCCAATGGAAGCAAAAGTGACAGATAAGATCGCCGATGTGAATCGCTTCTAATATATGTTTGTCCCTTTTTCACCCGTTTCATTTATGATGCTTTCTCTATTTAATTGACAGATCTGTGAATAGTCAAATTGTAAAATTGAATTAAATTAATAATTTAGAACCATTGGTACAAATTTGTATGCTAGAAAGTTTAGATTAAAATTTATTTTGCTTTTTGACTTTGTTTTTTAGGTAAATAAAAATATTTATAAAAATGTAAGTAGTTTGACAAATGACGTTTGACCGCAGAATCATAGGACAAAAGGGCATACGGCAATGTAATAATAATTAGCAATATTATCATAGCAATAATACTAGAGTATTAGCAAAATTGGTAATTTGCCTATTACATTATACATTACCAAAGGAAATTCAGCTCTAGCTTCTTTTTTGCTCTGGTGACTTTTACAATGACAGCAACTAGCTATATTTATCAGTTGTTGCTATGTTCAGGTATTTCATCAAGTTCATAAATGTCAGGGTGTGTCAGTCTGTCAGTCAAATAATGTGTCAGTGAAAAAAAACAAAGAAGTTTATTTAATTGCATTTAAATTAATGGGGTTTTCGTTAAAATTTTAAATCAGTCGAACCGAAAGTTCTATTTTTTTTTTCGCCAAACGCAATTTATGTCTTACGATCATTTTTTTTGACAATCCCTGAAACAGCTGATTAGCACAATTGTCATATTGTTTATTTCCTGTTATCGCAAAATATTTTGATTTCATCAAAACTCCGTCACAAATGGTATGTAATCCGCAATTTTAACATAAAATCACACACGACTTTTTGCAGGTAACGGAAGATTAGTAAGACTCGAACAAAATTCTTTAAATGTCAAAAGTCTAGGGTGAACTATTTTTTGTAAAATTATGACTGGAATAGTTTGTGGACAATTTACTTTTTTCACTGAATTTGACTCTGCGAATTTGGCCAAGGTGGAATATGTTCCTAAAGTAAACGATGTCGGTAAGAGTACAATGACTTTTTCACTATCGTGCTCGCATTACGCAGGTATATTTTGCAGTTTTAAAACATCCAAACAAGTTTCAAGACTTTATCGATGCCGAGTTTAATATATGGACCAAACCGGATTGTTTCGGCACAGAACACGAGAACACCAATAGGACATGGTTCTATTTCGGAATGAAGGGTAAATTCTGACACCTCCAATCATTCCTACTCATTATTCATGTAATTTATTGAAGTAATTATTGTTTTTAGCTCCCGCGGCCGCGTTGAATGTAAAGTTTAACCTGGTCGATTTGAATCGACAAGGTAAAATGTACAGTCAAGGTATGGCTCCAGTTTACAGAATCGTGCCTGGCAAACAAAAATGGGAACGGATATCTGACAAGCCTACTTATTCCGTGAGTAAAATACCATTAAGTAGCCTTAGACTAACATCTTCATGCCTAACCTTAACTCCTACTAAACTGAACGTGCAGACTAAGACAGTGCTTCGATTAAGGACTCGTTCCTCCTCAATGGATGCCTGTTTATGTCTTCAAAGGGACTCCAAAGATTTGATATTCTAGGACATGATTCGATGTTTCATCAGCCACCCCTGCAAAGGGGACTTCCTTCAAAACCTAGTTTATAGTGGAGCTTTTCCAGACAGTTAGGAGTCCTGCTATCTATTTTAACCGACTCCTTGGTAGTTTTATAGCTTCTGATCACAACTCCTAACACGTATTGAGTACACCCAATCTCTAATAATAAATATTGTACATTTCAGATTCAGGACGACATATTCACGTTATCGTTTAAGTTCAAAACCGCCGACAATCCCGAAGCCATCATGTACTTCGCCTTTACATACCCGTTCTCTTACACCGAGCTGGATAGAATGTTAGTAAACGTCGATTCTAAATACCTCAACGTCCATCCTGTAAATGAAGACGATATATATTACGTGAGAGAAACGATCACGCACTCGCTGGACGGCAAACCGATCGATTTGTTAACGATCAGTTCGTACCACGGGGCTTCGAAGGAACGCGAAATCAAACTGAAGAACCTGTTCGCCAACAGCGCGGAGCCCAGGCCTTTCAAATTCCCCGGAAAGAAGGTATATTTCTACTATTAACCCAGCAGCGTAAGAATATGGAGAATTGTAGAATTATTTCGGTAGGTAATCTTCGTATCGGCTAGAGTACATCCCGGCGAAACGCCGTCCAGTTTCGTTTTCAACGGTCTGCTGAGCCTGTTGTTGACCAGAGACGACATTATCGCTCAGACGTTACGTAAAATGTACGTATTCAAGTTGATACCGTTTCTGAACCCGGACGGAGTGTCCCGAGGCCACTACAGAACAGACAGCAAGGGCGTGAACCTGAACAGGGTCTATCTGAATCCCAGTTTAATGGAGCATCCTTCGATCTACGCGGCGAGAGCTTTGATAAGGTGTGTATCGTGACTCGACGAAATTGCCCAAAAAAAACCAAAACAGTTCCGGTAAAATTAAATGCAAGTGTTACACTAGTTTACAGGTTTTCCCTTTTTTTTTACGAGGTAAAATCAACTTTTTTTTTTATTTTGACGTGCTTACGTCTGGTTTCTTTAATTTGTTCAACATGGTCATCATTCATGATCTCCTTCTATATGGTTTTAGGCAGTTTTAAATGGTTCTGGAGCGTTCTAAATAGTTTGAGACAGTTCTAAATGGTTCTGGAGCGGTCTAAATGATTCTAGATACTTCTAAATGATTCTGGAGCGTTGTAAATCGTTCTAGATAGTTCTAAATGTTTCTGGAGCGTTCTAAATGGTTCTGGAGCGTTTTTAATGATTGTTGTAAATGATTCTGGATCATTCTAAATTGTTCTTGACAATTCCCAATGATTCTGGAGCGTTCTAAATGGTGCTAAACAATTCTAAATGATTCTGAATCGTTCTAAATGGTTCTAGACAGTTTTAAACGATTATGGAGCGTTCTAAATGGTTCTGGTAGTCTAAATGATTCTGGGGCGTTGTAAATGATTCTAAACAGTTCGAAATGATTCTAGAGTGTTCTAAATGATTCTAAACAATTTTAAATGGCTCTGGAGTTTTCCAAAATGTTCTAGATAGTTTTTAATGATTCTGGAGGTTGGTAAATGGAACTAAACAGTTCTAAATGATTCTGGAGCGTTCTAAATGAATGTAGACAGTTCTAAATAATTCTGGAAAATGGATTTTATGGAAACGAATTTTATAACTCTTGTAATGTGATATATTTTTTCTCCTAAGCTATCTTATTTTTGGGCTATTTTGACGTGGTACCGGTGTGTTTAACGAACAGTTTAGTATGTTTAATGTGTCTATTTTTTAATTTTCTTCGTACAGGTATTATCATTTTGGGTACGAAAAAGTGGACGTTGTACCGATGTGCGATACGTGCAAGGCCGCCTCCACGAATTCAACGGATAGTAGCGATTCCGATTACGATGATAAAGAGAAGGATCGCATCAGAAAGAAAGTCTCTCGAATATCGTTGGACGAGAAAGAGGGCGAACAATCGCCTTGGTGTACTAAATGTAAGACTAATATACTTAAATTGGAAGATACTATGCCGGGCATTTCATCAATCATACCTACTTTCAATTTAAAATCGGCCTTAGGTAGGATTGGGGTATTGTATTTTGAATGTTTTGTGGGGAGGCGAGATGCATGGAATTATTTTATGTTTTTTTTTGTGGTTAATATGCGATTCATTTCGATTTTTGTTGTTTTGTTCGCTCTTTAGTGTTTTGTATACAGGGTGTTTCTTAATAACTTGCTAAAATTTAATGGGGTAATTCTTGGATCCATTTTAAGAAAAATATGTCCTAAACCTAAAATTTATTACTACCTAATTTCAGAACAGCGGCTAATATAGCGATATCGTACAAATGAATGGATTTAATTATTTTTATGCGAAACGATGAGTCGTACGGAAAAAAGCCAAAAAATCAAATTTGTTCTAAATTGATTGGGGATTCAAAAAAAATTATTTTAACCTAAAGCAGTGGAGCACCACTTTTTCCTTTAAAAATATCCCGTTTGAGTCCAGTATGGACGCCACTGTAGGAAATAAAAAAAATCTTTTTAGGTCAAAAAATGCTCTTCAATGCTTAAACGCCGTGCACCAAATTTCATAAAAATATTTAAAATGGTATGGAAACGATAATAAAAAAATGATTTTTTTTTCTTGAAACACCCTAAATCTCAAAAGTTGAGGCGTTTAGGACATATGTTCGTATGAAGATTTTTTCTTAAAATGGGTCCAAGATTCACCCCCTTAAGTATTAGGATGTTATTAAGAAACACCCTGTATACTCTGACTTAAAATGATTCAGACTTCTTAGTTCAAATATCGGCAATATTTTAATTTGTTCTAATCACTGCTTGGTATATGTTCTTGCATCCACTAAAATTGTTGTTTCTTATGCATTGAATTTCGGAATAAATTAGTATCTAATATGTCAAACGGACAATAAAGCTAATCCATTCTAAAAAGACAATGACGTCACGAGCCAGCCTGATGCAACGTTGCCGGGTTGTAATTGAAATCCCTTATATGACGGATATATTTAATTTAAGGTCGTGTTTAATTTTATTGTTTAAAAATTAAAAAAAGTTATAAATAGTAGAATTTAAACGGGAAAGAGAAAATTATGGGGAGCTATTATGATTTTGCGAGTATTACATAATTTAAGAGAATATTATAAACAGACGCACGAAAAACACAGAAAAACGTGGGAGAAATTGTCGATAAACGTACAGAGACCGCAAGTAAAACTATGAAAAAGATGATATTTGAAGTAACTGATAGTAAACAGTTTTCTTAAAAATAACCAAGATTAAGTTGATATTACGATATAACTTCGTGTGAAAATCATAACCACAAACACGGTCCTATATTTCTAAGGTCTGGAAACATAGGTCGAAAAAGTGTCCCGTTATTTGAGGATAAAACAGGGTTCCTATCAGGGTTATATTCAAACTAAAAATAGATACAAAATATAAAAATATACTTAAAACAGCCATGATTTTGTTGTTAACATCATGCTTTACGTATCTTCGGTTAATGTATTTCTCCATTTTCTCCTCGAAATGTCAAAAAATAATTTTTGAAGTTTTGACAGCTTGAACTGTCGTCTCACAATCGCAATTTATATTTAGCGCGACGCTGATTGGCCGAGATAAGTTGGACACATTATCTAATGCATAAGCATAGGAAGTTTCCAGTCCTTAGAAATATAGGCACAATAAACATTTTGGCAACTAGGGAAATGTGGAACTGCTTGAAAATAACTAAAAATGACGTCATTCTCGTTTTAAAACGGATAAGCTTTGGTAATAAATTTCCTGTCATATGTTTTTTGCTTGTTATCTTTTAGGGCATAATTTTTGTCGAAATTGCGGGTCGCAACTAAAGCACACGAAAAGTAAAGAAGAGATTGAATTTGAAAAGGTTGTTACAGGTGACCACGGGGATTTAAACGCGAACGAGTCCGGTCTTTACCTGTATATCGATTTGCACGGACACGCGTCCAAGAAGGGCGTGTTCATGTACGGGAATCATTTCGATGACATTGACAGAAATGTGGAATGTATGTTGTTACCCAAACTGATGAGTTTAAATAATCATAATTTTCATTTTCATGCTTGTAATTTTACCGAGAGAAATATGTATCTAAGGTGAGTCAATCAAAATTAATATGCATTTTGCATTACATATACTTTATCATTGAACAAAAAGAATACAAGAAGGGAGGACCTACAGGGTGGCACATTATAGTATGGAAAAGCTCAATATATCTGTGATTCATCCATCCAACTGAGAAAATGTTACTTTTGGGTTTGGATTCAAACTGTTTTTACATGCAGTAAAGTCTTTGTTCAACATGTTTCCGAACATTTCGGATCATTTCAGAGGTTATATTTCTCCAAATGCTTGTACTGTTTTAAATGGGCCACCCTGTATGTTTTGTGATGATGCAGATTTTTGTGCATTAGATATTAATGCAAGCCTCCTTTAGTGTACATATTCTTTTATTCAATGAATCATTTATTAATGTATAGTTTGTGCAAAACAAAATTCAATGCACGTCACTACTGTCGTCATATTTGTCAAGCATTGTGGCCAACTTTTAAATATAAATACATAAAATAGGTTAAGGTAAATACTTACAGAATTTAATTCATAGAAAGTTCTGCATGGTAACAAAACTAGAATTTTAAAAAATCTATAAATTCTATAAAAGTTCGGCAACACCGCCTATTGGTGACGTAGTAAATTTTAGGTGACGTGCTTCGAAATTTGTTTTGCATAAACTGTAGACGAATTTAATTAGGTAATAATGTTGTATTTATTTTAGGGATAAAAGGGACGGTATGAGCCGAGCTGGCTCTGGAAGGGTAGCCGTTTTATCTCTTACAGGCATTATAAAAAGTTATACTCTCGAATGTAATTATAACACAGGAAGACTGGTTAACGTTTTACCTCCTACTATTAAAGAACCTCACGGTAAAGTGCACACAATATGCATACCACCAAAATACACGCCGCAGACGTTCGAAGAGGTAAATAATAATACTGATATATACAGGGTGTATCTAAATAACAACGAGAAAATTTAAGGGGCGTTTCTGTGATGAGAATTAAGGTGCATGGATACTTGGTATACAATTTTTTGAAAAAACCCTCCCCGGAAAAGTTATACCTCTCCGCAGATTGAAAAAAAATCTTTTAAAGGTTTTTCTTCTATATTTTCCCTGTATATTAAGCTGAATGCATGAAACTTTGGGAATATTATTTGTCAATGAAACTACACATTTTGAAATTTTCAACACCAAAGTATGCTTAGAAGGGGTTGAAATAGTCAATCCCTAAGGCATTTTTGTAAAAATCTTTTTTATTTCTTTAAACTTTTTTAGATGAAAATTTTTCTTTAAAAAAATATGGCTGAAAAGCCCAATTTGTTTACTAACATTTTTATCTCTACAAGATTTTTCCAAAACTTAAGCATTTACGAGAAAAATATATATTGCAAGTAAATATGTACTAATTAACATGAACAAAAGCAAACCAAAAAAAATGGTTAAAAAAAATATACCAAATACCCACCTTAATTTTCATCACGGAATCACCCCTTCAATTTTTTCAATTATCTCGAAAAGTACTTGATTTAAAAAATGAAAATCACCATGTTATAAAAAAAACATTTCTCTACAATTTTGCGATTTGAATAATTTCGAAATAGTTCCAAATTTCCGAGATATTTCGAGTTTAAGAAAAAATCTGTAGACCACCCTGTATTGAGACTCTAACGAACCAAAACATATACCGCATCCGATTTTCAGGTGGGAAGATCCTTGGGCACGTCGATTTTAGATTTAACCGGTAACAACCCTTTCACGCGAATACCGAACTCTGAATTCCACACGCTAGCCGGCCTGAGGGATTGGCTGAAGCAAATGAATCCGGAATTGAGCGCGTGCTCGAAACCGAAAGCGAGATCGGCCCTTCACAGTCAGGTAGGTAATATCACGACAGATACAGATTCAGACAGAGATTGTTGTAAGGACATGTCGAACGACACCGACTATCCCGTTACAATCAAAACTTGCGTTGTTTGTTAAAATCATTGAAGGGTTTATATGCGGTAAACGTGGGTGTAGTGAGTTTTTTTGCGTTCGAAAATTAGGTTGTTAGGTTTGTTGAACTATGAAGCAAAATATAAAATTTGCTAGCGTTTGTGTACATAAAATATACAGTATGACAATTTAAAAACGTACAGTGGCTATATCTCTCAAACGAAACATGATATCTAAAAATGCCTAAAACCGTTTCTAGGATATGAAGGGGGAACTAAAATGGCATAAAAATGAATTCAACCCCATCAACCTCCTGGGCCCCAGGCCCCAGGCCCCTTTTTTATGTCATTTTACTTTCATACCCCTTCATACCTAAGAAAGGGTTTTAGGCATGTTTTGATATCATCTTTCGTTTGGAAAATACAGTCATTCTGTTTTTAAATTGTCATACTGTATGTATGAAATATGTATACAGGTTGTCCCAAATAAGAACCGACACAGTGCAGGAGCGTGTAGAAGAGCCTAAAATATGTTGTTTAATCCAACTTAACTTAATACTGTCAATTTTTGAATTATTGACGATTTTCAGCAACATTAATAGTGTACGATGGTAAGGAGCTATCGGCCTGACGATGAAAGACTATGATTAATTATTATATTATTTTTCTACATAATCTCCAGTGTTTTTTACTCACTGACTGGTGTGTTTTTTCTTTTTTACGACTTTATTTGAAGAGAAAAAAATCAGTAAAATTCTATTCTACGTAATTCGACGAGATGTTAATGATGTTAAACGATAATTTTTTAAATCATCCATCATATAAAAAATTCTGTAACATTTTAAGGGTGTATCATTTCTGATGAACCCTTTAAAATAAATCAATTGATCTTTCCTACTCGATTAATGATCTTAGTACGCTTATAACTTATACCAAATTTAGTTGTATTAAGTTTGAGTATTACTGAAATAATAACTGTAACTCCACTTTGAAGGCCTTTAACTTCTCAGGAATGTAACTTTGTATTAAGTTAAATTGGGTTAAACAGCATATTTTAGGCTCTCGGACACGCCCCTGCTCTGTATCAGTTCTTATGCGGGATACCCTGTATATAAAAATATCATTAAGTGACCTTTTCTTGACAATTAAAAGCTGCGAAATGATATACATACATATATTTTGTTAAGAGGAGTGTTATTAATTTTTATAATGTATAGTAAGAAAAACTATTTAATAACTGGAAAAAAATCCTAAAACCATAATTAATATTGATTTTATATTTACTGACTGAACGAATCTCTCATTGTTATTTGATATGTCTTGCCATTCGTATAGCAAAACGGCTTTCCGACTGTGATTATTCTTTTTATGTTATACTGGAAACGCATGAACAGATATTGTATAATGTAAAAATCTTGCGCATTTTAATTAAAATGATTGTGGAATTTAATTTTTTTTATTTTTCATCAGTTTTTACTAAACTTTGCCTTACACCCGCCTAAATCAAATTCACGTATTACGCTTTGCTTGTATATTTTACAAAAATGCCTTTTATTCGAAGGTTTCGAGTTACATTCGAGAAAAGTAAGAAAAAACTGTAAGAAATAATTATTTTCTTACTATTTTGTAACTCGATGCTTTCCAGTTAGATTTCTCTTTTATTTTTATGCACACATGTTTTGTAATTTCTCCTTTATCCTAGTATCAAGAAACGCACATCTTTATTATGAAATTTTAATTCCTATCCCAATTTTTCCTAAATTTCAATTGTAAGTCTTATGGTTTTAAAGAAGTCTTTATATTCATAGGCTCGCTCGACTGAGCATTGATAAATTGATTCTTAACTGTTCAATATTTACAACTTTCTATACTAGATGTGCAATTAATTTTAAAATAGCCTAAACACAAAATAGCCAAACACAAAATAATCCAAAGGCAAAATAGCCCAAAGACATAATCGCCTAAGACAAAATCAGCCATAGACAAATTAACTCAAAGACAAAATAGCGCAAAGACTAAATCGCCTAAGACAAAATCAGCCAAAGACAAAATAACCCAAAGACAAAATAGCCCAAGTCAAAATCAGCCTAAGACAAAGTCGCCCAAGACAAAGTAGCTCAAAGTCAAAATCGTCCAAGACAATATCAGCTAAAAATCGTCAAAAGACAATATAGCATAGGAAAGAAAACATATCACAGTAGAAAAATTATCACAAATGAATTTGTCGAGCCAATTGTAGGACAATCAGTTGCTATTTTATCAGGCATCAGGATTAACATTAAACGATTATACAGGGTGTTCCAAAATGACATGCTAATATTTAAGGGGGTGATTCTTGGGCCCATTTTAAGAATAAAACTTCATATGAACCGGGTGTTAGTTTTAAGAAAAAAATCAATTTTTTGTAATAACTGTGATACTATTGTAGATATCTTTATGATATTTGGCACACGTCTTCTATGAATCAAGATACATTTTCTGATGTACATTATTTTCAGCTGTGGTGTCCGTACGGGATTTTGTTCACTGCCGTTTCATTAGCCGCTGTGCTAAAATGTATAATATTCTATAAAATAAAATGAAATGAGAGATATCAAAGAAGACAATGATGATAGTTTAAAAAAAAAACCCTTACAGCCTAAACCCTTTTTTAATTAGAAATGCTAGTAGTTAATATGTATCAGTCCAAATGAGCATGAGCCAGGTGCAGGTGCTAATTAATCCTAATTCAGATATGCCAGAGGTGAATGAGCTAATTAAACCCTAATTAAAACCTGCCAGAGGGACATGAGCAAGTGTGCGAATTAAAACATACCAGAGGTAAATAATCTAATTAAAACATGTCAGAGGTGAATTAATCTTAATTAAAACATGTCAGTGATGCGTGCAAGTGTGCTAATTAAAACATGCCAAAGGTGCATTATTAGGGTTAAATAACACCTGCAACTAGCTCATTCACCTCTGGCATGTTTTAATTATGATTAATTAGCTCATTCACCTCTGACATGCTTTAATTCGAATTAATAAGCACCTACAACTGGCTCATGCTCATTTGAACTGGTAAATATTAACTACTAATGCTTTAAAGAGCAGATTGTTTGGATAGACTGGCTTATTCTTCTAACGAACCTTTATTACCTTCTATGTTAATTAATCCAAAAACAGCTTTGTATTTTAAATGAGGGCAGGCGCCTAGGTTAAACGAGTGTGTCGTTTATAATCGCAATAAACCTTGGTAAGAGTTCTCTTGCTTTAGGGGAAATCGTCGCGCACCATGCTAAGGAACCGCACGCCACTGCCGAAGCCGTTGCTGCGCAAAACGAAGGTGCGCAGCGCGCCGCCCATACCGCTCGATCGCAAGGAGAACGTCCAGGCCTCATCGTCCAAAACGGGCCTCAAATTCAACAAGTTCAAGGCGAAGCTGCGCAAGGACCTGACGCTCAAATCGAAGAACTCGGCCGAGAAGCTGAAGCCGTCGCCGGGCAAGGCGACGAAGAAGGCGCCGCCGCCGCTCGCCGCCGCCGCCGCGCCCAAGAAACCGTCGACGGAACAGCGCCAGCGCGCTGCCGACGATGACGCCGCCGTCGCCGCCGCCGCGCCGCCCCTCGACAAGCCGAAAGACGAGGGCGTCCAGCTCAAAGAGATACGCTTTATCAAAAACAGCGAAGGTAAGGCGGTAATCGCTAAGTACGACACCAAGGACTACGACGACAGTCTGGTGGTGGCGTGGGAGCGGAACGCGAGCCAGGGGCAGCTGTTCACGCGCAGCTCGCGCGTCTCGTCGGCGCCGCAGTTTCAATTCGGTAATAAGATCACGTTCTCGGAGCCGGGCACGAGCCGGCAGATCGGCGGCTTCCGCGTCCACAATTTCACGAAGCCGCCGTCGAAAACTAAATTGCGGAAGAACTTGCGCCGCCTGGCCAGCGCCGCCGACATACTCGGCAAGGTCGACAAGAAGAACGCCAAGAAAAAACTCAAAGCTAAATAATGATGATGATATGATTAGTTTCATATCTATCGATAATTTTTTTTTATTTACTTTTCGAACGCCTGGGCGCGTCGTCCATCGAATGGGCGTAGCGTCGGGGCGTGCGGCGTCTGGATGGCGCTTTGGAAATTTGAATGTAATGTGGAAAATTAATAAACACGAAATGAAATGAATCGGCACATTTTTGCATCTCAATTGGTTTCGGATTCAATTAAAATACTTGCGTGTGTGTGTGGTATGGCGGTTTTCGATTTATATTTACCCCTCGATCCGTTTTACTGGCAAATTATTACAATATACCCAAAAATGGAAGAAATATCCTATCAACAGTTTAAGATATGTTCATTGTTGCTTGAGAATATCGCCACTTTTATTAAATTTTCCAATGTCCGAAAACTTCTGCTTTAAAATTGTATTTTTCGCATAGGGGGTATAATAAAGTAGATAAAATTAGGGGCGCCACTTCGGTATTTTTAAATAGGGAAAAAGTAGGCTCAGTAATTCTAGTAAGATTCAAATTTGGCTTCATCAATTGATTTGAATCATTGTTTATACCTAATATTTATTTGCAATGCTTTTTAAATGGCAAAACGTAATTCTAGAAAAACTCGAATTTCATTGAACGAATGTGTGAATAATTTTAGTACGATAAAGAATACTTATTACAGAACGACGTCTTCTAGTTTATATTTATCCACAGGCTGTATTAAATTGAAAAAAAAAATTAATTAAAGAATTTTAGCAAATGTTGATTATATGTAGATTAGATACTGTAAAATTATGGTATCGCCTGACATATATAAATATCAAATCACAGAACAATTTTGCAAATTTGATTAGCAACAGCGTTGCCAGTGGTCTCCGTTTTTCGGATATTTTTGATACTATACTATATCCATCTATTGTGAAAATTTTACAAAAATTGTAAACATTTAGGAAAATAGTTCTATATTACCCCACGAATTATGAATTTGAGAGCGAACTTTGGCGGCTTTAAATAAAATAAGTTTCCTAACATTCAAAAATAAAGGTGGTGCGATTTTATTTGACTGCATTTTTGGGTGTATTTATTTTAAATATTTGTTCAGTGCTTGTGGAAATATACAAGGGGTAACCGGTACACTTTTGATCGAAATAAGATTAATCGATATCGCCATCTGGAGATCTCGTAGATATTATTAATAATGTAAGCTTTGTTGTGGGTATATAATATATTATAATGATAAATAATAATATATGTTTTATGGTTAATACATGTAAAAATATTGGATCTAATTTAACGTAGTTATTCTACCAGATCTCCCAAATTTTTCAATTTAAGCGCGTTTTTTTTTTAAATCTAGAGAAAGATATTTTTATATTTTTGTAAATATTCGAACGACCCTCTTATTGGATTTGCTCGGGTTAGTTTAGGCGGTTTCCCCCCTCACAACTACACAAATCATCTCTATCATAATTACGTTGCATTTTCGATTTCGTTGGCGCAATTTTCTCGTGCGGGACATGAAAATGGAATTGGCAAAATTCGGGGCAAGTTCGAGCTTGAGTTAACCCATCTCTTTGGGATGTTCCAGGACCGAGGATAGCGTGGGCGTCGCTACTAGAACGGAAACGGCGCGTCCCCGCTAGATGGTTGGAGGAGAACACGCCGAGTACGGCTGGGGATTCGGACGATTATTCGACGTGATATATTCTCAAAAATTAAAGCTTTTTTTTTAAGTATTTCGTTTATGTTTGTTCATTTTTTTTAAATTATCGGGGACGGTTTTTTACACTATCTCTCGGGTGCAGTGGCGACGCCCATTAATAAAATTTGACGCGATTTTCTCCGCGGGTCTGCGATTTTTGTTGGGTAAAACGCGCGATGGGATCGAGTATTATACTGGGTGTCTCTAAAGGGTTGGGACATGGCTTAACTGCAGACTTCTGGGACGAAAATAGGGTGATTTCATTACGTATATCCAAAAGTGCATAGTAAAGAACTTATACAAAGGGTTTAAAGTTGATAATAAAGAAGATTTTTTTGATATTTTTACTGTTTAAGTTTTCATAAAATACTGAAGTCTCAATTTTATAATTAAAATTTTTTACAAGTATTATGATTAATAAGTAGATTTTTGTTGAAAATAACTTAATATTTTAAAAAGGTGTTTTAAAAATAACAATAAAATTAATAGGCTAAAAAATGTCCAAATTAAGGGGGTTTGAAAATCGTGTAAATTGCAAAAATAAGGATTTATCTCCAAAAATATGGGTTTTATGGAAATTAGTTAAATAACATAGACGGAAGAAATAGGGCATTAAGGGGGTTGGAACCCTAGTTAAATCTGCGATGGATTAATATTTTTATTTTTTTTCACACAATAACAGGTCACTTAACAAAGGTAATATAGTACAAATTTTCATGAAAAACTCTTCAGCCATTCTGGACCAATATCAAAAAAATCTATTTTTTATTATCAATAACTTCAACATCCTATAACTCTTTTGCTTTGCACTTTTGGATATAGATAAGTTAGGTTAAATCATCTTAATTTCGTCGCAGAAGTATATGGTTAACCTTTTAGGAACACCCTGTAGATAAAAACCAGTAAAATTAATTTTGTACTAAAAATATGAAAAAACGGCTGACACGGCTTGCGGTTTTATTTCTCGAAGTTGAGAATATGAATTTAATTCGGAATATTTCAATTGTTACCATCCATATTTTGGATACACTTTTTTGTTATTTTGCTCTACTACTTTGAATTCTCGATTATTTTTTTCTTTACTTATTTTTTTTAATTGGTGTTTACTCGAATTGTTTCTAATTTGTTCCACTTACGAAAGCTGCTCGAGCGCTTTTATTTCATTTGTAACGAAAATGATTGGATTTATAAGGAGTTTCGATCTATGCAGAAACTTACATTGAAAGTGATATTTTTTGTGATTTCAGTACAAATGTTTTTTTTGTTGTATTTTTTCATTGGTGAGATAAAATATTTAATATATTACGGATATTTATTGGAAAAAACTCTTTTCTCTTCTAGTTGATATTTTTTTGTTTTGTACATACATTTTCTCTATTGATGTACAGGGTGTATCTAAATGACACCGATAAAATTTAAGCGGTGATTCGGTGATGAAAATGAGTAGGTAGTTGGTAAACATTTTTTTGGATTTTTTGAATTATATTCATGTTAAATGCTATTTAAATGTTTTTGAATAAACTTGTAGAGATAAAAAAGTAAATGAATTGGGCTTTTCGGCCATATTTTTTTAAGAAAACGTTTAAAACGTTTCACTTAAAAAATATAAGAAAAAATGTCTAAGGGGTTGACTATTTCAACCCCTTAGTTTCAATGGCAAATAATATTTCCTAAGTTTCGTATCTTTAGCTTAATATACAGGGAAAATAAAGAATAAAAACAATATTTTTTTAAATCGTTGGAGGAGTACAACTTTTCTGGGGAGGGTTTTTTCAACAAAATTTATACCAAGTACCAACCTTAATTCTCATCACAGAATCGCCCCTTAAATTTTTTTAGTGTTATTTAGATACAGCCTGTATAATAGTTTATTTTATAGTTGGATATGTTGTGTATAAAACAGGATTTTTCACTTCTGTTCTAAAACGGTGCGTTCATCAAAGGATATAATTGTGTTCAGAATGTCGAATAAAATCATTTTGAAAACACTTAATTTTTTTTATTCATTCCTTTCCTAAATCATCTAATCATTCAACTATGTAGCTAATAACATTGATTAGGTATTTCTTGCATTCAAATAAGTAGGTACTTACACCATTGGGCAATTGAAATTTTTATATTTATCTCTCCTATAACAAAAAAAATACCGATCCAATTCAACTTGCTGTAAATATCCTATAATTATTTGAGCTGAATATACCGTTAATATTGTATGGTATAGTTCGAATTACACTAAAAGAAAACATTTAATTTCTGTTGTAGATATCCTTTTGCTTCCATATTTAGAACCTTGTTTAGACCTTTCGCCTACTATTAGTACGGTAGCCACCGAACGTGAATTCGTTGATGGAGATGCCGAGCCGGAATTTTGAAAATTAGCGAACAAAAACACTTGGAAAATTAAAAAAACGAAGCAAATTTATCGTGACTATAAAAACGTGCGTACGAACAATTTCGTTATACACGAGAAAAATAAATCAAAATTAGACGTTTGTTCCGGCCGTACGAGATTTACTAATTGTCGAATTTAAATAAAATGTGTGGACCTCAGTGTATTGGCCCCAAGCACACGATTTTCGATTGTATAAAAGGCCGATAATAAATAACAACAGTAAAATAACCTCAAAAAACCTCAAGTCGGGCAACTATCAACAAACAAACAAACGTCAAGTTTGACGTTCATGACAGTGACGTTTCTCTAAACAACAACATAACCTCGTAAATAGTTTGCAAATAAAACTGGTGCAAAGTTCTATGCGAAACATGGAAAAAAAAGTTTTAGTTTTAAGAATATTTTGAAACGAAAAGACCGCATGGAGTCCGAGGACGAGTTCTTGCACACTTACTTCTCCCACGTTTCGCAATTATGCTACGAGAAGGCCAAAGAACTCGTGGTAAGTATGCTCGCAAAATGGATGAACAAATGAAATTTGTGTGGTTTTAGGAAAAAGAAAAGGAGCCCAAGGGGTCCACGACGTCCTGGAGCGCTTTCCTCAATTACCTCCAGCAACTGGCGTTGGCCGAAAAGAGCTACATGGAAATCGGCTTCTTGCAGAACAAGCACAAGAGCTTCCTTCGTAAAGACGTAAGGCTACTTTTTCTCTTATTATACAAACTGTGAGAGTCTCTAAAATGTACATGGCTTAACGTAGATTTCTGGGACGAAAATAAGATGAGTTAACCTAACTTACCTATATCCAAAAGTGCAAAGCAAAGAAGTTACGAGTTAAAGTTAAAAATAAAAAAGACATTTTTTGTTATTGGGCCAGAATGGCTGAACATTTTTTCATGAAAATTTGTACAGAATTTCTTTGTTTAGCGACTTATTATTGCGTGAATTTTTTTTTAAATTATCTTTCTATCTCCGATTTATTTAACCCTATTTAAAACTTCAGAAGTCTGCAGTTAAGCCAAGTCCCAATCTTTTAGAGACACTCTATACAGGATTTGTAGCAAAAAAATTAACTCTAACGAGTAGTGTGTATCGTAGAATTCTTTAAAATCCATATATGAAACGATGAAAAACGATCTAAGAAAATTAGAGGAACAAAATAGACAAAGCGTTGCACCTAACAACAGGATACAAAAAAGCAGCAAAAACATCATACAATACATTAACGCAAGGATTAACCTTATAGATTTGTATCCTTTTATAAATGAATGCGATTTGATTGTACACATTGTACAAATTATTGTAAGGATAAACAATAATTTTCTTTAATACATTACATTAGATATGACAAGATATACAACGTGGGCCTGCACAAACAAAACCGTCACAACGAAATCTTGACGCAAATCGAAACGGTAATAGAGAAAAACAGCGAAGGATTCACCGATATTTGCCTGACGCCCGCCAAGGCGGTGTTTAGTTTGGAATGCGAGATTTTAGAGCAGCTATTTAGAGCGTTGTCTCGCCTGCAAAAATTGGAGTTTTCACCGTCGTTGGCTCTCATTCACGGGGCTCATACGAGGTTGATCGCTTGGGAGAACAAAATTCAATCGAGAGAGGTATTTAGAATTGGATAGATCAATCTAGAACGCTCTAGAATCATTTAGAATTGGCTAGATCAATTTATAGAATCGTTTAGAATTATCTAGATCAATATAGAACGCTCCAGAATCATTTAGAACTGGTCAGAATCATTTAGAACTAATTATTTGCGAATGATTTGCTACATTTGCAATTTTTGGCTCACGTAATTTCCCCGAAAATGATTTACCTGCTAGCTTGACGTCATGCTATGATGTGTATATCAAATTCCGAAAAACTACATGAGCAAAAAAATGCAAATGTAGCAAATCATTAGCAAATAATTTACAAAAAATTTGGCGTCAAGCACGTAACATCATTTTCCGGAAAATTACTTGAGCAAAAAAATCGAAAATATAGCAATAAGTAGCAAAAAATTCCCTATATGTTGGTTTTGATTCTGCTCATGACTTTGCCAGCTTATCAGACGTATCGCAGTGGTAATTTTTGATTTGATTTATTTGTTGGTGGTTTTAGATTTGGAAATTGGGGATATTTAAAAATAGCCCTTCGCCGGCGTTGTTTCAATGGTTTCAAAAATTGAAAGGGGCCGTTTTGAGCAAATTTAGCCTGTTTTTTCATGATATTTTGGCGCAGCAAACTACGCCTAACGAAATCAGACAGTTGTGCGCCAAATTACAGCAGGATTATTATCAAAAGTAGGATTGTAACGAAGGTCAAAATTCAATATTTTATATTCATTTTTTTTGTTCAGGATAATTACTTTTCAAAAGAAATACGACGCTACTTATGTGCTGTTATTATCCGATCAACAAACTCTAAATAGTCCCTCTCCTAATGGAATAATTGTATCATATCCACCTGTAAGTTAATATAAATTGCATTTTTGATATATTAATAAGAGGATTTATTGCAGCGAATTTCAACAAGCATGGATCTCGTATTAAAAATGATTGCGGACACTTATAGCGAATTATCAATGGATAAAATAATTTACAAATTTTTATCACAGGTACAGTACAGTAGGCCAATGTTGTTCTTAACCATTGGGTGATATGAAAAATATAAATATGAATAATTAGAGGTCCTGAACCTATGATTAAAATATTGAACATTCCTTATGAAACCACCTGTATATAGATGAGGATTTTTCGTTTATGTTACATTCTCATTCTACATTCAATGATTACATGGAGAATTTGATTAAGGATTTGAGAATGAAATTTTAGAATATAATTTTTGTTTTAGGAACAACACACGTACATAATTGCCACAGTGGAATCGACAATTTATCTCATTATACTATTCGAAAATAAGAAATCCGAAAAGGACGCCTACATATCGAATTTCGTTGTAGAAATATGCCAGAACTTGAGGTGTACGAAAACGTTCGCATGCTTGAAAAACACAACTAAATAAGAAGAAATTTTTAATAGGTATAAACAGAATATGAAATCATGAAATATCACATTTGTGCTAATAAAAATAAATTATAAACATCTTAATATACGGTAGTTGGTTAGAAACTTTCACACGTCTAACAGGCCGTTTTGTTGACAGTATTGGCTAAACTCAACCTTGTGTTTCTTGTTGATAAACGGTTCCAAACCGGGAATGAGGTATTTCAGATGGTATTTACCTTTAAAAAGCGTATCCAAACTCGCTGTTAAATTCTTCAAATCGCTGTCAGACTTGTACTCTTCCAGGATATTTTTGAAGTCTTTGAACATTGAATCGTCTAAACCCCTTTTCACCTAAAATGACATGGATGGCATTATACCCTATCGTGCATTTCAGTTTGCATTTTTATAAATATTACTCTTTTTTTCTTTTATAAGTGTCTTACGGAAGTTGTCTTTATCGCACTCAAAGCCTATATCACCTATATAGGGTGTCCCACGACAAGTTAAAACCACAGATAACCTACACTAGTAACCTACACTGGTTAAAACTATCTGCATATAGGAAACTACTTATCCGATTTAAATAATATTTTAATGAATAATAAAAATTTTCCATAAAAATATCTGGAGTAATAAGAAAAATATGATAGAAAAGTTATTTTTTTCTAAAACTGTAACACCCTGTAGCTCGAAAACTAAAAGGTTTAGAACATATATTGATATAATCTTTTCTTCTTAAAATCACCCAAATATTCACATCCTGAAGTATCGGCTCTCAATTAACACCCTGCATAAAGGCATCCATAACACAAAAAAGTGCGATATCCAGCTACATAGTCTGAGCATCTTCGAATAACTAATAAAATTGAGATATAAAATGAGGTGGGACACGATCCAACTGTTCCTGTCCTAGTAGCAACACGTCTTCTTAGAATCCAATTAATTAGAAATTTAAGTAGCATTTTATTTCAAAGAAAATAAGAATAATAAACGCAATAAACAGCGAAAGTAATAAATACCATAACGAAATACTCCTTTGTGGAACTCTCGAAGTTCTCGCTTGAACCGCTACTTGTGGTCGGTTTGACCAAGTGTAATTTGGCTTTTTTGCTCGGATTGCCTTCGAAATCGTTCTTATTCCTTTTGTGAATGACCACTTCTTCCATCGAATTGTGTTCAATCAACATCACATCAGACACCGGTGATATCAAAGACGATTTCCGCTCCAGCGCGGCTTTATACTGCAACAAAACAAACTGATAATCACAAAGCAACATTCTATGTATAAAAATTCGCTCCTACTTTTGCGTCGGCATTCTTGAAGAACACTTTTAGATCGCGCATAATTTCCCCGAAGCCTTTGCAAACTTTGATTTGATCTCTCACCCACAGGGACATTTGATTCCTCAACGAAGGGCTGTTGAATCGATTGTCGAGCAACAGTATGGCACCGTAATCATCTTTGTGGCGTATTACTCGACCTATGGCTTGGTTTACGGCTCTGGACGCTTCCAGACTGTACCATTCCTGTCCTCTCAGAAACTAAAAATTAAATAAACAATTGCACCACTGCTCTACCCACGGTTACAAGATTTGTTCCAGCAGCATGTTTTGTGTTGTTGCGAACATTGTGAGCATGCGCAATGATTTTAAAACGTTCCAGCAGCGTGTTATTTGGTGTTCTAAGTAAGTGTTTGCTGTCCCGGCAGAATTCGTTTTTTGTTTGGATCATGTTTGAGATCTGCCAAACTATTCTCGTTTGAAGTGAGAACATTTAGAATAATTCGAAAATGATTATGGTTATACTATTAGTTTGTTGTTGGTCATAAATATTTGTTTAGTTACAATAATATATGAAAATTATTGACTTATTTAGAGCTATAGGTGAAAGTAGTGAAAGGGACATTAGTTATGATGAATTATCGGAAGACGATTTTGAAGAATTATTGGAAGAAGCGCAAAGGCCAAAAAAATATATCGAGGAAACCGTTCTTCAATATTCGGAAAACGAATTTAAAGAACATTTCCGTATTACAGGATACCCAACAACTGCTCGAGGTGTTCCAGCAAGAAATGTTCCAATCTTATAACAAACTTCTATACATCAGGGCATGCGCAATACAATACTGATACAAACATAATTTGAACATGCTGCTGGAACAAACCTACTATTTCGTATAGTATAGTGTATAGAAAAGCTCAATATATCAAAAAAACAGGGTGTTCCAATTAAAAAAGTATATGTTTAGTCTACCACGGAAAAACTGGACACTGTATAAATGTAACCAATTTTAAAATATGTAGCTTAAAAAGATCTACAACTTTTGTAATGAAGTTTTTTTTGTCATCTACAATAACAGATATATTGAGCTTTTCCATACTAATGTGCCACCCTGTATTTTACACATAGCTATACAATAAATTGGTGGTTAAGAAATAATGGCAAAAATACTTGTTTATCTTCGGCGTTACACCTATCTAGGTATTGTCTCTTTAATATGACCCTGGGATCCTTGAGCGGGGGAAATGGTAGTCCCGTTATTAAAACCGTTCTTCCATTGGCATCGGCGAAATCCAATCCTTCTGATACTTTTCCTCTACATACGCCCATGAATATCGCTCCTTTGGTATTGGGATCTTTTATATTGGAATAATACTCCGTCATAGCGGCGTTAAACGAGTTCTTATCTCTGGGTTCCACAAATATTTGCTGAAAAACAAATGCAATTTCTGATCGTAATGCTACCTGTCCATTTGAGAGTTTTGCTTAGAGCTACTTTAGAGTTATTCTCAGGTCTTTGTCTACTTGACAGCAACTCGCGACATGCTAGCTCGCGAAGAGTAATCATAAACTCTCAAATAGTTACTCTTACAACATTGTCCACTGGTAAGAACTACTCTCGAGAGTTTTTCTCTCAAATGGACACCTATCATAACGGAAGAGGCGAGGTGTTACCTTAATTTTACATATTCTACCCCAAATTCCGCTCTCTTGCCAAGCGTTTTGGCATTTCAACATGATCGTGTAAGACGGGAAAAATATGAGCATTCCATCGGGTACCATGAGGCAAATATTTGAAATCGACATGCCCAAGGAGTTTATATATTTCATGTTGTCTCTACAAGCATATATTTGTGTATTTTTTTATCGTTTGTGATTGTTTACATACCTATTTTGATAACCGCTATTTAACGGTTCGCTATCCGGACCCACCGGTAAGATTTTCACGCAAATTTGATCTCGATCGATTATGTGGGGATTTTCCAATTTCACTTTCACGTCCAATTCCAATTCCGATATTAACGGATTCAAAGGGGCCAGAGTTCCGCTGGTTAAGATGAGTGTCCTCAGGCCTTCGCGTAGCAACAGTTTCATTCTGGATAATAATCGATTTATTATTGGAAAGGGTGTATACATAGAGGCATCGAAAATTACCCAAAACCGGGACTGAAACACCAATAATTAATTATCTTCCCTCCTGCCCTCGATGACGTCATTTTCGATAGCCAATTGTTCGGCGCCTTTTTCTTAACTTCCTCCTCTTGAATGTGCACCTAAAGAAATTTAATAATAAAATCACATAATAAATAGTGCAGTACTACAAGATTTGATAGTTTTTCTATGTTAAAAGAAATATATAGGTTTACCTTGTAACATTTTTTTATCTTCTGCATACAATCGCCGGAGTTTATGGAAAACACGACATTTAAAATTTCCTCAAACATCTGCAAACTGTTTCCCTTTCGACTGAATGGGCCGTCATTCATAGTAGCCAAATATTGAACAACGTTATTTATCAGTTTTACAAACAGATAGAAATTATCTTGACGAATCTACAATGCAAAAAAACAAAATAAATTTAAGCCTGCTTCTGATCACTTGGGAAACTTTTCATGTAGAAAACTCGAATAAAAAGCTTCGACTGGGCTATTTCCCCTTATAAACTTACACCGACTTTCTCGAAAAGCTCGTAGAGAAAAATCCCTTCCATGGTGACGCCTTCGGTGCTTCTCTTCAAATCGATACCGTCTATTTCCTTTTCCAAATTCAGCAGCACTTCTTTGAGTTGGCACAATTCTTCGGCGGTGAAATCTCTCGGAGCATCGCCAAAGTCCATAGTCTCGTCAGACATAATCTTCATGATGGCGGTCACTTCTTCGAGGGCCAGGGCTACATCGGAGGATTTGATCTGAAGCGATGCGGAATCTTCGCAAATCCTTTCCACGTTGTGGGCCTCGTCCAATATCACCACGCAGTTCGACAGCTGGATATCTGAAGGAGAAAACCAAATTGTAGGATCTTATCAGGGCCTCATTTTTAGCACTTACTTAGCGATTTTCTTATGGAAGGGTCCAATAAATAATTATAGGGCATGAAAACGATGTCGGCGCTTTCTTTTAGTTCTTTCGCCATGTAAAATGGACAGAACGAGCACTCTTTTCCCTTCCCGACGAGGTCTTCTATATCCATGATGGTGTTGGTAGAAAGGGTTTTGTCTTTGAACTTTTCAACTTTGTTATAAAACTTGCACGCCTTCGTTTTCACCTTCAACCTGCACATCATAATCTGAAAAAGGAACCGAAATTAACGAATGAAATGACGATGACGATCCAAAATGACATGCTAATATTTAAGGGGGTGATTCCTGGGCCTATTTTAAGGGAAAAACTTTATATGAACCTATGTCCTAAACGCCTTAATTTTTGAGATACAGGGTGTTAAAGTTTTAAGAAAAAAAATCATTTTTTTTGTAATAACTGTGATACTATTGTAGATATCTTTATGAAATTTGGCACACGTCTTCTATGATTCAAGATGCATTTTCTGATGTACAAATAATTTTATTATTTTCAGCAGTGGCGTCCGTACGGGTTTTACATTCAATATTTTTTGAGAAAAAATGGTACGCCACTGCCTAATATTGAAATAAATACTCATTTAATTTAGAACAAATTTGATTTCTTGACTTTTTTCCGTACGATTCATCGTTTCCCACTAAAAAAAAAATAAATGCATTCATTTGTACACTACAGCTACATTGGCCATTTTTATTAAATTTAAAAAATAATAAATTATAGGTTTAGGCATAGACCTATTAACCTACTTAATAGGTCTATGGGTTTAGGATATATGTTCATATGATTTTTTTTTCTTAAAATGGATTTAAGATTCACCCCCTTAAATATTAGCATGTCATTGTGGAACACTATAGATTTACAGTAAGGGCAGCAGCATGGCTGATGAAACATCGGACCTAGTCCTCCTCGATTGTCAACATTGGTCTGTGCTACACAGGCTAATCTTCGAATTCCCTGAGTCTGTCTTCGTCAAGGTTTACATAACCCTATAGTAGTAGTAGTAGTAAATTCGTACAATGCGTAAAATTAACATTACCTTATAATTCCTGTTTTCCTCTCTTTCCACTTCCGGATGTATGCACATTTGGTCCCTGGAGCCCAAAATCACGGCTTTCATGTCGCTGTACGCGGACCGTTTCATTTCCTGCATGGCCTGGCTCAGCTGGCTGTGCGTTCGCGAGGCATATATGATCTTCGGTAATACGTTTCCTCTTATTAGATTGTACGCTTGGCCAGTGGCATCGTCTAATTGTTCGTTGATTTTCTTCAAAAACAAGTCTTCGTTCGTCCTCGACGCAATCTCGCGTTGAGCCTGTATTTGGGCTTTTTTCAGCTGGAGCCAAGCCAGGGTTGAGCAGAGCAGCGAGAGAGTCTTACCGGTGCCGGTTGGGGACTCTAAGACGCCGTGGGTTTCGTTTTGAAGACAGTCTAGCACTTTTTCCATGTACGTCTTTTGTATGGGGTAGGGTTCGAATGGGAAACTAATGGGCACTCCTTTTAACGTTACAATTGTCATATTGAATAATTATTTATAAATAAATACGTTACAATCTAATTATTATTGTTGTATTAATTAATTTCTTATCTTGTTCTCTATTTTTTGAATTGAAAAGTTAGGTTAATTCGTTTCTTCTTTTTTTTATACAATAAGTCAATGTCAAAGAGGTTTTATAGCGTCTGTGCTAATATGGTCATACAGTTAACTTTTATTCGAAAAAATATCGAAATCGAAAATATTTTTTTTTATTTTAAACATGTATTTAATGTATAAAAATAGAAAAGAACTTAATAACAGGCTCTTATTATAACTTATTTATCACTAAATGTCTACCACAAGCAAATACTGTAGCGACTAATACAATAAACGATGGAATTAACACGTATTTCTTCTTATTGCTTCTTTTCTTCACTTTTAGTACCTTTAAAATAAACGAATTCGTCAACTTTAAGATTTAAAACGTGTCTAAAAATAAGTACCTCTCGTTCGAATTCATCGACTCGGTCATCTAAGGATTTAATCGTACTCTGTAGCAAGGAAACTGAAGGACTTAATTTAACATTGCATATATCCACGTCTTTCCTTTTTAAAATATAATTCAAGCTGGCCATTTGCTTCTGAAGCTGCAGCGACATTTGTTGAAGCACCAACTTTGCGTATGATTTGTTTGCGTAAAGCGAGATTTTCTTCCTGAAACGTAAAAAAGGCGACTAATTAAGAGTTTTGTTTGGATATTATCTTTTAACCACTTTACTCGGAAGGTATTTGCAAATTTTCGGCGCATTTTAAAAACAATTTCCGCTGTTCTTCGCTTTCGATGCCCAGAAGTTTCAGGTCTTTGTCGCTTAGAATTTTTAAAGTAAATGTATCGATGCCTTGCTTTTTGAATTCCTCGTGATATTTTTCGAAACCTGACGATCTTAATATAGTTTCTAATAAATCCATTTTGATATTCCAACTATGTTAATGTTTGTTTACTAATTTTTATTAAAAAAACATAACCTCCAAAAAAAGACGTCAGATTTCAAGCGGAGTCAAACACAGAACACTGTTGCCAAGTTGCCATGGTCAATCTTCAAAACTTATAACGGATTTTAAACATCTCAAAAATTGCAGCAAAAAACCAGGTTTTTAATCTGCTATTTTAATTGTGCAATTGCAAGCAATTACATAATCAGCCGAATCGTATTCTTCGGTAAATTCTGTTTTAATTGAATTAATAATTAATTCCTACATATTTCATTTTGATTTCCCATATGATTTCTTTCCTCATCATTACAGACATTACTCTTTTCTTTGATTATGTTTTTGTCAAAACTCACAGGATTTGGTAATGCTGTGTTACTCATTTTCATTTATTTGGTGCAGATAAAAATTTATTTTCTGTTTTATAATTCTTTATTCTTCAGTCGACAAAATCAGAACCTAAAAAAAGAGCATAATCTTATGTAGCTTAAAAATTAGAATTATTTACAACAGGATTAACTTTTACCAATTGTAATGAAAATAAAAAAATCAATCAATGTTAGGAAATTAGAGTTATAATAGCTGACTAGAGACCAAGGAAGAGACCATTTTTGTGACTTGATATTAGCGATATCTACAGTTATATTGGCCTTTGCCATTCTGTCAATTTGACCACTCATTTGAAAGTGATATTTTACCATAATGATGTCAAGAATGGTTGATTGGTTATTATTATTATTGTTCACAAAACAATTCAATTATTATATTAGCAACACAAGGCTTGGGCACATCCGTTATCCACATCCTCATCTTCGTCTTTGTTGCTTTTTCGTAGCATTGACAAGTAGCCCAGAACTGTCGTTCCGCTCAATCAATACTACAAATGCAGAATATTAATTAATTAAGTACAAATAGGTTTACAAATTTCGCATATAATATAATCTTTTTTAAATCGGGTTGCATATTCTTTTTTATTTATATGTTTAGACAACAGAACGCGCCTAAACAAAAATTACAGTTGGTACGCCTGCAAACGCCGGAATATCCTGTACACGTCAAGCACCCCGACGTCACAAATCGCCTTCCCCTTTTCGTTGAAACATGGCATCAGGTTAGTTCGTTTTGTGCAGATTTTTCCACATTTTCCGAATTTCTCACCCACCCATCGCTCCCGAAACGCCGTCACGATTTCGACGACAATCCCGGCCGTTAAATCGCTCGATTAACTAATCGAAAAAATGCCGTCTCGGCCGTTTTCGAACCTCACTTTACCCTCGTGTCGAAGGCATTTCCACCGTACGTCAATATTTAATAACTTCCATTTGCAGGTAAAAAGGGTAAAAAGACCAAAGGGAAGACTTTGGCGCTGACGGATTTTTTGCAAGAAACCACCGGCTCGATTCCCGTCCAGCCCATTCGCAAATCCAATTTGAATTGGGCCGATGAAGTCGAAGATTACGGTAAGATAATTTTATTGTTATGTGCATTAATAATTGATATATCCTTATCGATTTAATAGTCACTCGAAATTTTCAATTTTAATTGCAATAACAAGTTTCACTTAAATCATAATTGTAGAATTAATTTTCCGTTTGTTTGTTGTGTATTTAAAATGTACGGGAATATGGAGGAGGGGAGAATTATGTTTCTAAAATTATGCCTAGACTAGATAGTGGATCTTTATTCAACTACTAATACCCGCATTTCATAAATTATAATCTAAATACTAATGTTAGGAATTTCCTACATAATATATATTCAATTAATTTATTCTATTGTACATAAACTTAACTTTTTTTAATTTATTTCGGGGTGCTAGTTCCAAATATGCTGGTCGAAAAAAATCGGCACGTTTGGTTTCTTTAATTTCGCTTTTTAAATGGCTTTATGGCTCTAGTTCTAAATGATTTTGGAGCGTTTTAGATTGTTCTAAACAGTTCTAAATGATGCTGGAGCACTCCAAATGGTTCTAGACAGTTTTAAATGTTTCTGGAGCGTTCTAGATTGTTCTGGACAGTTCTAAATGGTGTGCTAGGAGACCTATTGTTGGGCATTAATATGCGAAACCGACCCAAAATCATACAAAAACAAAAATATAATGCACAGCATTTATAATATGTAGTTTTTTTTCACGCGTTGCATAGATATTAAATTCCAGTAAAACAAATGATTTTAAAGTATATTTCTGTTTACATGACTTGCTTGATTTTTTATTCCTACAAATTTTTGATTATTAATCAAAAATAAATTGCCCCCGTTATCCTAAGTTTTTTTTTGCATAATTCCTTGTAAACTAGTGTAATATATTATCTACAATTGTTTTAATTGATTTTAACTTATACTTGTTAGAAAAACTTGTTAGTGGCAATTCACTGTCACTAATCCACTTCAAAAAACAATTAAATTGGCTCCTAACCTACTAATAAAAACCAAAAATACTAATAATAATTGCTTCACATTCACCAAAACAATACTACTTAACGATATCGCTTAGCAACTGTTAATGTTTTAATGATGAAAAGCTCGTTGGAAACAAATACGTTTTTGGTCTACAACAATCCTGCACCTGGGGCACACAAACAGTGTACTCTGTTACACACGTACTTTTGCAACGGGAAGGTCTGAGAGAGGCAATAACCCTCTAGCCGGGGGCTTGTGGAGACACAAGGCAAGGGAACCAGAAACATGTCGACGACGAGCTCAGCCCAGTATTGCCATTTTACATAGCATAGGTGTGGCTCGGCGTCGATTGAAAGCTCTTGCCGCCGGCCGTTTGAGTTCAATCTGCGGGCTGAAGGCACTTTCTGTTGTCTTCAGAACTCAATTCAGACTAATCTGTTGTAGACCTTTTTAATTTGTTTCAATTAAGAGCGTATATCTGATTTTATGTGTGTTTGCATTAATGTAGGTTTTTCCGTAATTATACCTGTGGTTTTAATCGGTTTTTTGTTTGTTTGTGGTTTTCAGATGATTTGAGGAAGCCCGTGAATTTGGTGCTGCCTACGGCCCCCAAAGCCTCGAGAGACTATGATGACATCAGCGATACGGTGCCCACCGAGCCGCCGTTTTGCGCTTATTTGTCTAATCTACCTTACGATGCGGATGAGGACGAGATAGCGGACTTTTTTAAAAATATGAGAGTGAGTTATCAAACAATTATCCATATCTACACCGAAACCCCTGTAATATTCCTTCTTCTTGCTCTTGTAAGATACCGAATGCACGAGAATGTAAAATTATGAATAGAGGGGAGTATTCTATATATTAAAATTATGTGTTTTATGTTTACAGATAGCTAATATGAGAATTCCAAAAGACGACAGAGGAGGTGAGTCGAAATCTAAAGGATACGGTTACATTGAATTCGAAGACAGGGAGAGCTTGCTGGATGCTCTTGTTATGCGTGAGACGGTACGTAATATTTTTTTATGTATAATTTATATTTGTTTTTAAATATTTATTTAAGCTAGAGTTATCAATTCTATTCGAGAAATTAAGGTGTTTAATGCAAATTTACCAAAAATAGATAATTGTTTTCGTTAACAATTGATCAATTTCCATTTTGTTTTTGAGTGGAATTTTTTTTAAATAAAATAGCCTGTATCAAACAATTGGCGTTTAAAATATATTTACGAGCAAATACTGATAAAAAAAATTTAAACGCGTATCAAATTGTATTGTATTTGCACTGGATTAAAATAAATGTAATGGATTAATTCTATACATCCTATAAAATACAGAGTTGGGCAAAAGTCCGGAATAAAATTATTATCTTTTGAACCAGTAATTTAAACAAAAAACGCCGAAACACGTAAATTGATTTTATATTGTACGGATTTGTTGCCAATAAAATGATTTTTTTTTCTTCAACCCCTTAGTTGCAACCCTACCCAACTTTATTTTTTCAAATGCAAAGGTATGTCGTGTGTAGGGTCATTGAAAAGCCCGTGAAAAATGGAATCTAAAACATACCTTTGTTTTAATTTTTCTCATGTTGTTATTTGAAAATGAGCAAAAATTTCTTTTAAAGACAAAAAAGTTACAAATACCTTTTTAGTGCTATCGACGTAGCAATGTTGACAATGCCCTTCACCATCTATTTGACAGGCTTCCAGGCATTGGTAAAACGTAATATCGATAGCATATCTTTAATTCTGAATGACTTTTTAATAAAAACAGGCGAACCTTTGGTAAAAAAAACTTGTACAAAAATGCAACACCTGTTTTCCTTTTTGAAGTTCACTGATCAACAATGGCTTAGATTTAAACCCATTTTATGTTTTTGTTTTTTCTTAAAACATAAATTTCAACGAATGTTGATGCTAAATTGCCTTATCAGTTTTAAACGGTAAATCAATAAAATTTGGTGTGCTGCCTGACCAGGCTCGCCTGCTTTTAATAAAAGTTCATTCAGAATTAAAGATAGGCTACCGATATTAGGTTTTACCATTGCCTTGGAGCCTGTTAAGTAGAGTAAGCCTTAATTCACACGTCGATGCCACTAAAAAAGTATTTGTAACATATTTGTTTTTAAAAGAATTTTTTGCTCATTTCCAAATAACAACATGAGAAAAATAAAAAAAAAGGTATGTTTTAGATTCCATTTTTCACGGGCTTTTCAATGACCCTACACACGACATACCTTTGCATTTGAAAAAATAAAGTTGGGTAGGGTTGCAACTAAGGGGTTGAAGAAAAAAAAATCATTTTATTGGCAACAAATCCGTCCAATATAAAATCAATTTACGTGTTTCAGCGTTTTTTGTTTAAATTACTGGTTTAACAGATAATAATTTTATTCCGGACTTTTGCCCAACCCTGTACAAGCGTGGTCATTATAATTTTTGTTGAACTAGAATTCGCTTTCCAACAGGTTTCTTACAACGTTGTCATACAGTGCAATATATTGGAAGCGATAAAAAATTATTGAATGTGATAAATTGTTAACAATTTTCACACTACTGCAATACATAGTGTTAGATCTAACGCGGGGCAATCTCGCTACGGGATAGCCAATACGAAATTCATTAGCGAAACAAACTATTTTTACTACCTATTAATATCTAATAATAATAATAATAATAATAATAATAATAATAATAATAATAATAATAATAATAATAATAATAATAATAATCTAATAATATTTAATACCTATATTTTTCATACTACCTATTTTTACGTATGGCAACACTTTTTAGATGATATTGACCAAATTAGAGCAATAATTGCCGCATAGTGTGAAAATCTGTGTAAACTTGCATAGGTTTCTACTATCATTGTAATATATTATCTTACGATACCTGTAGAACACAATGAAATATTGCAGCAATATATTGCACCGTGTGAAAACGCTCTAAGGGTATCAAAAAAGAAGCCCCTAATTATGATAATTTACTTTTAAGCTTCTTGAATTAGCCCTCATGTAATCCAAATATATTGTTCCACAAAAGTTAAGGAAGTTCACAAATATTGAGCTTAATTTAAAAGTTGCAGGTTTTTTGATCGCCAAATTTAGTATGAGTTGTAGAGGTATGGGCAAAAAATCCATTCTATTATGAGAAAACATTTAATTTCGCATATTTGAGAATTTGGTGATCAAAAAGTCTGTAACTTTTAAAATAATCGCAAAATTTGCGAACTTCCTTAACTTTTGTGGACCAGTTTATATGTTAATAATGTTATTATCTATCTATACGGCCAAGTAACTACTAATCTAGTTCATACGAGCAATCCTTATATTAGTAATTCATCAGTAATACATTCAATACTTATATCATATCTGTTTTCAGACGCTGAAAAACCGAAGGATGCGAATAGAAGTGGCCTCTAACATGGACGGCGACCGGCGACGAGGCGGCCGCATGGACATGAATCGCGACCGGCCCGACCGTTCGGACGGTTTCAGCGATTGGCGTTCGGGCCCGCGGCAAACCGAATCGAATCAAGACGATCGCGACCGTCGCGGCGGCGGCGGCGGTTTCAACCGAGACAGGGACCGCGACGGCGGCGGCAGTTTCACGCGCGAGGGCATGCGCGAACGGAACAACGACGAGAACCGCAGCTTCACGAGGGAAGGCATGCGAGACCGCGATTACGGCAGAGACAGTAATAGGGATTCGTTTAATAGGCGGGAGAATAAGGAGGATAGGGACGATAGGCCGGGCGCGTGGAGAGAGGGAGAAAGGATGAATAAGGATGTCGATAATAGAGATCGAGGAGGTGTGTTGTCTTATTGATTTTCAATGAAATTACTTTGTCGAAGTGTATTGGCCAATAATAGCAATAATTTTTTTTAAACTACCGGTTTCGCCGCAAAAAAATACTTTTTTTTCCAAAAGTATTAAAAAAAGGGCTCTAAAGGAAAATTAGGAGAGACCCGCTGTATACACAATTTATCGAAAAGTACACTCGAGACTTTTCGGTGCGACCAGAATCTTCAATAATGCCCGTGTTTTGTAGGTTTTAATCGCGACAGAGGCGGTAGATTCGACAGAGAAGATAGAGACGAAAGGAGAAGCTTTGGAGGCAGACGGTACGATGATAGGGACAGAAAAGACGGAGGTGGAGGAGGAGGATTTTCGAGAGGAGGTGGAGGAGGAGGACTAGGTGGTGGCGGTCCAAAGGAAGACAGAGATTCAGATCCGCCATCTTGTAAGTTTCCATTTTTTTTTTTCATGATTTATACACATACAGTGTGTTCGTAAAATAGACTGGAGATATTTTAACATCCCGTATCTTGAAAATTGTGCATTTCCAGTCCCATGTTTATAGAAACTTCTTTTCATATTTTTTTAAACAAGGAATAACCCTCTCAAATATCTGTCTTGTTTATTTCAGTTGTCCTCTATTTACATTGAAATACAAGGTATCCCAATGAAAAGTAGCTCATTTAAATCAGCTTATAATTATTAAACGATTAATCATAAAAACGTGGTTTTCGCAGATTTGTTGTATTGTGTTTTATCAAAATCTTCTCTTTTAAATTCACAGTAAGCAAATTTTATTAAATAAAACACCCTGTATATGTAGAAGTATTCTGAAAGATATACTCTTGGACTTTCCGAAAATTGTATTATACGCACATGTTATTCTACAAAAATAAGTCTCATTTCATTAAAACGAATTGAAAAGAGAGTATTTTGATAAGACATCCTGTACAGGTGATACAAAATGTCTGTCCTACTGTAACAAGACTTCTAACAAAATAAAACATCAGCGAAAACCGCAATGTTCCTATAATTAGGCGTTAAAAAATTACAAGCGGATTAAATGGGCTACTTTTCGTTGCGACGCCCTGTATAATACATAATGATTGTTGATTGTAATGTTTGTTTTTTGGTTTTTAGCGGAGCCTCGAGAACGCCAGAGATTAGTATTAGCACCGCGAACTAAACCCGTAGAAAATGTACCTGTAAATACAGAATCTGTGCCTTCTGCTTCGATATTCGGAAAAGCCAAGCCAGTCGATACGAGTCAAAGGGAGAGGGAAATCGAGGAGAAATTGGCCAAGGAACACGAGAAGAAGCGGGATAGTAGCAAAGACAGGGATAAAAAGCAGGACGATAGACCGGCTGAAGATAATGATAAGAAAAATGTAAATATGTTATGACAATTTCCGTTTTTTTGTGTGTACTGTTTTTTTTAATTTTTTAAATGTTTAGATACGATTAAAATTTAAGCAATTGCTGCTATTTAGCAATAAGCTGACGGATATTTTTAAACTTTTTTAATCTGTATGTTACCTAGGGGCTCGATTGCCGACATTGATAAGAAAAAAAATTATAAATTTATCTGCGCGTTTGCGAAATAGTAATTGCTTTCGTTTTATTTATACAACCCAATCGCGAGAAAACTGGCAAGGAATATTTTCATATTCAGAAACATTGCTTTGTTGACTTTCCATTAGCTTTATGAAGTTTATGGTGTCTATGACGATACAGGGTGTCCCAATGAAAAGTAGCCCATTTAACGAGCTTATAACTTTTAAACCTCTAATTCTAATAAGAAACAATATGACAAGTTTTGAATCCTGCACGCTTTAGAAAGAGACTCTCGAACAATATACATAGAGGCCAATTTCGAGCGCTGCAATCAGTAGAAAGAGGCTCGACTCTTAAAGTAAGGAACAGAAAATCATATCGTAAAATTACAGGGTTCAAAACTTTTCAAATTATATGCGAAAACTGAATGTTTTTTCATTGGGACACCCTGTATAGCGCATCGAATGGGTGTTCACTTTGATTTTTGTCAAAACTGCTGGTCAGTCGGAAGTTTGCTAATTGTGCAAATTTTTTACTCCATTGGCGATTTTGTAATTATTTTGAATCGTTTTTTTTGATTTGTGAATAATGTGGAAAAGAATGAATGGAAAAATGTGTTGTATTTCCCACACTTAAAGTCATAGTTTTGAAATATGTGTACAGTGTGTTTCATTAGGATTGGTCAATATTTTAGTTGTAGGTTCAGGACCTTCGAATATTCATACTTTACTAATGCATACTTTAATATGCAGGTTGTTGAAGTTAAAATTTATTTTTCGTTTTTTGCAATAATTTCTTTATTATTTAACATATTGATTTGAAATATACCCTACTTATTTTAATAGTATACATTGAACTCAAATCGAGATATTTGCATTTAAAATAGTCTACCTGAAGTATCTATTTAATTTACTTTACCATAGTTCATCATAGTAGGCTTAAAAACTAAAATGAAAATGATAGTTGTCAAAAAATTAATTGTTTAATTTAATGACTCCAGTGTTGATTTTTGTTCGCCAAATTCCATCTAAGTATATATTCGCAAAAAAACGAAAAATAAACTTTAACCTCAATACCCTGTATATTTACTAAAATATGAATATTTGGAGGTACTATTCCTAACCTATAATTAAAATATTGACTATTCTTTATGAAACACCCTGTATGAGGTATTTTAACGAGTGAAACTTATCACATGGTATACATTTTTGTTAGGTGGAGGATTTTTGATTTAAACGACAACTTTCCATGTTGGAAAAATAATTTATTTCTGAATTTCGGTGTTTATTATTTTAGGAAGTATTTTTAATTTTGTAAAATAAATTTTATTTTTTAAAAATAATACGATCGTATCAATTTGAAATGCCCAATATATTAACATGTAGAAGTTTTGAGTAATTTCGAAACTATGGACTTTAGGTACCAAGGGATATAATTTCGATCAATTTGGACTATGGACAAATTAACAAACGACTTGTTTTTGCTTGTTTCTTTTTCTGCATTTTAATGAATTTTCGAAGATTTTTGACTTGTAAAGTTTCCAATACATCCATTCAATATTTGCATCATACTAATAAAAGAAAATCATGTGACGATTTAATTTACGCTACGGCAATTTTCAGAATTCCTCTTTAATTTTTTCCCAACTTATTTCTGTTAATAAATAATATTTGAGAGCAGTATTAGAAATTAAAATGCATTTTTGTCGCAGATCGAGAGAAGCGATAAAAGTCGACCTCCTCCTCGTAAGATAGAAGATAGTCCTCCTCACAAAGAAACCAAGGATGCGGGTCCTCCTAGGAGAAATTGTAAGTTATTCATTCGGTGTGTTTTATTTAATTTTTTTACCAAAAATTAATTTTGCAGTGGACGATAAAAAAGCAGCATCTCCTAAAAGTGATCAAAAATCACCCGATAAGTCTGATAATAGGCATAAAATCGAGAAGTCTGAAAAACCTAAACGGGAAGATAAAAGGTAAGGGAAATTCAATTAAAATGGTGGTCCATAGGAAATCGACACAGCATTCAACGTGTTAATTAATAAAATAATAATTAAAGAGCGGAATATATGCAAAAAATTGCTTATATATTCAAAGATTTACTTAAAAATACGCAGTTATATTCAAAAATATGCTTAAATAATCTTATCCTTTTAAAGGGCACGTAAGATGAAATATAGTATTTCTAGGATTTGTTCTTGTTTCGTACCCTATTAGTATTGTACTTGGTTTAATAGCAATATTTCGTACATCAGTAGCATAGTAGTACTTAAATTTGTTCAAAATTATTTAGGATTATCCAGAAGCACTTTAGAAATGAATTGGGACTATTTAAAACGGTTCAGAACTACCTTGGAACTATTTAGAACTGTTCAAAATCACTTTGAATTATTCAGAATCATATAAAACCATTTTAGAACTTTTTAAAATCACTTACAATTAGATTTGTCCAGAATCATATAGAACCATTTTAGAAATGAATTAGGACCATTTGAAACGGTTCGGTGCTATTTAAGAACTTCTCTCTTTTCCTTTCTTCTTTCTTATCCTTACTTATCCTATTTTCTTCTTTTTCCTCTCTTCTACTATCTTCTCTAACCTCTACTCTCTTCGATACGGAAAAACTTGACAGATTATTAACATGCAAATGTTGCAAAAATATGCATTTTGCGTATAATCCGCTCTTTTAATAATAATATAAGTAAGGTTTAATCGCAATAAATTAATTAAATTTGATGCAGAGAGAGACAGGAAAAGGACATGCCGAAACTGGTGGAACCGGAACCGCCGAATTTCGCCGCCAATAACAAGTTCGCATTTTTGCCAACAGAAGACGATAATTCCGATTAGCAATTACGTGATCGTTAATTAGTGTAAATAATAATAATAATTCAATAAAAAAGTTGATGAATTGATTTTTAACAAACAAAAGTGGTAAATCAGAACATTTTTACAATATTTATTGTTTTAGTCATAGAATATATTTTTTGTTAAATACAAAAAAATGGAAGAAGAAGAACCGTTTGTATGTGTATAATTTTTGTTGAAAATTTTTATTGTAATTTGTGTTGAATGAATTACATATTTATTTCCCAATGCGCTTCGTTTTATTATTTATTCGACGTTTATTGGCTGGTGTGGTAGTTGAGTTTTTCGGGCTCCATGTCTAAATCTTCGTAGAATCTGGGATCGCTTATCCTTAAAGCCGCTCTCTTGTAATAGTAGTAATAAATTGCGGACACTGAAAAATATAATTAAAAATTACTAACAACTTACCAAATTAATATCTAACAATTTTAAAAACAAACAAACCCTACTTGTTATGCAATGTTAAAAAGCTCTAAAAGTCAATAAAACCTTATTTTCATTGAAAAGTGTCCGTAGGTACTTTTTTTGTTAAATAAAAATCATTTATACTTTGTGAGATATAGCCCATTGTAAGTTTTTAAATTGTTACACTGTATAACTCATGAATATATGCATGTACTTACTAAATCTCTGAATAATGAAGGAAACGAAAAACGGAATATTCCACGGTTGTTCTTTGTTGTTCCAGCGCAATACGAGCAACCAAATATTTACAACTGTTGTAAGAATAAAATACGCCATACACACTAGCAATGTTATCCGAAATCTATCGTATAGTAGGTAAACTAACCCATTCTAAAAAGAAATACGCACTAAAAAATCATATTCCAATAAATAATCAAAATATTTACTTGGAAGACATATGTAGAGAAGAAAGTTAATAACAACGCCGATAAAGCCAGTATCAGACAAGCATCTTGAGAACTGAAAATAAAGAAACTGCTAATAAAAGTATTTCAATAAAAAAAACACACGAATACATACATAAACATAACTAGCATTTTAGCATTGCTGTTCCTTTCGAAGATCGAAACGACATTGATCACCCAATCAATCAGCAACAGGAGTACTTGTACGCTTAAAATAACCGAGTACCTGGCCGTGTTTAACTTCATGTCGATTTTTTATTCTTATAAAATATAACTACATTGTTTGAATCACCTCATTTTTGCCATTTTGGATATTTCGATATTGATTTTCATTCGGTTGACATGCGCCCCAATTCAAGTCATTCCGACAAACCGTCAATACAAACACTTGTATGAATATCATGAAGTAAACTGTAATATTAAACAATTTTAGACAATAATTATCCCTACAATGCACTTATAATAACTAAATCAAAAAAATACAGTTTAAGTGTAATGTAAAGACAATAAAGAATCTGAAAAAAAATATTTGAGACAAATTTTTTGCTTATATTCCCTATTAAGTTTATCGGACTGCCGACTATTATACTTGTATACGAAACAAGAATTTTCCGAACAGGGTACGAAACAACAACAAATATAACTTTTAATAATTAGTACCGCTTTATTACAAACTCAATAAACTCATCCCAATCAACTTTCCACTGTTCCAAAGCCCTACCCATCTCTTTACCATTCAAGCTGCTATAACTTAGAGAATTCAACGCGAGTTGCTTCAAAAATCGCAACCCCGTCCTCCTGCTGGTCATCGCCATGAAGACCACGTACCAATCGTGCGACAGCCCCTCGGCGCCCCAAAAACTCGGATCGTCCGAACCGACCACGACAGGAACCCCATCGGCCATCATCACCGCAGCCGGATGGTTCCGGAAATCCCCGACTAGCTCGAGCACCTGGTTGGATATGGGGCACACCTCGACGGCGATCCCTCGCCGTTTGACCTCTTCGACGAGGCCGGGGTGCTTGGGCAAGGCGAACGCGTGGCCTATTCTGGTGGCGTTCAGCAGCACGGCGTCGAAAAGGTTCTCGTCGGATTCGAATCCGAACCAGTCCGTTTCGCCGGCGTGGAAGTACAAGTTTCCGCCGATGTCCCGAATTTTCTCTATGTGCGTCACGAAATCGCTGAGGGGGTATCCTGGAATTTTGAAACTTCAATGGTTAGAGGATATGTTGTCGGTCCGACAATGGAAGACCGCGATTTTCGGTTGAAAAATTACATTATTTTACTTATTAAGTCGAAATGTTTAGTTCAAGGCGGATCTAAATAGTTCTTTGGTGTTCTAATTAGTTTTAGATAATTCTAAATAATTCTGGAACGTTCTAACTGGTTTTAAACAGTTCTAAATGATTCTGGTGCGTTCTAAATGGTTTTATACAGTTCTATACGGTTCTGAAGCGTTCCAAACCGTTTTAGACAGTTCTATATGGTTCTACACAGTTCAAAACGATTCTGAAGAGTTCTAAATGGTTCTATAGAGACAGTTCTAAATAATTCTGGATAGTTTCAATTGGTTCTGAAGCGTTCTAAATAGTTCTAGACAGTTCTAAACGGTTTTATAGACATAAATTTGGAGTGCTCTGGAGTACTTTGGCGTGCTCCAAATATTTTTAGTTATACTTGTTCTAAATGGTTGTATATAGTTATAAATGTTTTAAGCGGTCCAAATTAGTACAGAGCGCTCTAAATGGTTTTATACAGTTCTAAATGGTTCTGAAGAGTTCTAAAGAGTTGTAAATAATTTTGGAGCGTTCGAAATGGTCCTAAAAAGTACTAAATGATTCTAGTGCGTTCTAAATGGTTCTGGAGCTTTCTAAACGGTTGTAAATATTTTTGTAGCGTTCTAAATGGCCCTAAACAGTTCTAAAAAAATTGAGGAATGGATTCTCTTTCCAAAGAACCACAAAATGGCATCAATTTGAATACAATTGGGCGAATACCTTAATTGCGGTTTAAAATAAAGAAATCTAACCTTTATCTTCTTGCCCGACCAGATCGAACCCCACCACCAATTCGGGATAAGCCTTCCTAATTCTCCTATAAACCTCAATCTCCTCATCGATATTGGCGCGAACAAACTTCCTGTGGGGGGCGTAAATGAACTTCGCCCCCACGAAATCCGGGTAATCCCTCCGGAATCTTTTAATAACCTTCGCGTAGATACCAATCACTTCCTCGTCCCTATAAACCTTGCCCTTCAAATCGTACGCGTATAGCCCCGTGCATCTGATCTCCACGTACTTCACGTTGTCCTCGCGGAGCTCCTTGAGTCCTTGATAGAAAAAGTCCTCGAAGACGGGCTTGAAACTGATGAGGCCGTCGACTGTGGAGAAGATGCCCTGGAAGGCGCTCCACGCGTCCTCTACAGTGGGGTAGGATTTGCGGGGATCCTCGCGTACGAGGGTGAGTTTGGATTTGAGGAACTCCTCGAAATTACTGCGGTTGGTCCTCCTGAGCTGGCTCAGTGAGCTCCAGTTTGTGCTGGTGTTCGAGGGGAAGAAGCGGAAGGATAGTTCTCCTGATGATGAGATGCTGGCGTATAAGTTTTCTCTGAAGGTTAAATTGTAGAGGTACTCCTGTGAAGTAAGGGCGAAGGAGTGAATGTGCAAGGACGAGCCTTTGGGTAGCTTCTGTATGATTTGGAAAATCCTGGAGGTTCGTATGGTTTTCCGAATGTCGAAGAAATGCTGGGAGGATGGAAATTTGTTGGGATCTTCAAAACCTGATTGCAGCTCGCTCGTTTTTAGGGAAGTGATGATTTCGTTCGCTCGGTTTTCCTTCTCGGTTAGATGCAACTTGGAGCCGATGGTGCGTTCTCTGTCCAGCTCTATTAGTCGATTTTTTTCTGTCCGGTAATCAGCTGACGTGTGTTTCAATAAATAGGCCAATAACAGGATTAATTTTATCACTGTTATTTCCATATTCTGTAATAGACAAGATAAAAAAGCGGTGTAGGATTTATCAATGGCGAATATGAAATTAATATCACAAAAGTATTGATTAATAATATTCCTATATCTCAATGGATTTTTAAGTACCTTGATACATTAAATCTTTTCAAATCGACTTTTTTTACACGACACAAAGATCACAAGGTTCACAAAATCACAAAAGAAATTTGTTCACGAAATCCAATGGTCGTCTCCAATCAACGAAATAAAATTACTTCTACCAGTTATAAATTTTTGGAATGGTTCATGTAATAACTAAAAATTCTTTTAACCCATTGGCGTACGAAAATGAATACTAGATTTATGATTTCCCATATCCTCTCACAAAATATAAACAAATCCATTTTTTTAAATTCGGTAACTGCTTCTAGTTATAGCTAGCATTAGAAATTGTTCAAATTCATATTTATGGTATAGTTAGTAGTCAGTAGTCGCAATAATCAAGTAGGTATTTTGATGTGTTGAGTCAATAATCAAGTACGAGAGTTCTGTTAGGGACAATTCTAGAACGGTCTAGAATCATTTAGAACTGTCTAGAACCGTTTGGAATGTTTCAGAATCATAGGAAGCTCCAGAACCATTTAGAACGCATCAAGAAAACCCATCAAGGAACTCGTTTAATATTGTTAAATTAGTGTGTTAACTGTAAACTTATTTATTCCACGTCTGTGATCTATAGTAATTGCAAATATTGGCCCTTAAACTTGTAAACTGGATTTTAATTGTAGAATGTACATGAATGAATATTACTCGTACAGATATTTTATTAGTCTGCATAACATAGCAGATATGATTTGGCAATGAAAATCGATTAAATCATTTATTAATTCGTCGATTTAATCGGACATAAATCACGTACAAGGCTTCATTCTATAATGTCATTATACTCGTAATATACCTATTACCTATACAGAGTGGCCCAACGAAAAGTTTACACTCGGCTTTTCTTTTTTTTTATCAAATTTAACGAAAAATTGCTCGGACATGTCGATTTTTATTTCAAGGGGGACAAGTTTCTGCCATATCTTCAAGTGTCATATGTCACCCCCCACAAAAACTGTTACATTACACCGCAGTTAACACCAAAATGGTTTCAAGAATCGCAACCGTGTAGTTTGATATTAAAAAAAGCTGTTGAGTAACAAATTTTTACATTATTGAATTTCTTATAAAAATACATTTTCATTGATGAATCACATAGTACTTAGCCTATTTAAATTCTCTTGGTGATAGTGATGGAGGGGTGACATATGTCACTTAAAGATATGACAGAAACTTGTCCCCCTTGAAATAATAAATCGACCTGTCCGAGGATTTTTTTCTTAGATTTAATAGAAAAAAAAGCTGAGTGTAAACTTTTTGTTGGTCCAATCTGTAGCATATCATTATTAATTGAGATAATTGTTACAAAAAATAAAAATTGATACGAATCGAGTACCAAAAACAATTGTTTCATACGCATTATCTGATATATGTACATATGTAGATTTGATGACATTGTAAAAAACCAAATTCCAATTATAATTTTTATTTTTGTTGTACCTACGTGTATAACTTATAATTGTAAAATATAATTAAATAAATTTGTGATATTAAACGCAATGAATTTAATTAATTTAATAAATGATAAACACGTGTAGCCGCGCGATTAGAAAATTTTAGAAGAAAGAACCAACTATCTTTACATACAGGGTGGAAACGCCAAATGGAATAAATTCATTATTTCGGTTATTGTACATTCTTCAAAGTGAAAATAAGTGATCCCTATCTTCAACCCCCTTCTAGTGACGGTAACAACCCCGATTTTTTTAAATGGGAAGTATAGGCTTGTGATATATCGTTTGAAAGGTCTCTTTATTCTCTAACCAAAATGGATGAATCTTCTCTGCTCCTATTCTGCTCCTACTATGAATCTTCTCTGCGTCTACTCGGAATGTTCATTGATATCTTTATGGAAATGCTTCTTAAAGCAACATTCCAACAACAAGAACAACAACAATAACAATAACATGAACAACAAGAATCCTCGGTTGTGATTTACATGATATATTTCTTCTCTACTTTTATTTCGGCCTGTGCTTAATGTGGTTTAACCTAAGAGTGATCTATGTATGTACCACGGCCCTATATTTCTAAGGTCTGGAAACTTTCTATGCTTATGTATTAGAGAATGTGTCCCGTTATTTGAGGACTTTTTGAGCTTCACTTTTGTGCCGCACCGTGGCGAACGATCGGAGGACCAACTTATCTCAGCCAATCAGCGTCAATTTCAATATTAAGTCCAGCAAAAAAATAATCAACACCGCCACAAAAGTCGTTTAATCTGCAAAAATATGAAAACTGGATAAAATCACAAAATTAGCGATGACTCGAAAACAGTAAAGAAACGGACAGATGTTCATATGACATTTTATATTGCAAATCACCTCCCCTATCTCCCGTTTCATTTTTATAGATATTGCCAAACGATAGGCAAAATTACACTCAGATTTTAAAACAAATAAAAATCTAAGTATACAGGGTGAGTCGTGAGGAATCGTACATACTTTAACAGTGTATAGAGGCACTTAAGGTGAATCATAAGACCATTCAAAGTTCCATCCGCCTCTTCTCTAAGGAGATACAGGGTGGGTAAAGTTTACTAAGTCGGAGCGGGTTAACGTGCATGCGCCAATAACGTCAAATTATGTGTTCTAACAGCGTCAAAAACTGTGCATCGTTGGCAATGTGTATTTAATTTCAGTAAATGGACAGAAATATTTGTTTTAGATAGAAAATAATAATTATTAGACGGGAGTAAAAGAGGGTGCAGGAGAAGGTAGGGAGGAGTAGAATAGGGTAGAAGGGGGTACGAAGGATAGAAGGAGGTAGGAAGGGTTAGTGTAGAAGAAGGGATGTGGAGGTAGAGGATGGTAGCAGGGGTTGGGTGGGGTAGAAGATGGTATATACATTTTAAACCAGCAACACACTGGCATATTCAGAATTAAAAAATTTCAGGACCGTCTTCAAAAAAAAAGAGGTAAATATTTTCAAACTTAATATTTCACCCTGTATACACTTTTTCTAAATTTTCATTTGATTAATGTAGAAGGTATAAGTAACTCATAAAGCCTGAACATCGGAAATTTTTGCCACACTTTGTTTAAATTGTCAATTAACAATTAACTTTTAAGAAAAATTACACATTTAGGATAACCGAATAATTTACATTAAAATAATATTATCTATCGTACAAATTTTAATGAAAATTAATAAAAACGACTAATTACTTGTCTTTTTCTATGAAAAAGTCCTAAAATTACAAAAAAAATCTCAAAATTAACTCAATAAGAAATATTCAACGCGCATGATAATAACTGTTCAAAAGCTAACAAAAAACACAATAATTCAATAAAAAATCCATTTTTTACATTATAAAACATGTTCAAAATGAAAACCATTTGCCATTGCAAAATCCCTAAACAAAAATAATATCAGCATATTCAGCAATTGAATATTTGAATGGCTTTTTTAATAAACAAAGTGTATCAATTAGTAACACACAACGATTCAATTCTTAATTATTGACGAAAGAATGAAACCAAATGTCAAAATGCAAAAACAAAGAAAGGGTTAATTTGTCATAGACTATTTCGATCATTGTATCTATTTTAACATACAGAAGAAATAATTCATTAGATAATATTATTGAATTATTTTTTTTGTAATTTTAGGACTTTTTCAAAGAAAAAGACAAGTAATTAGTCGTTTAAGTTATCTCGTTAATTAGGCGGTCACTTCACAACTGATTAAGATACTGCAATCAATTCAAAAGTCCTTATCTAGAGAAATATTCGGGGATATAAAAAGCGCCGTGTAGGAATATTTTTTGCATTCTTAAGTTACTCTAACAAAAGTAAAAATGTTCGTCTATTTACTAACTATTTGCCTTTTCTCTTCGTTTGCTTCGTTGGACGCGAGGGAAATACCGGGTACGTAAAAATTCAGAAAATTTGCGTTATTTTTCTTTAGAAAAACGAATTTAAAGCGCCTACGTGATTATAAGTTTCGCTCTTTTTTCAGAAAGTCCTCGCGTTTGGAAGAAGCAGGTTCCTGCTGGGATAAAAACCTTCTTTATTGCTTCACACACGGTAATTATGTTTTGTTTATACATGTTAATTCATTTTAGTTTGCAATATAGGCTATGGGTGCGACAAAGACAACTTCAATTAGACAAAAAAGAGTGATATTGTATCATTGCAACTTTCTCACTCTAACCACTGTTATCTTAATAATTTTTCTTTGTTCAACTCATAGAATTGACCATATTACAAACAAATTTGCACTTACAAGGATAAGGTGGAGTGTTCTCGGCCCGATAATGAAAGACCGCTATTTTCAGTTGAAAAATTACATTTATTCCTATTATTAAGTCGTAATATTTAGTTTAAGACGGTTCTAAATGATTTTGGGGCGTTCTAAATGGTTTTAGACAGTTCTAAATGTTTCTAAAGCGTTCTAAAAAGTTGTAGACAGCAGACAGCTCTAAATGATTCTGGAGCGTTCTAAATGACTATGAAGCATTCTAAATAGCTCTAGACAGTTTTAAATGGTTCGAAAGCGTTCGAAATGGTTTTAGACATGTTTATAACAAAATTTCATATTTTTTAACAAGGAATTGCCCTCTAAAATTTCTCCGTCTATTTTATGAACATCCTGTTTAAGTAATTATAGAAACGGTAGTGGTACAAAAGCTTAAAACTTTATGCTGAATGTTTAAAGCTTTTAAGGATTTGTATGAGTAAAATATCATTTAATAAGTGTTTTAATAACTTGTTCGTTAGGCAAACGTAACATCCGGAATTGAAGCATGCAAAAATAGTGGATTGGAATTGGTGTCAATAGACAGCAAAGAAGAAAACGATATACTTGCTGAGGAAATTTCAGGTCTATTTGGTAAGCAATAATCGCATTAATATACAATCAATTTCGGCAACCTAATACAAACTATTAACTCAAAGAGAATACAAATGTACATATGTATAAGCCTGTTAACAATAATTTGGAATGGTTTATTTGGACTGTTTATTTTGTCCAAATTGTTCAATTTAATTCATTGTTATTTTTCGGTGGAAAATCCCTGTGCTCAATTCCTTTTTAATTCTTCCATTTTATTCTTATTGTTAGGATCAACTCTTACATATTGGACGGCGGGCAAATTCGCGAATCAGGGTAAGTGGGTTTGGATGACAACGGGAGAAGAAATGACCTTTTCCGATTGGAGCGAAAACCAGCCGAATTTCGACGATTATCCCGATGAATTGTGCGTCGGGATGCAGTTCGAAAATAGCAAGAAAGGACACTGGTTGACCAGCTCGTGCAAATGGCCCAGGGGAATAATTTGCCAAAAGATTACAACTGAATAAATATTTTTAAAATCTGTTCGTTTTCTATAAAATATAGAGTTCAATTTTAACAGTGTTTTTGTCTCGGTTTTTATTGTCCTTGATTCGGTAGGTATAGGTAATAAGAAGAAATTTTAATTTTCAATATGTAGCCAGTAAATATGGTCTATAATTATTAGAACTTGGAAAATATACACTAAAAATAACAAAATATGCTTGCAGATATGCACTAAAAATGTTCAAAATAATGAACTTATACAGGGTATGTCACGAACAAAAAGGTAGGTCATAAATTATACCACATAAAAATATGTCTAATAAAAAAAATAAGTTGCACAAATTTAAGACCAATGCCCTGAAATACAGGGGTAGGGTGAAAAGTTCTCAGCCTGATACACTGATGGCGCTCCAATCAACAAGAATGCTTGTTTCATCTTTGGGACATTTCTAGTTAATTCTAGCTGTCTAGAACCATTTAGAACACTCCAGAATCATTCTGTTTAAAACGCTCTTTAGAACAGAACTGTTTAGAACGCTCTATAGTCATTTAGAACGCTCCGGAATCATTTAAAGGTATCTAGACCCATTTAAAACACTCCAAAATATTTTAGGGCTATATAGACCCATTTAGAGCCATTGAGAACTATTTGGAACGCTCCAGAATCATTTAGAATTGTCTAGAACCATTTAGAACGCTCCAGAATCATTTAGAATTAGAGCTATCCAGACCCATTTCGAACGCTCCAGAACCATTTAGAGCTATCTAGACCCATTTAGAACACTTTAGAACCATTTATAACGCTCCAGAATCATTTAGAATAAGAGCTATCTAGATCCAGTTGGAACGCTCCATTGTCATTTAGAACGCTCCTGCAAAATCATTTAGAATTGTCTGGAACCATTTAGAACGCTAGACAACACTCACCATAAGCATGCATTTAGTATTGCACGCTTAGAAAGAAACTCTATTACTTTCACTGATGTACTAAAACCCTATAAACTGCTTTTTTAATGTATTTTATTTCCGAACAGGGTACGAAACAACAACAAATATAACTTTTAATAATTAGTACCGCTTTATTACAAACTCAATAAACTCATCCCAATCAACTTTCCACTGTTCTAAAGCCCTACCCATCTCTTTACCATCCAAGCTGCTATAACTTAGAGAATTCAACGCGAGTTGCTTCAAAAATCGCAACCCCGTCCTCCTGCTGGTCATCGCCATGAAGACCACGTACCAATCGTGCGACAGCCCCTCGGCGCCCCAAAAACTCGGATCGTCCGAACCGACCACGACAGGAACCCCATCGGCCATCATCACCGCAGCCGGATGGTTCCGGAAATCCCCGACTAGCTCGAGCACCTGGTTGGATATGGGGCACACCTCGACGGCGATCCCTCGCCGTTTGACCTCTTCGACGAGGCCGGGGTGCTTGGGCAAGGCGAACGCGTGGCCTATTCTGGTGGCGTTCAGCAGCACGGCGTCGAAAAGGTTCTCGTCGGATTCGAATCCGAACCAGTCCGTTTCGCCGGCGTGGAAGTACAAGTTTCCGCCGATGTCCCGAATTTTCTCTATGTGCGTCACGAAATCGCTGAGGGGGTATCCTGGAATTTTGAAACTTCGATGGTAAGGGAAAATATTGTCGGTCCGAGAATGGAAGACCGCGATTTTCGGTTGACAAATTACATTATTTTACTTATTAAGTCGAAATGTTTAGTTCAAGGCGGATCTAAATAGTTTTTTGGTGTTCTAATTAGTTTTAGACAATTCTAAATAATTCTGGAACGTTCTAACTGGTTTTAAACAGTTCTAAATGATTCTGGTGCGTTCTAAATGGTTTTATACAGTTCTATACGGTCCTGAAGCATTCCAAACCGTTTTAGACAGTTCTATATGGTTCTACACAGTTCAAAACGATTCTGAAGAGTTCTAAATGGTTCTATAGAGACAGTTCTAAATAATTCTGGATAGTTTCAATTGGTTCTGAAGCGTTCTAAATAGTTCTAGACAGTTCTAAACGGTTTTATAGACATAAATTTGGAGTGCTCTGGAGTACTTTGGCGTGCTCTAAATATTTTTAGTACTTGTTCTAAATGGTTGTATATAGTTATAAATGTTTTAAGCGGTCCAAATTAGTACAGAGCGCTCTAAATGGTTTTATACAGTTCTAAATGGTTCTGAAGGGTTCTAAAGAGTTGTAAATAATTTTGGAGCGTTCGAAATGGTCCTAAAAAGTACTAAATGATTCTAGTGCGTTCTAAATGGTTCTGGAGCGTTCTAAACGGTTGTAAATAATTTTGGAGCGCTCTAAATGGCCCTAAACAGTTCTAAAAAAGTTGAGAAATGGATTCTCCTTCCATAGAACCACAAAATGGTAGCAATTTTGATACAATTGGGCGAATACAATTGCGGCTTAAAATAAAGAAGAGAAATAGAGAAGAGAAATAAAGAAGAAATCTAACCTTTATCTTCTTGCCCGACCAGATCGAACCCCACCACCAATTCGGGATAAGCCTTCCTAATTCTCCTATAAACCTCAATCTCCTCATCGATATTGGCGCGAACAAACTTCCTGTGGGGGGCGTAAATGAACTTCGCCCCCACGAAATCCGGGTAATCCCTCCGGAATCTTTTAATAACCTTCGCGTAGATACCAATCACTTCCTCGTCCCTATAAACCTTGCCCTTCATATCGTACGCGTATAGCCCCGTGCATCTGATCTCCGCGTACTTTACGTTGTCCTCGCGGAGCTCCTTGAGTCCTTGATAGAAAAAGTCCTCGAAGACGGGCTTGAAACTGATGAGGCCGTTGACTGTAGAGAAGATGCCCTGGAAGGCACTCCACGCGTCCTCTACAGTGGGGTAGGATTTGCGGGGATCCTCGCGTACGAGGGTGAGTTTGGATTTGAGGAACTCCTCGAAATTACTGCGGTTGGTCCTCCTGAGCTGGCTCAGGGAGCTCCAGTTTGTGCTGGTGTTCGAGGGGAAGAAGCGGAAGGATAGTTCTCCTGATGATGAGATGCTGGCGTATAAGTTTTCTCTGAAGGTTAAATTGTAGAGGTACTCCTGTGAAGTAAGGGCGAAGGAGTGAATGTGCAAGGACGAGCCTTTGGGTAGCTTCTGTATGATTTGGAAAATCCTGGAGATTCGTATGGTTTTCCGAATGTCGAAGAAATGCTGGGAGGATGGAAATTTGTTGGGATCTTCAAAACCTGATTGCAGCTCGCTCGTTTTTAGGGAAGTGATGATTTCGTTCGCTCGGTTTTCCTTCTCGGTTAGATGCAACTTGGAGCCGATGGTGCGTTCTCTGTCCAGCTCTATTAGTCGATTTTTTTCTGTCCGGTAATCAGCTGACGTGTGTTTCAATAAATAGGCCAATAACAGGATTAATTTTATCATTGTTATTTCCATATTCTGTAATAGACAAGATAAAAAAGCGGTGTAGGATTTATCAATGGCGAATATGAAATTAATATCACAAAAGTATTGATTAATAATATTCCTCTATCTCAATGGATTTTTAAGTACCTTGATACATTAAATCTTTTCAAATCGACTTTTTTTACACGACACAAAGATCACAAGGTTCACAAAACCACAAAAGAAATTTGTTCACGAAATCCAATGGTCGTCTCCAATCAACGAAATAAAATTACTTCTACCAGTTATAAATTTTTGGAATGGTTCATGTAATAACTAAAAATTCTTTTAACCCATTGGCGTACGAAAATGAATACTAGATTTATGATTTCCCATATCCTATCACAAAATATAAACAAATCCATTTTTTTAAATTCGGTAACTGCTTCTAGCTATAGTATTAGAAATTGTTCAAATTCATATTTATGGTATAGTTAGTAGTCAGTAGTCGCAATAATCAAGTACGAGAGTAGGGTTCGTTTTTTGTTAGGGACAATTCTAGAACGGTCTAGAATCATTTAGAATTGTCTAGAACCGTTTGGAATGTTTCAGAATCATAGGAAGCTCCAGAACCATTTAGAACGCATCAAGAAAACCCATCAAGAAAACCCGTTTAATATTGATTAAATTAGTGTGTTAACTGTAAACTTATTTATTCCACGTCTGTGATCTATAGTAATTGCAAATATTGGCCCTTAAACTTGTAAACACCAACTGAATTTTAATTGTAGAATGTACATGAATGAATATTACTCGTACTGATATTTTATTAGTCTACATGATTTTGCAATTAAAATCGATTAAATCATTTATTAATTCGACGATTTAATCGGATATAAATGACGTACAAGGACTTCATTCTATAATGTCATTATACTCGTAATATACCTATTACCTATACAGAGTGGCCCAACGAAAAGTTTACACTCGGCTTTTCTCTTTTTTATCAAATTTAACGAAAAATTGCTCGGACATGTCGATAACCGCAGTTAACACCAAAATGGTTTCAAGAATCGCAACCGTGTAGTTTGATATTAAAAAAAGCTGTTGAGTAACAAATTTTTACATTATTGAATTTCTTATAAAAATACATTTTCATTGATGAATCACATAGTACTTAGCCTATTTAAATTCTCTTGGTGATAGTGATGGAGGGGTGACATATGTCACTTAAAGATATGACAGAAACTTGTCCCCCTTGAAATAATAAATCGACCTGTCCGAGGATTTTTTTCTTAGATTTAATAGAAAAAAAAAGCTGAGTGTAAACTTTTTGTTGGTCCAATCTGTAGCATATCATTGTTAATTGAGATTATTGTTACAAAAAATAAAAATTGATACGAATCGAGTACCAAAAACAATTGTTTCATACGCATTATCTGATATATGTACATATGTAGATTTGATGACATTGTAAAAAACCAAATTCCAATTATAATTTTTATTTTTGTTGTACCTACTTGTATAACTTATAATTATGTAAAATATAATTAAATAAATTTGTGATATTAAACGCAATGAATTTAATTAATTTAATAAATGATAAACACGTGTAGCCGCGCGATTAGAAAATTTTAGAAGAAAGAACCAACTATCTTTACATACAGGGTGGAAACGCCAAATGGAATAAATTCTTTATTTCGGTTATTGTACATTCTTCAAAGTGAAAATAAGTGATCCCTATCTTCAACCCCCTTCTAGTGACAGTAACAACCCCGATTTTTTTAAATGGGAAGTATAGGCTTGTGATATATCGTTTGAAAGGTCTCTTTATTCTCTAACCAAAATGGATGAATCTTCTCTGCTCCTATTCTGCTCCTACTATGAATCTTCTCTGCGTCTACTCGGAATGTTCATTGATATCTTTATGGAAATGCTTCTTAAAGCAACATTCGAACAACAAGAACAACAACAATAACAATAACATGAACAACAAGAATCCTCGGTTGTGATTTACATGATATATTTCTTCTCTACTTTTATTTCGGCCTGTGCTTAATGTGGTTTAACCTAACAGTGATCTATGTATGTACCACGGCCCTATATTTCTAAGGTCTGGAAACTTTTTATGCTTATGTATTAGAGAATGTGTCCCGTTATTTGAGGACTTTTTGAGCTTCACTTTTGTGCCGCACCGTGGCGAACGATCGGAGGACCAACTTATCTCAGCCAATCAGCGTCAATTTCAATATTAAGTCCAGCAAAAAAATAATCAACACCGCCACAAAAGTCGTTTAATCTGCAAAAATATGAAAACTGGATAAAATCACAAAATTAGCGATGACTCGAAAACAGTAAAGAAACGGACAGATGTTCATATGACATTTTATATTGCAAATCTCCTCCCCTATCTCCCGTTTCATTTTTATAGATATTGCCAAACGATAGGCAAAATTACACTTAGATTTTAAAACAAATAAAAATCTAAGTATACAGGGTGAGTCGTGAGGAATCGTACATACTTTAACAGTGTATAGAGGCACTTAAGGTGAATCATAAGACCATTCAAAGTTCCATCCGCCTCTTCTCTAAGGAGATACAGGGTGGGTAAAGTTTACTAAGTCGGAGCGGGTTAACGTGCATGCGCCAATAACGTCAAATTATGTGTTCTAACAGCGTGAAAAACTGTGCATCGTTGGCAATGTGTATTTAATTTCAGTAAATGGACAGAAATATTTGTTTTAGATAGAAAATAATAATTATTAGACGGGAGTAAAAGAGGGTGCAGGAGAAGGTAGGGAGGAGTAGAATAGGGTAGAAGGGGGTACGAAGGATAGAAGGAGGTAGGAAGGGTTAGTGTAGAAGAAGGGATGTGGAGGTAGAGGATGGTAGCAGGGGTTGGGTGGGGTAGAAGATGGTATATACATTTTAAACCAGCAACACACTGGCATATTCAGAATTAAAAAATTTCAGGACCGTCTTCAAAAAAAAAAGGTAAATATTTTCAAACTTAATATTTCACCCTGTATACACTTTTTCTAAATTTTCATTTGATTAATGTAGAAGGTATAAGTAACTCATAAAGCCTGAACATCGGAAATTTTTGCCACACTTTGTTTAAATTGTCAATTAACAATTAACTTTTAAGAAAAATTACACATTTAGGATAACCGAATAATTTACATTAAAATAATATTATCTATCGTACAAATTTTAACGAAAATTAATAAAAACGACTAATTACTTGTCTTTTTCTATGAAAAAGTCCTAAAATTACAAAAAAAATCTCAAAATTAACTCAATAAGAAATATTCAACGCGCATGATAATAACTGTTCAAAAGCTAACAAAAAACACAATAATTCAATAAAAAATCTATTTTACATTATAAAACATGTTCAAAATGAAAACCATTTGCCATTGCAAAATCCCTAAACAAAAATAATATCAGCATATTCAGCAATTGAATATTTGAATGGCTTTTTTAATAAACAAAGTGTATCAATTAGTAACACACAACGATTCAATTCTTAATTATTGACGAAAGAATGAAACCAAATGTCAAAATGCAAAAACAAAGAAAGGGTTAATTTGTCATAGACTATTTCGATCATTGTATCTATTTTAACATACAGAAGGAATAACTCATTAGATAATATTATTGAATTATTTTTTTTGTAATTTTAGGACTTTTTCAAAGAAAAAGACAAGTAATTAGTCGTTTAAGTTATCTCGTTAATTAGGCGGTCACTTCACAACTGATTAAGATACTGCAATCAATTCAAAAGTCCTTATCTAGAGAAATATTCGGGGATATAAAAAGCGCCGTGTACGAATATTTTTTGCATTCTTAAGTTACTCTAACAAAAGTAAAAATGTTCGTCTATTTACTAACTATTTGCCTTTTCTCTTCGTTTGCTTCGTTGGACGCGAGGGAAATACCGGGTACGTAAAAATTCAGAAAATTTGCGTTATTTTTCTTTAGAAAAACGAATTTAAAGCGCCTACGTGATTATAAGTTTCGCTCTTTTTTCAGAAAGTCCTCGCGTTTGGAAGAAGCAGGTTCCTGCTGGGATAAAAACGTTCTTTATTGCTTCACACACGGTAATTATGTTTTGTTTATACATGTTAATTCATTTTAGTTTGCAATATAGGCTATGGGTGCGACAAAGACAACTTCAATTAGACAAAAAAGAGTGATATTGTATCATTGCAACTTTCTCACTCTAACCACTGTTATTTTAATAATTTTTCTTTGTTCAACTCATAGAATTGACCATATTACAAACAAATTGGCACTTAAAAGGATAAGGTGGAGTGTTCTCGGCCCGATAATGAAAGACCGCTATTTTCAGTTGAAAAATTACATTTATTCCTATTATTAAGTCGTAATATTTAGTTTAAGACGGTTCTAAATGATTTTGGGGGGCGTTCTAAATGGTTTTAGACAGTTCTAAATGTTTCTAAAGCGTTCTAAAAAGTTGTAGACAGCTCTAAATGATTCTGGAGCGTTCTAAATGACTATGAAGCATTCTAAATAGCTCTAGACAGTTTTAAATGGTTCGAAAGCGTTCGAAATGGTTTTAGACATGTTTATAACAAAATTTCATATTTTTTAACAAGGAATTGCCCTCTAAAATTTCTCCGTCTATTTTATGAACATCCTGTTTAAGTAATTATAGAAGTGGGTAGTGGTACAAAAGCTTAAAACTTTATGCTGAATGTTTAAAGCTTTTAAGGATTTGTATGAGTAAAATATCATTTAATAAGTGTTTTAATAACTTGTTCGTTAGGCAAACGTAACATCCGGAATTGAAGCATGCAAAAATAGTGGATTGGAATTGGTGTCAATAGACAGCAAAGAAGAAAACGATATACTTGCTGAGGAAATTTCAGGTCTATTTGGTAAGCAATAATCGCATTAATATACAATCAATTGCGGCAACCTAATACAAACTATTAACTCAAAGAGAATATAAATGTACATATGTATAAGCCTGTTAACAATAATTTGGAATGGTTTATTTGGACTGTTTATTTTGTCCAAATTGTTCAATTTAATTCATTGTTATTTTTCGGTGGAAAATCCCTGTGCTCAATTCCTTTTTAATTCTTCCATTTTATTCTTATTGTTAGGATCAACTCTTACATATTGGACGGCGGGAAAATTCGCGAATCAGGGTAAGTGGGTTTGGATGACAACGGGAGAAGAAATGACCTTTTCCGATTGGAGCGAAAACCAGCCGAATTTCGACGATTATCCCGATGAATTGTGCGTCGGGATGCAGTTCGAAAATAGCAAGAAAGGACACTGGTTGACCAGCTCGTGCAAATGGCCCAGGGGAATAATTTGCCAAAAGATTACAACTGAATAAATATTTTTAAAATCTGTTCGTTTTCTATAAAATATAGAGTTCAATTTTAACAGTGTTTTTGTCTCGGGTTTTATTGTCCTTGATTCGGTAGGTATAGGTAATAAGAAGAAATTTTAATTTTCAATATGTAGCCAGTAAATATGGTCTATAATTATTAGAACTTGGAAAATATGCACTAAAAATGACAAAATATGCTTGCAGATATGCACTAAAAATGTTCAAAATAATGAACTTATACAGGGTATGTCACGAACAAAAAGGTAGGTCATAAATTATACCACATAAAAATATGTCTAATAAAAAAAATAAGTTGCACAAATTTAAGACCAATGCCCTGAAATACAGGGGTAGGGTGAAAAGTTCTCAGCCTGATACACTGATGGCGCTCCAATCAACAAGAATGCTTGTTTCATCTTTGGGACATTTCTAGTTAATTCTAGCTGTCTAGAACCATTTAGAACACTCCAGAATCATTCTGTTTAAAACGCTCTTTAGAACAGAACTATTTGGAACGCTCCATAGTCATTTAGAACGCTCCAGAATCATTTAGAATTGTCTAGAACCATTTAGAACGCTCCAGAATCATTTAGAATTAGAGCTATCCAGACCCATTTCGAACGCTCCAGAACCATTTAGAGCTATCTAGACCCATTTAGAACATTTTAGAACCATTTATAACGCTCCAGAATCATTTAGAATAAGAGCTATCTAGATCCAGTTGGAACGCTCCATAGTCATTTAGAACGCTCCAGAATCATTTAGAATTGTCTAGAACCATTTAGAACGCTCCAGAATCATTTAGAATTAGAGCTATCCAGACCCATTTCGAACGCTCCAGAACCATTTAGAGCTATCTAGACCCATTTAGAACACTTTAGAACGGCGTCGAAGAGGTTCTCGTCGGATTCGAATCCGAACCAGTCCGTTTCGCCGGCGTGGAAGTACAAGTTTCCGCCGATGTCCCGAATTTTCTCTATGTGCGTCACGAAATCGCTGAGGGGGTATCCTGGAATTTTGAAAATTCAATGGTAAGGGAAAATATTGTCGGTCCGAGAATGGAAGACCGCGATTTTCGGTTGAAAAATTACATTATTTTACTTATTAAGTCGAAATGTTTAGTTCAAGGTGGATCTAAATATACTGCTCCACAAAAGTTAAGAAAGTTCACAAATATTGAGATTAATTTAAAAGTTGCAGGTTTTTTGATTGCCAAATTTAGTATGAGTTGTAGAGGTAGGGGCAAAATATCCACTTAGATATGAGAGAAAACATTTAGTTTCGCATATTTGAAAATTTGGTTATCGAAAAGTATGTAACTTTTAAAATAATCGCAAAATTTGCGAACTTCCTTAACTTTTGTGGAGCAGTTTAGTTCTGGTGCGTTTTAAATGGTTTTAGACAGTTCTAAATGATTTTGGAACGTTCTAAATGGTTCTAAACCGTTCTAAATGTTTCTTAAGCGTGTAAATGGTTCTAGACAGTTCTAAACGATTCTGGATAGTTCCAAATGGTGTTCCAAATGGTGCTGAAGTGTTCTAAATAGTTCTAAACAGTTCTAATTGATTCTGGAGCTTTCTAAATGACTATGGGCCGTTTTAAATGGTTCTGAATGAATATGGATCGTTCTAAATGATTCTGGTGCGATTTAAATGGTTTTATACAGTTTTATATGATTCTGAAGCGATCTAAACGGGTTTAGACAGTTCTAAATGGTTCTACATAGTTAACATAGTTTTAAATGCATCGGAAACATTCTGAACGGTTCTAGAAAAATCTAAATAATTCTGGAGCGTTCTAAAATGGTTCAGAAATGTTCCAAATCGTTTTAGACAGTTCTAAATGGTTTTATATAGTTCTTAACGATTCTGAAGAGATCTAAATGGTTCCATATAGACAGTTCTAAATGATTGTGGATAGTTCTAAATGGTTTAAAGCGTTTTAAACGAAGCGTTCTAAATGAGTATGGAGAGCTCTAAATGGTTTTATACAGTTCTAAATGATTCTGGAGCATTCTAAACGGTTGTAAATAATTTTGGAGCGTTCTAAATGGCCCTAAACAGTTCTAAATGATTCTAGTGCGTTCTAAATGGTTCTGGAGCGTTCTAAACGGTTGTAAATAATTTTGGAGCGCTCTAAATGGCCCTAAACAGTTCTAAAAAAGTTGAGAAATGGATTCTCCTTCCATAGAACCACAAAATGGTAGCAATTTTGATACAATTGGGCGAATACAATTGCGGCTTAAAATAAAGAAATCTAACCTTTATCTTCTTGCCCGACCAGATCGAACCCCACCACCAATTCGGGATAAGCCTTCCTAATTCTCCTATAAACCTCAATCTCTTCATCAATATTGGCGCGAACAAACTTCCTGTGGGGGGCGTAAACGAACTTCGCCCCCACGAAATCCGGGTAATCCCTCCGGAATCTTTTAATAACCTTCGCGTAGATACCAATCACTTCCTCGTCCCTATAAACCTTGCCCTTCAAATCGTACGCGTATAGCCCCGTGCATCTGATCTCCGCGTACTTTACGTTGTCCTCGCGGAGCTCCTTGAGTCCTTGATAGAAAAAGTCCTCGAAGACGGGCTTGAAACTGATGAGGCCGTTGACTGTAAAGAAGATGCCCTGGAAGGCACTCCACGCGTCCTCTACAGTGGGGTAGGATTTGCGGGGATCCTCGCGTACGAGGGTGAGTTTGGATTTGAGGAACTCCTCGAAATTACTGCGGTTGGTCCTCCTGAGCTGGCTCAGGGAGCTCCAGTTTGTGCTGGTGTTCGAGGGGAAGAAGCGGAAGGATAGTTCTCCTGATGATGAGATGCTGGCGTATAAGTTTTCTCTGAAGGTTAAATTGTAGAGGTACTCCTGTGAAGTAAGGGCGAAGGAGTGAATGTGCAAGGACGAGCCTTTGGGTAGCTTCTGTATGATTTGGAAAATCCTGGAGGTTCGTATGGTTTTCCGAATGTCGAAGAAATGCTGGGAGGATGGAAATTTGTTGGGATCTTCAAAACCTGATTGCAGCTCGCTCGTTTTTAGGGAAGTGATGATTTCGTTCGCTCGGTTTTCCTTCTCGGTTAGATGCAACTTGGAGCCGATGGTGCGTTCTCTGTCCAGCTCTATTAGTCGATTTTTTCCGTCCGGTAATCAGCTGACGTGTGTTTCAATAAATAGGCCAATAACAGGATTAATTTTATCACTGTTATTTCCATATTCTGTAATAGACAAGATAAAAAAGCGGTGTAGGATTTATCAATGGCGAATATGAAATTAATATCACAAAAGTATTGATTAATAATATTCCTATATCTCAATGGATTTTTAAGTACCTTGATACATGAAATAAAATTACTTCTACCAGTTATAAATTTTTGGAATGGTTCATGTAATAACTAAAAATTCTTTTAACCCATTGGCGTACGAAAATGAATACTAGATTTATGATTTCCCATATCCTATCACAAAATATAAACGAATCCATTTTTTTAAATTCGGTTACTGCTTCTAGCTATAGTATTAGAAATTTTTCAAATTCCTATTTATGGAATAGTTAGTAGTCAGTAGTCGCAATAATCAAGTAGGTATTTTGATGTGTTGAGTCAATAATCAAGTACGAGAGTAGGGTTCGTTTTCTGTTAGGGACAATTCTAGAACGGTCTAGAATCATTTAGAACTGTCTAGAACCGTTTGGAATGTTTCAGAATCATAGGAAGCTCCAGAACCATTTAGAACGCATCAAGAAAACCCATCAAGGAACCCGTTTAATATTGTTAAATTAGTGTGTTAACTGTAAACTTATTTATTCCACGTCTGTGATCTATAGTAATTGCAAATATTGGCCCTTAAACTTGTAAACACCAACTGGATTTTAATTGTAGAATGTACATGAATGAATATTACTCGTACAGATATTTTATTAGTCTGCATAACATAGCATACAAGGCTTCATTCTATAATGTCATTATACTCGTAATATACCTATTACCTATACAGAGTGGCCCAACGAAAAGTTTACACTCGGCTTTTCTTTTTTTCTTTTTTTTATCAAATTTAACAAAAAATTGCTCGGACATGTCGATTTTTATTTCAAGGGGGACAAGTTTCTGCCATATCTTCAAGTGTCATATGTCACCGCCCACAACAACTGTTACATTACACCGCAGTTAACACCAAAATGGTTTCAAGAATCTCAACCGTGTAGTTTGATATTAAAATTGAATTTCTTATAAAAATACATTTTCATTGATGAATCACATAGTACTTAGCCTATTTAAATTCTCTTGATGGTAGTGATGGAGGGGTGACATATGACACTTAAAGATATGACAGAAACTTGTCCCCCTTGAAATAATAAATCGACCTGTCCGAGGATTTTTTTCTTAGATTTAATAGAAAAAAAAGCTGAGTGTAAACTTTTTGTTGGTCCAATCTGTAGCATATCATTGTTAATTGAGATTATTGTTACAAAAAATAAAAATTGATACGAATCGAGTACCAATAACAATTGTTTCATACGCATTATCTGATATATGTACATATATAGATTTGATGACTTTGTAAAAAAACAAATTCCAATTATAATTTTTATTTATGTTGTACCTACTTGTACAACTTATAACTATGTAAAATATAATTAAATAAATTTGTGATATCAAACACAATGAATTTAATTAATTTAATAAATGATAAACACGTGTAGCCGCGCGATTAGAAAATTTTAGAAGAAAGAACCAACTATCTTTACATACAGGGTGGAAACGCCAAATGGAATAAATTCATTATTTCGGTTATTGTACATTCTTCAAAGTGAAAATAAGTGATCCCTATCTTCAACCCCCTTCTAATGACAGTAACAACCCCGATTTTTTTAAATGGGAAGTATAGGCTTGTGATATATCGTTTTAAAGGTCTCTTTATTCTCTAACCAAAATGGATGAATCTTCTCTCTGCTCTTACTCTGCTCCTATTTTGCTCCTACTAACATTTGTTGTACCGTTAACAGCAATATTTACCCCTAAAAGCTACCCTTAATAACGGCACGGCAAATGCTTTTTTTTAATCGTATACAGAATAATTTCAGAACAATTTTTTGTAAATTAAACCTTTTCAAAAAAAAATCTCTAAGGGAAGTATCCCCCCGCTAAATGGGGGTGAGTTACAAAAAAGTTCATAAGGCAAATTGTAGGAAATATAATGTTATAAAACTTTTAATAAGAACATTTTTTTTAAAAAAAAAAAAAAAAACCTTAAACTACCCCTATTGAAAAATGGCAGGGGGTCAGTAAAAACTTCATAAAGCAAAAACGTTCTATGTGTAATAGAAAATTTTTTAACGTTGGTTAATAATCTTTATTTTCATTATAAAAATTCAAACGGCCCTTATGGCCACAAACAGCCCTTAATCAAAAAAATCTTTAGATAAACATTGTAGATCGAATAATGTTACACATTTTCTATTTGAAACATTTTTTTGTAAAATCAATAGGTACAAGTAATTACAAGTAATTAGTCGTTTAAGTTATCTCGTTAATTAGGCGGTCACTTCACAACTGATAAAGATACTGCAATCAATTCAAAAGTCCTTATCTACAGAAATATTCGGGGATATAAAAAGCGCCGTGTACGAATATTTTTTGAATTCCTAAGTTACTATAACAAAAGTAAAAATGTTTGTCTATTTACTAACTATTTGCCTTTTCTCGTTTGCTTCGTTGGACGCGAGGGAAATACCGGGTACGTAAAAATTCAGAAAATTTGTTTTATTTTTCTTTAGAAAAACGAATTTAAAGCGCCTACGTGATTATAAGTTTCGCTCTTTTTTCAGAAAGTCCTCGCGTTTGGAAGCAGGTTCCTGCTGGGATAAAAACCTTCTTTATTGATGCACACACGGTAATTATGTTTTGTTTATACATGTTAATTCATTTTAGTTTGCAATAGGGTGCGACAAAGACAACTTCAATTAGACAAAAAAGAGTGATATTGTATCATTGCAACTTTCTCACTCTAACCACTGTTATTTTAATAATTTTTCTTTGTTCAACTCATAGAATTGACCATATTACAAACAAATTTGCACTTACAAGGGTAAGGTGGAAAGTTCTTGGCCCGATAATAAAAGACCGCTATTTTCAGTTGAAAAATTACATTTATTCCTATTATTAAGCCGTAATATTTAGTTTAAGACGGTTCTAAATGATTTTGGGGCGTTCTAAATGGTTTTAGACAGTTCTAAATGTTTCTAAAGCGTTCTAAAAAGTTGTAGACAGCTCTAAATGATTCTGGAGCGTTCTAAATGACTATGGAGCATTCTAAATAGCTCTAGACAGTTTTAAATGGTTCGAAAGCGTTCGAACTGGTTTTAGACATGTTTATAACAAAATTTCATATTTTTTAACAAGGAATTGCCCTCTAAAATTTCTCCTTCTATTTTATGAACATCCGGTTTAAGTAATTATAGAAGTGGGTAGTGGTACAAAAGCTTAAAACTTTATGCTGAATGTTTAAAGCTTTTAAGGATTTGTATGAGTAAAATATCATTTGATAAGTGTTTTAATAACTTGTTCGTTAGGAGAACGGAACATACGGAATTGAAGCATGCAAAAATAGTGGATTGGAATTGGCATCAATAGACAGCAAAGAAGAAAACGATATACTTGTTCAGGAAATTTCAGGTCTATTTGGTAAGCAATAATCGCATTAATATACAATCAATTTCGGCAACCTAATACAAACTATTAACTCAAAGAGAATACAAATGTACATATGTATAAGCCTGTTAACAATAATTTGGAATGGTTTATTTGGACTGTTTATTTTGCCCAAATTGTTCAATTCATTGTTATTTTTCGGTGGAAAATTCCTGTGCTCAATTCCTTTTTAATTCTTCCATTTTATTCTTATTGTTAGGATCAACTCTTACATATTGGACGGCGGGAAAATTCACGGATCAGGGTAAGTGGGTTTGGATAACAACGGGAAAAGAAATGACCTTTTCCGATTGGAGCGAAAACCAGCCGAATTTCGACGATTATCCCGATGAATTGTGCGTCGGGATGCAGTTCGAACATAACAAGAAAGGACACTGGTTGACCACCTCGTGCAAATGGCACAGGGGAATAATTTGCCAAAAGATTACAACTGAATAAATATTTTTAAAATCTGTTCGTTTTCTATAAAATATAGAGTTCAATTTTTACAGTGTTTTTGTCTCGGTTTTTATTGTCCTTGATTCGGTAGGTATAGGTAATAAGAAGAAATTTTAATTTTCAATATGTAGCCAGTAAATATGGTCTATAATTATTAGAACTTGGAAAATATACACTAAAAATAACAAAATATGCTTGCAGATATGCACTAAAAATGTTCAAAATAATGAACTTATACAGGGTATCACGAACAAAAAGGTAGGTCATAAATTATACCACATAAAAATATGTCCGTTTTAAGTTGCACAAATTTAAGACCAATGCCCTGAAATACAGGGGTAGGGTGAAAAGTTCTCAGCCTGATACACTGAAGGCGCTCCAATCAGCAAGAATTCCTGTTTCATCTTTGGGACATTTCTAGTTAATTCTAGCTGTCTAGAACCATTTAGAACACTCCAGAACCATTCTGTTTAAAACGTTCTTTAGAACAGAACTGTTTAGAACGCTCTATAGTCATTTAGAACGCTCCGGAATCATTTAAAGGTATCTAGACCCATTTAAAACATTACAAAATCATTTAGAGCTATATAGACCCATTTAGAGCTCTTGAGAACTATTTGGAACGCTCCATAGTCATTTAGAACGCTCCAGAATCATTTAGAATTGCCTAGAACCATTTAGAACGCTCCAGAATCATTTAGAATTAGAGCTATCCAGACCCATTTAGAGCACTTCAGAACCATTTATAACGCTCCAGAATCATTTAGAAAAAGAGCTATCTAGATCCAGTTGGAACGCTCCATTGTCATTTAGAACTGTCTGGAACCATTTAGAACGCTCTAGATTTATTTTGAACTGCGTATAACTATTTAGAACGCTAGACAACACTCACCATAAGCATGCATTTAGTATTGCACGCTTAGAAAGAAACAGCAGTCATTTGCCAAAGTGTTCAATAAATAGAAATATTTTTAAAACATAATGTTAAACAGTTTTTTTCTTCTCGTTCCCTATACTACGACAGGGTGAAAAGTTCTGTGCCTGAACCAATTAGAACTATCTAGAACCATTTAGAACGCCCCAGAATCATTTAGAACTGTTTAGAATGCGCCAGAATCATTTAGAGCGCTCCAGAATCATTTAAAGCTGTCTAGATCCATTTAGAACGCTCCAAAATCATTTAAAACTGTTTAGAACCATTTAGAATGCCCCAGAATCAATTATAACTGCCTAGAATCATTTATAAAAAATATTGGTACAAATATTTCAAAAACGAATCGACGGATTTTATTATATTTTTTTGTTATTTAAAAAAATAAAATTGCTAATGATTATTTTACGACTCATATTCCCTATTCAATTTTTAAAGGTTGGGGTTGCTGGGCAAAGGGGTGAAATAATATGATGACGAATACACCTGTTTCGTTTTCAATGGGCCACCCTGTATGTAGCTATTCTAATTTGTTCTGAAGATTTAATGTTTTTATCCTCTTTTCTCCAGTCATTGGCTCAGAAAAAAAGAATTTATCTGGACTGGCCTAGAGGCGCTTTAAAATTTTATTATTAATCAATGATTAATAGAGATATACTGATAACGATAACTTTGGTCGAGTGTTTTTAAAATTTTAAGGTAAATACTTCAAACGTACTGTATTTATTTAGTGCTTATCTACATATATTGATTAAAATTAGAATTTTAAAGTTTTCTGCTATATTTCTGATGGTATTTGTATACCGTAGATTATTAAACTTGGTTTCATATTGGCAATATTTATTCTTGTTTCGTACATCAGTATCATAGAAGTACTTTAATTTTACTTAATTATCGTATTAATCGTATTAATTATAGTTAATTATGTCTCTATATTTGTAACTATTCAAAATTAGAATTCACCAGGATCAATTTGAACCATTTTATGGTTCAAAGAGAATTATGGTTCAATTAGAACTGTTCAAAATTACTTAGAATTGTCCCGAATCATTTTAGAAATTTATTAGAACTATTTGAAACAGTTTAGAGCTATCTATTAACTGATCTACACTACTCTACTCTAAATCTACTTTTCCCTGTTCTATTCTACTCTACTCTTTTACTCTTTATTCTAAATCTATTCTACTTTACTCTGAATCTACACTCACTCTACTCTACTCAAGTGTAAGGGATAGAAAACGAGAATTAATTTTTCGTTAATTAAAAACTCAAAAAGTACGCATATTTTTTTTATTATTCGTCAGAATATCAAGTCAGTTGGGCCATCGCACTTTGACGCCCTCGTATATCGCTCGCATCCAAATACCGACGGCGTGAGCCCCGGGATCAGCGTAGACTTTCCTCTTTTTTATCTCTTCGATGGTCTCTTCGGCTTTTTCTACGGCCACGCCGAAAGCCCCGAGACCATCATCGGATAACGATGAGCAGTTCCTTTCCAATTCTAATTTGCTCGTTTCGACGAATCGATAAATCGGATCGAACATCGTACCGTCGCCGAATCTCACGTCGCAGTACCTGGAAATAAATAAATTATAAATAAATTAAGTATGCCTTACTACAGGGTGTTTTGAATGGGTTATACGGGAAATTGGTGGATACAGGGTGTTAATAATTAATCGAGTGCCGATACTTCAGGATGTGAATGCTTGGGTGATTTTAAGAAGAAAAGTTTATATCAATATATGTCCTAAACCTCTTAGTTTTCGAGCTTAGTGCTGCAGTTTTAGAAAAAAACGTCCGAAATTTCATAAAAATAAATATACAGGGTGTCTCATAAGTTGATACTTTTGTAACTGCGTATAGATCTTTTAATTCTAAGCAACTTTTTCAAGTAAAATTTTTTAATATTCTGGAAAATAAGAGAGCATGTTTTTTTCAATTTTTAATAATTTAAAAGTTAGTTAATACGGCCCTGTTCACTAAAAGATAAAGGAGCTGCCCAAAATTGTCGCCATTTTGATTGGAAACGCTTTGGAAACCCTCTCCATTAATAATCAGCATGTCCACCAATTCATTATTTGTATAAAGATGAGCCATTTTCAATTCAACAATCGAAAAATTAATTTTTTGTCATTAATTATTTATTATTTTTTGACACATGTATGGTAATGGCAGGTACGTATTGAAACATATTCGAAATTTAAAGAAATTTTGAAAATTTCCATCTTTTTTATTTTCCAGAATATAAAAAAATATACATGAAAAAGTTGCTTACAATTAAAAGATCTATACGCAGTTAAAAAAAAGTATCAACTTATGAGACACCCTGTATGTCCTAAATCTCCTAGTTTCGAGCTACAGGTGTTAAAATTTTAGAAAAAAAAACTTCTCTATCATAGTAATTTCTTATTACTCCAGATATTTTTATGAAATTTCATTCAATTTAATTATTAAGGAGCATTTTTTGAGGAAAAAATTGATGAAAATGATAAGTAAAAATGATAAAAAAAATGATAAGTATCGCTGCCTCTCTTTCTCGTTTGCGCATCCGACTCGATTTCTAAGTGCCGAGCTGAATTTGCCAAGGTATAATTTATGAATAAATTTAAAAGAAACCTTTGTAAAGCCTCTACGACGGCACCGAATGCCTCCATCCACATGCCGATCCTGACCGGTTCGTTCAATTCGTACGCTCCGAACACGTTCGCAGCCGCCTCGAACATGATGCTGTAAATGCACCCAGTCGATCCACCGAGGCTCTTCTCCAAAATCTTGCTCATGTTATCGAAGAACGTGAACGGATACTCGAGCGGGATCTTGTCGACTTTCATTCGCTTCAAAAGGAGCTCCGACAATGTCCTCATCCTCGTGCCGGTGTCGCCTTTGAATTTTCCGATGCCGCCCGAATTGACTGCGAGAAAATTAAATTAAATAGATGTCAATAATTCGGGAGCATGTAGATGACATCAAAATTTGAGTATTACTTCATAATATAAATTTTGTTCTAAAATTTAACGTTCTAAATGGTTCTGGAGCGCTTTGAATGGTTGTAGATAGTTCTAAATGATTCTGGAGCGTTATAAATGGTTTCATACAGTTCTAAATGATTATGGAATATTCTAAATGGTTCTAGACAGTTCTAAATGATTATGGAATATTCTAAATGGTTCTATACAGTTCTAAATGATTCTGGATGGATTTAAGCGAGTGAAGATAATTTTAAATGTTTCTGGAGCGCTCTGAATGATTCTGGAAAAATTATTCGTTAGTTTGGATTATACAGGGTGTTAATTAATTGAGTGCCGATACTTCAGGATGTGAATATTTGGTTGATTTTAAGAAGAAAAGTTTATAATAAACGTTCCTATCATACGTTTATCATAAACGTTTCGTTACCGATCTACAGGGTATTGAAATTTCAAGACTTTTATTGTTTTTTTCTTAAGAGTTCCTGCGGTTTTTAAGACCTTTTTTTTGAAGGGTCCTGGATTATTCTTAATTCATATGCCAGTGCTTTGTTGGTTCAAATTAAATACTTTTACCAAAAAAATGAACCAAATAACCAATATCACCATTATAAAGAACGAAAGAAAATTTCATAAAAATTGATAAACCTCCCTGTATAACCTCAACTTTTAATGCTTTTATTTGACATTTCCCTTTATTCTCCCTGTAGATGCACCTACACCTTCTCTATCTAATTCATTTTTATTAATTATAAATTACTTACTATAATTGCGCATCGATTGGATTGTTTTTTTTACGTACATTTGTTGGCGTCGATGCAATTCAATTGCCTTTCGCAGGATATCAGAGCGTTGCAGGCGAACTGCATCGAGAACAATAAAATGTTGGTGTGTGTCTCGGACAAACGGGGTCCTTTAACCGGCGATTCCGTTCGAATAGTTTTCTCTATTACGCCCTTAATAACAACGTCCGTATTCAAAGGGTACTCTCCTTGCACCATCCTTAACCAGCCTACAATAAAATTGTGGATACATTGTGGATTGTGGATGAAAATTGTGGATTATTATGAACGATTTGGTAGATTTTTCGAAACGCACAGTTCATTTTCACTTTCATTTTTTATTTGTAAGCCTTTTATTGATGTATCACAAATGGAGGTTTGCTATTTAAATATTTTTAGTTGGAGTAGGTGGGACCTATGGGGTTGATGGGGGTGACTTCTCTTTTATGCCATTTTAGTTCTCCCTTCATATCATAGAGAGGGTTTTAGACATTTTTTCATATTTTCATATTTTACTGTACAAATTGAATATTTTATATTGTGATTTTTTTTAAATAAATATAAGATGTTTTTCATTATATTATAATGCATTTTTAATTTTTTAACTGAGTGTTTATTACTTTACTATTTTTATTTTCAAAAAAAATTGAATTATTTTTTTTATTTTAATTCAGACCGTTTATAAAAACCCAGTAGTTTCCCAATACTGGGGTAAAGCTCATTTACTCCGCTCTTATAATAGATAAGAATAAATGATAAATAGGAAAATTGGGTTATATATTTACAATTTCAATTCAATTTAGTTACCTCTATAAATCCAATGATGTTGTGAGCTTTACCGCACTATTGGGACCCCCTGTATATTATGTCTAATGATAAATTGCGTACCAGTGGCTTCACAAGCCGCATCCAAATAGTACAATACATCGGAATCAATCACTTTTAAAATAGTAAAAGATAATTTGGTGTGGGACAATTGCATGAAATCCCCAATGTAGAATCTTTGCACTTGTAAATTCATCGAACGCAAATATTCGATCATGTCTTTTACGAGCGAATACATTTCCAATTTTTCCAATTCGTTGTTGTTGTTGACCAAAACGACGATTTCATCGTTCGATGTAAGAAGCAACTTGTCGTCGGAGAATTCATCATCGAGACCTAAATAAATAATAATAATTAATAATCATTATATTATACATATACAGGGTGTATCTAAATAACACGGAAAAAGGGAAATTCTGTGATGAAAATTAAGGTGGGTACTTGGTATAGTTTTTTTTTTGAAAAAAAACAATTTCTAACCATATTTTCGTAAAAGAAAAAATATCATTTAAAAAAAGTTGTAAGAAAAAATGTCCTAGGGGTTGAATTTTTAAAGGAGTTTGATGATTATATTATATTGATAATTATATTGAGCCCCTGAATATGACCGACGTTTAGAAACGTAAAACAGGTACCCCTAATTTTCAATTTGCTCTTGTCATTTTACCATTTGACAATTTTAGAAAATTCTTACATTTTGTAAGCGATCTATAATAGTCCGGCAACAAAGCCTACTTGTGACGTAGTAAATCATAGTTCACGTGCATTGATGTTTGTTTTGCACCAACTGTATCTAGAAATTAACTACTTACAATCCACATTGAGGGCATCGGTAGACCCGGACACTCGACACACTTTAATCAAATTATCCAAGCAAACTTTAACTTGCGGCAAATACTTCGAACTCGAATCGACCGGACTCGATTGTCTATTGCATTTACACTCGTCGTACGATTGCCCGCCGAACACCTCGATCTCCGCGCTGACCATGTTCTCGCACAAACGTCTACAATAGTCGCATATCGCGGCGAGGTTTCTCTCGCCGTCCGCCATCGCCCCCGCGATTTTGTACACCAACACGATCCCGCAAAGGCATCGGCGCGGCCTGTCGCACGTCCGATCGTCGCACACCGTCATCGTTCTGATCCGCAAGTCGCTGTTTAGGGCTCGTTCGACGGCCACGCCGAAGTTCAACATGTCGCCGATGTCACCGGGAACGATGACTAGGGCTCCGCCGGGATGGCCGTGGCACAATTCGTGCAACGTGCGTAGGATGATGTTTGAAGCGGGCGCTGATGATTGTTCGCCTGAAAAACGAGAGTGTTATGAATAATGAATGTTCTAATAAACGGTTCTGGAGCTGTCTAAATGAACATGAAGCGTTCTAAATGGTTCTGGAGCGGTCTAAATGAACATGGAACGTTCTAAATGGTTCTGGAGCGGTCAAAATGAACATAGAGCGTTCCAAATGATTCTGGAGCGTTCTAAATGAACATGGAGCGTTTCAAATGGTTCTGGAGCGTTAAAATGGTTCTGGAGCGTTAAAATGGTTCTGGAGCGTTAAAATGGTTCTGAAGCGTTTCAAATGAACATGGAGCGTTCCAAATGGTTCTGGAGCGTTTTAAATGAACATATGTATACATTCTGAATGGTTCTAGACAATTCTAAATGTTTCTGGAGCGTTCTAAATGGTGCTAGACGGTTCTAAATGGTTCTAGAGAGTTCCAAATGATTCTACACATTAGAGTAGACAGTTCTAAATAGTTCTGGAGGGTTCTAAATGAACATATGTAGCGTTCTAAATGGTTCTGGAGCGCAGTGAATTGTTCTAGATTATTCTGTTCTAAATTATTCTGGAGCGTTCTAAATGATTCTGGAGCTGGGGTGCTCCTGGCACAATTTGTGCAGTGTGTGTAGGATGATGTTCGAAGCCGGTGCTGATAATTGTTGGCCTGAAAAACGAGAGTGTAATGAATAATGAATATTCTAATGAATGGTTCTGGAGCGTTCTAAATAAACATGGAGCGTTTCAAATGGTTCTGGAGCGCTCAAATGGTTCTGAAGATCACCCAATTCCTCGTTCATTTTCATAATATTAAGCTACGTAATCATAATCTTACTATCTACTATTATTAATAATGAATTATTCGTTGAAAATAAACTAAATTAAACTAAACTATAAGCGAGTAAGTGTGTATTATTACCTTGAATAGCAGCCGTTAGCATCCCTTTGCCTACCAAATCGCCCATAAAATTGGCACCTCCGGTTATTATGCGTACTTGGCTGGTCTCTCTGTAATTTTCTTGTACGATTACATTTCCGTAATCCAACAGTCTCAAACTCTGATTTAAGCAGGTAGCTGCTATTAAACCGTTTCTTATTATACTGTCCGTTTTGGTGTTTGTTAGGACGAATTCTAAATCCATTTGTTTGATTTTTCTACGTTTAATGACATTAATGACGGTTTGTTGGATTTTTAATATGTTTATTTATCGATTTATTCTTTACTAATTACGACTAACACTTTTAATAATTGGAAAAAACTGATATACATTTGGAAATAGCACGATAAACATTTGAAATATTTTCTTCTATTTATATTAACTTCTTCTTTTTTTACTTCTTTTTTTTAAGTTGAGGCCTCGGCTACTAGGCTATTCGGTTACAGTAAGTGATCTTGTCTGTGATCTGAAGTTAGTGACTTTAATAAATAAGTCGACAATCATAGAGAAAGAAAGTAGATATAGTTCGACTTAGAAGAAAGACCAAATAACAAAAAGAAAGATAAATAATTAAAATACGTTAAATTTAATACCGAATAATAAAATAAAACCAATTACTACGTTAACAATAATTAGGTACTTGCAAATTCGGGTAACTAAAGAAACGCCCAATGCCTCGCTGGGAACTCAAATGTTCTAAACGGTTCTGGAGCATTCTAAATGGTTTTAGACAGTTGTAAATGATTCTGAAGCATCCTACATCATTCTGAGGGGTTTAAATGTTTCTAGGCAATAAGGAATCATCTGAATTATTCTGAAGAGTTCTAAATTACTATGGAGCGTTCTAAAATGGTTAAATGACTATATCTCATTATTCTAATGTTCTAATAAGTAATATTTATAGTCCAATAGTCGGCATTGTATGTGGACATATCGTGTCTTTTTCATATTAAAAAAAATCAAAAAAATGATTTAATATTTGGTTGTTTCTGATTTTTTTTATTTTTCGATTTGTTTTATAGGAGCCGAGATCCCTGTGATGTCCCCGAATCTGGACACTCTGTATACAGCTTTCAAGTCATTATTTTTATTTAGCTCCATTGCATATAGGGTTAGCACATCCCATAATCAATTCATTAAAAGTTAATTAGGCCATGAATATTCTCTTCTTTAAGTTATCTATTTTAATACGTCATAACTACGTCAAATTTTGTTCAATAGTTCAATAATTAAACCACTTGAAGATTAATTTTTAATATGTATTCCTCCTTCAAATTTATACTGGGTGGAGCATTCAAAATCAAACATACATCTTTAATCAATCGTGCAAAGTTTTATTGTTATTTTTATCTCTACTTGCATAATTGCCACAGTTTGCAAATGACGTCAGGATGCATTTCGTCACCGATGTATTTCGCAACAGTTGCAGTTGCATTTGCTGCATTCAAGCATACTTCATCCGAAAATGACAAAATTCTGCACACTTCGACTACTGCTTCTTCCAAAGCGATCTGTAAGATAGATAATTAGTAAATAAAATATATCGGCCAAAAACGCGTTAAAAATTGCAAAAAAGCAGAATAATTGTGCGAAAATATTTACAAAAATTGGTAAAAAAATGTGTAAAAAAGCGAAAGAAATGAGGGAAAATTGAGCGAAAAATGTCCAAAAATTAGGTAAAAAATAGTCAAAAATTGAACAAAAAATACGCAAAAATTTATATTTAAATTGGGCATAATTTAGGATATTGGACACAAAATACGTTAAAAAATTCGTAAAAATATGGTGCAAATTGAACAAAAAATAGTGAAAATTGGACGAAAATTATGTTAAAAATTTTGAACGCTCTGCGCAATTAATTTAAGGGTTAGTGATTTTTCGGATTGAGACCTACAGGGTGCGCTAAAAAATTATGCTGCAATAATTGGTATTTTTATTTTTTTTGGGACACTCTGTATAGCTAATAAATTATTTTAAACATTTGAGAATTACACAATCCCGTCCCGTTAGTAGCACATTACTTCATAAATTAATTAGTAATTTAATTAGCACATTAATTAAATTCGTATAAAAATAATTATTTAACGGGGATTTTTTTACCGTCATTGCTCCACCCTCTAATGATTCCTTCAAAACTTTCAAGTCGTATTGGCACACCGCGCAAGAATCTTCATTTTTGTCCTGTCTTTTGAAAATATAAAATTAGTTTCTTTATTATTTTTTTCTTAAAAAATAGTTTTTAATTTAATTTTATTAATTTAATATTAATATTTTTAGAGTAAATATACTTACTTTTCTTGTACAGGACCGGCTTGTAACAAACCTGTAATTACACAAAAAAAAGTTTTTTCAAGTCCAAGTGTTTTATTTTATTGTTCTTATTTACTTTTATTACGTTTTAATATTAATTTTATTTTTTTACGTAATAGGTAAATTACTTCATTTGTATATGTATTTTATAAATGAATTGTACAAAAATTTTGAAAACAAAAAAATGTCAAAATAAGTGAATAGCTTACCGAAAATTAGCAAAAACGTGCCGAAAAATACAAATTTCATATTTATGATTTTTTCTTACTTCTGTAAATTCTATCCAGGTACCTAATATTTTTATATAGATTTTTTTCAGACGCAGATTAAAATCATTTTATTATGAATTAGTATTGTTTTATCCAATCTGCACGAAGTAGATAAGATTAATTTTAAGTGGTTTGTTATTATTACATAAAAAGAAAATTTTCGCAACAATAAAATTAATGAATTAATTTGTAAATTACTCAATGGCTCTTTTCAGCACATCTCCATTTATTTAAATAAACTGCTCCACAAAAGTTAAGGAAGTTCGCAAATTTTGCGATTATTTTAAAGGTTACAGACTTTTTGATCACCAAATTTTCAAATATGCGAAATAAAATGTTTTCTCTCATATCTGATTGGATTTTTTGCCCCTACCTCTACAACTCATACTAAGTTTGCAGTATATTTTATTAACTAAAAAGTAAATTAGTTAAAAAGTAAATTAAATTTTTCATTTAATTATTCGAAATAATCGTAACAAAATAATCAAATCCTGGATTAACTGGAAGGTATTAAATAATACTAAATCAATAAAATATTTTATTAGAATATTATAATTTCTCCAAATTTCTTTTTAAACAATCTGTGGGGTTACCGAAAAAATCGGTAAAAATGGATAATAACCGAGTAATTCAGGACACTTCTCCTCCGGCACGCAAATCCCGCCTGGACGATCCAGAACCCAACCATTCCGGCACACGCATTGCCTAATGCACACCAACGCGCATGCTCTCTTGCACTCTGGGTTCCTATTCAGGCACGTAGCACTCCCGCAGCACGGTTGACAACCTGCCACTTCATTTTCTCCGCAAGGACCTGGACACACCGTTAGTTAATTAATCCACCGAATAATTAGTTATCCGAAGGTTATCCTTACATTCCGAATTCCTGACGCACGTCCCCAATGGCTGGATTCTGATATAACCCTCCTGGCATTCGCATCTTGCCGATGAGCAATTGCTGCTGGCTGAAGCGCTTACGGTAGGAACGGTAGGAATTTCGCAAGTGGGCTCTGGAGATTGCGTTGGGCATTTGTTAAGCACTTCGTTGCATCCGCATGTTACTGCAACAAGGAGCATGTAAGTAGTAGTAGAAGAATAATGGGGATGGAAAGTGTACAAGATCAAAAAGAAGAATAATAACGGTGGAAGAATAACAGGAATTAGAAAAAGGAGTTAGAAGAATGACAGGAGTAGGAGTATTATAATAAGATGAGTGAACAACAGGAGTAAGAACAGGAGAATAACAGGAGTAAGAATAATGACAGATGTATAGAAATAATAGGCGTGAAAGAATCGCAGAAGTGGAAGAATGATAGGAGTAGAAGAGTAATATGCGTGGACGAATAACAGGGAGTGGAAGAATAATAGGAGTAGAAAAATAATAAGGGTAAGATAATAAGGGTAAGATAAAAATAATAAGGGTAACATCAACTCCTGAGCTAAGCTAGAAAATAATTAGCCCAGCAGGAAAATCATTCCTTGAGCTGAGCTAGGGGATGATGAGGCTAGAAATAACATCATCTCTTAAGCCGAGCTAGAGGATGATAAGGCTAGAAATAACATCATCTCTTAAGCCGAGCTAGAGGATGATAAGGCTAGAAATAACACCATCTCTTGAGCTGAGCTAGAGGATGATGAGGCTAAAAGTAACATCAACTCCTAAGCTGGGCTAGAAGATAATAAGGCTAACTGGAACGTCAACTCCTGAGCTGAGCTAGAGTCGTTCCTGATGCTAACATGCTCGGGAGATGTTGTTCTGATCCGCCCAGCCTAATCCGCTAGCTCAGTTTCACAATATGAGCACTTACTTGGTGTTGGTGAACCTTCTGAAGGACACTCCTCGATTAAAACGCACGGTCCTTCGTTGGTCTTTCTGATGTATCCTTCTTTGCACACGCAGCCATTTTCAAGGCACACGTCTACGCACAATTCGGGATTCCTGTCGTCGCAGGTGGCTGGGCATGGCGGAGGACATGTTATGAAAGTTTCGTTTTCACCACAACTCGATACTGAATTAAAATAATTGATAAAACTAGTTTACAAGGTTTTGTGCAAAAAACTTATGATAATGGGAGCAATGTATTTTTGGTTAATGAACAAAATATTTAAAATATCTAGCATGTCACGTAACTGAAATATACATAAAATATACATGAAATTAGAAATGCTGAGCAGTATATTTTTGGTTTTTTGTATCGGATTTTGGATCGGTTTCGCCTATTAATGTCCAACAATAGTCTCCTAACGCTTTATTTAGAAATATCTAGAAACTTTTAGGGCCGCTTTATGAATTGCGGGATAAATTAAATATGGCGGATAGAAGGAGAGAATCGAATTTTTCCGAATTCGAAAAAAAAACTTATACCATGTCTTCTATGGGCTCTAACACAAGCAAAACGGTTTCTTTTTTTTAATCGAAAGCGAGCGAAATAATCATGCTCATAAAAAATCTTGAAACGGATTTTGCCGTGGCCTTACAATATAGGGCCCGCTGATGACCTATAAATTCAAGAACGCCTTGATCGTCATCGCTAAAATCTAGGTCTTCCATTGGATTTACTTAAAAACAATGAAAAAATGCGTTTGACAACAGAAAAACACGCAAATTTTAGCTTAACCCAGAGTCAAATCCACAAACCTGCCAAATTTGCGCAAGTTAAGATATCCCAGGAGTATCCCTCGAGTTAACAGTTGACCTGCGATGGAAAACACTTTTGGCAGTTTAACCCAGGGTTATTTTTAACTCGAGGGGTAACCCTCAATTGATAAACCGGCCCTTAGAATGTTCCAGCATCATTTAGAACTGTTAAGAACCATTTAAAAGGCCCCAGAATCATTTAAAACTGTTTAGTTAGAACTATTTAGTAGGCATCCGGATCATTTAGAACTATCTAGAACGCTCCAGAAACATTTAGAATTATCGTAACCATTTAGAACGCTTTAGAATCATTTAGAACTAGCTAGAACCATTTAGAACGCTCCATAATGATTTAGAACTGTCAAGAACCATATAAAACAATTCAGAATCATTTATAACTGATTAAAACCGTTTAGAACTCTTCAGAAATATTTACAACTATCTAGAACCATTTAGAACTGTCTAGAACCATTCAGAATACTACAGTATCATTTAGAACTATGTAGAACTATTTACAACGCTCCAGAATCATCTAGAACTGTTTAGAACACTCTAGAAACATTAAGAAATGTCTAGAACTATTTAGAACCCTCCAGAATCATTTATAACATTCGAGAAATATTTAGAACGCTCCAGCCATTTAGAACTTTTCAAAATAATTTAGTATTGTCTAGAATCATATAGAACGTCAAATCTTTTGAAAAACCTCTCTTTACTTCTTTTGCGTTATGATTTATGAATATGAATTTATGGCTGTAAATGAATTTTGAATAGGTTATAGGATGTACATACCGGGTTGTTCCAGATCAGCGCAGGCAAAGCCGACTAGGATAAAGATTAAAAAGTAAATTGCGTTGTACTGCATGTCGGATTTGATAAAATTTTTTGTGTGATGTTACATTTTTGGTGTTCTTTTATACGGGTTTTGGTTTGGCGTTTCCTGAATATTCAAATATTTAAAAATATCGGTAGTTTTTTGTTTTCATTTAAATAATAATTGCTTAACCTTACAATTAGTTTTTTTTTGACTTTCAAATGAAATAACGCTTATCGAGTTTATTTATATCGACGGCTCTACGCCTCGATTTATACCTCGATAAGGTAAATAGGAGTATAAATTATAATTTACAATAGTGGAAAAATTTCGAAAGATATAGGTACACGCCCTTATTTACAAGTATAACCAAATGGTTTTGTAACCAACAGATTATATGTATATTCCCCTCTTTTAAACATGGCAACGTTGCTTGTAAACGAAGGTAAACGAGGTGAAAATGAGGTTTGTTTTTTTGTCTTTCTTCTTTCTTGGGCAAAAAAAATTACAAAAAATGTTTACAGTTTTCCACTCATATTCGATGATTTGTGTTTATTTAAAACTGTCCTATTGATCCAAATAATTGTCCTGGACCAGTTCTAACGTAGTATTGTGTCTGGAGAGTATCGATGCCAAATTTCAAAGTTCTAGGTGCATTATTACCAGAGATATCATAGAAAATGCATTAGACAGCTTTTCCAAAAAATTTCTAAAAAAATATAGATAACTCAAAAATATCGCATTTTTGGCATATGGCGTTATTATTAAAGTCTAATTAAAAAGAGCCACAGAATCCAAAAATGAAGTAAAAAATGGCACTTTCCACTTGAAATTACGAAGTTGACATCTACATCCGGTACCGGAAGTCACATATGGTAGAAAATATTTTAGAATAACTCACAACATTGATTATTACTCCTAAATTTTCAGATTTCTAACTCTTCAGTATCTCCTATAAATTCTAATGGAAGGCTACCTTGAAAAGCCCGTAAACAGATAGTTTCAACTCGTCCTGGGACACTCTGTATAGGTACTACAAAGAATTGATCCGTCCCTATGAACGTGACTCTCCCTGTATAAGCAAAATATAGGTATCTATCATACAAACTGTTGAATTTATGATAACGTTAATAACAAATGTAATATCATATTGTGAGAATTCAGTTCATAATAATGTTCATGAAAACAGAACCGCATTCGATAATTTTAATGGTTCTAAGTAATGGTTCTTTTACTCAGAAATTTTAACATATTAATATTAACATAAGAATAATTAGAATCATAATTAAATGGTATTATTTAATTTATTTACTCATTAAAGTTAATTAATGAGGATAACAGAATGAAACAAATGTTTGCTTTATAACCACAAGTTTAAATTAGGATAAAATTAATAAACTATCTCGATTTCTATCTAGGTAATATCTACATACGTACATAAATACCTCTAGATACATAAATAATATAATCTCAATAGGCAAATCTAGATAGAATCTATATAAAACTTTGGTTATAATTTAGACTATGTATATAAACAATAATGGAGTGCCACCTAATTTATCTAAAGACAAATTTAATAATATAAAGAATAAGAGATGAGTTGATGAGTGATAACATAATATAGTCCATTCACTGAACTTACGCATGTTTCGGATTTAGAATTTACAGCCCCATTTAATCGGTTGATTAATTTTTCATAAATTTAAATTTATAAGATATTTTATGATATGAATAATTTCTAATTCAGTGTGATCTATAGCTTTGTAGACTTAACAATGATTTATACAATTCAAATATAGTCTATTTATAAGTTTAATTTCTATTTTATTCAAAATTATTTTGATCAGTTCGTATTTACCCCAGAAACAGGTAAACTTTAGAAGTAGCTTGTAATTCACTGTAAATTTTTATTCAAAACCACAAGTTCAGCGAATGGACTATATTTTCGTTACCTAATTTCCTGCTGATTATATAATTTATAACTGCAACAACCTTGACTCTTCGTTAAAAATCACGAAAACGAAACAGACCGGTTCTGTTTCATTCTCTGTGATGCAATGAATCTAATACCCAGATAGCAATCTACTCACTATTACGTTTACCAACGACCAGTAATGTAGACATTATGTAATTAATATAAGTAGAATAAATACATTGATGTGAGAATAACGATGTCCCGAAAAAATGTGATAGCAGGGCCGAAAGTCGAGTATCAAGAATACAAAGGAAGCTTAGGAGAATTTTATTTCGAAAATGCGGGCGAGTTTAATAGCGACATTTTTCAGGTAAATGCACTTGTAATTGTGGTTAGAATAACTTTCAGGTTAAAAAAAATAACTTTTTATTATACATATATTAGGTTATATACAGTGTGATAATTTAAAATCTTACAATATACTTGTTATTAAAAATAAGGTTTTATTGGCTTTGAGAACTTTTTGACTTTCTATCAAAAAGTAAGGTTCGTTTGTTTTTAAAATGGTTAGATATTAATTTGATTATTTTTGATACACCCTGTATAATGATTATTTATACTATTGGATAGCATTCTTGTAAGCTTTTTAATGATATATCATAAGTAGGGGTTTGCTATTTATTTTGTTTTAGTTGGGGTTATAGTTGGGGCCTAGGGGGTTGATGGGGTGTAGTTCGCTTTTATTACATTTTTGTTTCCCCTTCACATCCGAGAAACGGTTTTAGACATTTTTTGTTTGTGAAATATAGCCCATTGGTTTAATTATAAATTTATGGCATACAAATAAATCAATCAATAGAAAAAACACCTATAAGCAATGTTTTATTTATTGAAAATAAATAGCAAAGTTTTATTTTTAATGAAACGTTTAGTTATTTTTGCAAATTAAAGAGCATCCGTTTTTCTTTATCTTTCTCCATGCTTTCCCCGTTTGGGCATCTAATTTGGCGATCAAAAAACCTGTAACTTATAAATTAATCTCTCTTAATTAATATTTGTAAACATCCTTAACTTTTGTGGAGCAGTATATTTTCAATTGCCAAGCTAGATTTAATGAGGTATAATTACTTTTTTATTGACATTTTCACTAACATTTTTTAGTGACTTTAGTAATAGAGGCCGTTTCTCTTTCCCTTTCTCCAAGTTTCCTCACTGTTTACAGTGAGTATAATCATTTTTTAGTGATATTTTTAGTTACTTTATTTAGTGACTTTTGTAAAAGAGACTACATTCTTCTTTAACTCACTCCATGTTTCTTCCTCGTTTGTGCATCTAATACTCTTTGCAAGTGCCAATATACATTTGATGAGGTACAATCTCTAAATTCCAGGTGGACGCCGACACGAACGAACACGAAACCTTCGGAACCATCAAATCCAAATCGGTGCGATTGGCGATAAATTTGCAAAAACACGGCCTCACATCGGACGGTTGCGTCGTCATCTGCTCGAATAACACCACCTACAGCTGCGTCCCGCACGTCGCGGCGCAATTCCTCGGCGCCGCGACGGCCGCCCTGCATCCCAAACAATCCCAAAGCGAATGGACGCATTGCTTGGACGTCGTCCGGCCGTCGCACGTCTTCGTCGAAGAACGCGACGTCCTGAAGATGGAGAAAAGCATCGAAACTTTGAAAGAGAAGCCGATGCTCGTCGTGTTCGGGGAATCCCGGGAACATCTCACCTACAAGGATTTGGTGACGACGTCTGATGATGATCGGGAGGCGACGTTTCGGCCTGTGGCGAAAAACTGCAAAGATACGGCGGTTATTTTGTTCAGCAGCGGTACTACCGGAGCTCCGAAAGGGATGCGTTCGTCGCATTATAGCCTTATTAATAGAACTATGTAAGTTTTTTATACAGGACGTCAACTGGCATTTTAAATGATTAATTAAAAACATTTTCTAAATTACACTATACTCTCTACGCTTCACCTCTGCTCTCTACACTACTCTATATTCTCTACTCCCTACCCTCTGCTATCTGCACTCTGCACTCTTTTTTAATCTACAGTACCCTGCATTAAAATGCTTTTTAAGATAAGGCCAAGAAATGTTGCTCGTGCTTTTTAACTCTCGTTCAATGTAATTTTTTTTAGTTTTAATAGGCTAAGTAATAGGTAAGAGCAATTTCTCTGCTTGTAGAAATTAAAGAAATCAGGTACTCAGTTAAGAATTCCATTGCCCCGGTCAAGAATTGAAGGGGCAATTTGGAATTTGGAAGCACCGGCCTTGCAATCCCTGTAAATTCCTAATCCTAAAACCGGCATAAGTTCATCGAATGACTGGCATTAATCACTTATTAATTTGCAGCTGCATCGCTCGCAAGCGAAAATCCATAGGCCTGGCCTACTCGACGCTCTACTGGATATCCGGCGTACTGCAATTGGTGTGTGCTTCTACACCGGCGGCCGCAGGATAATCCCGCCCGTCGAGTTCGATCCGGAGCGAATGCTCCAAATAATCGAGCGGCACAAAGTGAACTACATGTTCGTCAGTCCGGTCCTCATGCGATCGGTGATTCCGCTGAAGAAAATCGCCGAGAACTACGACACCTCCAGCCTGGTGTTCGTCGTCACCGTGGGATCGATCCTCCACGCCGACGAGGTGCTGGAATTGCGAAGGATCTTCCCGGGAACGGTGGTTACCCAAGCGTACGGATCCAGCGAGACCACGACCCTCGGCACGGCTTTCGCGCTGCCGGAGGATGGCCGGTGGCTCTCCAAATTGGAGTCGGTGGGCAAGGTGACGGCCAACTGCGAGATCAAAGTGATCGACGTCGCGACGGGGGAGGCTCTGGGACCTCGCCAGACCGGCGAAATATACGTCAAAACCGCGCTACTGTTTAGCGGTTATTGCCGCTCGAATTCCACCGGTAAGTTAATATGTTTTTCTTCTTTCGTCTCCTCTTCTTCAGCAACGTCTATTAGTCGTCTCCTGGATGTAGATATCCGCTTTCCTCTTTTATCGTTCTCTGGCTTGTGCCAAATGGTAGGGAGAAGGATTATGGCAATTTTGTCCCAAACTCTACTTTCTTGACATCAATTGGCAAGGATTCTTATTTTTGAGACCACAGCTCTAAATATCGATCCAAACCGATCCCTGTTTCATAAGAGTCCGAATGATTTCGTAATGTTCAATATTCTTCTTCCCTCGTGATATCCCATATGCAGCTGTTTCTTCACTTAATTGTTGAACTTTCTTCTCTCTATTTGCACATGGGTTTCATTACTTCTATGTTGGTTACTCTCTTTGCGCATCAAATCCCCAGTAATCTCTTCAGTCTGATATTACACCACCGCTGTTTCTTCCATTTGACAATAATTTTTGATTTAACTGTGTAGTTACAAGTATACCTCACCAAATATAGCTTGAAAATTGAAAGTTTTGAAGAACGGATAGGATATTCTTCTTCTGCTGCCTATTCGTTGCCGAACGTTGGCAATGATAATTTTATTTTATTTGTTGCTGCTCTAAATAGTCCTCTGGTGGCTGTCTCAAAACAGTTCCTAAGTTCTTTAACCAGGATATTCGTCTCCTGCTAAAGATTCTTCTGCCCTGAACCTTCCCCTGCAGAATGCCTTACTGTAATCTATATTTGGTTTCATGGAGAAAGAAAGAAAAATAATGAAAGAGAAAGAGAGAGAACCACAAAGTAACAACTAAAACTAATATTTTCAGAAGAAAACAATGCATTATTTTGCAGATTACCTGGACGATGAGGGTTTCTTCAAAACAGGGGACCTCGGCTACTACGACGAAGATGAATGCTTCTACATCGTCGGGCGGCTGTCGGAGACGTTTAAATCCCGCGACTATTTCATCAGGCCGAGCCACTTGGAGCACATCCTTCGAGGGCATCCCGACGTCCTGGAAGCCGGCGTGTTTTGCTCGCAGGACGGCCTTCCTGCGGCTTGCGTGACGTTAAAAGCGCGGGCGACGAGCACCGTCGAGGACATCGAGGATTATTATAATGGAATCGTCTCCGATTGGGAAAGGCTCAGAGGGGGCCTTAAGATCGTCAGCGATATACCTATGACTTCTACGCATAAAATTCAGAGATACAAATTACCGGAAGTGTATTCGAAGTCGTGATATTTGATTTGTTTCGTTTAGTCAGTTGTTGATTAATTATCCATTTAGAATATTCCGTGTTGCTTGGTGGTTGGAATTTTGAAGAAAATGGACGCCCAGTAGTAATTTAAAGAAGGGAGATAGTAGATTAAGAATGGATTATTTTCTATTATTGATTAAGCATTTATCGAATATGAAACGATATTTAGATTACTTACCTCACCAAACGTAGCTTGGTACCAAAATTCCCATTGTCATAGTTGATTTACTTTATATGTATCTATATTTTCATCGAGATTTCTTATATTTCTTCAAACCTCGTTTCAAAAAGTGTCAAAAAAAGCATATTTTATCAAACTCATCCTTTCATTAATTTGCTCCAATTTTTTCTCCCCATTTGCGCGTCTAAGGCAATTTTAAGTGCCAAACTACATTTGGTGAGGTATAGTAAAGTTCTTACGGGTTATTAGAGTTGTTACTATTGGATATGTAACCCGACGAAATAAATAAATAAAACGAATACCATTTATAAATAATCAAATAATTTTTTATTAAGTTCTATACACAATAATATATACAAAGGATTAATCCACGCATTTGCTGACTAAACACTTTGTTTTACAAACTTTTCGGAAATATTTCGCCGAGGACTTAGGTGTTCTCGTTTTGTCATCACTTTCGAAATCGACAGAATACAATCCGAATTTTTGCCTGAAAATAAGTTTTTTGGTTAAATTACTAAAAAATGATAATTCTTTAATATGAAGCGTGATTGTTCTGATATGGTACTATTGGTTCTGATTGTTTTGATGGTTCTGATGGTTCTGGTGTTACTGATGGTTCTGGTGTTACTGGCGAAATATTTATCAAGGTCAAGTTCGCGCGTCAAGCGAGTTGTTGAGATAAGTTTTGATGTATATTTTAAATTCTTATTGAAATCATTATCAGTGAAGCTCAGATTATGTGAATTGCATTTTTGCATATTTTTGGGTAACGGTAATTACTCAGCAGTTTCTAAGAGTTTGTTTAAATTAGTAGGTATATCTGAGTTTATCTTCATCTGTTCAAATATTTGAAATTTTCATGAAAAAACGAGCAAAGTGGGGAAAAACTTTTGAAGGGAATTTTATAAAAATAACGAAAAATAGCAATCAATATTTTAAAACTTTCATGAAAAATTGTGAAAAGAATTGTACTCACGTATAACCAGAGGCCCATTCGAAATTGTCCATTAAACTCCACGCGGTATATCCAAACACTTTAACGTCATCTTCAATCATCGCATCTCGAGTATAACTTAAATAATCCTAAAATAAACCAGTCTAAATTTTTCTCCTCAATTATACAGGTTGTTCCAAAAATCAATGACATGTTAAATTAGCCGCCATTTTAAACTGTTAAACATCGAGATTCACTTATAAGTACACGATCATGTTATTTTTAAGGAAGGTAATGAGATCAAATAATGCAATCGAGGATCTTAAACATGAAACTCGCCACAACATTTCATCGAAATAATAACATGCTAAGGAAAGATAAGGGTAGTTATTTAACAGATGGTTTGTATCCAACATAACATCCATGCGTCCCCTTTAGAAACTTTTAATTGAAAGTCATTTTAAGCTCTTAATTAAAATTTAAAATGGTAGCAACTTTTTGGATAGGCATCATATTAGCCACTTACCCGGTGGTATTTCAACCTCTTGGCGTCATCCAGACCCCCGTGATCCGGATACCCGTTCTCCGTGACGACGATTGCCGGATCCCCGTAGGTATCCTTCACCCACTTGAGCAGCACCCTCATCCCCCACGGGGCCACCTTGAACCAATCCAACGTGGTGGTCTCCCACGACTTGTCGTAGAAGTTGTTCACGCCCATGTCCCCGAACCTGGACGGTGGGTCCGTGATGGCCGGCTCCGGTATGGCCGACACCAGGTTGCCGGTGTACGTGTTGAGGGCGAAGAAATCGGTGCTGTTGGTTAATTGGGCCTTTTCTTCGGCCGTGAACTCCGGCAGGCGGGAGTGGTTGCGACCTTCTGCGGCGCTACGCGCTGCTATGCGGGATTTCATCACGTCCGGGTAGTCCCCGTAGTGAACCGGATTGGCGTACCAGCCGAGCTTCGAAGGTAAAAATACAATATATACTTGCCGCGTTTGGAAGACGGAGTAATAAAAATGTCAGGCGGTTCCAAAATATCCCTACCCCTGTACGGCAAAATCCTGTACAATGATCGATTCGATCGATAGAAATTTCGCACATCGCCTACAATTACTGAAAACCATTCACAGAGTATCAACTTTTAGGCCGGCCAATGGGGAGTGAGTGATATCGGCGACTCGTTTACACCCCGGGTGGACTTCGGCTGATTAATGTGTTTATTACTCCGTCTTCCAAACGCGGCAAGTATAGATATTATACAGATTCGCAAAAAGATTAACTACAGCATACCTCGAAGGGTAGGAGGGCTTAAGAGAACACAATAGTATGATAGTCGGCGGATACTTATTGCTCACCCCGATTTTGATGAGTTATCTTACAAATAATTCGTTGTATTAAATGTTTATTCTTTTATGCAAAACATTTTTGAGAGTGTATATACAGGGTGGTCCGTCGTCAGTAATGGTTCAAAAGTGAAAGGGAAGATTCTGGGCCTCAAAATATTACGATCTGACCCAACTTGCTTTAGTAAAATATTGAAAATAAAAAAGATACAGAGTGTCAAAGTTGAGATAAAAAAATGATTTTTAGCAACAGTTTGAAAGATTTTGAATATACAGAAGTGAAAATTTGAAGACAGGTGTTTCAATACATTAGAAATCATAATATGATAAAAACAATTTAACAAAAGACATTTCAAATAATAAATAGCCAGTGGCATTTCAACTTCATATATAATATGCAAAACATTTTTGAGTGTGTAGTTTTACAAATGTGTTACTTAGATGAGAGCCGGAGAAAGAGGGTGAGAGGACTACTCGTGAAAATGCAGGTCATAAATTTATGCTACAAAAAATGGTCGTTTCTTGAATGAATTTAGTTTTTTATACTAGGGCTGGTGGTATGGTGGTTTATTGAATAATTTTTTTTAGAACAATTTTGGGTAAATACTAGCACTTTATGACCGAAAATGAAATTGTAAAAAATCTATACAGGAACTGGATATCTGGGACTATCCTGGAAAATTTGTGACAGACATATTTTAAGAAAAACATTACTTACTTCAAAATGAAACGCTTGTTCTGCCGCCTTTTTGTCTTCTGTGGTATTAGAAGCAGGTCCGAACCACATGGAGTCCAGAACGATAGAGATTTGACCTTTTTAACAAAAAATATTTTTTTAAATATTTATCTTTTTTCATTTTTCCAATGAAAATATTATGTAAAGTAATTTATATCGAAAGATGGTAGTATATTTTAATTATTGATTAAATGTTTACCATTAAATTAATTTACCCAATTATTTGATCAAACAATTGATCACTGTCAAAATAAACAAATAAATTAAATAATAGGTATTCAAGCAATATTAATTATTTGCCATCAGTATATGATAATCTGCCATTTATACAACCTACCAAAATCCCTCCCCGTCGACGTGAAGTGCCCACCCTGTATATCACCCTTTACCCCATATAACTCACCGTTCTGTTTACTCCTAAACTCCTCGTCGTACACCCTGTAAGCCTTGGCGTGGGCCCTCAACAAATTGTGCGAGCACTCGTATTCCTTCAGCCCTTGCGAGGGAATCCTCGGGGGGTTGTAGGCGAAGCCGTAGCCGCCGTTGCAGTAGGTCTTGGGCTCGTTGAACGTGAACCAGTACTTGACGTCGTCCCCGAAGAGCTCGTAAAGAGTCCGGGCGTAGTCGGCGAACCAATCGGCCACCTTCGGGTTCAAGAAGCCGCCGAGGTCCTGCAGAGCTTGGGGTATGTCCCAGTGGAACATGGACACCATGGGCTCGATGTTGTGCTGTTTCAGTTCTTTGATCAGACGTCGATAGTATTTGACGCCTTTGGCGTTGATGTGGTCGCTGAAACCTGGGGTAAGAAAAGGTAAGAATTTACCTTGTAGCTTGGCAGTTAGAATTTTTGAGAAGCTGAATACGCAGTTGCGATTATTTAAAGAAGGGTAGACAGTTAAAAGCAGAAAACACAGAGTGTAGAATGGAGAGTAGAGAAGAGAAAACACCGTGTGTGGAAAGCGGAGAGTAGAGAACACAGAACTTAGAGTAGAAGCAGACAGTAAAGAAGAGAGAACACAGAGGGTAGAGTAGAGAGGAGAAAGCGGAGAGCATAGTACAGGGAATACAGAGTATAGAATAGAGAGGAGAGAGAGGTAGAAGAGAGCAGGAGTGGAGAACAGACAACACAGAGTGTAGAGTGGAGAATAGACAACAGAGAACACAGAGTAGAGTGCAGAAAACACAGAGTGGAGAGTAGAGAACAGAGTACAGTGTAGAGTAGAGAGTATAGAGTAAAGAACAAACAGCAGGAGTGGAGAATAGAGAACACAGAACGTAGAGTAGAAGCCGACAGTAAAGAACAGAGAACACAGAGTGTAGAGTAGAGAGGAGAAAGCAGAGAGTAGAGAGGAGAAAGCAGAGAGCAGAGAAGAAAGTTTTGAGTTAAAAGCAGAGAGCAAAGAATTGAGAGCAGAGAGTAGAGAACAGATCTATTAGTTAGGCTACTCAATGGGTTTACCTGTAGGCAGAATTCGCGCCCAAGCGATGGAGAATCGGTAATGATTGACGCCCATCTCCTTCAGTATGTTCACATCGTCTCTCCATTGGTAATAGGAGTTGCAGGCTACGTCGCCGGAACTGTTATCGGCCACAAATCCAGGAGTATTGTGGACGTAGTTGTCCCACATCGATTCGGATTTTCCATCTGCGTTCCATGCTCCTGCAAATGCGTAATGGGTTTTTACGATACGAAAATGTACTGACTAGATTAAATGCAATATTCTACGAAAATTTCATAGCCTTTAATCAAAGTTCCTATAGTTCCTACAGTGGTGATAACTTAGAAAATATAGACCTTATACAAACCTTAAAAACTACGCCATTGGTATATTAGAAAACTACACTAAATGCAATTTGTGTTGAATCTATTTAACAATTAGAATTTACCTTCGATTTGATAAGCAGATGTGGCTGTTCCAAAGAGGAAATCCTTAGGAAATCTCTTATTATTCGTCGCCGCCAATACAACCGAAATACTAAAACAATTTTGAAATAAAATATAAACTAAATAATAGTTTTGATAAGTAATAGTAATATCCAGTATAATACCTACGTTGTAATGGCGATAATAGCAAAAATGCTGAGTTTGGGACACATTTTGACGAAATTAAATTAAATTCAGTGAGCTATTTATATGAAAATTTATCAGCAAAACAATCAACATGATTATTATTCCGATTTCTCCAACGTAAGAGCTACTCCAAAATCGTATCAACAATCTGAAGAATCATTAAATATTTCAAGGTTTCCTAATTGTAATTTCGTCAATGTACCTATGATATAAAATAATAGATTAATAACAGGTAGAGCGTTCGTTTTAGAGAGATTTAATTGGCATTTTGAGTTTTTATTTACGCAATAATATTTTGTTTCAACTGGATAATTTTGCATGTTCTAAAACAACATTATGGTGTACCTATGCCAAAATTTGTGTGATTTATTGGGAATAGACAATTTTTCATTTAACCCTGTACGAAAGACATTAATAGGATCACAAAACTGATATAAATCCTTTCCAACTACATGTGTACCTGTGAAATTTTATTGTCAAAATCTACATTACAAGTGTTTTGATGTACAATGTACAAATTTACTCGAGTTTGAATTAGCACTCACGAAAACAAAAATCCGTATCGATATTAAAAATTTTACGCAACACGTAGGTACTTTACTGCCTTATTATTAAATAACTCGGTTATACAAGTTGGCCATGTAATATCGTACAAGTACCAAAATTAATAATCAATTATTCACAAATATTTTACACGGCCAACTTGTAAAACCGAGTTATTTAAGAATAAGGCAGAAAAGTAAGTTTTTTTTGTAAAATTGTTCTTCAAAACTATTAGGTTTAGGTATAGGGAAGTAAACATGAACTTCAAAGAGGTTCAAATACCTTTGACCTTTCGTGAGAAAGATCAAAGATCGTCATCACACACCCTTTATAGGGAAACCAAACGGTTACTGTTTTCAACCGTTATAACATATAAGTAACCGGTTGGTTAAATTAACCAACCAGTACATCTGAATATATGTCTCATTTTAAGAGATCTCTTTAATTAAGCCAATCATTCTAATTCAACTTTGAACGAACCTTGACTACAAACTGTTATTTGAAACGGATCCTATTGAGATGCAAATAATTTATACCTACATATTTTGTTATCATATTTACGAAATCGTATTACAATTCTTACCTTTACATTTATTATTAGAGAGCTTAAAGCGATTTGTTTCGCAGATATAACACGAATATGTTTATTCTACGATTAAAATTAAAACCCAAAAGTCATTGAATAAAATGCATACAATTAATTTATTACTTTACCAATGTTATAGGTTGCTAGACGTACTGAAATATGTTACTTATATTTATTATTTTAGTAAGTATTCGCTTTTATATAACCTTTATTTGACAAATAGTCAGTGGTTTTTATAATTTTTATTAAAATTTCAGTTAATTCAGTTAAATTTCGAAGCCTGTACGAGTGCTTCGATTATACCAACAAAAAACTTCGATGAGATTCTAAAATTACATAAGGGAAACGATGCAATTGAAAATTCAAACGAACAAATAAATACTACACTTCTCTTAGATTGCGTTAAAAATAATTTATTAGCAGGAAACGCTGTTGCTGAAGTATTTCCGAGAAAAAACGAAAAATTGAAGAATTTGAACCAACTAAGTACAGTGCTCATAAATTTAATCATCTCGCCTTTACGAAGTGGTTTAAACGTTTTCGTGAATAATTTAGTGATTACATTGAGTTCCCTTTCACAACCATCATCTGCTGGTGATCCCGTACAAAATATTGTTTTTCAAACTATCAATGTAGCTATAAACATCGCTGTATACGTTATTACTGCCCTACAGAACTACTTAAATTCGGTATTAGATAGTTTGACGAGTATTGCAAATACTTTGTAAATAATAGATATATTTGTTGCCTGTAATTTTATTAATTCTATTGCCTATTAATAATAATGCCCGTATTCAAAAGTTTTGTATAACCAACTGGTTTTGTAATCAATCGATTGAATATTACCGGCTGTTATTTTTAAATCGGTATTCAGGAGTAGATACAACCCCTTGTTACAAAACCTATTAGCAACGTTGCCATGTTTAAAATTCGGAAATATATAATAAGTTGGTTACAAAACCATTACGAAACATCTGAGTACACATTTCTAAGTACTTCAAAATACAAAAAATTGATTTTATGTCATGCACAAAAAATGTGTAAAATTCTATATTTTTTTTAAGTAGTTATAATATGCCCACAAACGATTTAGATATTTCAGATCAATTGGAAAATACTGCAAGTACGTTAAACTGCAAAGCTACCAACACGTAAGTAACAGCATTTCCGCTTACCTGAAAATAAAAATTATGAAATAAGTTTGATAATATGTAGATTAATTTATAACGATGATTGCAGGAATACAGGTTGAGTCATTTTAGTTTGCAATATATGTTATATTATAGGCTAATGGTGCAATAAAGACAACTTCCATAAAACACTTATAAAGAAAAAAGAAAGAGTGATAATTGTGTCACTACAACTTTCTCACTTTAACTACTGTTATTGTAATAATGTCTCTTTGTTCGACTCATACAAATAAATATTGCAAAATGAAATGCACCAAAGGGTATAATAAGACGACTAATAAATGTGCAATTTTGATTAAATACGATAACCCTTCAAAATTTTAGATTATATTATTAGATAATTTTTCAAAACTTAATAGAATTTGAATTACTTTAACACTACTAAAACAAACAATTTGAGTTAAAATAATAAGAGAAGTTTTTTAAAAAGTAGACCTTTGAAAATCGACTTTAAAGAGGTGCAAAATATTCTTACGAATTTTATTAGTTAAAAGTAAGTGTAACTGAGTTTACCTAAACAACTAAAACATTTTAATTTATTGGTATTACTTTACCTACCGTTGATAATAAGACGGTGCCTACTGTGAAAATATCCGATGCTCTTAATATCGGTTTCTCTAATGTCAAAGTCAAAATTAACATTTCAACCTAAAATAAAAAATAATTAAGTTAAAAAAATAACCGAGTAGGTTATTTTAGTCAGTCACGAATCTAACCTGGCTGGCTTCACTTCGAGATAATCGATTTATCGGATATTTGTAAAGAAATGACAGTAGATCGTCGCCCTGAAAACAAAAATTCATATCTCTGTACAGTATGGCCTATTGAAAAAGAAACAAAGTTGTTAACATTTCTGATGGAGAAAAATAAGAAACAATTATTTTATTTGATAAAAAGAGAATGTTCTTTAAAGGTAAACCTTTAAAGGTTTAAGAATGAATGAATGAATGAATGAAGTAGGTTGAGTGAGAGTCATTGAGCAGCCTTCCAGACTCTCGTTTCCGGAAAGGTAATGGAAAAAACCCTTGAAAATTAGAACAATAATATAATAAATAATTAATCATAGTCTTTCATCGTCAGGCCGAAAACTTTGCACCTTACCCTCGTACTAACATTATACAATATTGTATTTTTGGAAAGCTGAAGACGAGCTAAATACATTAAAAATATAGTAAATATAGTAAAATAAATATTGATCAGATATACGATATGTCTATATGAACAATAGCTAACGGTGGTAGGTAATATTTAGCTAATATTGATATTTGTATATCAGGAATTAATATATCTTGTATGTATTTGGAAGATGTACAAGGTGTTTGAAATAGTTCTGAAATAATTTTTGAAGCAGTGTTAAAACAGTTTAATTAAAGCTATTTTGAAGCAATTTTAGAGCGCTTTTTGAAGCGTTTATAAAGTGATTATAGCGGTTTTGAAAGGGTTACAGCGATTTGAAAGCGATTTTAGAGCGATTCTAAAACTGTTTCAGAGAAACGTTAGAGCGGTTTTAAAGCAGTTTCATAGCGATATTGAAGCGATTTTGGAATGATTTTGAAGTGGTTTTAAAGCTATTTTGAAGCGATTTTAAGGTGATATTGAAACGGTTTAGAGCAGTTTTAAAGCGATTTTTAAGGGATTTTTAATCGATTTTAAAAAGATTGCAATCATAGACAAGCTCAAACGCCATAATAATATAAGTTTGAAATGTGCCAATTACTTCAAATATTCCTTAAAAGGATCCGTTTAATTTTAAAGGAAACTTTAAACGCTTTATGTATTACAAAATCGGCCCTTAACAAAACAGCGAAGAACTTTACGATAAGTCTTTCCAACAATTAGGTACTTACTATCAAAATCAGTTGATTGATAAGCCAAATGTAAAATCCGATAAACGCGTTCCCGTAATTCAGAAACAACACCCTGAAAGCCGCCATCCAGTGAAACTCGTCGTCGTCTGTAAGGAAATACGCGTTCAGCAAATAATCCACCAGCGATGCCACTTCGAACAAAAACTGAGTGAAATGCATCAGCATCGTCCCGTACGCGAAAATGTGCCGCTTGTAATTGAACACACACAGCAAATAAAACCTCTGCAAGATCCTCAACTTCTCCGAAAGCGTCTCCTCTTTTCTATGCAGGGCGGTTTCGATTTCCTCGCGCATTTTACTCAGCATAATGTAGTAGACGGTGATGGTCGATACGAAAAAAGCTACGTAACTTCCTGTGTTTACTGTACACACTAAAAGAGCTAGTGTTAAACCGATGTAATCGAGTTCAAATCGCTCCATTTTGTACAGAAACACCAGCACTTGAAGCACCGCAGTCGAGCAATGTAAAATACTCATACATTTGGAATAAATCGAGTAGTAGCCCATGATTTTGCTAGTTAACATAGTATCAATTCCGTATAATTTCCTTTGCTCGATTATTTCGAGGAATCCGTTGGTGAATAGCATGTAATCTTTGTTGTACACGATGAAAGACATGCTGAAACAGAGGGTGTTGAGCAAAGCGGGAAACATGAAGGTGTAATTAGCTTTTTTCTCCGGTGGGGTTTCGTTCTGGCGCAAGCATCGGCATATGTAGATTAATTCGGCGAGGACGATCAGGATCCAGGACGTGGCGAAGAGGGTTTTGGATTTGCTGTATAAGAATTTGGGTTTGTGAGGATGATTGGAAAGGGAGTTTGCCCTGTGAGGGCAATCGGGGGTTGCGATGTAACTCACTGTAGCGCCCAAGGAAATTAGGGGTCGTATGGCGCAAATGAAGCAATCCGTGATGATCGGTTTCATTTTCGTAAATGACGAATGTATTTGTACAAATGTGTATACAGAGGTGTAATTTTGGGATTTTTTTCTTTGGTAATAATAATAATGCGTAATCGTTTGTTTGAATTGGGATATTTTCGGGAAATTAGTTCGAATTTTGATACGAGAATTTTGATACTAATATTATTCGGGTGTCCCAATAGTAATTGGCATTTTAAATCTGTAATAGATCTTTAGTAGATTTTTTATTTTATAACTTGTAATATTTTTATTGGTTTTTAAAGTGGGTTTGTTGGTGGTGGTAAATTGGGAGTAAAAAACTAATTATGAAAGGTTTAAAGAAGGATGTTTTAGTGCTATAGGTAAATTGGGAGCAAAAATGTTTTATTTCATTTTGAACTCGTTTAGACTATATGAATAATCCAGTGATATATTTTAAGAGCATCTAATAAATTCAGTCCACTAGAAAAAACTGAATCAATACAATCAATACTAAGTCGAAAATGTCTCTAAGACATAAGGTACTAAAATAACTGATCTCGCAAATTATGTATAAATATAAATAATATGTTTATTATAAAAAACAATAATTAGATAAATTAAACATTACCCAACATAATATGCCATAATTAATCTTCCTTGCAAAATGTCATGTGTAGTCATCTACATCATCTAATGTGAATTAGATGTTAAATGTATTAATTAGATAGATACAATCAGAGAATATACACCTTCAATCAGACGTTCGAGTTGCGTCGATTATCGTGAAAAAAGTGCAGTAAATATAAATTTTTTTGTTTCCTCAGAATTATCACGTTCTGCAATATTTTAAATCAATCCATTTTCGAGGGATAATTCTCTGACAGAGGCGTACTCTTCCGAATTTTTTAGGCAACGGACGAAAAATAAGGACACCACTGACGCTATTACCTAAAAAAGAAAACGGAAAGTTCGTGTTAGAGACTTGATAGTTTGTTAATTTATACTGTTTAAACAGATTCAATAAAAGTTGCAAATGTGATATATCATAAACAATCATAAACTAAATGTAAGACTTTTGGTTTCCTTGTAGCTCAAAGTTTTAGAAACAAATTGGTTCAATAAATAATTAAAATAGACTGAAATACTGAAATAGGGGATATTAGATATCATTAGAGACATATTATGTGTTGTTGAATTTTCATTGGGCCACCAAATAAAATAATTGTTTACAATATATAGTCGATAGGTGCAACAAATACAACATTAATCTCGTATAAAGGAAAAAGAAAGGGTGATATTGTGAGATTCCTACTTTCTCGCTCTAGTTACTGTTATTTTTAAAATCTTTCTTTGTTCAACTCAGAGATTTGACCACATTGCAAACAATGTTGCATTTATTTTGTATAATAGAGATCCATTGCTCCTTCCATTGTCTTTTTATACATAGTGCGACTCATTTAAACAGCTATAAAGTATTACCTGAGCAAAGGACAACACAGTAATGCAAACTCCCATCATATATTGACAGTAATTAATATATTCGTACAATTCGGTAGTGCAGGAATTTTCGAAAATGTCCTCTTTATTCGTTTGATAACAACTCTGCGGTATTCCATTGGTCCAATAATTAGGTCCGTTTAATCCACAGCATTTTAACTGAAACATTATACATTATATTACCTATTATATTACTATTATTATAACATTATATTATACATAGTACTTATGTAGATACACCTGCGGTATGTATATCTAGTTTTTTAATTTGTAAAGTAAATCTTAGGTATTTATTACCAATAGAGCTTGGAAAATATACAATAAAAAATAACCAAATATATACGGATTAGATTTTAGCATTTAGAACGCTCCAGAATAGTTTAGAATTGGTTAAAACCATTTAGAACGTTCCAGAATTATTTGGTACTGTTTAGAAGCATTCCAAAAATTCTGTTAATATTTCATAAAATACATTAAGAAATCCTATCTGCTATTTTTCCAGTCCTTTAGTCATAACGAAAATTTTTTGACCTATGATTTACAAACAAATAGATTAGTACAGTATAGGTTTTCTTAATACACCTTCAACGAATTTATTTTTCTTTATCAATATATCATTAAAAAATACTAAATTTACCCTGTGTTGAATGAGATCGATGAGCGACTTGTTGATGTAACTGTTATTCTCAAATACTTCTCGAACTGTCGATTCCAATTCGCTCCTGAATATCGCCTTGTTTCCTATTCTGTAGAAACAACTGATTCCAATGGATATTTGTATCACAAACAACAGAAGAAGGATAATTATGTACTAAAAAAACATTAATCAGTTCAAAATAAATGAGTATATTCGCTAAATAGTGCAATTTTTCGCAAATTTCGATTTTCGAATAAGATACGAGGTAGTCGATTAAAAACTTACTGCAGCAACAATTTTCTTTCTTTCAGTCAAACAACCGTAACAGCCGAATACGGCCAGGATAATTAGAGAAGTCCCAAGAGGAGCGGTAAGTATTGGAACAATTGTGAGATCTTCGTAATGTTCTGGTAAAGCGGCGAGGAATTCCTCCAAATTTACTTTGTAAATTATTCCGACCGATATCAGTGAAATTCCGACTAGCTGAAAAATACAAAAGAAAATTCATGTATGTAAGTAGAATTTCTACGCAGGAAATTCTATTATAAAATTTGTTGTTTTTATACTCGTATATTTGAGGGTAAGGTGCAAAGTTCTCGGCCTGACGATGAAAGACTATGATTAATTAATATATTTTCAGGTCAGAAATTCAGTCATTCATTTTTTCTTTTTTAAGGCTTTATTTGAAGAGAAGAGTCCCAGAAAAAAAGTAATTCTAACGCAACTCGACAACATCTTTCGGAAAATCGACTTTTCGAAATCCGGAAAAATTTCCTTCCGGGTGAAAAAACGGATTTTTCGGATTTATGTTCATTGAACTTTTAGTCATGAAATAAGCCAAGGAATTACCCCCTTTCGGATGTACACGATGTTTCGGAGCACCCTGTAGATAAATCCAAGTCCGCTTAGAAACACGAAACCTTGAATTTTTGAGAACAAGTTCGAAGTTTTTGTTAAAGATGCTTATTATTAAAACGAGTTTAATAAAGGTGTTAATTAATTTATTTGCTTCAACAAGGATATTTGTATCAGTTTATTTTACCTTATAAAAATAAATGCGTAGATGCCTATAATAATCATAGGTTTATATGCACGTCTGGAAAGTTTAAACAATAAATTCACATTATTAATTTTGTTAATTATAAAGAAAATAGCATAATATTAAATAAATGACGCCTAATCACTTCTAGTGATAATTATACATGAAACAGACTATAATTATTTTTCATTTAAGAATTTGTTTACGAATTTAACCAGACCGTTCTTCCTCAGTCATAATGTACATATCAGCTAGGACATTTTGTAATATTTATGTTTGCATATGTTGAAAATAATTAAAATATCAGAGTCGACTATAATATAGGGTGTTTCAGAAAGGTTGGGACATGGCTTAACTACATTTATAGAAAATCGAATATAGAATTATAGATTATAGAAAAAAATGTGATCCCTAGGCTTGAGATATATCGTTTAAAAGCTCTCTTCATTCTTCTCTCTCCAAAAATGTTATTGGTTTCAAGTTTATTTAACATTAAAATTAACATTAAAAATTAAATCATTTGATTGCCCAAAATCGCTCTAATACACTCAATATATTTAAAACTTAGTTGTTCATAATGTAAAAAATATGAAATATAAAATTTCTATTTAAGATTAGGATGTTGCCAAGAAGTTAGCGGTAACAATTTGGAACATCTACTCCATTGAGATTCTTATTTTTTAAATATTAAGAGCAATAAATTTTTAAAATAAACGTAACCCAAACTTTCTGAGTTACTCTGCATTATCTATTTGGTAAAAAATACTAAATTTTTCTTTATACTCACTGCTAAAACGAAATTAGTCCAAAACACCGAACACTTAACAATATCTTCATCACATCCCATTTTTATAAACTTCATCATAATCCAATAAGTACATTATTGTATCTATGCCATTTTCGTTCACGTTCACATTTATCGATTACATATCGTAGGCACCTACGAGATTATTATATTGTTTAAAACAAGACCAAAGATAATTTGATAAATATTATGTGTATGTATCGCATGGGAAAAATTTGGATTCACGTATGAAATACTACTAGATACCTACACTACATACATACATGCAGCTGGGAAATGAGATTTAAAAATAAACATACGGAGATAAATTTTTATGTATTTTTATTAGTGGGCGATTCGTGACGTCGGTCGTTCGATAATTTCGTTTGCTTTGCTTTCGAATTTATTTGATTTTATTTCCTATAGTCCGTTCTCCAGCAGGAGATAGTAGTAATATGTAACATTTTTTGAAGCAATAAACCGCAGGCGCGCCTATAAATAATTAAAAACTAAACACTATTGAACTAAAAAGTATAAAATCATAAAAGCCTTATCATAAAATAAGGCCCTTAAACTTTGCTAAACTCATAAACTTTGTCCTAGAAAAAAGCCAATATAAAAATTCAATAGATATTATCATTGAATATCTATTTATCAATACAAATTTACTCAGTACTCGTCATTTACCCTAATAGTTGTAAGCATTTTGATAGCAGTAATAAAATCGCAGTTATCGAATTCCAACAATGGATTTCTCGAAGATACTATTTATTGTTCTCACTGTAGCTCTGTATATTGAAGAAATCGACAATTCGAAAATTTTAGGAATATTTCCTCTGGCCGCGAAAAGCCATTATACGTTGGGAAACTCGTTGATGAGAGGGCTGGCCGAGGCCGGACACGATGTAACAATGATGAGTCCTCACAATGATGAAAATCCTGTCGAAAATGGAACGTACAGAAATATCGTTTTAACCGGATTCGCCGAATTTTACGAAGGTAAACTATCACCCATTTAATTAAAAACTGAAGATATCTTAAAAAATGTTAATGGAAACCCCTATTTTTTAATTAAAGGTTCAGAATCCTGGCATCAAAATATACGCAAGTTTCTCTGAAACATTTTTAAAATTAATAGAGACAAAAATACTAAAAATTATTAGTTTGATCGTGTACTTTTCCATAAGTAAACCTCTGCATTTACTGATTTTACACTGACATTTGTAAATATCTCTACGCTAGTTTTACGATGTAAAAAATGGCGTAAAATGTCAGTTATTTTTGGGACACATCATTTTAGATAATTTCAATCGGTGTAAGTTATCAAATAATTGGGTAATTTTTCTGCAATCGGTCCTTCATACATACATATATTTGTAAATTTCTTCCTTGACCTTTATTAAAAATCTTTCACATTTAGATAGTATTTTAGATATACAGTGCGTGTATAGAGTACCGGTATACCGGTATTCTTAAATACTTAGTGGGTCGAAAGGGGGCTCATTCGAAGGGTCTTATAATGCTGAATATAACCAAAAAATATTTTTAAATTATTTCAATTTTTCTAGAATCTAGAAGTTACCGCTATTTAAATATTTGAAACATTTTTTTTAATAAACAATAATTTTGTTTAAGAATTTAATATTTAACAATTAAAAATAATTACCAAATTAAATTAAAGTTATTAAATTAAAGTTATTTATTAAAAAAGAAGTAAAGTTTGACAGTTTGACAGATGGTAGAAAATAACCAGCCTACTTTGTAAATAGTGCATACGTATACACAATGAACGATAGTTTTTTAAGTCAAAAATTTTTTGTTCAAAATACGGTATGGAATGATATTGAAACTTTTTCCCAGTTTATTTTCATTAAATATTACAATTTCAATAAAATCAGTAATTTAAATTAATTTTTAATTTTTAATAAGATACTTGTAAGTTAAATAATTAATTTAAAAACTTACTATGTAAGAAAAAATCCTCTTTCCTTATTATGGCAAAATCTAAATTTAGACCATATCAGTTGCATTTGACTACTTTCATGTAATAGGGTAATTCAAGTTGATAGTTGATTATATTATCGTTTAAAGTACAAATATAATAAATTCCCTTGGTTTCAAATTTTAAAAAAATAAACAATTCTTGTGGGGCTTATAAATTTTGAGAAATTTAAATAGCCAACAAACGTTTCGGTTTAGAACATTTGGATGATTTTTTTTGTATTTACATATTTGGGATTTATTAATCAAATCAAAATACATAATACATCAAAATCACTTTCACTGGATTTCTCCATCATCCATATCTTATCCACCTTATCGACCTTATCGCGTTTATCATTATATTACTCACAATTATTGAATATTAAATTAATTGATTATTTATTTTATTACCAACTGTTTTATTGATATTTAAAGTGCGAAATAAAAATCGTTTTTTTTAACAACTCTGAAAGTCCATGAACCTTTATGAAATATAACATATAGCCCGTATAATTTTTATAAAAGGAGCATATTATCAACAAAAAGTTAATAAATTTTTAAGAGTACAATCCATCCTATTTTTTCTGTGCTGTAGATATTGGTTATTTTTTTACATCCACTAGTGTAATAAATTCATTTTGAACATTTTTCACCTATCAATTTTAATTGTTTTTTATTCGACAATTGCTGGTGAACCGAGATTTTTATTTAACATTTTTTTCCAATTATCGCAAACCCAACAACCACCTATGTAATCTCATCGAATGTTATTATTAGACAATTTCTTCAAAAATTACAATTAATACTAAATTTTCCACAGCCACAATGAAGAAACTCAACCCGTACGAACGATCATACTTCTCCAACTCCTTCAACTACCTGCACAAATACCAAAGAGCCACGACCGTTCTAATGGAGAATATCTTCCAACACCCCGCCGTCGTGGATTTCTCCAATTCCAACGAAACCTTCGACGTCGTCATCGTCGAGCAAATCGCCTGCGAGGCCTTGAAGTACTTCGCCCATCACTTCAAAGCCCACCTCGTTCTGTTCTCCTCCGTGGCAGCGGAGAGCAAAGTGAATTACGTCATGGGGAATCCCACCATGGTGTCGTTTTCCCCGTTAATCGACACTGATTTTTCCAACGACATGACCTTGGCGCAGAGGATCAGGAACTTATTGCTGTACGCCTACGAAGCGGCCGAGTACAAGTACCTTTGGTTGCCGTTTTTGGACGATTTGATCCAGAGGTACCATCCCGGTGCGCCTTCGATGTTCGATATTAATTACAATGTTTCGTTGGTACTCGTTAATTCTCACGAGAGCATCCAGCCGAGCGTTCCGTTGGTGCCGAATATAGTACCGATCGGGGGATTCCACGTGGAGAAAGCGAAACGTTTACCGGAAGATTTGGAAAATTTTTTAAATCTCGCTTCAGATGGAGTCATTTACGTTAGTTTTGGTTCGACCGTTCGAGCCGAGAATCTACCTACCCACAAAAAATTGGTACTCCTCAAAACATTCGGAAACCTCAAGCAAAAAATCTTGTGGAAATGGGAAGGTCACGAAGTGGACGACTTGCCTGCGAATGTGAAAACTTCCAAGTGGTTCCCTCAGAAAGATTTACTAGGTAGATGAGTCGCTCAACGCCATAGTGGCCAAACTGCAAAATTGCATTTACTGGTATCAATCAGGAAAAGTGCTGCATATTTTCTAAATTTTAAATTCCACATTGGTCAAATGAGTAATGTGAAAAGTTCTCGGTCCGACAATCGTGATTTTCAGTTGAAATACTACATTATTCTTCTTATTAATTCGAAATCACTAGTTCAAGACGGTTCTAAATGATTCTATGGCGGTTTAGACAGTTCCAAATTGTTTTAGACAGTTCTAAATGGGTTTAGATAGTTATAAATGGTTTCAGACAGTTCCAAATGTTTTTAGACATTTCTAAATGGCTCTAGACAGTTCCAAATGGTTTTTGACAATTCTAAATGGTTTTAAACAGTTCTAAATGGTTTTAGACATTTCTCCCAAATGATTCTGGAGTGCTCTAAATGACTATGGAACGTTCTAAATGATTCTGGAAATGGTTTTAGACAGTTCTAAATGATTCTGGAGCTTTCTAAATAGTTCTTAACCATTCCAAATGATTTTGGAGCGTACTAAATGGTTCTAAAACGGTCCCAAATGTTTCTGGAACGTACTAAATGGTTCCAGACAGTTTTAAACGCTTCTGAGCATTCTAAATGGTTCTGGAGCTTTCTAAATCGTTCTAGACAGTTCTAAATGATTCTAGAGCATCCTAAATGGTTATAAACAGTCCTAAATGATTCTGGAGCGTTCTAAATGACTATGAATCGTTCTAAATGATTCTGGAACGTTCTAAATAGTTTTACACAGTTTGTAATAATTTTGGAACGCTCTAAACGGTTCTATACTATTCTAAATGATTCTGGACCGTTCTAAATGGTTATAGACAGTTCTAGAATTAAATAAAAAATGTCCCAAAGAAGATACAAGATTTTTTTTGCTGATTTGAACACCCTCAGTGTATCAGGAAGAGAACTTTTCACCCTACCCTCGCAGCTTCTAAAAGTGTAATCATAAAAAATAACGAATTTTTCAGCTCATCCGAACGTGAGGCTCTTCGTAACACAAGGAGGTTTGCTGAGCCTGACAGAAAGCATTTCTAATGGCGTTCCGATGCTAGCAGTACCGATTCTCGGAGATCAGTTCGTGAACGCGAGAATGGTCGAAACTGACGGATACGGTCTGAGTATTTCCTTTCACGATTCAAACTTTTCTGAGGAGAAGCTCACGTCGATGATAGAAGAGCTTTTGCACAATTCGACGTATGTTGTTATTTTGACTACATTTTTGACTAAATATTTTAAGGTGTATATTTAGAATTATTCTCATACTGTAATGGGTGAAGATTTTCAAGGATGATTCAAGGTTACCTTGACCACTTCAAGGGGTCCTAAGGAGGTCTTCGGGGTGTCGAATTTTCGATTGCTTCTCACCAATTCTAAAATGCAACGTTGCTCCTATCACCTCTATTTCTAATACATAAAATTATAAAAATATGTAATTCTTGTTTTTTAAGGTTTAAGGAAAAAGCGATGGAAAAATCCAGAATATTCCACGATCGAGAAATCGATCCGCTCAAGAAAGCTGTGTATTGGATCGAATACGTCATACGTCACAAAGGCGCGGCCCACTTGAAAGTATGGGGAGTAAATTTGGCCTGGTACCAATTCTATTCCTTGGACGTGCTTTTTGTTATTTTAACATGTACGGTCCTGTTATTGGCGTTTTTATATGGGATTGTGATTGCGTTAGGAAAATTGTTTAAGATGGCTGTTAAAACTGTAATTCAAAAAAACAAACGAAATAACAAAAATGACCGTCGAGGAAATAATAAATTAAAAAGGCATTAAATAAATTTAACGTTGTATATTATATTTTCGTTTTATTATACAGGGTGTTAATTAATTGAGTCCCGATACTTCAGGATATTTGGATGATTTTAAGAAGGAAAGTTTATTTCAAAGAGGTTCCGCTGATAAAGACAATAAAAACAAAGGGCTCTAGGGAATCAAAGGGATAAGGGAAGGTTTAAGATAAATCTTATTTTTAGTCCAAAATTGTTTCATAATACATGTTTTCATAGGTTCAAATTGATCCAAGAATCTTTTAAGTTGATCAAGAAATCAATTACATTCTATTAAAGCATCCTTTAAAGTTCAAAAGTAGCCTTTCAAATGCGTTTCAAATCATTGGAATCTAAGAACAATCCTTATATTCTAACTATAAGGGATTTGGTAAGATTTGGCCCTTTAATAATCGCTAGAAAATATCGAGAATGCCCGCTCCGTTAGGGAAATTTATTGATTGATTGATAATTTAGAAATCGTCGTCGTCGTAATCGTACAAACTCACGTCTTTGGGCGATTTACTTTCGCTCGGTCGCTTCTTCCGCCGGAACAATTTGAACCAGCCGAACCATCTAAAAAAAATCATTTGAAAATACTCTTAATGTATTCATACTTCCGACACTTCCCCGTATAATATACCTCATCGAATGTAGCTTGGCAGTTGAGAACAGCATCGCAGATGCATTAAAAAATACGAGAGTATCTTTCACCACTGACCACTGAAGAAATATCGGAGAGAAGAAATTTTCAATAGAAATCTCACGATCCGTACGCATCACGTCGTTTCAATTGAGCTGCCTCATTTCCTGTCCGATCCCCCATCCTCCTCCTTATCCCAACACTCGATATTCCAAACAGCCAAGCTACATTGGATAAGGTACACATTCTACCTGTAAATCCTGCCGGTTTGCGTCCCGGACTGCCTCGTCTCCGGCCCCTTCTCGCTCCTGAACTGATTGTCCATCTTGATGACCTCCCTGAGGACGAAGAGGAAATCCGACGGGCTGGTGACGGCGCTCCGTTTGCCGCCGATCAGCGTCGATCTGCCGCTGAGGTTCTCCTTCCACGCGATGACCCTGCCGTTGGTTTTCGTCGCTTGTCTAGTCGACAATTTGGAGCGCCTCTCGGATCGCCGGTGGGGCGCCAGGAAATAGGTGTTGATGGTGTCGACGGACGCCGACGACGACGACGCCGAATCGTCTAGCGCGGCTTCGACATCTTGACGCGGTATTTCTTTATCTGTATACAAGGTGGCCAATTGGAAAGTAAACGGAGTAGTTTTCGAGCAGAGAAAATTGATTAAAGAAAAATCGGTATAACACGTCAATGTGTCCCTTAAGGCGCTACGACCCTACGACTCTTTAAGATTACTATTTGTAAAAATTTGTTTTATCGAGTTTTAATAGAGGAAGTGCGCCGTAGGTATATGGACCACCATAAACACTTTTCTCAAAGAAAAGTCGAATTTTAAATTTAAGTCTGCTTTATTTATATTAAACAATTCCTTAACCATTTAGTTAAGGAAAACAAATTCTCCAAAAAAAAAACAAAATCTTTGAAATAAATGACATTTTTTAAAGTATATCATTTTTATGATCTTTCAGAAAGTGAACATAATATGGGCCACATCCAGATTTTTCCATTTCTAGAATTTAATTGACTAATTCATCTTCCAATTCACTCGGTAATGTAGATTGTTTCCCAAGTTTTTGAGTGGTGATATCATTAAGTGATTTGATTTGGGTGTATGTTTTGGAAGCGTTCAAAAAGCCCATTTTCTTTTCTCGCGCATTTTTAATTGCTTCCGCCATTGCGTTTTTTATCCCATGCTTGCCTGGTCTTCTCTTTTGTTATAAAAGCCATTCTAGAACATAAAAATTAATTTTAAGCTACTCCATATTTAAAACGTGCCACTAGTCCATATTGTGATACTTATTCATTTTGAGATTTTTTTTTTCAGAAAATTGGAATATTATAGAATATTAAAACTTAATACAATTAATTGCAACGTGACTCACCTTCCTCGTGGTCTTATCCACTTTCACATAAAATAGTATTTTTTGGATTAAAAAACTTCCAAAGTTCGCTAGAAAATTAGATCGCGCGTTGCAGAAAACTAAAAACGCAGCACTAAAAGCAATAACAATAATATTATTGCAGTAGTGATGTGAAAATTGTCAATAATTTATCGCTTGCAATATATTTCACCGTGTGAAGACGCTTTTAGGACTCCATGGAGGAGCCGCCGAGCGAATTTAGTAAAGAGAGAATAGACCTTCGACTAAGTACGTATGCGGTTACCTTTGGATGGTCTGTTGGTTGTTTTAATTTGGGCGTTGTGGGTTTTGACGTTTAATACGGTGGTGAAGGAATCGTGTTGGAGAACCTTTTTGGGGACGTTGGTGGATTTATCCGTCATTAGATAGTGGTATTTCTTGGACGGTCGAGAGTCTTGGGGGTTTTTCCGTCGGCGTCGGTTTGATAATATGTTCAATTTGAGCGCGTTGATTGTACAGTCGGGGTCTTCGTTGCAATGAAGATGGAATTCTGGTAAAGTAATGTTCTTGTTGCGTTTGCAGCAATCTTGGCAATCCAGTAGTGTTTCTATTTGGGTTTTGGCGGGTTTTCTTGGGTATGTTGGGTTTCTCCGGGTTTTCGGGGTCGAAGAACAGGCGCATCTTTGGAAATTTGCACGATTGGTGGTCATTACTTTGATGTGGTTGTCGTTACATGACAATTATTACCAGCAATAATTGCGGTGAAGCCTATCAGTTCTTCTTCTTCGTAAATTATTGGCCTCAACCAGTAGGTCAAACAGACCTCAAACAAAAAGTGAACGAACGAATTGTAAAGCACTCTAAAAAACTATTATGGCGTTTTTCATTGGTAAAATAGTGCGCACTGAAAGTGCACTCAAAGCAAAATTTTTGTTTCATTTGGTGGACTGTGCGACTGTTTTGATTACCAAAAGTGTTTTTTTGTTGCCAAATTGCCAATGGAAATCAAAGCACCCGCACAGTCCACCAAATAAAACAAAAATTTTGCTGTGAGTGCAGTTTCAGTATGCACTCTTTTACCAATGGAAAACGCCATTAGGTACATATGTCAACTGTCAAGCGGACGTTTTTGATTTGAAATACTCGCGTATAGATTATTGAGATATATTCGATAGTTGCAAAAAAGAAAATAAAAAAATATGCCAAGTGATAATGAAGAATTGAGTCAGCTGGCGAAAATTCAAGCGGACCGCCGGGAAACCTTAAGGAGGTATTTTTTGAGGGAAAAATCGAATCCCTTCACGCACATGAAGGGCGATGGCGGTACATTGGTGAGTTATTCTCTTGTTCGATAATCTTTTAGAATTATATCTTAGAACATTATACCTTATCTTTACCTAAGAATTATTGGTCCAGAACAATTTAGAGTGTTTCAGGATGGATTAGAACTGTTTAGATCAGTTTAGAATGCTTCGGAATGTATTAGAACTGGTCCAGGACAATTTGAAACTCTTCAGTATGAACCAGATCTATTTAGAATCAATTTTAAACATCATATTATATCATAGACACTATAAACATTTCACTTAATACATCTATAGGTAAGTGCAAAAGTGTTTGCATTATTCTTTGAGTTGAACAAAGAAAGATTATTAAAATACCGGTGGTTAGAATAAAAAAGTTGTAATCCGACAATATCGCCCTTTCTTTTTCCTATATGAGAGACTAACGGAAGTTGTCTTTGTTGCACAAATATTGTGTAAAACATTTGCATTTACTAAACATATTACAGCTACACAATAAGGACACTAAAAAAACAACACGTTTATTATTATAACAACACTATATTTAAACTGCTTTACCCAAATTTGCAAGTGTCTGTAGGTATGTATTTTGGTGGTCTTTTACTATACATATTACAGCTACACAATAAGGAAACTAAAAAACAACACTTTTCATTAAAGTACATTTAATGCATATAGAAAAATACAATTAATACATTATTACAACGGTTTCAAACCAGAGGATAACTCGCTTTGACGGCGATACCGCATTGATTGTTATTTTCTTTAGCGATTTTGATGTAACCCCCGATGCCCCATTGGGGCCCGTACGAGTTCTTGACCAGCCAGTACTTCCTGCCATCGGGCTCGGTTCCATAACCGACGATCAAGACGGCGTGGTTCAATTGCTCTGGGGCGTTGGCGCATTCGGGATCGTCGTAGATTCCTCCCGAATAGAATTGGAATGTTTCTTTGGTGGCATCGATGGCGGCCGTGACGGGGCCCAACGTGGCCAAGGCGATTTCCAAGGATTTCTCGTCGTTGGCCGGGATCTCCACGAATCCTGTTTGGATGAAGCGATAGAGATTATTTTTTAGATGGATTTAAATGTAGGTGTGGTTTTGATAAAGGGTGAAAAGGGTTTAATGCGGTTTTCAAGCGGTTTAAGAGCGGATTTAGGGAGGTTTTGATGCAGTATTAGAGCGGCTGTGAGAGGGTAAAAAGGGTTTGAAGCGGTTTTGATGCGGTTTGAGAGTGGTTTTAATGCAGTATGATAGCGGTTTTGAAGCGGATTTAGAGCAGATTGACAGCGTTTGTGGTCGGTTTTAGGGGGGTTTAAATTGGTTTTACAGCAGTTTTTATACGGTTTTGAAGCGGGTTTCATGTGGTTTTTTTTTCGAGCGGTTTGAGGGCGGTTTTGAAGAGTTAACAGCTTGAGAGCGTTTGTGAGTAGTTTTGATACGGTTTTCAACCGACTTTTGAGCGTTTTAAGAACATTCGTGAGCGGTTTTAAAGCGGTTTTAAAGCGGAAAGAAAGGGGGTTTGATGCAGTTCTAGAGCAGTTTTGGTGTGGTTTTAGAGCGGTTCTAAAGCTGTTCGGCGGCGGTTTTAAAACGCTTTTGAAGCGACATTTTGTTCCAAAAATATTTAGCTACAATGGTGTGACTATAATGTAGTTATTTTTCATTTAAAACGATAATTTAAAAAAACTAATCGACCTATTTGCTTATTTACATTTTTTATTTCGGATAAATTAGCCTCAAACTTGTGCTAATCTGCATGCTAATTTGAATTACCTAAAGTATAATTTCACTTTTGCAAAAAATAATTAATTAATCACACGGTAAATCAATAAATCAAACATTTCTTCCGGTTACATTACGTAACGAATGGCAGTAGTTTTTTTACCTCTCGGGGATTCCCAAATATTTAATGATAAATCGTTATATTTTTATATGGCAAGAAATTTGGGGCGTCTACTAGGGTAATCCAGAATGTAAGTTCTGTTTGTTAATTTAAAAAATTATTATTATTATTTAAAAATTATAATCTACGATTCTTTTAAGCTACATTTCTACATATGTCCAGAAATTTTCCGGGCATTTTTCAGTGCGTGAAACAAGTTTTTGTAAGCGATCCTCATAGAAGGTTACCGCCTGTGTTTTTTTTTTCAAATTGCAATGTATTAGTAAAAATTTCATAACAACTACAAGTAGTTATCAAGAGATTTGTGGAAATTATAGAAACATCATGTATTGTGAACTTACGGTTTTCATTAATCTTCACTTCGACTTATGTCACGCTCTGAAAAATATACCCGGAAAATTTTGGAACCTATGTAGAAATGTAGCTTAAAAAATCGTAGCTTATTGTGCAATAATATTTTTCAATATCACTAACATGATTTTTTTCATTAAATTAACAAACTAAATTAACTTACTTTCTGGACGCCATTTTCTGGAAAACCATTTTTGCGAAATTCCTCTATTTCTATAAAGTTATTTTTATTGACCAACCTGTACAAGTAGCGACTACATCCTCTCTCTTGAACCTGCAGACGTCCGTTTTCCCCTCGAACGGGTAGGATTCTTCCGAATCTACTCCATCGTTATCTCTGACGTATTCAAAAGCGGGATCCATTAGACCGCCATCGCATCCGTTATTTCCGTACCGTTGCGTACAATCTATCAAATTCTGAGCGCTCACATCCACTAGATCCCCGGTCTTTCTAAAATGGTGACCCTCCAGAGCTCCGGCCTGCGCTCGATAAAACGAAAAAATAACGGTTATTTTCTTATAGTCGTTACTGCACCTCTACTCTTAAAAAAACGATTCCCACCTCTATTAAACTTCTTATATCGTTTGTTCCATTTCCGATTGCAACATGGTCATTTCTATGAGTGGAACAAAGAAAGATTAATAAAATAACAGTTGTCAGAGTGAAAAGTTGCAATGACACAAATGTCATTCTTTCCTTTTCCTTTATAAGTGTCTAATGGAAGTTGTCTTTATCTCACCTATGGTCTATATAACCTATGTTGCGATCAAAAATGGAGCAACCTGTATATACGAAATGTCATTAGTGTCAATTTTTACGGATTTTTGATTAAATGTATCATCGTATGCATCTTTTAAAGTTATTCGCGTAAAATTAAAAAAAATGTAATTTATATAATTTATAGTAGAGTAGGGTATAAGAGTATAGATTAGATAGAAAATGAGTTAAGTAGAATAGTAGTAGGGAGCAGAGTAGAATAGTTTTCGTGAGTAGAGAAGATTGAGAATAGAGTTGAATAGAGCAAAATAATCGTGAGAACGATATTTAAAAAATAACGGTTATTTTGTAGCAATCGTTGCTGAATATCTATACTGAAAAAAATTGATTCCCACCTCCAATAAACTCCTGTCATACTGTCACGTTTAAAGGTGTTGGTTGTCCAACCCTTCGTTTCTTGCCAAGCTAGGGGGTCTAGGTTTACGAACCCACAGTGCTGGGATGGGAATAACTCGACGTAGTAGACAACAATAACAACTTTATTCACTTACAACAACTGGCTTACTTATAGCAGTCCTTACAATAATCCCTTAGCGGTTGGGGCTTTGTCACGGAGTCTACCCCTCTCGTACTCCCGACTCTTGGGAGTCCCTTGGACCCTCCACTGGAGTCCCCGGACTCCCCTACGGGACCTTACCAGTCCCCTTACTGGAGTTCAACTGACTCCCTCGCTGGAGCTCAACTGACCCCCGAGCCAGGTCAACCCACCGCTTATAAAGCAGTTGCCCGCGTCGACTTTGCTTCCGCTTTACCGTGGAGCAAGGTCGATGCGTGCTTCTGCAGCACGTACGAATATCCGTGCTTCGCTACCCAATACTTGACGGTTGGTTGACCCTTACCGGGGTGCCACCAGTGGCGCTACCCAATCGTGACAATACAAAACGTTATTAATGTCATTTTTGACGTTAATATATCATCGAACGCATCTTAAAGTCCTACTTGCTCTCGTACAATGCGAAAAATAATGAATAATTTATCGTATACTAGTATTAGAAGGTAGAAAAAGTATATTAGGATAGAGAATAACTAAAACGTTCGTATGGAAATATACTCGTACGTACAGCGGCGAACGCCCAACATCCTGAACAAAGTAGTTGGTTTTTGACGGACGTGACGGCGCCCACTTCTCTCCAATCGACGCTGGTTGGAAAAACGACGTTGGCGCTGGGCAAAAAGGCCGACTGCCGTTGGAGCTTCGCCGTCGGCGTCGTTCGGCTGCGATTGAAGCCGCAGAAGCGAACGTTGAACTCGTGCAGTAACAGATCCCCGTAGGGATTCATCTTGTGCACGTAGTTCCTCTTGCCTTCGGCGTAGTCGGCGTTCAGTCTGCTGATCCTGGCCCTGTTTTCGATGAAGGCCTCCCGGCGGAAGCGCCGCTCCTCGTCGTCGGCGTACACTTTGTTGTATTGCGTCTGAAACAGGTGGAAAAAATTTGTTCAGCAGGAATCAATATGAAAGTTGAGTAAGTGCAATCGAGGATGAGTAGATAACTGGAGGATATGTGGACAACTGGAGGGTGACAAACTGGAGGATAAGCAACTGGAGGGCGAAAAACTGGAGGATGAGTAATGGAATATAAGTAACTAGAGGATGAGTATAACTGGAGGTTGAGAAACTGGTATATGTAGATGAGTAACTGGATCATGAGTAACTGAAGGATGAGTTTAACTGGAGGATGAGTGTAACTGCAGGGTGAGTCACTGGAAAATGAGTAACTGGATGATGAGTATCTCGATGGCGAATAACTGGAGTCTGGATGGGACTTACCATGAATTTATTCCATTCCCTCTCTATTGTTTGTTCGTAATCGTCGAAACTTTGGGATTTTTCTTCGGCTGGATATTGTTCAATTGGCGTGTGTCCACCATGGAAATTTTCTTGTTCGACTGCTTCATGCCCATCATGGAAATTTTCTTGTCCAACTGCTTCATGTCCACCATGGAAATTTTCTTGTTCAAATGTTTTATGTCCACCATGGAATATTTCTTGTTCAATTCCCGCATGTCCACCATGGAATATTTCTTGTTCAATTCCCGCACGTCCACGATGGAAATTTTCCTGTCCAATAACATCGCCGTGGAAATTTTCTTGTTCGATTTTCTTGTGTTGCGCCGCGAATCCCCTAAAATGGTGTTCTCGTTGTTGCTCTTCTCCTAAAGTCTTATCGAAGAATTTTCCTGCGTCCAATGACACCGAACTGTCGACGATGGGAAACGAATTGGGACGCGGGAAATTCGGATAATTTTGCGCACGCGCGCTGACCACAAGCAGCGCCAACGCGATGACAGAATTTGTTGCTTGTCTCATGGTCGCTAAAACAAAAAATCCGCGATAAATTTGAAAGTCCGAACATGAAATTTTAGCATAATGAAGATGAATAGATAATGAGATTGTAGGCGTATAAACTCGACATTATTTTGTCGATTTCCTTTAACTTATTTTGTTATGTAAAATTTATGAAGATGAGGAGATTTATGAAATTTATGAAACTAATTTTATCGTAAAAACAACTATCCGGTTTGATTTATCGATGTGTTTTTTATTATGCAAATGAATATTATTATGCAAATTGATCTCTTCGAGTACAATACAGTTTGAATTAAATAAATGATTGGCACTAATGTTGCATTATTTACATTACTTTTAGTGCAAATTTTTTTAAGAATTGAAAATGTAATTCCTTGAACTATAATTGAGCATTCATCATTTAATAGCAAAATGATTCCCTTAAGTACGTAATTTTCAAGTAATATAGATAAAGGCATTTGTTGATCACGTTTTTATTTAATTACTTAATTACACGATGTGACACAAATTTTGTAATACAAATAATGTTACGTTAAGTGTGGAAAACATTACAATCCCACGATATCATGACTCTCTAGAATCATTTAGATTGCTCTAGGGCAAATCAGAATTGTATAGGACCCTCTAGAATAATTTAGAACCATTCAGAACGATTTAGAATGCTTCTAAATAAATTAGAACTTTATATATAACTTTATATTTATATCACTTCAGGACGAATCAGAATTGTCCAAAACCATTTACTACTATCTAGAATTATTTAGGGTAGCTATTTGATATTGCTATCAATGGAGAGCCCTTGAAAAATTATTGGATACGTGTTTTTTCAATTTTTCATTTGGACCTTAATATGGAAAATCGACCTTTTCCACACTTTTTGGACACCTTGTAAATACCAAATATTATTTAAATTGGATAAGTAGTTTGTCATCATTTCAAATTTTCAACTCCATAATATTTGAGGCAGGTTTTTATTCCAAGAGCAACCTTTTCTAATTATAATTGTGAAATTTGCGTTACGCAATGTTTTAACTGAATATATGTAAATTTATATCATTAAATTATTATCCAAAGAGGATTTTGAGAATAATTAGAGACTCATCATTTTCAAAACTGGTTTTTATATGGGCACCAAAATCATTAGGTACATTTACAACACTATGTGACAATTTATTTTTTGTTTTCAAAAACATGTATTTAAATAACTCATCTAAGCTCGAAATGATTCTGGAAAGTTTTAAATTATTCTGGAAATTTCTAAATGATTTTGGAGAATTTTAAATGATTCTACGCAGCTTTAGTTAGTTAACAAGCGTTATAAGTCATTCTAGACCGTTCAAAATCATTCTGGACAATTCTAAATTGTTCTAGACAGCTTTAAATGGATATCGACAATTTTATTTTGATTCGTCCTGGAGCAATCCAATTGATTCTGGACAGTTCTAAATTATTTAAAATAGTTCTGATTCGTTGAGAAGCGTTCTAAATCATTACTGACTGCACTTCTAAATAATTCTGGACAATTCTAAATTGTTCTAAACAGTTCTATATCTTTGAGAAGCGCCCTAAATCTTTCTAGAGAGTTATACATCATTCTGAACAGTTCTAATTCATTTTAGACAGTTCTAACATGGTTATCGACCATTTTGATTCGTGATGAAGTAGGTAATCTAAAAGATTCTGGAGATTTATGATATTGTGCTAGGATTGTAACTTTTATGACTAACCACTGTTATTTTAAAAATAATGATTAAAAGGACCATAACTAAAAAATGTAAGGTGTGTTAGATATCCATATATCATTAGGCCATTTTATTTATAATTAAATCAATAATTAAATATAATTATGTAATATTATTTTTGTAATGAAAATTGTGTCACACGTTGTAATTAATATTTAATTGAATGGCCATTTTTTCAGCTTTTCCGTACCTACACCAGTTCATTACTGCAAGTATAGATTCTCAAAGATTTTAAAGCTTTATTATTATTTAAACTCTTTGAATCAGTACTATACTAGTTAATAAAACTCACCTCTAATTTAATTTAAATTAACTTAATTAAACGAATCTCTCCCGAATATCTTCGTCCCGCGCGCGTATTTTTCGACAGCCGAAGCGACACTGGCCGATTACGAAAATAAATTATTAATTTGTATAATGTATTCTCAATGTTAATAATAAATGGCCCGAGGCTCGGTTATTCTAAGAGTCAGAAGATGATGAGATTATATCGAGAATAAAAAAACTTGAAGAGGATATGAAAGTGAAAACGAATTATCGCCCGGTGAAATACCCGCTGTAATTAAGAGTAGATTAAGAGTGTACCTACGTATAGTTGACGTGTGGTGAAAATTTTATTTTTAATAATATGATTTTGACCGGTGTACAGGTTGTCTCATTAAAAGAAATATTAAGATTGTAGACATCTACGTAAATACGGCAACGTTCTGTCATCGCAACGTTGCCAGTAAGGTCTAATAGCTATTTTGTGTTGTTATGCATTTTTTGCAAGATTTTTCAATTTTTCAAGAAGAAAAATAAAAAAATTCATTTACTTCTCTACATTTGAATTTATCAATGAAAAATTTGGTCTCTTAGTTGTAATGTCTTTGGTAATTCGTAGTAAAAAATAGGGTGCATGTCTTATTTAAAATAACAAAGTTACATTCGGTCATCTTTGAAAATAGTTTAGTTAAAAAGAGTTTTAACTTGTCGTGGGACATCCTGTAGAAACCTATTAGATGTATAAAAAGTAGTTAACTCATCTTCACGAATTGAATGTTAAAATCAAGGCGACTTGTTTCGAATGTTACGCGCCATCTTCAGGACGAATTAATGTAAAATTAATTTAAAAAAATATTTTCTGACGCTTTCCTGTTATTTTTTATGTTTTTTATCCTTATAATAATATTCTTCGTGTTATTCATTATCTTTTTTACCTATAACTGAAAATGCTCCAAATGTCAATCATGTAGAATAATGTAGGTTTTAAAATGAAAGATGAGAATAAGGAGATACAACTTTTCCCAATCACATATAATGATTCAACAGAAATGTAATTCAAAAGAAATTTTTTACCTAATTGCCGAAAGTGCAGAACAAAAAAATGTAACAGTACTACAGTAATTTTGATTAATTCTTAAAATTCTTTTTTATTAATTTGTCGTTGAGTTCTGTCAAGGATACTCGTTTTGTGCAGGATCCCAATAAATGAATGTAACAACTTAATTTAATACTCATGACACGCATTTATTATTAAGGTTGATCCCTTGATACGAGTCGTGTTCGTAGATGCACGAATAAAATAAAATGTTGGTCCTTGACAGAAAAAAATCACCTTTCTTTACAGGAACTATAACAATGGATATTGTTGAAAGAATCAATAGGTAGGTACATTTATTTTTATCATAGTCATCAACATTAATCGATATTAGGTAGGTATATTAGTTTTTTCGTGATCCAGCAAAATATCAGAGGACAAAATAGGCCAAAAACAAAATTGCCTGAGATAAAACAGTTCCGGTAAAATTAAAAGCAAGCATTATACTGGTATATTTAATCTGATTCATAATAAACCATTCTGGATAGTTCAAAATTGTTATAGATTCTGATCAGTTCTAGAAAGTTCCAAATCGACCTGGATATTTGTAACTCATTCTATACAGTTATAAAAGGTACTGGACAATTTTAATTCTTCCTGAAGGAATCTAAATGATTCTGGACAGTTCTAAATATTTCTAGATCAGTTTTAGACAGTTTTAATTCGTTCTATAGACAGTTGGGTAAATCATTCTAGACAATTCTTAATGGTTCTTTGCAATTTTGATTCTTCCTGAAGCAATCAAATTAATCTGGACAGTTCTAAATCGTTCTAGATAGTTTTAATCACTTTTAGACCTTTCTAATTTGTTTTGAACAGTTGCGAATCATTCAAGATCAGTTATAAAAGGTACTCGGCAATTTTGATTACTCCTGAAGCAATCTAAATGATTCCTGAGCTGTCATAAATTATCCTAGATAGTTCTAATTAGTTCTAGAGACGTGAATCATTCTTGAAATTTTCTCTTGGACGATTTTGTCTTTGGCGATACATTTGAGCATAATAGATGATTTTTTTTTCCAGTTCGATCCCGCCGTAATGAGATTTGAAGCCATGAAAAATTACCAAAGGGAATACTTCAAACCCTCTCCGAGAACAGTAACAGGCGGGCTCGGTTTTTTGTCAGTTTTGGTAGCCACTTGGTTTCTGGTATACAAAACTAAAAACGACAAAGAGGCGAAATACCGACGAGGAGAGGTCGCGTACGAATGCAGAAAAGTTAAAATGTCTTAAGAATTTTAATTTGTAGTAGACAATGAGGAATTAAATTGGTTACAATATTAGCACAAAATTTAATAAAATTTGTATACAGAACGTGGGTATACAGTGTGTGTGACGACGATGGCCCATTAAAAGTGTCTGGAAAAGTGGTAGTAATTAAAATTTGAATATTTGTGTACAAGTATTAGTCGATGCGCTCTATTCAATGAAAATATTTTCAACTTTTCCTTATCGGTTATACCGGAAGTGGACAGCAACTTTGTTATTTTAAATGGGACACCCTATACAGGGTGTTAATAAATGCCGATACTTCAGGATGTGAATTTGAATGATTTTAAGAAGAAAAGTTTATATTAATGTATGTCCTAAACCTCTTAGCTTTCGAGTTACAGGGTGCTAAAATTAAAAAAAAAACTTTTCTATCATAATTTTCTTATTAGATACTCCAGATATTTTTATGAAATATACAGAGTGTCACTTAAATGATGACTTTAATTTCAGGGAGCGATTCCTTGTCATATTTTATGAAGAAAAGTTCTTATAAACGTGTGTCCTAATTTGCTTCGTTTCCGAGTAACGGGGTGTTAAATGTTTAATATCAGTCAGGTAACCCTCTGCACTGGAATTAAAATTCAAAATCTAATTTCGTGACAAGAAGCCCCTTATTACTGTTAACAAACACACTAAGTTTAAGCAAAATAAGCGAAGAGAATTTTTAGTAATTTATGAAAAACCGACTACTTCATTAAACATTTAACACCCCGTTACTCGGAAACAAAGCAAATTAGGACACACGTTTATATGAACTTTTCTTCATAAAATATGACAAGGAATCGCTCCCTGAAATTAAAGTCATCATTTAAGTGACACCCTGTATAACGGATATATAACGGAAGAATATAGAATTTATTCGTAATTCGTAGATATAAATTTAGTTCTAGTATGCAGTATGCGATTGTAGATATAGAACATGTAAGTACATAATTGATATGTCTTTTGCTGTAAATTACGTAATTAAATAAAAGACCATACAAACAAATGCATGGTAAGTCATGCAATATAATCGTCAAATTTAAACAGGCAAATGTTAGTAGTTCGTATAAGAAACATGAACGCAACAACAAAAGTTGTTATTATCTGTTTTTTATCATCGGTCAAATGCGAATTAGACTTTTCACAGAAATCGATAGACATGAATCTATCGCTAACAAGGTGTATTCTTCGTGCAACTCGCCAGTTTCACAAATTTGATGATACTGTTTACATTCGTCCCGTAACTGATGAATCGAATCCGTCAGTTGATGAATTGGATGTGATTTTATTACCGGCACTAAGTCGATCTAATAAAACGATTCGAATACTGACCAATTCCACACACTCGCGGAACGCTGTTGAGCAGAAACCTGGAGCAATTCTAGTGCATTTTTTGGAGAAGGAAGATTTGAACGTGCAACTTGCACTGTTAAAAAAGAAATGGATGTTAAATCGCCACGGAAAATTTCTCTTCATTTCCACAACGATTTTTAACGATTCTTTCGACATTGCCAGCTATTTCTTTGACATCCTGTGGAAGGAGAATATCCTAAATTTTTACATTTTACTTGCCCGTCCAGATCGGGATGCAGCGTTTTCCGTTTTCTCCTGGGATCCGTACGCAAACGGCAAATGCGGAAATCCCTTGGACAAAACCTTATACGACTGTGTATCGTGCACTTATGGAAAAACCGATAAACCGGTCAATTGGTTTACAAAGAAAATACATAAAAACTGTCCAATCCACGTTAAATACATTAACAATCCCCCGTACGTCATGGAAATGAACAGTCTGCAAGGTCTAGATGTAGACATATTATCGATAATAGGGGAAAAGTTAAAGCTCAATTTCACATACGAAAAAGTTTCTGCCACTGAGGTAGGTTCCGTGAGCGAAAACAATCAATTTTCTGGTGTTTTCAGGGAATTGAGAAACGGCTCTGTGGATGTGATAATCGGCGGATATGCAAAGCAACTCTCCTATTTAAAATATTTCGATTTCAGTCAAGAATATACCGGAGACGCATTGATTTTATGCACTCCCGACGTACCATTGAAGACCTACGATGAGTACATGTCCCAGTTCATATCCTATCGATGCCTTATTTTAATTGCGATTATTCATACAATTATATCATTGTGGATGCGGTTGCTCAGCATAGACGAGTACAATTGTTACAAATCCTTTGGATGGATTTTATTTAATTTGATAAATATTGTAAGAGGCGCGAGTATATCGAAACCGCCGAAAACATTCAGAATTAGGTATTTCTTTATAAATTATATCGTGTTCTCTTACCTTTTAACAAGCATTATTAACAGTTATCTAATTAGTTATTCGACAAGCGATGTTTACAATAGGAAATACAATTCTTTCGAAGATATAGACAAGGTGAAACTGAAAACTTACTATTTACATAGACATTTCGATATTCTAAAGTCGTTTACGACGCGAGAAGAGTTTATTCGAATTAATCAATATTGGCTGCCCTGTGAAAACTTGAAGTTTTGCTTAGAGGATGTAATCGAAAGACAGAAGGCCGCTATATGTCTCAACAACCTTTTCAAAAAGTACATGGTTAAGAAAAACAATGTTGATCTTTATTGCTTCAAAAAGAATAGTACTCCATATTCGGTGAATATGATCATGAGACGTGGATTCCCTTTCAAAGAGCCATTTAAAAACATCATAAGAAGTATTCAGAGCGCGGGGTTTATAGCTAGATGGCATAAGTTTTTGGAAAAACGACAACGTAATACCAAAAAGAAAATTATTACAATATATCATTTAATACCAATTTTTCGATTGTATGGTGTAATGGTAATAATTTCCATTGTTGTATTTTTAATAGAATTGCTTTATACCAATAACAAAACAAAAAAAAATAATGTACATGGTGTTTCTGAAATAAGTGGTCAAACTTTGGGAGTAAGTAGAGAACTTGCAAATAAGACAAAAACTTAAATGTCATTTTAACGAAATGTCAAGTTTTTGAAAGAATTCATTCCTAGATTTTTAAAGATGGCAATATTTTTAATAATTTTGTGTATCAGAATTTTGAGTCATTTTTCGTGAAAACGGTTAATAACAAAGGACGATTAAATATAAAATGAGTGCAAAAACAAAACTATCAATTTTAAACACATTAAAATGCACACTGCTTTATTCTCTTTTTCATTCAATTTCCTTTTAAAATCATCTTTAGCTTCCTTAATATTAGAAAATAGTAACATATTGTTCACCTAATATAAGAACCAAAATTAACAACAATTCTAATGTTTTCTTGTAATAAACACAATGATCCCATTAAGATTGTTTAATTCATATATCCTTTAAAAATGTATCCAATTTCATTCCAAATTCGACTGGCTTGTTTTAATCGCCTACACGAGTTACACGTCAATCGAAACACTTCAGGAGAATATAGAGAGTAGAGAGAATAGAGTGTCGGTGAGAGGAATAGAGAGTAGAAACCTCAATGTATCTACTAAATTTTATTTACAATATAAAAATTCCTTCCAACAGTCTTACAACAAATTCGTATAAGCCAATGGACAAATTCAAAAAATAACATTCATTTAATTCTAAATAGTCTCAGCCCCGCCCAAAGACAACGGATTGGGACTGGGCGTCGAACTCATCGAGCTCAACGTGTCCTCCTTCGATTTCGCCTTGCTCGAATCCTTCGCGTCCCTCTTCTCCTTGTGCCTGTGCTCGTGCTTGTGCTTATGCTTGTGCTTGTGCCTCTTCTTGTCCTTTTTCTTCTTCTTCGCCTTGCCCGGCGAGTCGCTCTTGCGGCGCTCCTCTTCGCCGCGGAACATCCCCGGCTCGAAGCCGACGGGGCCGCTCTGGCCCAGGCCCGGCAGGGACACCGAATTGTCCGAGAAGTACTCCTGCTTCGCGATCGTCGGCGATTCCACCTTTATCTCCATCAGGTCCTCCTCCTAAACAAACACCGAACGCATTACACAACTGTATATACAGGGTAGCACATCAGTATGGAAAAGCTTTAAACTGCTTATATTAAAATTAGCCCTGTTAGGAATCCTGCTGTATTTTCGTGGTACTCACCTTGATGATTTTATCATCGCTGGCTACTACTTCAATGTCCATATCGACGGGTTCCATGATGACGGTTTGCGGGGCGGCATCTTTGGGGGCGGGCGAGGGTGTTCGAGTTTCGAAACGATCGACGGGAGGCGGCGCGATTTTCGGTATGGGCGGCAGCTTCGGTTTGTCCTTGGTTTTCTCCTGCTTGACGGGATTCAGGATGTCGCCCATGTTGATGGGCAGGCAAACGGGCCGTTTGGTGCCGAAGAGGACGTAGTAGAAGTCCACCAGGTCGCAGCGGAGCCTCGTATCGTGCGATAACAAACAGCTAAAAAAACAATCAAAACGGATCGTTTTCAATTAATAAAATTATAGAACGGTTTAAAATCGATTCCGTTTACTTTATATCGATCCATATACGTTCGATGAGGTCGGGCACGTCCAATCTGCTTCTGTGGGCTCGTTTGAACGGAGGGTTTTTAATCAACAAACCGGCTAGTTTGTGCTTTAATCCCGGATCGGGATCGTTTTCTACTATGTCCAAGACGAATTGTAAATCTTCGTATTTCCCGTCGTTTTTGACGAAATCTATCAGACATTCGAGGGCCGCCAAACGCACGTCTACAAAATAGATATTCTCGATTTAACTTAAATGTATACAGCCCTAGTTCGTTGGGATAATAATTATGTTCTAAATGATTCTGGAGCGTTCTAAGTGATTATGGAACGTTCTAAATGGTTCTAGACAGTTCTAAATAATTCTGGAGCGTTCTAAATGGTTCTAGACAGTTTTAAATGATTCTTGAGCGTTTTAAATGGTTCCAGTTCTAATGGTTCACGTCTACAAAATAAACATTCTCGATTAAACTTAAATTTATACAGCCCTAGCTCGTTGATAATAATTCTGTATAGATTAGTGCAAGAGAGCGCATAGTGTAACACAGCTCGAGAAAAAAAGAGATAACGATAACCGAACTTGTACTTGGTATAAATAAAAATGCTTACCTATGAAATGCCCGTAGGCCGAATAACTCTTAAACAACGTCGGCCTGCTAGGTAAATGACCGAACTTTTGCAATTTCCTGATGGCTTTCAAGCAAGCCACGGAGACCGTGTATTTATAACAGGGCAAGGCTTTCTCCAGATTCAACAGCCTGGTGATTTCCTCCAAAATCAACTTGGTATCGGCGCTGAGGTTCTCCGCCGTGATGGGAGTCCCCTGCGCCACAACGGACACCACCGGCGTAACCGTATGGCCCAAGGCCTCGACCAACGAGGCCCTGTAGTAGTTATCCGAATGCCGGTTCTTCGAATTGTCGTTGTATTTGAAGAGATCTAAGAGAAACCGGACGACCTCCGGCGGGCAAATGCCGTGCGAATTCCTCAGCCCCGCCATCGCCAGCGGTATCGTTTTCTGCAGATAGTAGTGCTGGAAATTCTGGAAATTATTCTGGCGTATTATGTGCGGGGCGGCGAAGGAGCCGAAGAACTTGCGGAATATGGCCAGCATGGCGGGCGGACCGGCCCAATTCGCTACCATCGCGTTCGCCACCTACAACAACGATAGATACGAAATAAGAATAAATTGGAAAAATCCCGAACCAGTCATTTATAAATACAAAAATTTTTGACGCCAACATTTAAAAGTATCGGTCACTTATTAAGTAAACGAGGTAGAAAAAGTAAGATAGAAAAATAGAGGTAACATGGCGGAACCAATCAGGCTCCTTGAGCGTAGGCAAATATGTTATAATTAAGAATTTAATTATATTAAGAATTGTTAGGGTAAAAATATAACATTATTTAATATTACGTATGAAAATTTTGTTGATATTGTATGAAAAAACAGTGACAACTGCTTCCCGGTTTCCCGCTACAGTTCTCTGATCTCCCTTTAGTTGAAATCGTCTACAAATTTTACTACGAGCGGTAGTACACCGTTGCCAAATTTGTAAGAGTTTATCCATTTCAGTAATTTTGAAATATACAGACTGCTCCATTTTTCATTGCAACATAGGATGTGGGTGCAACAAAGACAACTTCAATTAGACACTTAAAAAGGAAAGGAAAGAGTGATATTATGTCATTGCAACTTTTTCACTCTGACAACTGTTATTTTAATAATCTTTCTTTGTTCAACTCATAGAAATGCCCATGTTGCAATCGCGAATGAAGCACAGTGTATAACTCATCACATTTTGAAACTATACAGGGTGTCTCATAAGTTTCTTTTTCAAGTAATTTTTTTTAATATTCTGGAAAATAAGAGAGCATGTTTTTTTCAATTTTTAATTATTAAAAAGTTAGTTAATACGGCCCTGTTCATTAAAAGTTAAAGGAACTGCTCAAAATTGTCGCCATTTTGATTGTTTGTCATTATTTCTTATTTTTTGACACCTCTATGGTAATGGCAGGTACGTATTGGAAAATATTCGAAATTTAAAAATTTTCTATCTTTTTTATTTTCCAGAATATTAAAAAAAATACTTGAATAAGTTGCTTAGAATTAAAAGATCTATACGCAGTTAAAAAAAAAGTATCGACTTATGAGACACTCTGTATATCTATGAAAAAATCGTGGAAAATACAGGGGAAAAACCGGACCTTAGTCAAGCAATGGGCGGCCCTGCAGCGCACTTTGTAATAGCACTGCTCGTTCTCGATGGTATCGGTGAGGGCGAGACGGGTGGGCGGCGTCGGGTACCGTTCCAGCGCCAGGATCGCCTCGATTTGAGCGGTGACGTCGCGTTCGTGCCTCAGCTGGTACTGCCATTGGTAGTCCGGTTGTTCTATCACGACCGATCGCAGCAGCGTCATCTCCGGATCCAGACGGATCCAAAGCACCGGAGAATCGCTACGGACATTCCATCAGTCAGAGAATTCGATAGGGACGTTTCCGAAGTTCCGGGAATCGTGCTCTAATTAACTTCCGTAACGATTTTTTTTATTTTGTTTCATGAAAATTTAGCTCATTTTATTGAAGATTATAAAGTATCAGCGTAAAATTCCACTCCCTACCCTCCCAAAAAAATTATTTAACTATATAATATGCAAAACATTTTTGAATGTGTGTATATATTCTAAATTACCATTTTAATTCGATTACGGAAGCTAATTAAATTGAGATGTTACTGGTGACAGACAAGTCTTGTATATCCAGTACAACATTGTTCAGTATGATTCGAGTCTTCGTTATTTTTGTATCTGTGCTATAAAATCTCAAATAGAGCGCGATTCCCGGAACTTTGGCAACTTCGCTCTCGTAAGATAAAAGCGTTACTCCATCGCGCTGAGATCCATATCGACCTCTTCGCCCGTGCACAGAGGAATCTTTTTCTTCTTGTTCCGTCTGCTCTTCGAATGACAGGTTATATCGGCTTTAACAACGGTATTTTCGATTTGTAAATTGTGCTTGAACGTGCCGTCTAATTCCTGCAGGGTCACCAGAAGGGGTCCCACGTACTTTCTGATTCCCAACGAAGTGGTCGCGTCTTGTCTGATTTCCAATTCAATAGTATTTCTAAAAAAGGGACGTACGATTATCGACACTATTCTGAACAGTTCTGAATCAATCCTAGACTGTTCTAAAATATCGTTACCTTTTTCTGTTGAATACTGATGTTAGATGGAATTTGGCGTGCCCGCCGGTCCTGACCCATTGGTCTATAAATACCGCCATATCTTTGCCTGTTACGGTGAAAATGGCTTTAGTGAAAACGTTTGTGCTGATTAACATGTGTCCCCACAAGCCGCTGCCGATTTTCTGTTGAGCCGCGTTCGTCGCCAAAGACAGTTGTTTGTTGAAAACCTTAAAAAAATAATAAGTTGGTTGGATATTACAGGTTTTTTTGTGGACGTACCTGTAGCAGTAATTCTAATCCGATTCTGTGTTCCAACATTCTCAAAACCAACAGCGCTTTCTTGTAAGAGGCCTCGATGTACATGGGAGACATCGTGTGTAGATTTCTTATGGAAAAATAGAATTTTTCTTCGTTGGTTTTTTGCGTGTTTTGCGCGACCGAAGAACCGACTGGTAAAGGGGCGGGAGGTTGACTAGGATCTAAAATTTACTATAATCTTGCAATTCAATTCCAATGTAATTGAAATACTCACCTAAAACGATTCCTCCGAACTCTTCTTCGTATTTAACGACATCGAACAATGTACTTTGCACCCATTCCCTGTACTCGTTGTTTCCGAAGCTCTTTTTACAGTACAACCCGCACAAATATTGACTTATACCTTTGTTTAACCACATATCCGACCAGTTTTGCATGGATATAAAGCAACCGAAAAATTGCTCGGCTATCGCTTGGGCCATAACTCTACGTGTGGTATACACTTGATCTACAACACAATACAATATAATTTAAATCACCAGTTGTTTAATGCTAGGTGTCCATTTAAGAGAAAAACTCTCGAGAGCAGCTCCAGAGAGTAGTTCTAAATTTATCGGCTTATTTATAATAATTTTAGACTCTTTGTAATTTTCGAGAGTTGCTCTCGGGAAAACTCTCAAATGGACAAGTAGCATAATACCTACGCACCAACAATAACAGCCGAATGCAACAAATTCACGCTTAATATGCTCATCGTAGCGTACGATCTGTAATCTTCGTGGGTCTCATCGACAAACACTTGTTTGTAGCAAGAATATGGGTATCTATTCGACAGGGTTTCCTCGTAGAATTCGAAAGCCTCGTGCATATATCTAGTGGTAACTTTCAATAAGGGTAGTAAACTCGGTAGGCAGAAGTGGGTGACTTCGTGCATGTAAGGATCCACGTAGATTTCGAAAGGCCCCACGGCTAGCGATATATTAGGGGCGCACGTAGGCACGTTCAGGGTATAGTGATAGGTTTTCCTGCGCATATCCGGAGTGAAAACCACCTCGATGAGGTCTCCGTTCGATATGGCCGTTAGTTTTTCGTCTACTGTAAATTCCAATTTCCATGTGCACGTTTCCGCGAAGCTATCCACGCAAGGGAACCACAATCTCGACGAATTTTGGTGGCCGTAGGTGAACAAATGGACGCCTCTCTACAAACAATTACTACTAATATCTATTACGTATAATTTGAAGCCATTATTAAGAACCTCCGCGTAGGTTCCCTCCTTCTGCGGTACGACGAAATGTATTCCCCCTTGGGGATTCTCCAGAGAGAATTCGATCCCTACTCTCAATGCAGTGCCTTCTGCCACTAGATGGGAAGCTTCCGGAGGTATCGTGACCACTAATTCTCCGGAATTGTTATCGGGATCCGTTCGTAGAGCGGCTGATAGGTGGTGCTGGGAGTAAGCTTCTAAACTCCTTCTAACAGAGAAATTATCAATTACCTCTTGGGAATTTAAGGTGTTTGATAAACTTACGTATCCGTGTCGGCTTGACACACGTCCAAAAAGGGATCGAAATACTGAAAATGAGCTTCGTAGGAATCGTTTAGTGTAGCTCGATATATCCTGCATTGTTTCGCATTTAACTTTAATATCCGTAAGTTATCTCGTAGAGGAACAACAGTTAATTCGACGAATCCCTAAAATGTTTGTGATAATTATTCCTATCGAAACCTACACGAGACTACAACTTACGATTATACTTTTTCGTTCGAAACTGATGCCGGTTAAACTTACAATTTGATGGGCTGTAATGAAACGAAATAAGATAAGTTTTAAAATAGCTTCAATGGGGTTACATATGAGTATATTGTGTGAAATACTTATAATTTAAAAGGTCTACAAGTGTCTCCCGTTCTTTCGCGTTCCTTCTTCATTTCCGGCTGGAGTCTTACGGGTTAATTAAGGAAATTATTTTATATTCGCCTATAACTATCCATTTATATGTTTCAGCTTATAAAAGATTATTCATTTAATTCAAGAAATAAAACAAAGTTTAAAATCGAACCAACATAAACATAGGAAACCGACATTAATGACATTGGCAAGAATGACATGTGACAGATGATAGGTTCAAAACATTTGGCCTTGATATATGTTGTTCATTTAACAATCGATGAGCGGTTCTTATGCAACCAGGAATACAAATTAAATACAAATTAAAATACAGGGTGTCGAAAATTCAGGCTACAAACTCCGGGGGGTTGTAGGGGGCATAGACAACATACATGGTAGGGGGTGGTTAGTCAAGCATTTTAAAGATAGGAATTTGGGGTTGCCCTCGTCTCCTAGCGGCGCTAAGCGTTGTCAAAGATGCTTCCGTCCAAACTCAATAACATTTTAATTGCCGTTGCATGTAAATAATGTGGAAAACGTTGATGATAAAACAGTTATTTCAATGATACAATAAATAAAAAAGAATTAAAAAAAGGGGGGGCAACGACACGCGGTATTCCCAAGCGGTCACCCATCCAAGTACTAACCGCGCCCAATAATGCTTAGCTGCAGTGATCGGACGAGAACTGGCGTATTCATTGTGGTATGGCCGTTGCCTGTAAATAATGTGGTAATCGTTGATGATAAAACAATTATTTCAATAATACAATAAATAAAAAGAATAAAAAAAAGGGGGGCAACGACACGCGGTATTCCCAAGCGGTCACCCATCCAAGTACTAACCGCGCCCAATAATGCTTAGCTGCAGTGATCGGACGAGAACTGGCGTATTCATTGTGGTATGGCCGTTGCCTGCAAATAATGTGGTAATCGTTGATGATAAAACAATTATTTCAATAATACAATAAATAAAAAGAATAAAAAAGAAGGGGGCAACGACACGCGGTATTCCCAAGCGGTCACCCATCCAAGTACTAACCGCGCCCAATAATGCTTAGCTGCAGTGATCGGACGAGAACTGGCGTATTCATTGTGGTATGGCCGTTGCCTGTAAATAATGTGATAATCGTTGATGATTAAACAATTATTTCAATAATACAATAAATAAAAAGAATAAAAAAGAAGGGGGCAACGACACGCGGTATTCCCAAGCGGTCACCCATCCAAGTACTAACCGCGCCCAATAATGCTTAGCTGCAGTGATCGGACGAGAACTGGCGTATTCATTGTAGTATGGCCGTTGCCTGTAAATAATGTGATAATCGTTGATGATTAAACAATTATTTCAATAATACAATAAATAAAAAGAATAAAAAAGAAGGGGGCAACGACACGCGGTATTCCCAAGCGGTCACCCATCCAAGTACTAACCGCGCCCAATAATGCTTAGCTGCAGTGATCGGACGAGAACTGGCGTATTCATTGTGGTATGGCCGTTGCCTGTAAATAATGTGGTAATCGTTGATGATAAAACAATTATTTCAATAATACAATAAATAAAAAGAATAAAAAAGAAGGGGGCAACGACACGCGGTATTCCCAAGCGGTCACCCATCCAAGTACTAACCGCGCCCAATAATGCTTAGCTGCAGTGATCGGACGAGAACTGGCGTATTCATTGTGGTATGGCCGTTGCCTGTAAATAATGTGATAATCGTTGATGATAAAACAATTATTTCAATAATACAATAAATAAAAAGAATTAAAAAAAAGGGGGGCAACGACACGCGGTATTCCCAAGCGGTCACCCATCCAAGTACTAACCGCGCCCAATAATGCTTAGCTGCAGTGATCGGACGAGAACTGGCGTATTCATTGTGGTATGGCCGTTGCCTGTAAATAATGTGGCAATCATTGAAGATAAAACAATTTTATAATAATTATATTTTATTATATTATAATCTGAATTCTAGACTATTCGTAGGTGCACAGGAACTGAGGATATTTGTGCCTGCAGGAGAAAGACTATTGATCATGCTGAGGTAATTTTTGTTTTATTTATTTATGTAGATCTGTTATCTAATAGTCTATTGCATGCATCACGTCGACATTTACGTATCTTCCGAATTTTCCGAAATGTACGCTGTATTACACTGTGGTGAGAGCTTTATGGAATGAAAGGTTGACACCTGTTGTTGATTCTGAGATGAATTCTGCAATAGATTCTGGGGCGGAGGTGATATCTCATCAATAAGAGCTAAGACTCGGCGTTTAAAATATTTGATTTGCGATTCGTTCAGTTCTTCCAGTTCCGGTAAGATGCTGAGCAGGAACATTTTGAGACCCTCCTGCCTGTCAATTTTATGTCGCATAGTTTCTCCCACGGTCTGTTGCATTTTCGTTTTCTTAGCTCTGAAATAGTCGACGACGGATTCATCTGCGAGTGCTGCTGCTGATATTCTCTTTGTCAACTTTTTCTTTGAATCTCGAGTGCGCAATGAGGATTTTTCCTGTTGCTCCGAACCACTAGGTCCAGGTTGTGAAAGGTCCGGGGAGTTGCAGGGTGATGGTCCTGTAGGAGATTCTTGTGCGGATTGTGCCGGGCGGGAGATATCGTCCGTCATTGAGTCACTACCAGACCAATATAATTCGGTGATTTCATCACCTTTATTATCATCGGTTGGGGGAAGTTTTACTGGCGGCAAATATCCAGACGAGGAAGAAACTGATTTTATAAATGGCAAACAAAATTGCATGGCTGTTTCCAAATAGTACGCCTTTTTCCTTGCTCCGGATCCATTTGAAGGGTGCTTCATTTTCCGCATTAAAACGGTTCGAATATTGCGCCACCTGTGCTTGCACTTGGTAGCTGAAATCAAACATAGATATAAATAATAGCATGATTACAAAAAGTAGCAATATAATTTATTATTATTAATATTATACTGATTTTTTTTAAATGCCAATAAAAGTTATACAATTTATATGGCCAACTTATAAAACCAAGTTTATTAGGAATAAGGTAGAAATATAATTTCTGCAAAATTTTTAATATCTTCAAAAGTATTATTAGGTTTTAGATATAGGGAAAGTAAACATGAAGTTAATTTCCCTTATTTTTTGGCGCTAATTTCATTAAAATAGAGAAAAATAGGTGGTTTTAATGTACACTAATTAAGGTACACTAAATTAAGATTAATTTTTCAGTTTGTCCTTGTCATTTTGCCATTTGACATATTTAGAATTTTTTTAGATTTTGTAAATTCTATAAAAGTTCGGCAACATTGCCTACTTGTGACATAGTAAATCACAGGTGCCGTGCATTAATATTTGTTTCGCACCAACTGCAGGTTCATATTAAGTTTTCTCAGAAATTTCACTTTGTACACTTTTAAACGATTTTTTTATACACCAAATTTTTCACACGCACTGTTAAATACAGGGTGATTCAAAAAAGGTTCCTGAAAAATAACTGATACTATATGATGCTGATATAAAGTACTGAACTATTTTTTGAAAAATCCTGTATATTTCATGTGATTAAGAAATTTGATGATTAATTATAATTGAGCTCCTGACTACGTCCGCCGTCTAGAAACATAAAACAGCTAGGACCCCCTAATTTTAAATATGTTTTTGTCATTTTGCCATTCAACAATTTTAGAAAATTCTTAGATTTTAGATTTTATAAACCCTATGAAAATTCGGTAACACTGCCTACTTGTGAATTGTAAGTAACGTGCATAAAACTTTATTTTGCTTAACCTGTACCTGACATATTCATTTTGAAAGCCACTTCTTGCCATGCTTCCTCTACCACGTCTCTTCTTGAATACGCAGGAAGGGTATAATTGTAGAGTTCTTCGTGTTTCTCTATCTCCTTAACAAGTTTTAAATTCAGTTGTTGGTCACTCATTTTGAAATAAACAAAATAACCACGGGCCACGGGGTAAGTAAATAAACACCTTGAACGCAAAGCAACTTGAAACTGCAACGCAACTGCGACCGTGCAAAATGGCCGATTTGTGACTGATTGCGACTAAAAACTAGTTTCATTCGAATCGACTATCGACTCGACTTGTGTGCGGCATCCTCGCTCCACAACCACAATACTACACGTTGCCGAGGTTACAACATACATAGTTGCAAGATCAGCTGATTTGCAACTTTAGTCTCAAGGCAGTCGCACAGAGTGAGCTGTGGGCTGTCGTCCTAAATTTTCTACTCATATTTCATATTCGTAGAGCGCTTTCACACGGTGCAATACAGGGTATGTCTATGTGACTATATCTGAATATTGGAAACTACTTATCCGATTTAAATAAATATTGGTATACGTATATTATGCACTAAGGCAAACCTCTTAAAAATATTTTGACATTTTAACATTTTGTACCGGAAGTAGGCATCGACTTTGTTATTTCCAATGGAACACTCCGGCTGACCCATATTCAGCGCCCCACTTTAAACTTAAACCTGGCTTTAGAGGGTCGTTTTAACCCACGGTTTATAATTATAATATTATAATATTAATATTATAATTATAATATTAATATTATAATTATAATATCATTATAATATTATTCTACAAACCGTGGTTTTAACCAAAGAGTCTCTAGTTAGGTACTCCATAAAAATGTAAAACTGTCATGTTAGAGTACCCTGTATATTGTATATTGTAGAGTAACCCTGTATATTGTTGTGTCCATACAGTGTGTCCGTAAAGTCCCGGTTATAGGTTATATAGGCTATAGGTGCGATAAAGACAATGTCCATTAGACACTTATAAAAGAAAAAGAAAGAGTGACATTTGTGTCATTGCAACTTTTCACTCTGACAACTGTTATTTTATCAATCTTTCTTTGTTCAACTCATAGAAACGACCATGATACGGTTTGAATTGAAGCAATCTGTATATTAATTTTATTCCGCACTTTTGACCAACTCTGTATCATATTTTGTCTATACGACCGTGGGCTTGAACTTGAACCATCCCAAATTCCCATATTCCCAAACTCCAAACATCCATAGAATAACCCGAACATCTTCGTTTAGTGGACCACCCCTCCCCCACAAAATTAGGAGAGCTTCCAAACCTGTATGCATAAGACCGTGCCCACGGTGATATGCCACTTGAATACTTGTGACGTCACGAGAGGCCGTGTGTGATTGGCTAAAATTCTTCTTCTTCTATTTATTGGCCTCAGCTACCGGGGCTATTCGGCCAAATTCATAAAATTTGTAGATGCATAAGACAGTTGACGTTGACAGTGACAGTGACACTTATTTAATCAATAAACAAACGTGACAGCCCTTGTCAGAAACGAAAGTTTAGCAATAAAATTCGACTGAACACGTACCTTATGAAACATTGAAAACAATTTGTAGTAAAAATGTCGCAAACAGTGCCGCTGATACTTGAAGAAGATGTGGAACATGGTGGTAAGGAGTACGACGAAGGACTGGAAAATGATTTTGCGTATCGCAACAATGTTTTGAACGCTCCGAAAAATATTCGATTGGGATTCATTAGGAAAGTATATGGTCTACTATCGATGCAAATATTATTGACTTTCGTCATCGCCAGCATATGTATGTTTACACCGCCGATAAGGGATTTTGTCCATAGTAATGATTGGATGTTGATGTTGTCTTTTATTGGAAGCATTGCTATTTTAATTCCTCTACACATTAAAAGGAAGGAGTCGCCTGCCAATCTGATTCTTCTTGCGGCGTTTACTGTGGTTCAAGCGTATACGATTGGTGTTATAGTCACGTTTTATTCTAAAGCTATTGTATTGGAGGCTCTGCTGCTAACTCTGATTGTTTTAGCCGGTTTGACTCTTTTTACTTTCCAAACTAAACGGGACTACTCCGCTCTGCACTCTGGATTATTTGCTGGTCTCTGCATACTGATCATTGGAGGTTTTATGCAAATTTTTATACAGTCAACAGTATTCGAAATTGCAATATCCTTTGCTGGAGCATTGCTTTTCTGCCTATTTATTATATTCGATACCCAAATGATTATGAAAACATTATCCCCTGAAGAATACATTTTAGCAACGATTAATTTATACATGGATATCCTGAATTTGTTTTTGTATATTTTACGCATTCTTCAAGCATTAAATAGGCAATAAAACAAACGTGTGAGCTAGTCATCAAAAATTTTAAAGAAATGTCGATTTATTAAAATATAAAAATGCACTCTGTTTGTTTTGAAATATTTAAACACTTGTTTTATTAATAAATTTATTGTAAATAATTTTGAGTATTTAGTAGTGTTTTAAGTATTGATAATAATAGTACCCCTAAACTCCTTTAAATCATAAAGGCGACGTGTAATTTTTTATGGCAACAAATGTAATAAAATGGAGTAAAAATTTATGATATTGTGTTTCGGGTTATTTAATTTCGAATTAAATACTTATCATGGAAAATTTAAATGCTTTATTATTTCGTTAATTTAAGTGATAAGTCAAATACGGTGATAAGTACTGTTTACCGAATTTTCTAGAAAATGTCTAGAATAACAAATTATTTCCGTAAAAAAAGATAAAACAATAGAATAAATAAATACATATATTTATTTAAAATAACAACAACTTGTAAATATTTTTTGAACTCGACAAATAGTACATGCAAAAGATCGATATTTGCATAAGAAATAAAGAATATCTTTATAAGATATTGATGTTATGAATAGAAATGATAAATTGCTCATATACTAGACAGTTATCTAGATGGGTTGACAATTTAGTTGGGACATTAATGATTAGGATAACTATAACAATCACAATCTCCTACATATTAAAGTAGAAATTCGAAAAATAGGGGAAGATAAGCTTAAGTACATAATAAAGTAGCAGATAAACCGCTTTGTACTAATTCTTTAATGAAATGACATATACAGGGTGTCCCGGTAAGAACCGATAAAGAACAGGGGTGTGTAGGGGAGCCCAAAATATATTATTTAACTCAACATAACATACAACGTTACATTCCTGACAAGTTATAGGCATTCAAAGTGATATTTACAAATTAAAAATCTCAGTAACACACTAACTTAAAACAACCAAATTTGGTGTACATTATTAGTGTACTAAGAGCATTAGTTGATAGTTAGGAGAGATCAATTGATGTATTTTAATCCCCCGCTCTGTGTCGGTTCTTATGCAGGACACCCTATATAAGATATTTCCATTTTATCCAAATAACTTGCCGTATCTATCTTTATCTTCAGAATTGTGCTCTTTAACTAGTCGTTCAAGATTTAAAAGCTCTTTTTTTACAAGAGGAGTCAAAGATTCATCGAGTTCCATTACTTTGAGGAAATCATTTTTTGCTTCCTCAGGATTCCACGCACCAACGTGTCCTTTAGCTCTTCTAAAATACGCTTTTACGTTATCTGGAAATTTATTTTAATCTTATTAAAAGTCCAGACGTTATTTGTACCTCCTACCTTTATCAGACTTTAAAATATTGGTACAGTGCTCAATCACTCCATAATAATCGCCTTCATTCAACTTGCATTGAGCGTAATTTAAAAGAATGGGGATTTTTTGCTTTTCCATCTCGTTCCATTCTGTGTCATGAGGTTTTTCTCTAAATATCAAATTTACCGTATTATAATCGATATAATAACGAAAAAGAAAGTGTATTACCTAAGCATAAGTTGTTCTAAAATTCCTAGAGCTTTAGCATAATTATCACAAGCTTTTTTGTAATTTTTCGCTTTGTATTCTTCATTTCCTTGTTCTTTTAGTTTAGGAATTAATTCTATTTTTTCAGTCATCTCCATTTGCCATGTATCCTTTTCGTAGGCTTCAGGTTGTTCAACTTTTACAAGTTCTAAACATAAAATATATAAATCAGTACAATTTTATCAAGTTCTATAATTACACTAGCGTATTCTACCTATAATAAATTGCAGATCACTGGGCTTTTTAAGAAATTGATTTAAGTCTTCATATCCGATACCAGTGCTTTGTAATGTCATTGCACATACGTGACTATTCCTTTTTTCCTTAGGTTTTTCTAAGTCCCTAAGCGTTTTCGATACAAACGGGTATTGAATACACAACTGAAAGCGCCTAATTTAAAATTTGTCATTAAATATAATACAAAGCGACTTACACTTTTGTCTACTGTAAATTTAGCCACCTCTTTCAATGCCATTTTCTGTACTATGACTTCCCATACTTCCAATTTAAATTTTTTCCCTAACACTAACTCCATAGGTTTTCCTGTCCCAAGTTTTCTCGAATCGTCCAACAAGGTGTTATCATTGTTACACAGCCTCGTTTGAAAGTGAAAATGAACCTGAAATGGACGAAGTCCGGAAAATTTCAGGAAAATCTGTATATTTCCACCTACCTTTGTGCCATCTTTAAAAGAGACTGATTCGGTTCCTGCATATATTGTTTCTTTCACTATAAGATCTTTATTTGACGTCATAATACTCAAACTGCCAAAAAACTTTTGCAATTAATAAAAATTAACAATAATAAAGAGTAACAAATTCTAGCAAAATATTTTCAAAGGATTTGATACTTTTGACAGATTTGACATATGATGTCACATTTGAACTACTTTTAGTAGTTTTAGTCTACAGCCAGGTAAGATTATTAACAAAGCAAACAATAAAATTTAGCAGTATTTTTTTAGATTAATCATTAGCACGGTCGTATATAAAACCGTGATCATTACACTCATAATTATTCAAATAATGAAAATGATACTTTATGTAGTGAAGTTAGCAACGAACGTACGCGAGCGAGACATATGACAGTGACAGTGACATATTTTTATAAGCTTTTTATCCAGAAGTAAATATTGTACGTGGAATAAAATGTAATAATTTATAATATTCAAGAAGTTTGAGTTGATTAATTGAATACTGCATTTAATTAGAAGCAAAAATGGATACTTCGTCACCTACTGAGGCTAAGAAGTCTAATTTGGAAGGTTTGTCCAAAGAAGAATTAATCAAAAAGTGCACCCAGTTACTGCAACTCGCCCAAAAAGCTAAGCAGTCGAAATTAATTCTTCAACAAGAAAACGATCAATTAAAAAAGGACTTGGATAGTGTAAAATCCCATCTTATTGAAAAAAATATAAGTGTCGTTGAAAAAGAGAATTCAAAAATAACCAAAGAAGAAGAATCGCAAGCAATAGATAAACTGAAAATTGAATATGAAAATAAGCTGACAATATGCGATAATGAAAATATTTCCTATAAAAGGCAAATTGATAGGTTGACCCATGAGAATGAACAACTCATAGGAGAATTAGACACTATAGAAAAACACTCGCAACAAATACAGCTAGAAAAAGATGAAATTATAGCAAAATTGAAGGAAGAAAGAGATGCTTTAAAAGAAATAATCGTTAATTTCCAGTGCACAATCGCAGAAAAAGATAAAAACTTTAACAAAATAAACGAAGAACTAACAGCTATTCAAAATAAAGGTGATCAAAGTGCTGAGAATACGTTGATGTTAGAAGAAAATAATTTAAAGTTGAAGCAAAAAATTAAATTTTACCATTCTAAAATAGTCAAATTCGCTACCATTTCGAAGGATTTGCGAAACAGCAAAATTGAACTTCTGCAACTATTTAAATCGTACATTGATCAGGTGAAAGATTGGAAAGATCAGTTAGATTCCGCTCAAAAGTATATTGAGGTATATTTAACTAAAGTGAATAATGAAAATATCATTTTGAAAGAAAAACTAGTCGAATTAGAAAAATTGCAAGTAAAGAATTCAAGTAAGTAGGCTATAAATTTGTCGATGAATATTTCTTAATAAAATATTTTCAGGTATATCTGAAGAAAACGAGAAGATAAAAGAAATACAAGAGAACTTTGAAAGCGAAATGAAAATTCTAAAGGATCAATACGAAGATGAAAAAGTTAATTTGGAGAAAATATTAACACAAACTAAAGAAAATAACGAATTATTGGCTACAGAAAATAAGGAGCTTCGAGAAAACGCTGATAATGGAACAGAACAAGCACATAACACGTACAAAGAAATTATAAAGGAAACCAATCAGACTATCAAAGAACGAGAAAACGAAATAAAGCTACTGAGAAAAGAAAACGCAATTACATCGAGAATAAAGGAAGAATTGAATCGAGAATTAGAAAAACTAAATTCCGACAAAAAATTCTCCAAAGAGCAAATCGAAACCTTCAAAAAAACCATACTAGACTTACAAAACCAAGTAAAATCACTGCAAGAGCTAGAAGTGAAATCCACCGAAGAAATCAAACATTTAGCGGACGAAAATAAACAATTGCTAGCACAAAACGAATCCTTACAAGAAAAACTCGAGACCCACGAACTTTCTCTTCAACGTAGAAACGACGGTTCTTCGCAAACGTACGAGGCACTAGGCAATAGCAATGAATGCGAAGAGCAGGTATCCAACCTAAAAAGGGAAAATTCGGAATTGCTGCTGGAAATGAACGAAATGAATCAAGCCATAAAAGAAAGGGGAGAAACCATTTCGAAGCTCGAAGCTCACTGCGAGGAAGTCCTCAAAAAACTGCAGGTTTACGAAGCGCAGGCCAACAAGAACGTTGACAATTTAACAGAAAAAGAGAGAATCATCGATAGCCTAAACAACGATATTGTCGATTTGAAAGATATTTTAAGAGAAAAGTCAGAATATGCCGATTTATTAAAGAGTCAAGTGGTCGAATTAAATGATAAATTAGCAGAATACGAGCATCGTCGGTCAGAATTCGATCAGTCAAAAGACAAGTCGGCGGAAAAAGATAAAATTATCGATTGTTTGAACAAAGAAATCGACGAGTTGAAAGATCGATTGAATTCGAATCTGAATTCAAGCAGTTTCGATGACGGGATGTCTACCTCGACAATATCTCGAACAGAAGAAATTAATCGAATGAAGGATTTGGAGGGATCTTGGGAGGACAGGTATGGAAAGCTGAGGAATTTAGCCGTCAAATTGAAAGGTTAGTAATTTGAAACTTATTCTTCCTTATTTATAAAAATGAAACATTTACTTTGAAGTAAAAGGTAAGAGGAAAAGGTTCTCTGAATGAAAAGGTGCTCTGATCCATATTCAAAATCTCCGCCTTTTCAAGCAGGCGCTTTAAATTTAAAGCAACAGCAGGGTCTTCAAACAAAACCTTTTCGTTCACTTCTTTTTATGACTATACCTTGAAGCAATTCCTTCTTTTTTTGAAAGCAAAAGGTTATATTTATTTTTATAACTACGGCCTATACTCATAAAAAATTATAACTACTTAAATATTGCCGTTGTTTCAGGGAAAGTTCGCGAACTAACTCAAAATCTGACCCAACAGCAGCTCGAAAACGAAGATCTCCAAGTCAAGTTGTCTTCTAGCGCAAAAACGATCCAGAACATGCAAATCGACTTCGACAAACTGCAAGACGATCTGGAGGAATCCAAAAAGGAGAGCGCTTTATTGCACAAGCAACTCAGCGGAGTTGCCCACGATATTTCCAAAGACAAGCAAAATTTGGCCAATTCCGATGAAATAATTAACAGCCTGAGGTTTGAATTGGAGAACAAAAGGAAGGAAACCGAGGCCATCGAAGTGTGGAAGAAGCAAGTAGGCTCAAAAATACAGACTTTACGTAAAGAATTGGAAACCAAAAAGGACATCGAAGCCAAATTAGAAGCTGCAGAAGTAGCCTTAAAAAACGAAATAGAAAATCACAAGCACACCAAAAACCTATTAGAACAGTCGAACAACGAGCGCAAGAAAACCTCTGTATTGAATTTAGAAATGCAGGATTACGAGAAATCAGTCAAGGAATCCTCCAAAAAGCTCGAACAACAATTAGAAGAAATATCGAAGTTAAAAAACCAATTAGAAACCCAGAAAACGACTGTCGCCGCTTTGAGAGAACAAAACAAACTGCTCGAAGAAAAACTCGCCGAAAAAGAAGAAAACTTGAACTCCCTAACATCCGAAATATCTACCTACAAAAAACAAATAACCAACTTAGACAACGACATATCACAAAAAAGCGACAAGATTTCCTCCTTGACCAGGCAACTGGAAACATCTCGCGCCGAAACCGAAGACTTATCCACCGAACTAACGAAACTGATTTCCGAACATCAGAAAACCAACAGCGTCCTCAAATCGGAGAGGGACAATCTGTCTGGGGAGAGCTTGAGGCTCCAGCAGAGCCTTCGGGACGTCCAGGACGAATTGAAACTGACCCAGGACGCCATGAAAGCGGTTCAAGACGAGTACGATGGCTACAAAATCAGGGCTCAGACGGTGCTGAGGCAAAACCAGAGTCGAGATGTGGGTTTGGAAGAGAAGCTCTCCGAGGAAGTGGCCGCCTTGGTGGCTCAGAATCTGACGCTCACTAACCGTTTTGAAGATTCCAAGTAAGCTTTTACCTACATTTCACGTTACTTGTTTGTACGTTAATTGTTGTAGGAAAACGATTGAATCTCTTGAAAACGATAACAACAAATTAACGATGGAGTTGAAGCAGTACGAGCGAAAAGTGCGTGAACTAGAAGAGGATTGCGAAGACATCAAATCTCAGTTTGCAGACTTGTCGGCGAAACACGAAAAATCCGTCATCGAAAACGCCGAAACTTTAAGGAATCTAAAGGTTTAAATAATTCTTCTTTAAACATTTCAATGTTATTTAGCATAGGCAAATTTTAGATACACGCAGACACTCTTTCCCAATGCTACAGGCAGCAATTGTCTGATCAAGAGACGAGGCACAACCGAGAAATCATTGAACTTCAAAGTAGCTTAGAGAAGGCCCCGCACTCTTCGGAAACCTCGCCAGTTCTCCCGACGATGATGCCCCGGGGCGAAGGAGAAGGCTCGGAGAGCATAGAAAGTAACAATTCTTCGAGCGTGCACCCCGTTCCGTTGGAGAGATTGTTGGGTAGTAATTCCGAAGAAGAAATTGAGAGGTAAAAATGTTTTTTTTTTTAAATGAAACATTATTAAAATACATGTATTGCAGGATAAAGAAAAAACTGCAAGATAGCGAATCGAAGGTGGCGCATTTAACTTCTTTACTATCTGATATCGAACAGGACTTGGTAAAGCACGTTCAAATGAATAAATTACTTAAAGAAGAAATCAGGAGGCAGCAGAGGTCCGAAGAACGGGAGAAACACGCTGAAAATTTGGAGTACATGAAAAACGTCGTGTTTAAGGTAAGGGAATTTTCTGAAACCAGTAATTTGTAATTTTGAATCTTATCCGCCCACAAAAGTCGAGTATACAGTGCTTTTAAAGGAAACCATTCGTCCATTAAGTCCATTAGAACTTATAGGAGTTTCTGAAGAGTTACTAATCTGAAAATTTAGAAGTAAGGTATATTCAAAGTTGTGAGTTTTTCTAAAAAAAATTCAACCATATGTGACTTCCGGTTATACCGGAAAACCCTGTATAAAGTATGTACTGAGTTTCACGTCAATGTTGTATTTTCAGTTCATCACTCTGAATAGCTGCGACGAGAGAAGCAGATTAGTCCCAGTGCTAAATACGATACTTAAGCTAAGTCCCGAGGAAACAAAACTATTGAATTCGGTGGCTGCAGGCGGTGCTCAAGGCAACGCAAGAGGCTGGAGTAGTTACTTACCAACGTGGAATGCGAGTCCCAAACACCAGTAATGCTACGATTTCTGTTATCAGTACAGACTAATTTGGGAATTGTGCACCTAGTATTATACAGTAAACGTAGAATTTCCTGTTATTTTTAAAGAGTTTAACTGGTTTTGGCGTTTGTTTATAAATTGGTTTTGAAATTCTGAGGCAATATGTTTCTTCATAATCACTGTAAGATTGTTGAATCTAAATGTTAAGACTTGTTAGGTAAATATTTTGTATTATTTTGTTCAAAGCGTATGATTTATTTTTTTAATATAATTAGGTAAACTGTTTATTATTTATTACATTTTCTTAGGTTTTCTTTGATATGTGCCTTATATTTTATAAATTAATTTAATTATTGCACAATTGGAATTTGATAGTTGTCTTTGTGTAGCTTCTTATTCAATTTATTACTTTCTTATGTATAATAGATAATGCGGAGTGTAAATTATGTATATTATACATTATATTTAAGCCATTTTAAATAATTTTATAACTAATCAATATTATGTACTATGATTATTAAATATAATAAAATATTTAATTGATTATTTAATTACTAATATGAGAAGGAAGGACCTATCAAGTTTATACTACACTAGGAATACCTTAATAAGGAACCGAATTAAGGAATAAGGAAGAATCGTTGATAGTAATAGTGGTTGCCTAAAATTATAATTCACATGTTAACTTGGTTACTCAAAAAGTAAAAGGCCTCTAAAAAAGCAGTCGAAAAATTTTAATACACATGCGCAATCTTGCAGTGTGCTCCGTGCTGCAATTTCCGTAAATTTTGTGTTCTAAGAATGCGAATGTTATGTTTGTTAAGTGCCAAATCTTTTTGGAAACTTTTGATTACGTCGTTTTATACATTATCGGAATTTTATGTTTAATATTTACACTTAAAACATTTCTTCAAACTGTAAATGACCAACTTTAAGCACACTTTTTTTTGTATTGTGTAGTTTTTGCACTTTTATCCGACAACTTTTTTTTGTTTACATCTCACGTTTTAAATTTTAACGGTAAAGTGCTGGTACAAAAGCAACAAAATTTAGCAGTATTTCGTTAAATATGAACATGGAAACGTCAAATTCGGCCACCGATGTTAGTCAACATTCTTCAACGAGTTTTAAAATGAAAGAAATCGTTGAAGTCATCAGCGAATACATCAAAAACAGATCGGAGTCCAATGCACACCTCCTAAATAAATTTTTCCAGGTACGTTTCCTGAACCTAATTTCTACATCTATTAATAATTGATTTCCAGGCTTACATTGCTACAATCGACGTTAGTGTTTACAACCCAGACGATGTCTATTGCGCCCAATTTTACGTTAGTGTATACGAATTATTTAAAACTGTCGATCCACAATCTAACATAGCCTGGAATTGTGTAGATATACTTACAAACGCGTGCAGGAACAGCCACGCAAGAATCAGGCTAGTAGAGTCCTATCAATTTGTTCCAGTTATATCCCGAATGTTAACTACCGAACTGGATAGTTCCAACAAGAAGAGAGTTCTCGTTCTTCTGCAGGTTCGAACATTACGTATAAAAATATATGCAGGATGTTCCGCATAAGAACTGACACACAGCAGGGGTGTGTAGGGGAACCCAAAATATGTTGTTTAAACCAACTTAATGGAATAGAAAGTTACATTCTTGAGAAGTTATATGCCTTCAAAGTGGAGTTACAAGTTTGTAAAAAAAACTAATATATTAGTAATACTAGAAATTACTACATTAATCGATAATTAGGAGAGATCAATCTATTTTAAAGAGTTCTTTAGGGATAAAAAATTGTTAGTGCATTTCATAGGTATGAAATTTCATTTTAAAACTTTTTTATTCTAATTGTTTTTTAAATTTCTTGCAAATATGCAAAATGCATGTATACATTGCGAAATAAAATTTGCATTTTTCAATATATTTTGCCAATAAATAATTAAAATACGTTAAACTTAATAACGAATAATAAAAAATGCAAACTCTTAAATATAGTGTTGTGAACGCTTCTGGACCATTCTAAATGGTTTTAGACAGTTCTAAATGATTCTGGAGCATTTTACATCATTCTGGATTGTTCTGAACGGTTCTGGGGCGTTCTAAATGATTCTAGGCAATTCTTAATGATTCTGGATCGTTTTAAATGGATCTAGACAGTTCTAAATGATTTTGGAGCGTTTTAAACAACTCCAAATCATTCTGGAGCGTTCTAAATGATTCTAGACAGTTCTAAATAATTCTGGAGCGTTCTAAATGGTTTTAAACAGTCCTAAATGATTCTACAGGGTTCTAAATTTGTTCTAGATAGGTCTAAATGATGACGTTATAAATCTCAAATCTACCATTGATTTTTTCTTCGAGCATAAACGCATATATAAGCGCATATTTCGAAGGATTTTGCCATCTTTTTAGTGCATATTTTCCAAGCTCTAACTAACAGTGTTACTTAGGCTCCTTAGTTACTTAGGTTTTTATGCGGGACACCCTGTATAACGTATCTTTTTGTATGTAATTTTTTGTGCTATTCTGTACAAGTGAATTCTGAACACTTCGAATAAACTTTCTTCTTGCTATTTCCAGCATCTAACTTGTGGAATCAAGTTATCGTATGAAATGTCTTATCTGCCGTATCTATTCAAAATTCTGTGCCAATTCATCGAAGATGACGATCAGAATATAGTATGCCTGTCTTTGAGTATAATCTGCAACTTGTGTTTCAAAAATATTTCCGCAGTTTCGACGTTAACAAGAATTACGGATATCAAGGAGTTGACGAAGTTTTGCATGAGGCGGTTACAGGTAAAACTTTTGGTCCTTTTAAAAGTGCATTTTTTTTAGGTTTGTTCTTTATTTTTCAGGGTTCTTCTATCCAATTGCAACTGTGTAAATTACTGATCATAATTAATCGTTTATACGATGACTCGATTCCTAGGAAAACTTTGTTGAATCTTGTCCAGCCCACGTGCGAATCCATTCTGGAGTCTCTGCGCAAAAATGACACTATAAACCTCAAATCTACCATTGATTTTTTTATAGACACACTTAAAGCAGAAAATGTGGAAGTATTCAAAGAGTATACGGAGTATGTTAAGAACATACATGCTTTGATAGACGTAAGTTAAAAAAAGGGTTTATTTATAGCAAATACCCTAAAACTTACTGAAATATAAGTTTTTAAATTTGTAGAAAGTTAAAGAAGTATATTTCTACTAACTTTATTCGTTTTTCAGCTAATTAATTCGAGAAAAAAGATGGATCCAAATGTTACTCCGATCCCCCCTTGGAATTTAGACGCTATTGCTTACATTCTCAAATTCATTTACATCATTGAATCTAATAAATTAGCCAACCTTTCGGTTTTGTACCAAGAAATTTTGAACTTCATCATCGAATGGATTCCCCACGAAAGAGTTACCTATCAAGCAAGCCTTTTATTGAAACTTATTATTGTGAATTTGGACCAATTCAACAATAGCAAAAGTATTAAAATTTTAAATGAACTATCGCCTCATTTGGACTTTTTGCTCAATTTGCTGCAAAGGGAATCCAATCCGGGTTGGTATAATGAATTATTTTTAACGCACATTTAATAATAAATTGCTCTCTTCAGTCAACATGGAGGGATACAAGAGATTGGGAGCTCTTCTGCAACTTAACAGGGTGATATGCAAAGCGATGTCGAAGAAAGTGGAGCTCAAATTAGATGAACAACTGCTAACAAATCTTTTCGCGCCGGTGCTATCAGACGACATGACCTATGGGAATCTGCCTCAATTAAATTTTAAAGAGGAAAATACCACAACAACTGATTACGTGAACGCGTACATACATGCAGTGGGATTAGTTTTTGAAGTTTCACAAGAAGACACCAAATGGCTGGGAATGCTTCTTAAGCTAATGGAGAGCAGGTATTTGTGGCCGAATATAGAACTATTCCGAATGTTAGAGATGAGAATAGTATGAGGATAGGATGAGAATAGTAGATATTCCGTGTTTGATTACACTTGACATAAAATCAAACTTACAATAATGTAAAATAAGGAATCCTTTTCCGAAATTTTCAAATTCAATTCTGTTCCCTGCAATTTGAAATGATAAAAGTAGGATTTTAAAAATAGTCATTAAAGTGCTCCAAAAGTATCACTGTGCACTGGAAATACCTTATTTCATCTTAACTACCCTTTAAGAAAAGGGCAAATTATTCAAAAATATCTGAAAAACGGAAACTATTGGTAACGCTGTTGCTAGTCAAATTTGCAAAATTGCTCTGTAATTTGATATGTCAGGCGACACCGTCATTTTACAGTAATCTATTATCATCATTTGCTAAAATAGTTTCATTAGTTTTTTTTTCAATTTAATACAGCCTGTGGATCAATATAGACTAGGAGACATCGTTCTGTAAAAAGTATTCTTCATCATGCTATAATTATCGACACATTTGTTCAATAAAACTCTAGTTTTACTAGAATTACATTTTGCCATTTAAATACCATTGCAAATAAACGGCAATTTTTGATTTCAATTTTCTTAAAAATAAAATGATGTAGGAGATATTAAAAATAGCAGATACTATTGCTTGAAGTCTCTATATTAGGTATAAAAAAGATTCAAATCAATTGATGAAGGCAAATTTGAATCTTACTAGAATTACTGAAACTATGTTTTCCCATTTAAAAATACCCTGAACTGGCACCCTTAATTAAATAAATTTGGAAATTTATAATTATAAATTTATAATTATAACGTAATGCTTTCCTCCAGGAACGTCCATTCCCTTTTAGCAATGGGCTTGGCCGGAGGAGATTCAGAAGTAAAGCAAGTCGTTTTGGAGTTGTCCAAATCCCCAATGTTTCCCACGGGAAAAGTCGCTCATTCCATGGAAAACATGGACCAATTATTTTATAAGAAACACTACATGAACCACCCGCCTGCTACTACACCAGCCTATCATGCTTATCCTCTAATGAGTTACAATCAAATGGAAAACCTCGACGTTTTGCTCAAGGAAGTCCAGGTAAATCGAATGCGACTGCGACAAAAAAGTATCCGGAATTTCTCATTTAAATTACCTACACTTAATTTTTTTAACTATTTGAAGTTTCTGTATGTAGTTAACAATGTTCTTAATTAGAATGCAATAAATTAGATTTTTTTTCGGCCAGTTTGGTTGTAGCAGCTGATTGAATCAGTAGAGCATATTTTGAAGGAGATTCAAGAAAAATTAAAAAAAATTGGGAATTTTGCGTTTTACTCCAATTTTCCGGGTACTTTTTTCCCACTGTATATACCAAAAAAATGTTACTTATTTGTAATGGTGTGAATTTTTTTAGACGTTGATTCGCGAACACAACATATCTAATATATCAGTCAGTCAAGTAATGGAATTGTATGAAAGCAAGCTGGCAGCTTTGACCCAATCGGAATTCGCCGCTTCGAACGTATCCAAAGCAGCGTCGGAAAAATGCATCACTTTGCAGCATCGTTTGTCCCAATTATCGTCCGTGCACAATAAATTTTGTCAAACAATCCGCCAGTACGAGATCAACCTGCAAACGAGCAAAAACGACGTTAATAAGTTGGGGATTTATCTGAAAGAGGAACAGGAGAAATCCGACAAAGAATTAAGTATGTCTCACTAAATATTTTTCAATATTAGATTGTTACGTGTGTTGATTTTTAGAGTTGAAGGAGAAGATGCTTCATGACCTATCGAAGAAATTAGGCGAAGTTAATTCTAAGCTGGAACAAAGTGAGCAGTTATTGGAAACTAAAGAACAGCAACTAAAGACCGCGAATTCTGATATCAACAATTTGAATAATGTAAGTAATCGGTTTATTTAATATTTAATTACTTCTAACAATAAGAAGGTATTAATAGTTCATGCTTATTGACGTTGAATGTTATTTCCAGCAAATTAAACGACTGAAGCAGATGCTAGAACAAAAAGAATCTAAATTAGTGGAAGTTACAGGAGTGTTGGAAACAATAACGAGAATGGCGGCTTCTCAAAGTGTTCTGAATGGCATAAGTTCATAAAATTTGAATAGCAATATTGTAATTTTTATAAGGTAATTGAAATATATTTGTATATAATGTGTATGTAAAGTGTACGTCAGTAACTTTATTTTTTGCTAATAGATACAACAAGTGTATTTTTTACATCTTCATTTTAATTACCCTGGCATTTTCATTTTAAATTGATGATAGGTGGTGTCATCAAAACGAAAATTCTCAAAGTTGTTTTCCTGTTCATATTATCATTTTAGTTAATGCCGAAATTTTTTAAAGCTAGAGTACACCTGTTTTAGTAATATGAAAATGTGCAAAAATGCTGAAAAATGCGCGACGTTTTCAACTTTTCACAATTTTTTTAGAACTGTCTAGACCAATCTGGAATGCTCCAAAAACATTCTAGAACCATTTAGAACTGTTTATAACACCATATACACAAAAAAAACTAAATTTACGTTTGGATTCGTTCTTTCTTTTTTTATGGATAAAAAGAAAGCAAGTTAAGTGACCCACCGAAAATGCAAACCAAAACCATTATAAGAAACAACCTAGTAGGTTGTTCCTTTTTTACTCTACGAAAGAGCTTTAGGGTAGGGTAGTTGCCTCATTAAATGAGGGGCTCCATGCATTGCTGCAGAGCAATTCAAACGATATTTTCATCCAACTATAAGAACGATAACTTCGGTTTCATAAGCATACAGTTTATGCTGCTATCTATGTCAATCTTTGTCGGATTTTATTGCCATATAGTCACAAAACATTACAATAGTTAACAGTTTTCACCCATTTGCAACGTAATGGTACCGTTTTTAATTTTTAGAGTGCGCTAGTAACTTATGAATGGGGTAGCAGGTAGCATAGACAAAATAAAAATAAACATCCATCTTTCTCTATGTGGGGTAGTTTTAATCATTTTGAAAGTAGAGGGAAAAATGTGCATGAAAATAGAGAGAAAATGTTGTTCATAAAAGTAAAGAGGAAAATTTGTTTACAAAAGTAGCGAGAAAATGTTTCCTATTGTTTAAAAGTACCCCAATCCCTCGGTTTGTAGAATAATATTCTAGAAACCGTGCCCCAATCCTCTAATTTCATTTTTACATCCCCCGCTGTGAGCTTACAAGAAATATTACTAAAATCTTACCCTTTTTTTATTACTTTAGATTACTACTAATAAAAACTTAAAAAAAAGCTTTACTTTTTACCTGAAAATTTGCTGAAATAAAGTGACAGGTTTTGCAATGTTGGTTGTCTATTTAGGAAAAAATAATCTGTGAGTACTGAACAACTGAACTCGAGCCTAAACCAACTTTCTGAACTTTCTGAAAAAACTTTTTATAATGCATTTTTAAAAATGTTGAGCAAATTCCTCAATGCAAGCAAATATCCCCATTGTGAATTATAGAATTTTACATATTTTACATCATAGACAAAATAAAAGAGACTGTTTAATGCATAGGACAGAGTCGACAACATGCCTTTAGAACGAAGACCAGCCGTTAGAGGCGCTGCTATCGAAAAATTAAATGAATTTCGATTGTTTTGATTGGCTAATTTTATATGAGATCCGTATGGAAACGATCGCGATCGCGGGTCGTCGGTCGTCGCCCGTCCGTTGTTTTAATTAAGTGAGTTTCGTTAGCAGTGTTGTTCCAGCTATTACTATCGTAATAGATCTATTACTTTTAACTAAAATCTATTACTCTATTACATTCCCCTCAAATCTATTACTTTTCAACTTTTCATTATTCTATACCAAATTTGCTATATACATCATGTTGGGCTCCGGAAATAATGTAATAAGTGAAAAATTATGTGTGAAATAAATCAAAAGAAACATATGTTCTGGGCGGTCAAGACCAAGAGTAAAATATGTACACTGTGGATATTCAATGTCAGAACATACAAATATTTAAACCCGACAAAAAAAAACTTTATTTCTGAATAAATACAAAATAAATACAAATGACTGGAAAACTTATTTTTTAATTGAGGCCTAAGCTTCCCTATATACTATAAAAAGGCTATTCGGCCCTGACCGCGGCAGAAAATTCACAGAAAACAAAAAAAACACGAATCTATTACAGTCCCCTGTAAATCTATTACAATTCGCCCCACATTTCTAGTACAAAATTTGCCTGCTTGAGAACAACACTGTTCGTTAGTGATGTAGACGCCATTTTAGTGCTTAACCTAAATTGTGAGTATTTTTATTTTTTATATTTATATTTGTTTGCAAATTTAAAATGTCAACACCAATTCGAAGGAAGGCTCGTAAATGTGCATCACCAAGATGCAAAAATTTGTAAATTTGTCCCCCCGAAGATAATCTTCAAAAGCGTTTTTTTTAAATTCCCTTCAAATTTGAGTGAAAGAAAAAATGGTTTGATATTATAGGATTATTATTTATAGGTTTGTCTCATTCATCCAAACAAATGAGACTCTGTGAAGATCATTTTTCTACATAGCTATCTACTTATAATATTTGATTTCTATGTTTTTCTAATACATCTCGCTGTTTTTGTTATTTTCCTAAATTAGATGCTGCTCATATTTTTTTCTGTTTTAGTTAGCTCTACAAGAATTGGACGCTGTAGGCCCTGGGAACTGAGGGATCTGACTCATCTGACTTCGAAGTAACAAGGTTGTATTTGTTTTACGTTTCTATTTATTCTATTATATTTTCTATTCCACATGTATTATATACGTATTCTATTTATATTTTTGTTATTAGTGTCAATGTTATTAATTTTGTCGAATGATGTTCAAATGTTGAATTGTATGTATTGTATTGTCTATTTAGGTTATATGTATGTATTCAATTTTTTATATCTTTAAATAAATACATTTCTTATTAACAAAAGTTGTTCTTATTTTCTAATTTGCAATATAGCAATATTATAAAAATAAAATTGAATATATAACCCATTTTTAATTTTGAAATATAGAAGAAATCTACTCGATATTTCATTAGTTCGTGGGACCAGCCACTAGGAACAGCACCATCTACGCGTTGCCAATTTTTAGTAAGAGATCGAACTCTCTCATCTTTCTTTCTCTATGTTTTACATATACACTACTGGTAGGTCAACGTCCACTAACCAAGTATGTTAAAAAATGCCTAGTAGTAAAATATTGACAGTTTTGACATTTCGATTTCCGTTTCCGACAGACGTCAGAAAGGCAGCCATCTTTTTAAAATTGTGATCAAGACAGGTAAGCATGTTGTTTTATATTTATTAATAATTTAATTGAGAAATTGCTATTTTACTAAGTAAGTCACTCATTTCTCTAGCAATTTTGCGCTTCTTATATGAAATATCAATACAAATTTGATTTGTTTCAGTTTAAAATGTCGTCACATCTTGTGTGGGGAATTATTCGCAACAACAATGCTTTTCTTTTGAAGAAAAGGAACATTTCCAAACCGTTCAGTACTGTAAGTGTATATAAATTTTATTACAACAAAAATTCTCGTTATTTACTATTTGATTCGAATTCGAAATTTATTCAATTTGAACATAACCTCAAAATTTCCCCATTTGCAGGAACCCAATAACCTGACAAACTTGAGCTCCTACAGATACAATGGATTAATCCACAAAAAATCCGTGGGAATTGTCAGTGCGCCCGATAAGAAAGGTTTTACTGTTGTATACAAAAAATCTAGCAAACAGGTAAATTCGGAAAATAACTCGTATGACAAGTATCTACAATTAACTTAATTTTTAGTTCAAACCTAAGCAAAACACCATCAAAAGAACGATGAAATCCGGCCCCAGGAGGTCTTTGCATAAGTTAAAGAGGCTGATGAATGCTAACAAGTACCGCACCGATCTTACAAAGGTAATTTGTTTTACCTATTTCTTTTTTAGAAGTATACGAGTTATTCGAGTGAATTTAAATTTAAATTTTTTTTAGGTTGCACTTCGAAGAGCTAGTGCTATACTTCGATCCCAAAAGCCGATACCAGCCAAGAAAGCTAAAGCTAAGAAAGAATAAATGTAAATTTTAATAAAATAAACACAAAAGTTTGTTTGATATTATTTGCCTTTAAAATTTGGAATTTCATTTATTATTTTAATTGAACGTCAATTAGAAATATTTATGTGGTATTCACATTACCTAAGGTTCATTGTAAATTGTTACAATCTTTAAGTTAAAGACCAATACTATTTTTTGTCCTATGTTAATCGAAAACTTTCCCAATTGTTCGATAATCTAAGGGTTGTATCAACTTAAAAATATACCACCATACAATTTACACCACATATAACTCTTAAAATTATACCATAGAGGTAGTTAATCTTATAGTAACAATAATTTACTTAAAAGAATGCATAAAAAGACTTGAACTGTCCTGATGTTACCTATTGAAAAAAGAAATAGAATTAGTCAATAGTTTAATTTCGCATATTGAAAGGGTGCGAACGTTTCCAAATAAAAGAAAAAAACTTCATAAATAAAATATATTTAACTAGTTCTACAAAAAGAATGGTTATGAAATAAAATTGTATAACAATAACAAACAAAAACCACATGAAATTCAAAATGAAAAATTGACAGCACTTTGCCTCCACTTTTGTCACAAATAGAAAGAATGGATGAATGCTTAAAATTTTTTATGAACCAATTTGTACTTCTACAAGTGATACGTTTAATAAAATTGGAAAAATAAGACTAAAAAGGCAGTGTAGTGATAAGTAGTAGTTGAGTTACTCTCTGAACAAGTTTGGTGCTTAAAACAAATACAAAATGTGTAAAAACAATAGGTCTTAAATAAATCAATTCACTTTCTTTAGTTTAAATTTGAAAATCTATAACTAGAACAATTTAAGGATGATGAATGAAGAAAAAAAGTTAGATAAAATAACATATTTCTCAAGCTTTGTTTAAAATTGATCCAAAAGAATATAGATAAAGGAATAAGTAAGTTCAATATGTTACTAATTTTAATATACATAATATAACATTTAGAAAGGCCCGATTTTATTTAGTGCTTTATTTAAATTTGTACTGTATGTAGAGTTTAAATATTCCAACTATTTCTACATTATTACCAAAAAAATCAGTTGTACAAGAGATTATTAAAAATACAATGATAAACTTGAAATAAATCATTTAATACCCAAAGAAAGTGAGTTTACACCTATAAATATGAAATAAATCTAAAGTAATGTATAAGCAGCTACTTTGGCAGTAAAAATAAACTAAGAAAGTATGCAGGGTGTTTTGTTATCGTTTAACTTTATAAAAAAGATATTGTGTAACGAGTTAATTTGTAGAAAACCGCAAAGCAAACAATTCTATTAATCAATCCTAATATCTCTAAGAAAAAAACACCCTGTATAAAACATCAGCCACTTAAAAAAAGGTTATAAACAGTATAAAAATATCATCGCCCTTTTAGTAAGGAAAAACCCGATTACTAACTGGACTTTTGGTCGCATTTACTTAGAGTAAGGCTAAGTCTTTTTCTTGACGATTCTCCTCCGCAAATAGACTTCCTTCTAGTGGCGCTATCACATGGCGTCGGCGTGCCTTTCCTTCTTTGAATACAAATATTACCGGCTTTCCTACCCGCATTCGGCGTCTTCAACGTCGAAGATTTATCGTTATTCATTGGCGCGACGTTACCCGTCCTCGACCAATTATCAATTTGCGCCTCTCTCGATTCCTTCAGTATATTCCGAATGGGACCCGTGTCGCCGACCAGCTCCTGCAGTTTCTGCAACGTCGTGTACAAACAGACGGCGCTGACCAGCCCGAAGTCGAACAAACTGGTCATGTGCACGACGAAATTCCTATACAAATTTTTCATCAACAATTCTCTACCTTTGTGCTCGACGAACATCTGACAGGCTATGGGTATTTGGCAGTCGCCAACGAAGCCGTACTTCATCACGTGCAGGTTCCACATCTTCATCAGCTCCTTTTCGCCTTCGTTGACGTCCGTGAATTCGTCGATCATCATCGTGGTTTTGTATTGCAACCATTCCGGATCGTTTTCGCCTTCCGAATCCACGTCCATCTCCTTCGGGTAGATCGGCAGGCATGTGGTTGTGTGATGATACAGCCTGTTATGACCTAAAATGTAAAACATGTTCTATAAGTAGATTACCTACACAATTTTACAAATGGTTCTAGAATCCAGATGATTCTAAATGATACTGGAGTGTTCTAAACGGTTCTAGACAAATCTAAATGTTTCTGGAGCGTTTTAAACGGTTCTAGACAGTACTAAATGATTCTGGCCCGTTCTAAATGGTACTAGACAAATCTAAATGTTTCTGGAGCATTCTAAATGGTTCAGGAGCGTTCTAAGTGGTTCTAGACAAATCTAAATGTTTCAGGATCTTTCTAAACGATTCTAGACAGATTTAAATGATTCTGGAGCGTTCTAAATGGTTTTAGACAAATCTAGATGGTTCTATAGCATTCTAAATGGTTCTAGACAGTTATAAATCGTTCTAGAGACAATTCAAAATGAATCTGGAGCGATCTAAATAGTTCTAGACAAATCAAAATGTTTCTGGAGCGTTCTAGATGGATCTAGAATGTTCTAAATGGTTTTAGAGAGTTCTAAAAGATTGTGGAGCATTCCAAATAATTCTAGACAGTTATAAATGATTCTGGACAGTTTTAAATATATTTAGAGACAATTCTAAATGGTTCAGGAACGTTCAAAATGAATCTGGATCGTTTTAAATGGTTCTAGACAGTTCTAAATAATTCTGGAGCGTTCTGAATGGTTCAGGAACGTTCTAAATGGTGTGCTAAGAGACCTATTGTTGGACATAATACGCCAAACCGACCCAAAATCATAAAAAAACAAAAATTTATCACTGCATCACTTCCATTATCCCACAAGTTATTTGCACAAAACCTTGTATACTAGTGTTCTCAGCGCGAGCCTCGAATCATACTACTTGAAATTTTTATATGAAACGGTTAACGTACGATACTGACCTGTAATAAACGGCCTTTGTCCATCGAAATCACAATCGTCGATTTCCAGAAACTCGGACAAACTGGGCTTGGGTCTTTTCGGATGGCAAACCAGAATGTGGGTGACGGCCGCCCGGCGGATGGGACCGTTCCTCGAGAAGGCGCACACCGACGGTTGCGAAATCAGATCGTGAGGCGAGCCCGTGTAAGAGCCATCGTACATTTCGTTAATGGCCACGTCCACGCGGGCTCCCACCGATATGGGAACGTACGTGAACGTGAACCTCGAATGGCACAATTTCAGATGCTTCAGCAACGTGTAGAGCAAGTTACAGTTCAGGCTGCACCACGGACAATGGAGGTCCTCGCAGGCTTCCGTCTGTTGGCGGGAGTTGTTGTTGTAGACGAATTGATAGACGATTTGGAGCTTCTCCGTGTTGCCGTTACCGTTCAATGCGAGAGGGAGGTTTTCCTTGTTCTCTTGCAGAGGGTAAGGTAGCGGTCTGTCGACGATTTTCGGGCAAGCGTTCGGCGACCAATTCAGCTTGAATTTCAACACGGAACCTTTCATGAAGGTGTCGAGATTACTGCAGGCGTCTACGATATCGTTGACGTTCTCCCAACTTGTGTGCTTCTTGATGGCGTTTTTGGAGTTAATCGAAAAATCTTGAACGACTATATCGTAGTCTCCATCACTTAAGTAGCACCTGTTATGTTTGTCGTATACGGTGAGTTCGGCGCCGTATAATTTGGAATTGTCCGTGGTACCGTTCGATTTGCGCTTCTTTGACGCGGGTTCCTCTTCCACTTCTTTCTCGGGAGTGATTTTTACCCGGAACAGAAGTATGTAAGATTTGACTAAAGGGCCGGTAGATGCGTTAAATGACTCAGTCGGAATGCTTATGGTGGGCGCTGTTAGAGGTAAATGCTGTTCGTCTGGGTTAATAGGCACATCGGCGGTACCGAGAGTAACCTGCATGCTCGGAGCGGAGCTGTCTTTGCGTTTCTTGTGGGTGATTTTTAAGAGGACCGTTTCTACCTGAGCGATTTGGGCTTGATAATCCAAAGATTTGTTGTTGAAAGCTAGAAACGTTAAATTTATGTAACCCGGTTGGATTGTCAAAGAGTCCCTCTTTGATAACACTTTATCTAGAATCGAATCCACTTTGAAGCCTTGTCTGCTTTTGTTTGTTCTGGACATCCTGTGCTTCATGTAGGTTAAGGTTCTATTTAAAAATATGGGCTGTAAAATACCAAGTACATTAAAAAAATATTAAGCAAGTTGACTGTACTTACTGAACACATATTCCTCGTTCGCAAGTATCTGTATATTTGAGTCGGTTCTGCAAATAAATACTGAATAGTTTAGAAGTAGTGGTAAAGAGTTTTTACTTACTTTCGAAGGCTTGAAGAAATAATTCATGATCAGCCTGAATGTGGTCAATTCTTGGAGTTTTTACTGTGTCCGGATCTTTTTCCCTCTTCCTGGGAGGCATTTTAATTCAGTAATTTGTGTTACCGCGAAAGTCGACCGTTTATTATTTATCAACGCCTTGCCACAATGAGCGTTTGTTATCCGTCATCTGTCGATGTCAAAAGTCATAATTGTCATTTTGATTGAACGATCGTTGGTTGTTAACGTCGTTGCCAAATTTTTCTTTATATTTTGATTACTAATGTAATAAATATAAAGACGTATTTGTGGTATAAATGTTGTCAACGGCAAATGCCGTATTTTAAGAACTTTTTATCATAGAACTCTTTACATTCTAGCAGCTCTTCTTAAATTGTGCTTAATTTATACGAAACCTGGCAACGCCGATAATAATACTTGGTAATTAGACGCACTGTTTGTGTTTGTATTTTGATTGAAATGTCACATATTTGACAATTCGTGAGTGCTTAAAAAATGAAAACATGAACAACGGTATTGAACGAGAAAACAAAATGATTTTCAAATAACGAAACGTCAAAACGCATTAGAAATGGAACTCTTTCGAACAAATGAGTTTTACATATTCACAAAGGGCGAATATTCGCTGTGGTGGGATCGCCAAACGGGAGCTTTCATACCCAAAACAGGTTGGTTATTTATTCATATCGTTTCCTTTCTATGTAATTATGTAATAAAACGCCCCCTTATATTATTTCCATCAATTAACAATGAGCTACTTCCGCATTCATACATTTTCTACCACTTTATGAATCCAAATTACTTCATAATAACAATGATTTCTTATTATTTGAACAAATTATGATTGTTGAATTTTCAGGTTGGGACTTAACGGATGCAGATGATCCAGTTTGTCTGGGTGTATGCGATGGTATCATTGGGCTAGTCGAACACAGTCCTCTGTTCGATGCCAGACTACTCCTAATTAAAGAAAGTCTTCCAGTAGGCACCTTACACGGCGATAACACGGTTTACAAAATAAAGTCCGTCGTTTTTCTACCGCTAGGACCGGAAAATGTCGATTTGAATTTGATACCGTGCCGTAAGCACAAGGCCGTCGAGCTGAAGCAAAACCCCACGAACACCGGCCTATTGTTCGACCTGCAAAAGAACAACGCCTTTACTAAAACTTGGGGGACGTTGAAGAACGCCGGCAATACGTTGAAACAAACGACTCAGCAGGCCGCTGCTCTCGCCGGGGTCCAGAAAAAGGGCACCTTCAAAGACAAAGATCGGTTCGAGAAGCAAATCGTCGAGGAGTTCTATAAAATTTTTAACGATACCAACTCGTTCTACTATTCGCATACTACTGATATCACCAACTCATTGCAAAGGCTGTGTAATTTAGAAAAACACGGTGTCTCCTCGACTGCTATATGGAGGACTGTGGACGAGCGATTTTTTTGGAACTACAATATGCTGAAGAATATTTTAGAAATGAGAGTAAGCTAAATTCAGAGAACGTGCATACTGGATTGGTGTAATATTGTAATTTTTAGAATCCTTTATGTGATCCGTGGATATTGCCTATTATTCAGGGGTTCATCCAAATTGAAGAATGCCATGTCGATATGGATAGGGATTTAGTCGATGCTAAAGATAAAAATTATGACACTTTTAAATTGTGTATTATATCGAGAAGAAGTAGATATCGTGCTGGAACGAGGTCAGTAAAATTGTGGTATGATTGGAAAAAGGATAAAATTCCAGTAAACCTTATTTTTGGGAAAATAAAAAAAAATATGGCGAAACTAGTAATTTAACAGAATTTACTACTATTGGCCAGTTATACACCTAGACAAAGTACGTTTGATGCAGAAGATTGAACGATTTATACTTCTTTGATAACTATTAGTATTTGAAAGTACAAAAATTTTATCCTTTTTCCACTCAAAATACAAGAAATAGTTAAAAAATGTGAAAAATTTTTTTTTAACATCTTTGCCAGTCTTTTTGAAGTATTGAAGGCACCAGCTTTGAAATCAAGTATATCAATATTACTTAGCTGTTTTACTTGAAAATTTGGGTTTAGTTTCTTGGGAACTATTGTCAAATGTCAATTTATAATTAAAATTTGACGTGTTTAGAGATTTTCTATAAATATGCACAGTAACCAAAATATTGAATTTATAATTTATTTCATTTGGCGTTTCTACCTTGTATATTTAAGAAAATTGAAATTGGAAACTGCCTGGAAATTTGCTTTTTAAATAGCAAAACGTAATTATAGTAAAACTCGAGTTTTATTGAACAAATGTGTGAATAATTCTATCAGGATTAAGAATACTTATTATTGAACGATGTCTCCTAATTTATCTATTCATCGAAAAAAAAAACTTACCCTGTATAAAGTAATCATGTTTTAGATTAATTAACGTGTTTTATAGGTACAAAAGACGAGGTGTAGACGACGATGGAGAGGTGGCCAATTACGTAGAAACTGAGCAAATAATATCTTACCAATCTCACGAAGTGTCATTTGTTCAAGTAAGAGGATCGGTCCCCGTGTATTGGTCTCAACCGGGTTATAAATACAGACCTCCTCCTAGAATTGATAGAGGTATAAATAACACTACTGACTTATATAGTGCTTTTCCAGGAAACCGTCCATTAGAACTTGGAGTTCCTGAAGAGTTACGAATCTGAAAATTTAGGAGTAAGGTCTAATCAATGTTGCGAGTTTTTCTATAATATTTTCAATCATATGTGGTTTTCGGTTATATAGTAGGACCAAAAATGTCCGGTTAAAAGGGGCCACAGAATCCAAGAATGAAGTCAAAAATGGTACTTTCCATTTGAAATATCGAAGTTGACATCTACTTCCGGTATAACCTGAAGTCACATATGGCTGAAAATATTTTAGTTCAACATTGATTATACCTTACTCCTAAATTTTCAGATTCGTAACTCTTCAGGAACTCCTTATATAAGGATTATAAATTAAGCTTGAACTATTTTTAGGCGAAACTGAAACGCATGTCGCATTTGAAAAGCACTTTACCAAAGAAATCCACAATTACGGACCGGTTTGCATCGTAAACTTAATCGACCAAGCTGGTAAAGAGAAAGTCATCTTTGATGCATATTCAAATCACGTTTTTCTCTACAACAGCCCGTTTGTTACATATGTAACATTCGATTTCCATGAGTACTGGTAAATATTACACACCTTACTAGACTTAACCACTAATGAAGGCAGTTCGCTCACTGCGCGAGCTCGACTTGATCTTATACGCTATTAACGTATCTATAACAGCGCTACAAGCGGCGGGATTTGGAAGTAGACTATATACATGTGTCAAGAAATTGTCGTAATGTTGTCGGTGCAAAACAAATATCAATGCACGTCACCTAAATGTAAATCCTTATTTTTCGACACCTATTTACATTAACTATCTGAAAGCAGCAAATTCTAATAGGGACATTCTTTAATAACAAATTAATTGTTGCCCTCACACCAACGTCTAAACCAAAATTTCATGCAAAAACATGCATAGTGGCCCGTATTCAGCGCCTCACTTTAACTTTAACTCTAAAGTCGCGTCTTTAACTTGACAGTTTTACATTGTTGTTATGGAGTAACTAGGGACTCGAGACGCGACTTTAGAGTCACGCTAAAGTTAAAGTGAGGCGCTGAATACGGGCCAATGTATGTATAGTCTACTTATCCCAAACGCCAGTTGGAGGCGCCCGTGATGCTCCAAATGAGATACCTTAATAGCGTATTGATGGTATTTTTTTGGTTTTTTAGTCGTGGGATGCATTTTGAAAACGTTTCAATACTTATCAACGCTGTGAGCGACCTACTAAAAGACATGAACTACTGTTGGAGGGATAGCCAAGGGCACATTTGTTCCCAAAATGGCGTTTTTAGAGTCAATTGCATCGATTGCTTGGACAGAACAAACGTCGTTCAGGTAGATCTACAAGTAAATTAATCTGTTAAATGAATTTTTAAAAATGTCTGTGTACCTTTCAGACGGCTTTGGGTAAAACTGTTATGGAAATACAGTTTTGTAAATTGGGTTTGATATCGCCCGAAGGCGTCATCCCTACGAGCATAAAGAATACATTCCAATTGTTGTGGGCGAATAATGGGGATATAATTAGCAAACAGTATGCCGGAACTAACGCGTTAAAGGTAATAGCTAGAAAAAGGCAAATATGCAAATGAAATCGCAAGAATAATATAATAGTATAATTATGCCGATAACACATTTAAAAATATGCCGAAAATATTATAAATATGATCTAATATGATATATGAAGAGTCAAAACATTATAAAACAGTGTAAAAAATATAATATTTTAAATAGTTGCATTTTGTCGATCGAACAAAATTTACCTCCATACAAAAGTGCTTCGTTTGCCCGGTAGAGGACATCAAAGTTGAATAAAATAAACACATTTTCATTAAAGATATTTTCAGAACAGATATTCCTCTTTGAATGAGATTTGTCATATTCAGGAATCATATTATGTCATATTAGGAAAATTACCCGGTTATAGAAATAAGGCGAGATATTTTGTTCAAATTATGCAAAACATGCAGTTTTGCAAAACATGCAGTTCCTTTATTTAATATGCAAATCGACGAAAAATTGCATAAAACAATGCAAATGACAAAATGCAATTTGCATATTTGACCTTCCTTAGTAATAGGTTTAAATCATTGAGTTTGTTAAATTATTGAAAATGTTTCTTTTTATAGGGAGATTACACCAGAACTGGAGCGAGGAAATTTACGGGTATAATGAAAGATGGAATGAATTCGGCAAATAGGTAATGAAAAAACTCTTTAAAAACCACCATAAATAGTATCTCGATTAAGAACGCTTCAAAATCAACTTCAAATTCTTTAAAACTTCTTATTATATCTCCTAATCTTAGCAGATCCTATTTAATACGCGCAGAACTAACTTGAATTAGCTCCAAACAAAACCCCTGTCATTTTGAACTTATTGTAGATATTTCAAAAACCACTTCAAAGACTCTGTACGTCAGTATTGCTTAGATATAATGCAAGACGTCGCTTTGAAAGAAGTAGAAATCCAAGACTTCTGGTCGGATTTGCGTAAAGTGGGCAACATTGCCACCGAAATCCTGCCGGCAAAACCTCCCCAAGTTGCGCCCCATTTAGCCCTCCAACAAGAATTCGAACTTGCGCACGTGCTTTACCAAATGTCTAGGTTAGTTCCAAATGTGGCGAATCACTCGCGAATACCTGTTATAACGAAAGGAAATAAATATAAGAAACATTTATTTTATTTTTATCTGTGTTTGACAAATTTGGCTTCGCTTTTATTTGTAAAGTAATCGCTATACTAAAGATTTTAACTGGTATACGAGTGTGTAATTTTTTGTTTTATTCAATAGAGGTTCAAAAGTTTCAATGTTAAGTTTTTTAGTTTAGTTAAATTGCAGGAGAATTTTTGAATATTTTAGAGTTTTTTTTGAAGAATTTAATGAGGTGAGTCTTAATCTTAATTTGCAAGATCGTTTTTCTTAATCTCGAATTGCTATACTTTATGACAAAGCTTATTTGTCCAAAAAAGACAACGACGTGATTTTTAGTTATTTCCACGCAGTTCAAAATTTCCCTAGTGCCAATGTTAATTCTGCCATTTTACTAGGGGATTTTTACGACGCGTGGTTGACATGCCGATGCATTGTTGCCATATCGTTAGTCTCAAAATTCCGCTATTTGTAGTTGACAGGTTTTGTCTACAATTTGTTTTTTTTATGATTTTGGACACCAGGATGGTTCGGAACGTATTGTCTTTTTAAAACTGATGAGCTTTAAAGGATTCTTACCTCACTTCAAAGGCGTTTTACATACAATAAATTTGTTGTAGAAAAAATATCTACTTAATATTTTTAACTGTTTTGCCTGTAGATATTGAATCATTTTCCAAACTTATTAAAACTCATCAAATAGCGCTTTCATTTGAAAATTTAACGGGACCTCAAATATACTTACATCTTATTCTATTTATTGCAATTTTTAGACAAATTATTTACAATTATCTAAACAAATTTCAGGTATTATTTAAGCAGATTCAAAGACACGACTAGGCAAGGCACTATAGATTTAATGTTAGGTAAGTTACTGAATTGTCCCTATGACAAATTATACAGGATGTATCTAAATAACACCGAAAAAATTAAAGGGGTGATTCTGTGATGAAAATTAGGGTGGGTACTTGGTATAATATTTTTTGATAAAACCCTCTCTGGAAAAGTTATACCCCTTCGAATATTGAAAAATAAAATGGTTTTTCTTCTTAATTCTCCCTGTATATTAATCTAAAGACAAAAATTTTTCTTTTAAAAAAATATGACTAAAAAGCCCAATTCATTTACTAACTTTTTTATTTCTACAAGTTTTTTGAAAAACTGAAGCATTTACGAGAAAAAAAATGTATTGGAAGCTCAAGTTAAATAGCATTTAACATGAATAAAAGCCAACCAAAAAAATGGTTTTTTTTTCAAAAAATTTTATACCAAGTACCAACCTTAATTTTCATCACAGAGTTTCCCCTTAAAATTTTTCGGTGTTATTTAGAAACACCGTGTATACAGTCTCTATTCCAACTTTTCATAAGACCAACTTATTTTTTCGACAATCAAGACGTTTGTATGTTTGTTTGTACGTTTGTACGTTAACATGTAACAATTTATTTCCTACATGGTGCATTTACTTTAACAGGCAACTATGTACCTGAAGACATGTTCAATGAATCCAAAGCGGCTCAGTTCGAGGAAGACACCGTCACCGCGGAGCACGTGAAATTGCTGATCGAGGACTGCAAGAAGATGCTGATCAACCAGCCCGAATTGGTGGTGGGCGCTTGGGGCCTGATCAACGCCGATCCCGTCGAAGGCGATCCCAACGAAACCGAGATGGACTCCATACTCATCCTCACCAGGGACTCCTACTTCGTCGCCGACTACGACGATCAAGTCGACAAGGTTACCAATTACCAAAGAGTACTGATGGAGGACGTGACGCTGTTGGAATTCGGCATGGCCGACAGCAACGTGTCGTTGTTTAAGACCTCCAAGTTCCGATATAGCGTTAGGATTAATTACAAGCTTAATGGCGCTGATGGATATTACCACATGTTCAGGTCGACCAGCTTTCGGTTCTTCAATAACATGGCGGTGGTGATTAAAAGCGTGGAAGAGGAAGTTGGTGAGTTAGATTTTTGTGGTACTACTCTGAGGTTTAGTGGGATTTTGGTACAGAGTTTTTCAAGGAAAACTTGACCCCTAAATTTTTTCGGAATTCCCCAAGATCCGTCCATTTTTGTTCTTGGTGGGAGGATTTTTGACAGTCAAGCCAACTTGATATGTTCATCCCCCTAAGCCTTGCAAATCTAACGTGGGGTCTAGGGAGTTGATGGGTGTGAATTCTTTAGTTTGGGATGCATTTGTTGTGCTATTATTATTTTGTTCCTTTCTTCCAGAGTCGCTGAAGTCGATTTGCGAAGGATTCCTAGTGGCCGCGGACATTTGCGGCTTGCCGGCCATCCCGTTCGTCCAAGGCCAGTCGCTAGACAGGCGAAAGTCGAAGGCCATAAGCAGCGGTAGGTCGTCTAATAGTATCTACTTAGATTTATCGTCTTTGCCCCAAATGACCAGAAACGTTTCCGAAAGCCAGTTGCTCTCTTTGAAAAACGTCGGTAAGTAAACGATGGGGCAGTTGATGGGAGAGCTTTACTTGCTACACTGACATGGTCGCTTTCATTTTTTTTTTGGTATTTTGGCGTGCCTTTAGCATGTAAGTTTTCATAGGTTTAGAATTTACCATATATTTAAATTAGACTTGCTTATTTACTTATGAAATAGGTAATAACATTTATAGCACTGCGTGTAGGAAATTGATTAACTTAGTCATAGGAAATTTTGCATGTTAGATTTGATAACACAGAAACGTTTATTTTTAAACTTACAATAAATTTGTTAATTTTAAATATGAGAATTGGGTAAGTTAAATATTAGGAAAAAAGTTTAACTTTGTTCTAATGGTTCTTGGGTAAAATATAGCCTGTAACATCCAAACTATTCCTGTTCGATGCGAGTTCAATTGATCGATTTTTTTTAGGATCGAAAGCTCTATCGAACGTTACCCAACAATTTTCCAAATTGAACAAAATCGGTAGCACTTTCAAATCGAGGACGAAAGTGGAGGACGGACAGAAGATCAAAAACGAAGCTTCCAGCGATTCCGACGAGGAATACGAAAGCTCTATTTTTCAACCTAAAGTTGAGGCTGCTTCCGCCGCCTATCCCGATACAAGTTCACCTGGTAACCAAAGCATCGAGCAAGGTATCGATATTTGTTTTGCACCGACTATAAATTTAAAATAATAATTCCAGATGAGTACGAAATGACGAATGTGTTTTGCAGGTTTAGAAGTCAAGGAAGACGAGTTGAGCTTGTCCATCAACAAAACCGACACGTTCCTGCCGGGCGTTGGCATAGTGATGGGCAATTCGAGCGATCCGACGGACATAGATGAGCTTCTGGAGCAGAAGCACAACCTGCTGAGCAGGGCGGACTCGTCCCACATGGACGACGTCCAGCTGTCCAGCATCATGCAGAGCGTCTCGATGAGCTCCGGTCTGAGTCCGGCGCCGGAGATCCAGATCAACTCGGAACACACCGAGGACAAGAGGAACCCGCCCAACACCCTGCTGCTCGACAAAAAGAGCAAATCTTCGGTGGAAGTCAACGACGCGGCCGAATACAGCAGGAACGTCGAGAGATCGAATTCCGATTACGATGTACAGATGAACATATCTCAGTCGCAGAGCGAATCGGCGCTGAAAACGCTGAATTTGGCGAGTCCCGCGGGCGCTTCCACCAAAGATTTCGTATGTACATTGTGCGGTTTCGTTGCCGTTTAATGATCTTCTTTGTGATCGCTTGCAGGTTTTGTCGCCTTTGAGTAAATTTGCCAAAGGTGTTCAGAATTTCGGAGCGAATTTGGATCCCAGGAAATACAGCGGGCAAGTGAGGCACATATCCGAGAAGGATATCGAAGAGCACAAGAAATTACAGGCGAGATGGAAGGATAGCAAGACTAGGATCATCGCTTTGTGAGTCGTGTTGTACCTTGCTTTCGTTATCAGATAGGAGCTTTTGCGCAAATCGAAGAATTTGTAAAATTTCTATTTTTGTTAATTGGGGTACTTCCACTATTTAAGAGCCGGTATTTTCGTGGGCTGCTTGTTAAAAAGCTTCTTATACAGGGTGTTCCATAATGACATGCTGATATTTAAGGGGGTGATTCTTGGACTCATTTTACGGAAAAAACTTCATAAGAACATATGTCCTAAACCTAATATTTATTATTTTTTTAATTTTAGCACCGCGACTAATATAGCGGTAGCGTACAAATGAATGCGTTTATTTTTTTAAATGCGAAACGATGATTCGTACGGAAAAATTGAAGAGAACAAATTTGTTTTAAATTCAATGAGGATTCCGAAAATAATTTTTATATCAATATTAGGCAGTGGCATATCTTTTTTTTTCTCCTAAAATATTCAATGTAAAACCCGTAAATTCAATGTACGGACGCCACTGCTGAATATAATAAAATTATTTGTACATCAGAAAATGTATCTTGATTCATAGAAGACGTGTGCCAAATTTTATAAAGATAGCTATACTAGTATCACAGTTGTTACAAAAAATTGATTATTTTCTTAAAATTTTAACACCCTTATGTATCTAAAGAAGACGTTTAGGATATAGGTTCATATAAAGTTTTCTTCTTAAAATTGGCCCCTTGATCACCCCGTTAAATATTAGCATGTCATTTTGGAATACCCTGTATATAAGGTATAAAAAAGATGAGTGGATCAGGGATGAGACATTTTAAAACTTTTTTATTCTTTTCGTTTTTTAAAATTCAGTTTTTAAAAATTTGTGTTAAACAACATATTTTAGGCTCCCCGACATGCTCGGTTCTTATGCGGGACACCCTATATAAGAATGAAAAAAAACCGACCCTTTTCGTATTGGAAAATACTCATTTTACAAATTCGCGAGATTTGTTTTTTAATTTACGAGCTCAAATAAAAAAACTAGTGATTATTTAGTGATACATAAAATGGTATGTTATACGTTGCTCAAGATACCTCTGATTCGTGTTGAATATTTAATTAATATACGGGTAGAAAGGTGATTGTGGTTATTTATAATTACAAGATGTTCCACTGGATGTAATTTTATGAAATCTCTAAAAATTTTCTATTTTTCATGGAAATTGAAAATAGTCTACGCTTGCTAATTATTATGTGGAACAACTGAGATTAATAGCCAGTATTATAATATTTTACCGTAAACATTTATAAATATTATTCTCTGTGTTTAAAATGAAAAGTAGCTATAAGCAACTATTCGGAGGTATCTTTTATATTTATTAACACATAGTGTACAATTATTATCTATAATTAATTATTTTTCCTACTTTATACAGGGTTTAATTTATTTATGTGAATAAGTGCGAATTTGTTTGCAATATGGTCAATTGTATGAGTTGAACAAAGAAAGATTATTAAAATAACAGTGGTTAGAGTGATAAAGTTGCAATCTTAACAATATTATTCTTTCTTTTTCCTTTATATTAGACTAATGGAGGTTGCCCTTGTTGCACCAATAGACTATATTGCGTACACATTTGTTCTTATGTATACAGGGTGTTCCTAAACATCGTGCACATACGAAAAGGGTATTGTTTGGCTTATTTAATGACTAAAAGGGTGTTGAAATTTCAAGATTTTATTGTTTTTTAGATTTCCTGGAGTTTTTGAGATAATTAGCTCAAATTTGGAATATACAGTGTGTCCACGGATGGGGTTGCCTATAGGAGAAACAGTTATTATCATTCATTTTATGACAAAGTCATTCTTTGTAAAAAATTTTGCTTCTTCTGAAAATGAGAATAACATTAAAAAATATTAGATTGGATCTGCTCGATGTTTACGAACACCGTGTGTATGTACAAATTTTGTACTTAATTGCGCTTTAAAATTTATTTCTATATAATTTTTGTTACTTTTTCAAATTAAGTTATTAAAACAGGGTGTTAATTAATTGAGTGCCGATACTTCATAATGTGAATTTTTGGGTGATTTTAAGAAGAAAAGTTTATATTAATATATGTCCTAAACCTCTTAGTTTTCGAGCTTTCATAAAAATCATCCAAATATTCACATCCTGACGAATCAGCACTCAATTAATTATCACCCTGTATATCAAATTATTGATTTAAAGTTTACGTACTTGTTTATATGGTATTGTTAATTTTTCTCTCAATTTTTGTTGTATTTCTTAAATTGTAGTATTTAAAGTTTTATTTTCGACTAGTGAGGTGTACTCCTCTTTAGTGAGCAAACTTAACACCTGGTGAAAATTCCAAAAAAATAAAAAAAAAATTAGAGCGAGCACAATGCCGTTATCAATAATGTGATAAAAATAGAATCGTAGCAAAGCGCTTGTAGCCAAACGAACGACTTGTAAAAATGAAACGGCCAAATACACGCCCGCTCGAAATGGAATATTTTTTCTACGAAACCAGTTTTTTACCTCCGAACGTTTCGAAACGGGCTCGAAAAAAAAAACGGGAACATTCAAAAGACTTGACACCATTTCCTCATATTATTTAGCGCACGAATCGTGCGCTCGTAACGTTCCAGATTCTAAGTATCCAGATGAATTTTTCGTACGTTCTACGGCCGCAATTGCGCGGATCGAATTTGAACGTGCGCCAATTGGCCATATCCTTCGTTCTATCTACCTTTCCGGCCGTCTGAACCCCTGCGGGGAGTCGCATTACCCATACCGAATCCCGTTTCTTCTACCGATGCTACCTGCACAAAATAAAAAATACATTATTCATTCGTCTTAAAAGAGACACGATTTTTTCAGATTTAGGGCGATTAAGGTAGTACAGGGTGTTATCTATGTATAGTGTTTTAGCTGCTTTGTTTTAAAGAAAAATTATTAAATTATTGCCCATTTAGTAGATATGCTTTTTCGAGAGGTTTTTAGCGATTTTAGGAATCAATAAGCAATATGATATAAAGTTATAGGAGTTACTGACTGGCTGATTGAGTGGGGTTACTGTAGAGCTTGCCAAGCAAGCGTGATGCTATCAAATATTCTTGCAATACACCCTGTATTTACGATTAATATAAAAAATGGCTTCTACTTAAAATTCTGAATGGATTGAACGTTACGAAGCTTGCGAAAGTATCGTATTTTGCTGTTTCATCCTGTCATTAAAATAATTGTGTAGAATGGAGTTACTGCGTTATATTATTTTCAGGATCTAGGTATACTGTCAGTAGTACTGCTTAAAATATTCATCCGATGTGGATTGAAGCAAAGATGCCAGTAATAGTGGTTTTCTTGTGTTAATATTTCGAAAATGCGAATTAATTCTACAGTTACAGGTCATTATAATTATATTGAATATAAAGGGTGTCGCGCATAAGAACCGACACAAAACAGGAATGTGTAGGAGAGCACAAAAGATTCTGTTGAACCAACTTAACTTAATAGAAAGTTACATTCCTGAGAAGTTATAGGCTTTCAAAGAGGAGTTATATACAGATTTAAAAAAATAATAATGTCTCAGTAATACACAAACTTAAAACAACTTTATTTGGTTTACGTTATGAGTGTACTAAGATCATTAATCGATAGTTAGGAGAGATCAAAATAAATCTATTTTAAATGGTTCATCAGGGATGAATCTCCTTTAAAATGTTACCGATTTTTTTTACTCTCATTTTATTAACAAAATTAATAATTCACTTCGTATGTAATTTTATTTTAAAACTTCTTTAATTTTTTGTTTTTTTGTTATACTATCCATGTTAATTAAAATCGCCGATAATTCAAAAGTTAGCTGTATACTTATTTTAGGCTCCCCTACAGGGCGCTGCTCTGTGTTGACTCTTAGGCGGGACACCCTGTATTTGTTGTGTATGTAGGCGGTATCTTCAGTAAAAAAGATTAAGTAGAAAGTCAAAATTGTAGAGGTGCCTTTGCTGATTGATAACTTTGAATAGCTCATATTTTTAGACGTTGGTTGGTTAAATGTGACATCAGGTTTGAAAAATTTTAATGAATACTTTCAAGTCTTGTTGTTTATTATCCTATTTTCAATTTGCCATTTTTCTTCGCTGTATTGAAAGTTTGAGTTTTGATCAGGAGGAAAATATTCATTGAAATTTGAAATTGGTTATTTCTTAGCGAGAAGAAAAACAACATGTCAATTAATATACTGTACACAAGAATAAATTAGCATGTCAGAGCAAATGCTCAGTTTTGTTTTATTTCTACTATTTTTCTTAAATATAAATTCTTTTTGAAGCGATTTCAAGCGATTCAGGTAGATAAGCTTTTTCATCACGGCAACTATTCATCACGGCGACGATTCATCACGGAGACGATTTATCACGGCGACAATTCATCATTACCACTATTCATCACACCTACTTTGAAAAACCCGTAAAATAAAATAAGACTTGGGGACAAAATTATCTCATGGTCGTGTTGCGATAAGGGTAGAAATTAGTTTTTATTCGCTTTTTGGATTCTTTCTTAAACATTTTAATTTTAATAATCATTTAATACTCACTTGAAATACTTTTATGCTTTTAGTATAGCTGCAGCTTTCTCAGGATGCCCAAACGAGTTAAAATATTTTTAACTTTTTGTCACTTCCATCTCGGAAGTAAATATTAACTTAGGCCTAATTACGCTGATTACAAAAATAAACTTCTTTTTACCTGTAAGTTCGTTTTTTTTCATAAAATTAAAAAGCACGGTCGTATAATAACAGGTCCGGAAACTCCTATATAAAATTTATTGCATATGATATGACTCTCGATAGAGGGTGTTAGTATCGAGTAGTGTTGTTTAATTGTACCACGACCCTATATTTCTAAGGTCTGGAAACAGCCTATTCTTTTTCATTAGAGAATGTGTCCCGTTATTTGAAGACTTTTTGAGCTTCACTTGAGCACCGCACTGGAGAAATACTTTAACCGAAAGATACGTAAGGCGTGATAACAATAAAATCATCGCTGATTTAAGTATATATTTTGTATCTATTTTTAGTTTGAATAAAACCTTTCTTAATGTTTCTTAATTCGAGCTAGGAATTTAACCGCCTGTATAACTGTCGAGCATAAAAATATAGTTTCATTTTCCTCTTACCGACTTTTCCACGCAATTTCAGTGTTTCAATAAAACGACACATACATTACGGTTAAAATTTGTTAAAAATTCTGATGACGGCGCCTCCGCCTCCTATTCGCCGTTCCCTTTTTATCTTCGCCATCGAGAAGGGCGCCAAATGCATGATCAGCGATAAACACTTCTGCTTTATTCACTTGGAAACAATAAGGGTAAATAAAAAAGTCCCTCTTTTAAAGGCAATTTCTGCGACCTATATACACCACGTACGTCTCAATTTTGTCAGGATAATCAAATAAAGGGCGATTGCGGCTAAGTACTTTCACCTTCTTGGCTGGGCGAATAATAAATTGCCGAAGTGCCATCTGGCCTTTATTATTAAAAAGAATAATCAGGGCCGTTTTGGAGTTTTTTTTTGTTGTTAATATTTGGATGTGATCGATTTTTAATTGAGCGAAAATGTTTTTTTATGAACTAGTAATTTACCCTTGTTTTGCTCAAGGATTGCTTTTGATGGGTTTTTGATGGTTTATTAATGAACTTATTCGATTTTTAAGGAACTTTAAAAATTTGGATTGATTTTTTTAGGGTATTTTTAAGGATTTTAGACGGAATTTTAATTATTGCATGATTTTAGTAGGTTTTGTGGTATAATTGAGCAATTGTAATTTTAGAATGCGGCTCTGTGTATTTAATAGAGGAGCGAAGCAGCTCTTTGGAGGATCATTTGTACATGTCTGGTGAAATTATATTTCGAATTCGGTCGTATATACAATAACAATTTTACGTTTATACTTTTTACGGACATAATGAAAAAAACACTTTGATGCCGCATTTCCACTCGCAATATTGAAACGTACATTAATCCTTAAACGTACAGCGATTCGCCTTCGAGCCGAAGTATTTGTCATTTTTTAAGTTTTCAAAATTCCAGCTACGAACGTTAGCCGTGCAGGAAAATGCCCATAAAAATTAATTGCCAATCTGCCATCTTTATATTGCCGTTTTAGAACTTAAAAATGAAACGTCAGTAACTTTGCGAAAAATTACATCAAACCCGGTGATTCATACTAGGATGATGAGGAACGAATAAAAGACTTTTCTATTCATTACCTTACATTATTTTTTGTTTTTTTGAGCTAGTACGAGGTTTAGTATTCATATCATTACATTACTCCTACTCCTACTTCTTTATTTACTCTTACTGCTTACTTTTACTGCAACTTCTGCTCTACTCGACTCTACGACTTGACTCTACTCAACTTTACTCGAATCTACACGACTCTACTCGACTGTACTCGACTCTACTCGACTCTACCGGACTTCACTGGAGTTAGAGCTTCATCCCCTTTTTTATGGGTACTCAGAGGCGAGCAAACAAACCACAACGAGTGTACATCCAAGTACATCGTCGAAGCCAGTCCCAATCGAATTATCTCCCATTGCCTCTAATTGCTTTCGAAAATAAGTCGGGGGACATTGGATGTAGCGGGCCCGACGCCCGCAGTAAACTTCTTGAGATTTTAATGGCGGGTACCTGGGAAACACTTAGCGTTAATTACTTCGTCGTCTGCTAGGATTAATAAGTCATCGCGGCGAAGTTTCGGGTCGCCCTCTTTACAGGCCCACTTGCAGCGTTCGGCGTCTTCGGGGAGCCGGGCGCTGAAATGACGGACAATTGGAGTTGGAGTTTCTATACGGTCGGGCCGGGACGCACTTTAATAATTATCGAGTAATTATTAAACGGACGTAAATTAAACGGGGCCGGAGTGTCCGCCTGCGTATGGATCGGTTTCTTGGTGTATAGGTGTAGGAATCTCTTGCTAGAACCTTGAATAAGAAAGTTACTATTGTTTCAAGTTAATCGTTTTGTTATGTTTAAAGTTTTGGATAAACCGATAATCGGCGCATTAAAACAACGGGCATTTTTCAATCGCTTATCGTTGCCCAAATTATTATTGCTGATTCAAACGAAAAGTTCCTCGCGGATTCTTTTCTCGATTTCAAAGGCAAACTTGCCGCTCGACGGTTTATTTACTCATTTTTTTTTAAGTATAAATCCGCTTCGGTCCTCGGTATTTTTGTTTGCTTCTCCTTATCGCCGCGATTTTGTCCTTTCTCTCCCAAAACGTCCTGAGACATTTCGAAAAACTCCGGGAATTCTTTGAATATCGCCAGAAACTTTTCGCTTTGAATTGCTGGTAATTTTTTTCGATAATCCCGGCGGAGGATAAAATTTCTAAGTCATTAATTCCATTAACTGTCGCTCTTGCAGCAAATATTTGTATTGATCCAAGTTTTTATTTGTATGGATTTATAGTCCTTTTCAAGATATAGTAGAAAATGACTTTATAAGCTGATGAGTTTATGACTACCCAGTGCTGTTTAGGGTACACGCCGTACTCGCCGGTCGAAGGACGCAGAACCGAATTTTAAGTTTGGTACGTTCGCTGCGGCTAAGCGGCGATGCAAAATACTCATTAAATAACATTTCTTAAGTTCTTACCTGGAAATGTAAATACTGTTTACCACCCGACCCGACCGAAGTGCTTCAACGTTCCATTGTATCGGTATTAGGAAAGTCATTACTTTATTGCTATAATCCCTAAGCTCTCACGCCTCTTTTCTACTATATCTTGAAAAGGACTATACACAAATATTAATTTTTAACCAGATTTTTATATCCCATAAGTTTAATTTCAAACCAAATCAATTAACTGACTATATAATAATCATATTTTTAATGAATTCTTCATAACCATTTGGAATATAATCACCAGAAGCTTTTCCTTCCATAAAATTAGCCCAATTTTTTTTTGAAATTATTCATCCGTTCAAACGGCGTACGTCATGTATTCGTGGCCTCGTATATGGTTGTTTTCAAGTCCTCTTCCGCTCTACAGAATCCATTGTTTAAGTTCATTTTTAGTTTATCGATTTCCGCTGGGAATAAGCGAATTAAGCAAATTCCTGATACAGTAGACGGAAATAAACAGACACAGCCAACAGATAGGCTTTTCGGAAAGCAAATCGACAAACGCGCATTCGTATTCAAATTAATTTAATTTATTCGCAATATTGATACCTGTATAAAGGAAGCCCGAAAATATACGATCGATGAGTTGAATGGCATTGTTAGAAATTAATTGTGAACGAATCTTGCAGTTTAATTAATACAGGGTGAGTCGACGAAGACCACGCCAACGACACCCTGTATACTGATAATATTGAAGGTGAGCATTATTGGCTCACCCTGTACATCAGAAATTGATAGATCCTTCTTGAAGAGGAATTCTTTCTGTAACGTATTAGCTTGCTAATAAATCAAACAAAGATAAATCGACGACACCATCCGTTATATGGCATATTCCTCAAACTCCACGCAACTTTAAACTTCAGTAAATCTCTTCGCTCGGTATTAATTTTCGGGATCAATTCTGCAACAATTAGCGCCATCGTCGAGCCGGCGTCAGGGCTAAAATCCGATCATTAATTCGATCAGGTTAATTAATGTTAATAACTAAATCGAACAAATCCGATTCGGGCCCCGGTCGACAAACAGACCCCATCTTAGAGTTTACGGGTTTCATCCGGAGTCTGGTGCATCCGTAATGAAGTTGCATTTATATGCGGGCGACGCGTCAGGTTCGTGTGCTATCGCGATTTGGTAATGATTTTGCACAGGGAAAGTAATAGTAAATAAATCATTCCGCTCTGCGGAGCTAATGGTTAATTTCGGTAATATGAGGTAAATAAATTTCAGTATTCAAATTTGAATAATGAAGGGTATACAGCATACATTGAAGTAAAACCGAACTCGCATAAATATTTATTTAGGTACTAATTGTTTCACTTTCTTTGGTTACAATTAATTATAACCATGCTTAAACATAACATACATAAAAAGTAATGGACTTTCATCATGTTCATGATTTTCTATACAATTTCGAATCGACTATAGAATTAATACGCTTGATGATAATAATATGGTTTTTATCAAGCAACTAAACATCACGTCGTCGCGATTTCGAATTCGACATAATAGAATTTGATCTAGATAAAATGATGATGATTCGATGCATGAGCGACAAGCAGCTTTAAGCTCTATGCATCG